CGAGTCATCAGTTGCCTGAAGAAGTTTCGTATGTGGTCCTTCTTCCTCTCAACAGAATCTCTCATCGGACACCTTGTCCCGCCGAACAATATCATCCGAACTGGCGATTACTCTCGCGACCGTTCCGCTCGTGAGAGTTTTACACAGCCCGCCGAACTGATGCGCTTTCCCCCATTTGTGAGTCTCCAGCTCGACATCGAGGACCGACGAAGGATGCAGAATCCAATACTAAGGAGAGAGGAGCTCGTCAAGTCGTTAAAGAAGTTTGCGGACCTCGAGCACATGGCCTTATTCGGTAGGCCTCTCTGGTATGCATATACATGTCAGCAAGAGAATATGATCGATGTGGCCAAATTGAAGCTTCTGGGCGGCCAGCAACAATCAGAGTACAATCCACTCGACTCGAACCACGTCTTTGCTGCGCTGTCCTTTCGTCTGTCGTTGGATGTCTGCCGGCAGAACCCCGCCACTCTCTCCCTCACAAGGGAGGCGGTGAATTCCTTTATGAGAGTGGTCATATCTATGGACCACGAGACGGGAATGATGGACACAACGACGCCATCCGAGCCGGTGTTAGCAAAGGCAGCAATGGAGCATCTCTGCATCGAAGGCCGCTGGTCGTTGAGCATTTCCACGCTCTGTATGGTGCTTCTCGAGAAAGGATTGATCGAAAAGGGGCGCAAAGGAGAACTCTATGCTCGATTAGTGTTGATCCTTGCACACGACTGGGTTCGGTGGGTTCGTGAACCAGTATTTCCACCAACCTTTACGGTGTGCGACTTTCTCATGGCATTATATGCTAACGATCATCACGATTCAATTCGAAAGATACCTGAGCAGACACTGGGAGCTAGAATGAACTTCACTCATTTTCTATCGACTGATACACAACTTACCCCCGAGGACATTCCTGCATTATGTCGGGACCTGTTGCGCCGGAGTGCTGCGATGCAGCTATGTTGGAACCAGGAAACATACGATCTACTGATTCCGGTGTACTATGGCACGGAGGATGAGACGTTCGACCCTTCGAATTGCGGAGTCATCGTAGTACAGGTGAAGAACAAGGAGAATGCCACCACACCTCGAGAGATCTTCGGGGAGGAGTTTATCAATGTCAGCCCGAACAAGTCGGATTCGGGCAAATCGAAGGCGACGAGTTCTGATCGCAAGCCGACGAAATTTGTGTTCACTCAGATGGCGAACCCGATCCTGTTCCTCCTCTTCGATCTAGGGGTGGTCAGAAGCAGTGCGGCTTACGCTCCACTTGTTCAAGTGATGCGCAGCGCAAATGAAAAGCAACCTGATTTGTGGGCTATCCATTCGCGAGGACACGGCCATACCATCTTTGGCTGCCTAGGGCACTTCAAGGCTACCGATTCGAGCGAGCGGTTCTTTGCCGCGATACAAACGGGCAACACTCTGGCCGATCGACTCTCTCAGAGAAATAGAGTGTTCTCTGAAATCAATGAAAGCTTCAGATATGAGCAAGAGAGTGAGGCCAGAATGCAGGAAATGGAAGCAGAACTTACCGGATCGAAGAGAAAGGAAGTAGAAAGTCCCGAGGACGAGCAGTTCGGCAAAACAGCGCGCCTGGCATAAGTAGCTGAGCAGAACAGCAGCGCGAAACCCCCCCGCCCCACGTGACCACTAGAAATTTTGTTCACGTGACTTGAGTCGTCGCTCATTGGCCTCAACATACGGTCCATGGACTGGATCCGATGGAGGATATCGTACGGCACAGGACGTCGTGATCAACATCGTCCACAGGTGGTCCATAGACTGGATCCGATCAGGGCGGTCTGGCAGACAAATGCGCCATTCTGCCCATCCCTGAGGGTGCCATGGATTGGATCCGATGGGATCAGCCAATCAGAGCACAGGATTAGGTAATCACCGGATTATAGATTTTCCGGGATACGGCGGCACTCTACCCCATTTCCTGGGTGTGCCGTGGACTGGATCCGATGGAGTTGGCCAATTAGAGCAAAGGAATAGGTACCGGATTATAGATTTTCCGGGCTACAGCGGCATTCTACCCACTCCTGGATGGGCTATGGACTGGATCCGATGGAGTTAGCCAACCAGAACACAGGATTAGGTAGTACTATAGATTTTCCGGGTCACAGAGGGCTAGCCAATTACGTGACACGAGGGCCCCGGGAGTTGGGCTATGGACTGGATCCGATGGGGCCAGCCAATCAGAGCAAAGGATTTGGTAGTTTTCGGATTATAGATTTTCCGTGCAACGGAGGGTTGGCCAATCACGTGATTCAATGGCTTGGCAATATCGAGCGCAGCGAGGCCTGGGAGTTTGGGGGATTAGCCCCCAAAATACAGAAGCTACGCTTTACCTCCTGTGGAATATCCTGTCCACGGCCCCTAGTTGATCACGTGCCAAGGATTACGTGTTCAACACCCGCTCGAGGTGGTCCATGGATTGGATCCGATGGACATGACACCGTGACTCGAGTGATTTAATTTGACTGAATGGGTATGGGACGCCAAGACCGCCGTTTTGACCAATAGCGTTGGAAAATGTCTTGGCACTGTTACGCTCCGCTAGGTGGGCTTAGTTAGGGTGGTTTTACTCCCTCAGTATGTATTTTTGCTCACGAATAGCGATCCTGAGAGGTTCCGGCCAATCACATGGCGGAATTTGCTGGAGCGTCTCGGCGGGCCGGAAAGGTTCTCCCATGTCAACGCTCCATGATTGCCATGACTACCTGTCAGTTCCCGGGCCTCTTCACATTCCAGATCCGCTACGCCCGGGCGTGCGGTCGGCTTGCCCAAGTCCTGTCAGCCGTCGCTGCGCTCTTTGATGGACTTCTTCGCAGCTTGAGGCCGAGAAATTTTCAATCACCCCGTCGATCGAGAGTCGGTAACCTTTGTGACTTTGCTTGAAGGTGAACTTAACAAGTGCCTTGGTGTATATGGGTTGGGCTGCAAAACTCGATGACGGTGCTGGCAATGGTCGCCACTTCCGTATCCAAGTCCCCAGTGTTCCAATGGAAGCTCGACCGCTTCGTCTCCTAGGCCTGAGGCTGGGAACACGAAGCAATCGGTGCTCTGAGGTGCTCTGAGGTGGTTGACGTTTCGGGTTGGTACTACGTGCACGGTACGAGGACTGTGCACACTAACACTATCGTCATATGGTTGTTTACGTATACTTTCGTGTCCATCCGGTCGATCTACTTCTGCGGTCACATTATTTACTACCTTTAGAGCCTTCTCCTCCGTCTTGGACTCAACCTTGACAATTTACAGCGGCTCTTTACCTCACCATGAAATCGTTCTGTCTCTCTACCTCCTGCTGGCTCTTTGCCTTATATCCTAACCTGTCAATAGCATACTGGCGCATGGCTTGCAGTGTTTCTCAAACGTCGAGGATTGACCCCATTCGCAACCCCGGCGGCGTATCAGGACATGTGCACAAACTTGCCGGCGGCAATAGTCAGTCACCCATCTCAGAACTGTGATCGCCGGCTGATAGACCAGACGTGAACGAGAATGCCGACTTTAATTCCCTGCAATCGTCGACCTGTTCTTCTTGCGAGATTCAAAAGGACACTTCCGCATACTGGACTCCCCAACTATACTACGCGCACGCAAACGGCTCGTTTGAAGAGGTGCCAAATTACGGAATGACGGTATACTATGTTGGTATGCGATACGAATTTCCCGATTCTACTGGCATTCCACTGATCAGTCTAGGTCGAGGTGGAAATTCTTCCAACACCACTCCATTTCCTCCTGGATTCAAGATGGTCACTGGAGACAGTCGGCAACGATCATTTGATAACACGACATTGACATATCTGAATACACGGCCGGTGGCCGATAGGTTTGTTTCTTATCTCGAGGCGGGCGAATCTCTTTATTGACATCTTGCAGGGTAAGTTTCCGTTGCATAGACGAGGCTAACGATATTCCAGAAGAGCACTATATGTTTCGAACCGATTGTGTCAATGGTATGCGAGCACAGATCAACTTTCCATCCTGCTGGGATGGTGTCAATCTTTATCTTGATAACTCTGCACATGTGGAGTATTTGTCTGGGATCGATCATGGCGTTTGCCCTCCTTCGCACCCGGTTCCCATACCAGGCCTCTTCTTTGAGTGAGTTTCTCTTTTTGAACCGTCTAAGTAGTTTTGGTCTCATTGATCCGAGGGTCCTGTACATGACGAATTTGGTCGATCAATCCGGAGGTGGCCAATTTGTCTTTTCAAACGGTGACCCTACGGGTTACGGTTTCCATGGCGACTTCATAAATGGCTGGGACGTGGATGTCCAGACCGATGCTGTCCAAAACTGCCTCTACACCGATGATGGCGGAGTTATCAGCGCTTGCCCCTATCTCGCCCCGAGTGACGATGTGAATTTTGCGCGCACCTGTCCGGAGCAGCCATCGGTGTTCGACGAGCCCGTACATGGCATGATCGCCGCCTTGCCTGGGTGTAATCCCATCACATACGGTCCCGACCCAGCTCCGCAAGTCGACTGTCCACTGAACGTGAACGATCCGAATGCTTCGAACACCGCCTCAGTTTCCAGCAGCACATCTGTTACTCCCTCTTCCATGGCTTCTTCAACCACAGCTGTGGTTTCCGCGATTGGCTCAAGTCCTATGATCAGCTCCAGCACCATTCCAAACTTCACACCCCGCTCTTCTACATCAGCCGCCCCAACGACACCCACCACGTCATCGACCAAGTCCGGAGCAGATACAATAACCAGCTCCGATTTTATCTCTACCCCGACGTTCTCCAGTATCTCGTCCTTCGATGAGACAACCACCGCCATATCTTTCACTCCGACATCTAATTTCCCCGCAGTAATGTCGACCATCCAAGATGCGTCCCGTTCATTTACAAGCCCAGGACCCAATCAGACTCTTGGTGGGGGTTTTGTACAGCTACCGACCAGTGATGGCATAGCAGCAAGTAGCACCGGTCTGGATACCGCCAGCACACTGACGTTGGAAACCGCTTCGGAGACATTCACGTCTACTGGAGATCCGTTGCGTACAGCTCAACCGAATTCCGTCAGCACAATTACTTCGGATGCGTCGGTCGTTCCATCACAACTAAGCGGGTTAACGACAATGACGATCACAACCACCGGCTGGGTTCCGGTCACAGTCACGGTCGGCAACCACGCGTCCGCAAATTTCGTAACTACGAGCAATTTGGGGAGGAGCGGGAATATCTTCACCATAACTGGAAGCACCTATACCACTTTCTCTCCGGCTGATGAACCAAGCATGACTGATGAAGCGACGTCAACAACCATAATGCACATCACGACAACACTCCATGTCGTGGCGGCTCCGGCAAGCACTCGCCCAATCACTCCGCAATCAACATCATATGCAAATACAGCTTTCACGACAATGACGAGCACCGCAAGCGGAGATAGCACTAGCAGCCCGTTGGTCTCGTCGGCGTTCAGTGTCGACGACACATTTGCTTGCTCCCTATACTCTGCATTTTCCATTGAGGGATGTCCCTCTCCTGCCACTACCTCTTCCATCACTGCTGCGGCAGACAGCGTCGCGACCACCTTCGTGACGGTAACGGAGCCAATCACGGACGAAACCACGTCGACGGTGCAGACAATCCTTACACTTTCATCGGCCAGAGCGAATACGACATTTCTCAGAATTCGAGGGCGCGAAGTCCACTTTGCTGGGCGGTAGACAGAGCTAACTCTTCGGGGAGGGAATGATTCGAAATTCCTTGGCATTGGACAAGAATATCGATCGAACATATACTAACAACTAGGGACTTTTTTACCAGCACACAAGCATAACGGATCACAGTAATACGACGAGAATAGAATGATACCCACGGCGGAATAGTGACTGGGTAAATGGACATGGGCAGGTAATGGCAAGGAAACAATGGGAGACTAGTTGCTTTGATATTGTATTTGGACGTCGAACTAGGACGTGTTTGTGGACCACTAAAAGTTGGAATATAGTCGATGTGAACAATGTGTTTTCTCTCCCTCTCCGTCTCCCGTGCCATATGTCTTCGATACTCCTCCACCCGTTGTCGACGACCGAGGTTTTACCGAGCACTTCCGAGCAACTTCATTTCACACCCCAATCGCTGCGAAAGTACGACATTTTCTTGGATACTCCAGCCACTCTGTCGAGCTCCCTTGCCTCTTCGATCGCCCCAATGCTATGACGAGGAGCATCACCGCAGCAAGTTGCATATCTTATCAAAACCCTCGATTTGTATGGATCTCGGACAAGCTTCTTGCAGACGCTTTTCGTCGGTTCTGTCACCCCAAACGATATGGTAGCAGTGTTCCTGGCCCATTGGAAGCTCAACGGCGTGCCGCTAAGCGGAAGAACACAAGTCTAGCGCCCTCACTTCCGGGCGGAATACCGGTTGATCCCTCTGTCGTCTTTGGATGCAGCTCAAAGATAGACTGGTGGCAGTCTCGCGCTCAGCTGGATGATAAACCAGGTATGATTCCCGGGGACACACGTCTTAGCATTGCGGTATTGACATTTACGCAGCTCTATCTGGTCTCCTACCCTCATGGCTGTTCCCGTATTCCCACCCTTCTGCGAGGCATTCGCAACCCCCATCCAGCGAAACGAGTGATACAGAGATAATCCCTCAACCATCGCGCCCACTGAGGCTGCAGCAGCTGGCCCAGTGTCAAACATTACAAGATATTCGAGAATGGTTACAGAATCAGGGGATTTTCCTACACAACAACCAGTCGATTGGCGCCGCAATACAAAAACACATGCTGAAAGCGAACTTGAGCGCCACGGAAATCGCGACCTACCTCTGCGACCCCCACTTTCATCCTCCTGGAACCTCGTTCATTCGGCAAATGTCTCCTGAACTCTTAGATCGCGTTTGGGACGGTCGGTCTTGGAAAGCGGTGCGAGAAAGTATCTGCAAGGCTGCTGAGTTGGGTCTCATCAGTATTAGCGATTTGCAAGCGATCATCACCCACGCCGCTGACACGACCGTGGTGAAGCTGCGAAAAGATGATGGCGAGCTGGTTCACAGTGCATTGCGTGAAAAAGAGAATTTAATTTCAGGCATCCTTACGTCTCTAGATCGGTCCAAAGTTCTCAGCAAGGCTGATCTTGGACCCACGTTCTTGTCGGAACTGCTCTCAAATTTTGCCAGCCTCACCCACATGCGACGGAGGCATAGGATTGTGTGGCACCTGCTGCCATGGGCTCGTGAGAATGACGCTCCCGCGGTCAGTCAACTGATCGTAAGGGATCTCGGGGGGATCTGCCGTGAAGATCCACAACAGCCAGTAGGCCATAAACTTGCAGAGTCTCTTGTCAGGGTCCCTACGAGAGTTTTGCGCCTGGCACTATTGCAAACGACCGAAAGGCTGATTGCCATTGCGAGGGAGGAGCCAACTCACCGTTACAGATACCTGTTCTACCATTGGATAGGGACTTTGGCGGCGTTCAGATCTACGAGGAAAAACATTTTGCTGATGGAGAACGACTGGGTTATCCAGCAGTCATACCAGAGCAATCTCCAGCGAGACCAACGTTTACTGGCATTTGCCTGGACCTCAATGTGCCTCTGTCGGGATCGACGAGGCTTACAACGGATATCGGACCGGCTAAAGTTTCTGGACGAGTTTGAGAAGTCAATCAAATCAATACCGGACTTTGCCGCCAAGGGCTTTCTTGACAATGCTGTGGTCAGCCTTCAAAGCTTGCCTTTGCCCCACAAGGACGCCTTATTGAAACGCCTGACGAGGTGCATTGACCACGAGATTCAGCCGCTCATTGATGGGAAGTTCTCAGTGTTGGGTGATGACGAATATTACCGCAAAGCTCAGGACAAATATGTCGACGAGCTTCTGTCATTGTCAGAGAGCTTGAACCACAACCTCTCTCTTTTCAAAAGCCTGACACGGAGAATGATTCACAAAAACCTGAAATCGTTTGATATTGTCTGCAGAATCCTGGAAAATAATATGTCCTTGAAGCTGGCCTTATCACAGAGTTTTCCTCAACGTCGAAATGCCCAGCAGGAACGCACGCAGTCCCCGGATCGAGTTGCATTTTCGAGTCTCGACCCTCCGTGTGAGATGGAAGAGAATGGCGCCGACCGGAGCGACGCCTCAGCGACAAATTTCAGCTCGCCAGACCCGGAAGAAGCTATTGATGTAGTCAACCACATTGCAGTATCGTTTGCTACCACGCCCGTCGCCACACCTCGAGTCGCCCTGCACCGAGTATTCTGGTGCTATCGCTTCCTATGTAGCTACGGCGCACCCGTCCAACCGACGATTACACGTGCTCTGTGGCACGCAGGCGTTGCTCGGTACGGTGAACAAGGCACTGCTGTAACACAATTGAAATGGATCTTAGAGAAAGTCTCGCAGACCGAGGGCGAGGGTGTCGCTAGGCAATTGCTCTGGAGCAAGTCGCTCCGTGAGCAGCATCGACAGGAGCTGGAGAGCCTTGGCAAGATCGACCTAGACGAGCACAGCATGCTGTTGGCGGAAACGACCGAGGCAACAAGCGAGGAAGGACACTATCATCTGGACCTCCGTCCAGCGATCATGGCGGACTTGGAAGTCCCCCGTAAGATCTGCTTCGTCCAGACTGAACGTGACGATGCACCTTTCTGGTATGAAAGTCCGATGAGAAAGATCTTTTGGGAGAGAGCTCAAACCCGGGTCCGAGCCAGACGGAAATACAAATCAGGCAAAGTCGACGAGGTCGAGAAAGAAGGAGGAGAATTCCCTGGAGAAAGGAAGATGGCCGAATGATTTGCGTCATCTGTATATACACGGGAAGCAGCAGTAAATCAACAAATGGCGCCTGAAACACTCTATAAGCACTTCAAAATCTTAACCCCTGGATGTTGGGCTTTGCAGCGTAAACGAATCAATCAACGGGAGCATGGCTTTTTAACTTACATCAAGCGTCAACCAAGGGGAGCAAAGTATTTTCTCTACTACAAAATGTTGCTGATAGTGGTACATCTTCGGGAGTGACCGCGATGGAGGATGTGAGTAAGACTAGTACTGAAGTCAATGGCAATTACTCCATCGCATAACGTTCTGGTCGACTATGCCATTCAGAAGAGCTGGCGAATGCTGGACCATGAGGAGGCGGCGGAACTAATATTTCCAGGAGAGGCAATATATCCTAGGTCAAGAACATAATGCAAGGACTTTGGATGGAATCTAAAGCCTATCAGAAACGGGAGAGAGATGGCATCAACCGAGCGTGCATGATCCACGAGTGCGGGAAGTAGTGAAGGCGTAGTCCCAATAGATGCATCACTGAGCCATCATCAAGCTGACCAGCTAGTCCCGAGACCGAGCAAGGAATCCGGCGTGGCTGTGATATTAGATTTTTTTGAGTCAAAGACATTTGCGTCGTTGCTTGTGTCAATTAACCTCGGATCTCAAAGATAGCCGAGCTCCCCGCTTAGTTCCGGGTGCCTGATGTTTGAAAAGTCCAGGCCAACTCCGAATGCGTCATAGTACAGAGGATTAACCATGTTGCTGGAACTTCCGACTGATTTCACAGCACCCTTGACTTGTCGACTAGGCTCGAGTGACACGTTCGCTGCGTTTTGGAAAAATGGTCAGATGTTAAGCCTCGCTCTCGAGACCCTTCGGCCTATGCTGATCCCAGGGAATGACAGCGGGTGCCTACTGGTGAAGCTTTTGTCGTTGGCATCCAAGTTTTGCGGCATAGAGCTATAGGTCCAGACCTAGTCCTGGCCTGATTGACTTGGTCCGCAAGACTGACTCGTTCAAACACAGATCAAAGTCTGGCCTGACGGCATTTTGCTGATACCAAGTCAGATTTCACATAGGAGAGCGGAGTTTTGTCCAAATATAGACTGAGGAGCGGTCCAAGTAAGAAAGGGATCCCATGCTCCCAGTGCCGAAAGTAGAAATCGAGGACGAAACCCGTGTCAGGGAGATTCCACAATGCCGCAGGATGGTGGTATTCACGGTGACCAGCTCAACGCCCCGGGTCCTACGGCAACTTGTGTCTCAAACCTCCTACAAATTCAGATTTCCAGGCCAAAGGGAAAATAAAAAAGATCTCATTGATTCCTCATGTGCCGGCACGAGATACAAATGATCAAACCCCACGGGCTTGCGATGACCATGACGAATGAAGATACTCGGAGTCAAGAACTCCAAGATCGGAGAAAGAACATTCAAAGATGACTTCTGGTCGGCGAGGTGAGAGATATCGATAGAACGGCACCCTGCAAGAAAAGAAGCACGCGGTCAGTATCTGCAAGTGATTGGGCATGTTTGATCGCTGCCACGTGACAAGGCGCCCGATTTACTTACTCGATAATTCGAAAGGCAAAAACACAGCGGTCATCAAATCTTTCGTGGGCCATGAGTAGTAGCGGGTCTCAAAGCTTCTGACACACCGGATTTGTCTCCGCAGCAGCAGACTTAATCGAATTTTCCCCCTCCTCAATGACGGGCTGGCCGATTTTCTCTCATTTGAGGACACGTTCGGCCTTGAATCATTTTGACAGGTTCGATCGCCCGAACCAAATGTGGAATGCATCAACGTCTGTGGGTGTATCCCCGTATTAAGAAAAGGCGGTGGTGATTGCAAGTTTGACAGTGTATTGCGAAGTGAAGTTCGCAGGCAACCGGGTCCGAGTAACGTCCGGTATTGATTGGGTCAGAGGGGGATGTTGGAAAGTTCGAGATCGACGGGCGTTGGTTGCTGGTGGCGCGGGCGGAGAGATGGAGGAGCATGCAGTTGACAGGGAGCCGGACGTGATGGAGGCGGTCAGAGAGAAGATGGTATGAGGTTGACCAGTCACATGCAATCCAAGGCCAAGCCAGGCCCAAGCTTGGTGAACTTTGTACCGCACCGAAATAGCAGAGCGACCAGATTCAAATGAAAGAGGCAAGGAAATCTCACCACAGAGGCCAGCGTAGGGGCAATGAATGCAACAAATCTCGGTGCGAATCAAGTAATTGGTCTGAAGTGGTATGGGCGGCGGACGGGAAAAGGGAATTTGAGCAGGGGTGAGAAGAAAGTTGGCGCTGCGGTTCCTCAAGGATCCAGCCGGCGTGGGCTTGGCTACGAAAAGGGGGAGGGAAAGAACAAAGACCCGAAAATGTGGTCAGTTATGGAAGGCGACCTAACCAGCACGTCATCCACCAACGGACAAGCCCACAGTTCAATCAAGACGTGACGATGGGAACGTCGTTGTTACTGCCATTGGATGGTATGCTGCCTGTGCCCACTCTTCCCGGGATCAAACCAGCTGAACAGTCTCCAGAGGGGACTCGTCGGGAGTGAAGGATTCGACCAGGACAAGGAAGGGAAGCTGCTGATCAGGACTATCAGACATCAATGTTCAGCGGGACGCAGCTCGATGCTCTGCTCTGAGGATTCTGTGCTGTATCACCTCTCTAAGGGAGGGTAGTCGGACTCCAAACTCGGTAACTCTTGACCAGGTACAAAGAGCACGTCAGAAGTTGAGTTTCAACAAAATCCGAGAAAATAAAAAACCTGGGGTATGGGCCCAGAAAAGGACCCTGATTCGCAAGGGTTTCGGGACGGATAGAGTGGGAGGAGGCCCCAGCGGTTAGGCGGACTATATGTACAGGGTTCAGGGTCCAGTGTCCAAAGTAAGCTGTACCAGTAAGTCCATGGACAGATATTTGAATCCGCTCCCTTGGTCCCTCATGAGTCCTTTCCATAGCACTCCCTGCACATACTTTGACGCTCTAAGAATTCACAGTGCAGCGCCTGTTGGCGTCACCCCTTCCCGTGCTGCAGGAGAGGCTTGAGAAATCCCCGTGGTGTAAAGTGCCCGTATTCTCCGGAAAGCCCATGATTGTGCCAGTATGGCCTGCCTGCATGACCTTTTCATGCTATTTTCATTCGACAATGCTTGCATTGCACTGCATCGCACTGTATCAGTTGTCATCAGATGTCCATTTTGACTTCTCGTTCCTATGATACGCAGGACGCTCCCGCGGTAGGTTAACCTCCCCGCCCACATCCCTTGCGCATTACTTGAGCCTTGTCTCCACCCACGCTACAAGTACCTCATTCTCACACTCTACCTTCTCGCTTGTTCACTCGCATACACATCCTGCTTCCTTGCCGTCATGACTCGTGACTCGTCCTCGACAACATCAGCAATACTCTCGATCGAATTAACCTTCCCCTCAATTCCGCCTCTCCTCTGGTCTATACTTGCTTCCTCCGGACGGAACAATCCTCCCGCATCTTGTCTGCCTGTCACTTGGCTGCTTCTTGAGTTCAAGCCGCCTCCACGCCTGCGTCCCGCCTGTCGCCTATTAGCACAGGACCTGCACGAGTTGCCTGTCGCATACCGCCCTTCGCTCTGCTCTGCTTCTGCGCCTCCCCATCCTCATTGACCTGTCCAACAAGGCCATCTTCGAATCCGCACATGCCTACGAGCGCACACCCTTCCCCCCCCCGGCCCGTCTCAACGGTCACACACCCCTCTCCTCCACCATGCCCCACCAGCGTCCACTTACGGCCCATCCCTCCCTCTAGACGACGTTACCTCCATTCCTTCTCTCGCTTTCCACAACAGAGCACAGCTCCAGTCCTAGCAAGGCAAGCCCTCTTGTCCGACCTCGCATATTGTGTCCTTCATATCCCTATATTGCGGAACTTGAATTCACATCCGCACGCCACACATTTGTCTGTATCTCAGCTTGGCATCATACGTCTCTGCCTCTCTCTGGAGCTCCCGCCAGATCGATAATCCCTGTCCCCAGACCCTGATCATGGCTCAAGGTTCCTGGTCCTGGTCCAGTCACCTTATACCAGGTGCAGTCGTTGTTCTACAACCCCTTACCCGTACACCCCTCGATATCATCCAGGTGTCAAAATCTGGGACGTCTTCTCTCGGACTAGCACCCATTCACTCGATGGCCACGCCATTTACGAGGTGTCCTTAACCTAAAAGCCGTCAGACGAATGTCTTCGTCCTATATCTCGAATGACAAGTCCATCTCTTCGACCTACTCAGGCTCATCCTCACTCATCTGGAATTCGAAACACCCTCTCTTCCATACCGCGAGTGAGCAGCAGATATTTCTCGGACCAATTAAATCTAACTCTCAAAGAAGCTGAAGATCAATATTTAATATCAACTTCCCGTAGCCTGGGCACTCGGTGAGTAGGGCCTCGTCCACACCTCTATTCCCAGAGCTTCTTTTTTCCCTTTCCTTGTGGAGGCCTGCCATTTCAAACTTTTCAAGGCAGTGTCATCGATGTCATGTACAGTTTTGGCACCGATCTCTGAGGATTGCAACACTGACATTTCGGTCATGCACAATCCTGATTCCCCCGTCGTCCTCCTCTCGTCGTGCCCCTAGTGGCACAGGAACCCGTGGCCGCGAAGCAGATCATCCTGGTTTGACACGCCCACCTTTATTCCTCTTTGATATTCTACGGACATGTTCTCTAACACCATATCTTGTCGATTGCTTCTTCATCCTACCTTCATAGATCCATACATTCCTTACACCTACACTTCTAACTTTGAACTAACCAGAATACGACACTCAGATCTGCTCCTCGAGACTCCACAATTTCCCCTTTCGGAGTAACAACGGTAGCAGTAGCAGTAGCAGCGGCAACAACAATAACAACAACAACAATAATAACAACTGGCCCCGTCACGAGAGGTAATTCGCCCAGATGATTACCACAAGAAGTTCTCTCTAACAGGCTTATAGATCTTACCAACTCATTTGCTTCCTGCAACTGAGTTTGTTCCATTGCTTGGCCCCGTTTTCAAACGCTCGATCAAACGAGGGAGCGAGAAAAACATTCTCATCCGTCTTCATTGCCTTCGAAGTCAGAGCCACCGTCATCCCAACAGTCGCAAACTGGAAACAGCGTGGAGTGCTTTGACAATATGTCCACCCGCAGCGTTGACTCCACATATCCTCTACCAGGTCTCCAGCGACCCAGTTCGTCCTGGACATCAGCGTCACCATACACCGAGATCGTCAGTCCCTATAACGCTTCTCAGCGTGCCTCATATCCTTCACAACCGCCCTGCTCTCCCACAAAAGAGAGCCCTGGTCTGCCCCCAATTCGAGATTTTGACCGGATGAACAATTATGAATCGCCTTTTCTACCATCAACAAGTTCATATCCCCAAGCTTATGGAGCTTCATCCGGATCACAGGGTGCTCAGGAGCCTTATTTGCTGGCAATGGACAGACCATTTTACTACGACCCTGCACATCGTTACGGACAATGCTGTCCACAGACAAACAAGCCAAATGCCCCACAGATGGGCTACGCACGATATGCGCCTTCTCCGTACGATTATCGTGCTGGTGTATCGTATCAGCCGCCTTATGGACCGGTTGATTACGCCCCATCTCCTACGTCGTTGCATCACCCCTCTTCACCGTCCGGCGCAATGGACACAGACACTCGGAATAGGCGACGAAGAGGGAATCTGCCGAGGCAGATCACCGACATTTTGCGTGCGTGGTTCCATGAGCATCTGGACCATCCCTATCCTACGGAGGAGGATAAACAGGCATTTATGGCCAAAACAGGTCTGACAATTGCCCAGGTACGTTTATCAATGTAAACGAGGCTGATTCGACGTTCTAAGAGTATATTTGTAGATCAGCAATTGGTTTATCAACGCGAGAAGGCGCCAACTACCTGCATTGCGCCAAGCTCGGGACAGAGGAGGCTCAAACTCCACCATGGATTATGATTCGGAACAGTTGCGACGACAGCAGCAGCAGCCAGATACTACCGCGAGATGAAATTGGAGGCATTCTGTGACTTTCGATATTTTGAACATTGGACTTGGCCGGCCTTCATTTTCACTAGTACGATACCCCAAAACCCCTGACAGGAAATCAACACTCTTTTTCTTTTTGTGGACATTTCAAGCATCTAAACGTCCTATTCTAGCAGCTTTTCACCGCTTCGGAACTCATTAGTATGATGAACATTTTCTTCGGGGGAGCAGAGAACAGACCAGGCAAAAGATAAGATCACGGTAATTTAATGAAGTCAAGACGTGACTATTAGTGCATTCGGTCTACTATATTGGAAACACGGGATTGTGGACCTTTCATTCCCGGGGCCTGATCAAAAGTCTCGGTTGGCTGAGGTCCCTAGCGAAAGATTCATCCGTCCGGTGGAGAACCACAGATATTTCCCATGACTATTTCAAGATAGGGGAGGAATCCGTTATTGCGGCGACCAACATTTTGCCAGCCATGTCGGTTCGAAGATTTGTTGAGATGCTTACCCCACGATAATCCGTGCACAATGTCGAGCTGATTCCTAATACATTATACATACTTCTATTTCCGGGAAGTGCTGGCACGGGGAAAATGGTCCCAAAGGGTTCAAGTAAATTGTGAAGTGCTCCCACCTGTCAATGACCACCTCGGCGGAGGATATGTTTTGGTCTTCAAACGGCAGTGCGATCCATGAGATCGAGCCTTGCGGTCCTGGAAGCAACCCAACAGAGACGAATCTTGATCACATCGATCTGGTGTATTCAAAGATGCCCAGCGTGTGAGGCAAGATGTCACATGGTTCCAATCTGGACGATAGCCTCTCCGATTTGTCTTTAGTCTAACTGCTGCGAGGGGGTTGCAGAGACGGTGGAGACGATTCAGATTGTACCTAGGAGATGTCAAGATGTTCCCTCGCTGTCTAGGGAGTCGTAGTCTAGCTGCGCTTGATCTTGGTCATTAAGGTTTCCGTTCGGGAGTAGGCTATGTGATGATTTGTCTTTGATTCCCCACGATATATAGTCCACACTTAGACTGAGTATTTGTTCCGGCTTTCTTGGCCTTGGTAGAAGATCCGGATTTGTGCAAAACTCAGGAGGCATCCTGTAAAGTGGTTTGGCTCTGCAGGTGATGGAGCGCTTCCCCCACTCATGCTTCGAATTCCTAACGGATCCAGACGCGATGTTGGCCAACTTGGGTAAACATGTTCGACAGGCGCTAATTAGCGCTGTCAGATTTGGTTTGTGAGAGTTGTGCCCAAGAGCTGGAGTTTAACACAAAATCCCGATGTTGGGTCGTCGACAATGTTGTCTCCTTCGAGACTGGATCAACCGGGTAAAACGGAAGACCCGCCATTCTATTGAAGAGAGATCGGCGGTTCCGTGATCTCAACGCCCCGGCAGATAGCTGTTCTGGGAAAATAAAATGTCAATCAGACGTCAAGCACTGCAGAAGAATTCTAGGTGGTGTTGGCCAATACGTGCTTTGAGAATTCAGTTTTATACTGGCGTGATAAATATGTAGCTACCAGGTCCGCTTCATGCAAATTTGCCGTGATTGCGTCCTGTCGCTTCTGTTGACAGCATTTTGATTCTCCAGTGCTAAGGTGGAAGACTTGGGTCGCTGCTCGTAATGAGGCTCCAAATTTCTCGTAGTCACACTACGGCAATAGAAAACTTCGGATAAAATCCGTATATCTTGTCTTCCTCAGTCCAGACCGTTTCTTACCGTCAGTAGGTTGGGTCTGAGGACACCGCCCTCATCGAATAAAAATGCACGGAGTCTTTATTAGCCATTCATGCAGACAGATTCAAATCGTGTCTGTTCATTCCTTTGACCGTTGTCGAATTGAGGCTACAGGTCTTGAAGATCGGCTAGATGCTCAACTACACTCGTTGTGACTTACCTGGGCATGCAACCTAAGCGAAAGAAACTACTTCAAAAAGCAAGCACGTCCGTCATGACAGCGAGTTTCTTACTCCCCCATCGCAAAGGGTTTATTGATATCTGTTCCCATAGCAATGGAATTGATCAACCTTTGTCGTCTTCCAAGTGGGAGGTGGAAAATGATCCTTGATATGTCCACTCGAACCTTGCCGTGAGTTTGTGCTCGCTTATCGTCCACGCCATATGACCCTCCAGCTTAGCTTGAACTTTGTCGTGCAACGAGACCCAATTTGTTCTAAAGAAAACACAAAATTGAACATTTGAAGGACAAATCTGTGGAACTTGGGCGGATTGGCGGCATCTAGGCTCATGCATAACATCTTGGAACTTGATGATCAGAGCTGTGTGCTTCACGCTGAGCAGAAGAAAAATTCGATTCTACATCCTACAACGCACGAGAACTCCAAACCCGGGACGTGTGTCATCTCTAGCAACGCCAGCGGTAGCTGCTTTAGAATCCGACAGGACTCCGTTATCATCAGGTCTTCAAGGATCGCTGGCCCCTGCAAGCGAAGCATTCTATCTCTAACGGATGAAAATTTCGAGTCGATGTGGGAGAATTATTCTCTCGCGCAGACATTTCCATCATAAATTAGATGATCTTTCGGCAAATGAGATCCGTCTCGATGCAATTGAAGACTACCACCGAGAATTCGCACGCAAGAGAAGTATCCACGCCATATTTTACCATATAGCAATCAAGGCGACAACGCGATATGTCAACTTGGAAGTGACGCCGGTGTACGCGGTTGTACGCGGTGGAGGTTTGAGTTCAAAGCGGTAAATCCGGATGGATTCCGCGAGACAAGGCTCTTCAACATCTGGCAGACCAAATATTCCAGTCCGAGACTGGATGGGGGGGAAAAGAAACGGTGTACCTTGATGACTTGCCACCGCAGAAGTTTGTTTCAAGTGGGTATTAAGCTCTGAGTCGAGCAGCCATGGTCTAGCTTTGACCAGGTTGTCAACTTTTCAAGCTAGGACAATCTGCTAACTTGTCGAAAAGTTTGGGTGTTGATCACCCACCCTTCAAATACTAACGCTATATCTAGTAATCTGTTTTGGTGCCTTCTTGCTCACAGAGAGGGCATCACGACAAGAGATGATCAAATATCTTGTTTGATGTTCTTTTCGAAGGGTACTCCATCCCGGCAGCTACGCAATATCATGGTGGAAAGTCGGCCATACTTCGTGTCAAGAAAGGGGGTAAGGGGGGGAAAGGTACAAGGCTTGAGAGTTTCGCGTCGTGGCTCTGAGTCGTCATCAAGTATTTTCTGCGCTCCCGGCGCTTAGGCAAGATGAAAATAAGCTTCCGATGCTTTACCTCTGCTTTTCATGTCAGACATCTGGTATTCAATCCTACGGTCGTCCAGGACAGAGGCCAGGCAAGGCGAGCAAAAGATATGGAAAGTTTCCAATGGAAAGGAGGGGGGAAATCGATTCTGCTCAACATTCTCCCTGGATCCGGCTCTGTTTAGCTGCCATGTCTCCTTCACAGAGACATGGACACTGACCGGGGGAGGTAAACTCGGTCAGAACCAATCTTGTTCAAGGTTCCCCTCTTATCTATGGTGAAGCTCAGATGCAAGGAACGTTTGAACAGAGGCACACGCCGATGATGATGTTGCAGGAAGAAAAGCCATCGGTGAAAGTCATCAAACATTACAGTACGTGATTCAGCCCTTTGCTTCCAAGCGAGAAAAGTCCTTTAGCTTGAAGCGTAATTGTGATGATGCTCCTGGCCGTTACCACCTGCGCATGTTGCGGGGAAGCTCATCACCCATCCCATCTTCATGGCAGAGGAAAGGATATTGATTTGTAAATCTTTCCCAGAATCGTTTGTCTCCGACCCAAGAGATCATTGGCCCCGTCTCGCACTCGCGAACCATATCATTGCGCATGAATTTTCCCAGAGCTCGGGCATGCAGGTGGGAGCACAAAAATATGACAGGTCTCATGGTGGTCCAGCACGCTAATTTCCTGACTTGACTAGGCCTTCGATCAATTGGATGGCTCACTGTCGATGCTTTCGAGGCACGACACTAGCCGTGCTAATTTTGACCGCCTGCTTCGAGCCTATTCATTCGTGATTTTTCCTCGCTTCCTTGCTTTGGGAAGCTTTTGCTGTGAATTTCGGTTTCCTCCCCACCGGCCGAGTTTGCACATGGGTTCATTTTTCCTCGCGCAGGATGCGTCAACTTGCTCTTGTCTTCGCGTCGCTTGTCCTCCGGGTGAAGGAGCGCATGAGAGCAGCAGGGGTCAAAGGTGCGTTTATCTTCAACCAAACTCACTCAACCTTTGGCCACCTCACTAATAATTTGGAACTTCGGCACTGATATGCGTCAAAAATTAATCTGCCATCCTCGTGTCCAGGGCGAGTGTAAAATTCCTGCGATGCTAAGGGTAGATATACGTCGCTTGACAATGCTCACCGGCTCGCTGCAGAGGGGGGTGAACCAAAGCTGTACTCAATACGTCGAGCGATGCAATGCAGGCGGTCATTTGATCCTGCAAAAGTACAACCCGGTCATAGTGGAGCGGTCTGGTGGTGGCGACCAAAGGGGCTGAGATGCAAATTCAGAATCGCACGGGTCATTCATGGACGTGCAGAGCGTCACACAGCTAAGATCAGATTCTCATTCTTTCAACATGCAAATTTGATGGGGAATTCCACAACTGGGCATACCTCGACATGCAACATTCTGCAGTGGAATGAGACGTTCGCTTGCAACTCCGAACCGTATTGCCCGCAGGGATGTGTAAAAAAGAGAATCACCACCCGCTCAACGATCTCATGATTCCGTTGACTACTTAATCTCCACAAATCGATCCTCTTTCAACCGAGTTGCTTCCCCTTCCTTCCGAAATGCAGGACGACTATACCGTCTTCGAGTTGATCCCTTCACCCGGCCCACTATTTGTGATCCTTGAGTCTGAAGCATCTGGAGGACTGGCGTCATAAATCCTCGTAAGAATTAACCCTGGGACCAACCCCTGAATTGGACGAAGGGAGGAATTTTTGGAAATTCCAGGAAACAAGAAAACAAAGAAGGCGAAAAGGCGTCGTCATCTACCTGGATATTACAAGGTATACGGTCATGCAAGAATACACATTGTACGGTGGACAAACCAGAAAGCAACCAGAATGTCACAGAGAAAGCAGCTGGATGTGGAAAGCTTTAATGGCGTCAAGGTGCCTCCTACATCCGAAAAAGGGAATCTACCCCCGGAAATGGGCTTGATATTACTTTGCAGATTGCCCGCTGACAATGCACCTCAATGTTCTATGTCGGTGCCCTCGTTCCTCCCTCCCTCGGTCAAATTACTCTTTTGCAAATGTGTTATTGTATTGGTCAGGCCCACTACGTCTAGCCAAGGATTTGAGCCAGGAAAAGGTCGCATGGTAATTTGAAGTTGCTTGTACATTCAAGGCATCGCTCAAGTGGCCATCTAGAAAATGGGGCACGGGTCAATAGTAGAAGGAAAGTTGGACGTAAGTCTCGTCCATTGATCCCATTTACTCCAGTGAAATGTTGGGGGGCGGATGTGGCATGATCGACCGCGGAAACCGGATGCGGCTCATGTGCGGATGGTTGGCCTATCGTGGAAAGATCGGAAGAGGCCCAAGAGTCGGTACTTCTAAGAATTCGCAGTCCGATCCCGTTGGCATAAGAGTGTCTGATCGTTGGGAACCAGTACCATCCCATCGGATTAATGTAACTTGCCAGAAACTGGATCTCCCCGAATACTAGTCAGGCAAATAGGCTGGAATAATAGGGGCGGATGAAAAAGAGAGGCCGGGGCACGGGGGTGTTTTGCGTGATTAAAGCCGATTAGATAGATAAGATTAGATTGGATATCCTCCTTGTCAGCTCGGCTGGGTCCCACCCAACCGGGTGAGAGACACGAATCCTCTGGGTACTTGGGCTGCAGCGGGATTGCTTCGGAACGTCATCCTAGCGTTGATGGTGCCCAAACTGGAGCACGCACGGGTGCTGTACACATTGACCGTAATCGGAGCTCCGATGAAGGCACATTCGAGGTCTCCATCGTACGATTCGGTTTCACCAAGGCAGAAAATGTCCCAACAAAAAGGGCCGATGCCGATTATCTTCCCGACGATACCGGAACTGTTCCTTGGCTGATAATTTTTCTCCAGCTGTCAGTTGTCGTACCTTGCATGCGTCAGTCGGCGGGCACCGGATGACGAGTACACGATCGGAGTCTGAAAAGGGAAAAAAAAAAAAAAGATAAAATTTGATAGACATCATCAGCTGAGATTAATCAAATCATATCTAATCAGATTGAAGAATCGTGATCGTAAAACTGCGTACGACAAAATGTTGGATTGTATCCTTGTTTCTGGTGGACCTGTGGGAGTTGTAATCAGCGTCGAGGTGCCCGATGTCGCAAAGAATTGGTGCACTTCAGTTGAATAAAATCGAACCAGAATCCTCTCCTGAGAGTGGCCCGGACCCTTTTACCTGTTCGAAGGAACTGCACGCTACAGCCACGAACTTGTTCGCGTCCTTCAACCGCGGGGGAGAGAGAAGAGAGTCTGGGATTGAGAGGGAACTTGAACAGCATCGGGCAGCAACAGCATCAGTCGGGGTACATCTGGTATGTAATTCTTTTCCCGTTCCAGCTCAACTCTGCCAGTTCAGCTGTGGGTGCTTGGCTCCGAAGCCAGCCGACAGAGAAACCGACTTTCCCCCTCCATTCCATTTTTCCATTTTTTTTATTTCTCCTCCCCACTACCTTCGATCAACAACCTGCACTGCCAGGCTCTCCCTTTCTATTACTCGACAGCATTTTTGTTGTCCTGGACATTGCGATGCTCACTCTCGCAACCGGTTGACTGACGCGTTCATCTCGGCTTTGAGCCGCCGGTCAAAGTGCCTCGGCGCGTGGGCGCAAGCCTTGCTCTGGCCAGTTCCGGTCTTCGTTCCGCACTTTACATCATCGCCACAATTCCTCCTGCTTCTTCCACCACTTCCCGTAAGTCCAATTCGCACCGAGTGTTCAGCAATCTCATAAAGCGGCCAAACCCCTCAATCGTGGCCTCTCTTCCCGCACGTCTCCAAAAATGCTTTTCGGCACGATCCCAGTAACCTCTTGTATCCACTATTGACTCCCTCGTTCATCTAGGAGGCCTCCAGATCATCCCGCCACGATTCACGATGCAGTCCGCACCCTCAATTACTATGGCGCAGTCTGTGCCCCTCGCCGCCAATCCACGCCCCAGTGATCCTATACCGGAAGAACCTGCCCGCACGAGAAAGCTCTCTCTCAGTGCCTCACAATTCAGCAAGTCCCCCTTGTCCGCCATCACCACGGGCGAATATTCCGACGAGGCTTCGAGTGTGGATACCGCACCCACCACCCCCGCGACAGACAATCTATCCGATGACTCCCTCGACGAGCTACCAGATCGGACCCCTCTGAACCCTCAAGCCAGGAAAAGACGCGCTTCCACATTGTTAGTATCTCAGGACTCCGAGGATGCAAGACGCTTTCTGGGCGAAAGAGGCACGGCCACTGCCATGATTCAGAAGGCTTGTTGTGGTGGAGGCTGTTGCATGTTACAAGAGTTGAAGATGAAAGGAGCCTCACGGGGGGAAAAGCCCATAAAAATCCCCCAAAACCCTGCCTACCAAAGTTTGGATATCAGGTTGGGCCATTTGAGCCTGGACAGTGAACTGTCCGGAACGGTCGACTTACCGTCAAAGACGGTCTCGTTCGAATCGTTGTCAACTTCACCCTCCCGCTCATATGGAGAACCTCGGAAACAGCAGCAACCCGAAGTTCTGAAGCATCCTCCGTCATTTGTCACGCCGCACCCGCCCTACGAAGTGTTTTCGGCCCCTCTCGTCCATGCTCGCGAATTAACAAAACCCGGTGCGGAGAAGAGAACATATCATTTCGACATTGACGTGACAGATTATCCTAAGGAGAGTGGAGATGTCGATTTTGTGGTGGGCGGTGCTATCGGTGTCTGCGCCCCGAATTCATCTGTCCTGGTCGACCAAGTCTGTGACTTGCTGGGAGTTCCTAATTTTGTCCGAGACAAGCCGATATTGTTGAAGACGACCACAGGAAGATGGCCAACAATTTGGGGGGAAGTGGCACCCCGAGAGCTTGTCACCACCCGGAGAGAGCTCTTAACATGGTGTTCGGACATCCAGAGCTATCCACCCACGAAGCAACTCTTCCGCCTCCTGGCCGAACATGCCGAAGACGAAAATGAGAAGAAGATTTTGATGTTTCTGTCTTCAGCACAAGGCCAGGCAGCGTTCTGTGACCTTCGAACGGGCCCTTATGTCACCATCCCACAACTTTTGAATGCTTTCCCTTCCTCTCGACCCCCTTTGGATTATCTTTTGTCGGTTCTCAATACTCTCATGCCTCGATTCTATTCGCTTTCGCAGGACCCAACGATCTCTTGCCGAAGAGATGGCTCCATTTGTCGCAGGTTGATTGAAATCGCGGTAACGGTACACGAAGCCGACGATTATGCGACCGGTAAGCGAACGGGAGTGGGGTCGGGATTCCTCGAGAGACTAGCGCGACAAGCGATCGAAGCCGAGAAGGAAGGCAAAAACCCCCGCGATTTGGATCTACGAATCCCCATATTCAGAGGGTTGATGGCCAATCCACTCGCCCGGGAGTTTGTCACGGATGGACCTATGCTCTTGATTGGGGCGGGCGTTGGTATTGCGCCATTCCGAGGCTTCGTCCATCGAAGGCTCAAGTCGGCCAACTGCGCGAACAAAGTTTGGGTTCTCCAAGGAGTGCGTGACAGTCTCCTGGATGAGCTGTACTCCGGAGACTGGGGTGTGCATGAAGATAAAGTCAAAAAGGTGGTCCAATCCCGACGAGGACAAGGCCAGTACGTGCAGGAAGAAGTACGTGCCCAAGCGGACTTGGTCTGGTTTATTATCAACGCGGTCGACGGAAGAATCTTTGTGTGTGGCAGTTCCAAAGGCATGGGCGAGGGCGTCGAGGCCGCACTCGTCGATGTCGTCATGGCCAAGGCCAAATTGAATCTCGAAGAGGCCCAAGCCTTCTGGGAGGAGAAGAAGAAATCGGGTCAATATATTGCCGAGACCTGGTAAAGGTACAAAGCACGAACACGGGGCGCGTGTACGACATTTGGTTATTTTGCATCAAACGCTGGGGAGGTGTTAATGATCTGCATCGGTTTGCCCCCGACACTTCCGAGGACAACGAAGGACGGAGGAACCAAGCATATGTCAGCAAAGTTCAATTCAAGGCTCCAGGCCTCACGAAAACTCATTATGGGTTTTCAGTGAACGAAGAAATGCGTGGGAGGCTTTCGTCAAATTCGAATTTTGGCAAGCATTTCGCATACAGGAAAAGATGATGGTGAATTGAAGTGCATCGAATCGGGTCGGCCGCGATCAATATTCATTCCGTATTGATATTGGTCTTGATAGTTGAATTGTTCCCCCTGGGGTGCATGGCGCAGGGTTAGATACTTGGTACGGTGGTCTATTTTGTTGCACGGATCTGGCTTTCAAGACCATCCATGCACGCGTATGGTGGAGCGTTTGATATCGGGATTATATTGAAAACAATTCATTGTATATATTTACATCAGACACATGAGCCTATGAACCACAATGACTGCATATGTGTATATGGAACACGTTAAGACCAAGCGTCATGTTCTTGAACATCACTGATAAGGGGTGTATCGGAGATGGTACGGGTAGAGGCATGGCTGGAGTCTACCAGACTAAATTGGCCAGGAAATTCTTGCACCGTTCATCTGTTGATCACGATGATCACTTCACGGAGGCGTCAGTAAAGGCAATTTTTGATGTACGTTGATGTGAGATGATCGCTTTAGTGGCACATGATCCGTCACGACTTCGTTATCCAAATCAATGTAACCTTGATCCCTCTGTATCTCATCTGAATTAAAGTCGTGACTGGGGGGTTTCAAGATTCATTGCTTCAAAATTCGACATCCCATGTTTGGGTGCCGTTCTTGATGCTGATCCAACGCGATCAGGAGGACTGACTAGCCTGCGTAGAGGTGTTCCGATTGCATGAAGGGGGGCTGCACCCGGTCGTGATGAAGCATATGTCTCGTTTGAGATGAAGACATTCATCATTCATCTTCAATCACGGAACTTGCCTTTCTTTGGTCACTGCGGCAGGGTCACTGTTATCGTTTGGCTCTGGGTTTAAGTTCCAAGATCTGACCAGCATCATCGCTAAGGTTTTGCATGTGGTCCTTCAAGTTTTCAACCTCTTCCCCCGCGAAGCATTTCCATGTACAGCGTCGCGAGGGCCCCGTCCACTGCTCCACTACCGCCTTTTTCCTTGTCGTGGCTGTTCGTTCTTCGAAATAGCACGCGGCTGTTCTCAAGGGACACGCCAGTCCCGACTGTCAGAGCCTCGAGAAATGCACGGATGATAGTCGCATTTTCCTTATCAACACTAACGAAAATGTTGGTATTCTCTTGTTTCACCGAATCCTCGCGCCGTGTCTCCAGAGTTCCGGGCGTGTAGGAAACTTCAATTAGCATGCCACGGACGTTGGAAACGGTCTGGTTGGGACGAATGGGTGTTTTCAGATCTCCTATACGAACAGTCCATTCTCCGTTCCTAAACGAGAGGGCCGTTCCATTTTCCACGACCAGCGACTGTCGGTGTGCCCAGTGAGGTTGGAGTTTGGTCCCAATCAGCTGCGTGAATGAGTCGGCAAATGTCGAGGGGACTGTGATCAGAGTACTCGGGAGAGGTTGCTGTTCAAGAGGCTGACCCTTCTCTTTCGAAGGAGTTATTCCAACATATGTCTTCAGGGGTGTGTGCGAGAGTGTCAAGATGCTCGTGAACCTGCGCAGGGAGGTGTCGGAATTTGGAAGGAGCGAGGATGTATCCACGAACAGGCGATGGTCGAGGTAAAAAGGTGGTAATGGTTCAGCGGGGAACGAGCGCGAGATATGCGATATTATAACTGATGAGGGTGAGAGCTGGTTAGGCCCAACAGGGAAGAGGAACAGCCCTGTTGACGGCATTCTGCAGACATTGTGTAGAAGTAATGCTTTATCAAGTGGATTGAAACATGGGGTAAAAAGCTCGTCAGCGGTTTAGCTCCAGGACGAAATGGAATGCTGCAGTGATGTGAGCCGGGGGTTGCAAGCGAAACCGGGTTTCAGGCACAAGCCGTGGCCCAAACGAGCCTCAGGCTGACACGGACACCCCCCTGATAATCGGGTTTCTTGGATACTTGGGGGCAATGCACGCTCTCACTTGGGCCTGAAATGCGTCGGTCCGTCAGGTTGGATGAAGGTCATCTGTCGATCAAACCTTTGATTCTTTGACCGATCGGCCTTAATCCACGAATATTGAATTGCCTGATCGACGTACACTGTCAGTAATGATCCTCACCAGGAGGACCTGGCTATTGCCGGCCTGTTTTTTGACCTGCGTTGTTTACTACCTCTTCTTGTACCCTCGAGATCCTGCTGGAGTCACGTACCATTATCCTGCGAATGGTCCCGATGGAAAATTACACTGGACTAAACAACCTGAAAGGTATCCTGTCGCTGGATACCGCGAACTCCCTTCCAGTCCGCTGGAACCGATTCCTCGCATTCAGTATGAATTCGAATCACATAGCGAATCAGCGGATGTAAAGACCACGCGAGAAACCAGACGAGCAGCGGTGAAAGAGGCATTTGGACATGCGTGGAATGGATATAAGCAACATGCTTGGGGTCGAGATGAAGTCGCTCCGATCAGTGGAGCCTATCGTTCGAGCTTTGGCGGCTGGGGCGCGACTTTGGTCGATACAATGGACACGTTATGGATGATGGATCTGAAAGACGATTTTAACCTGTGTGTGGAGGCTGTGAAGCGCATCGATTTCACAACGAATGACGAGGAGGCTTTGAATGTCTTCGAAACGACAATTCGATATCTCGGTGGACTTCTCGCCGCCTATGATCTCTCTGATGGGAAGTATAAAGTCCTCCTCGACAAAGCTAGTGAATTGGGAGACATCCTCTATACGGCGTTCGACACTCCAACACACATGCCGATGACTCGTTGGACATGGAAGAAGTCTGCACTTGGTGGTGAAGTCGAGCCGAGCACCAACACCTTACTCGCAGAGCTTGGAAGTTTGACTGTGGAGTTCACCAGACTGAGTCAACTGACAGGCGACCTGAAATATTTCGATGTCGTTCAGAGAATCACGGAGGAAATGGAATGGGCCCAGAACAAAACCAACATCCCTGGTTTGTGGCCAACGGTCGTCAACGCAAAGGACCTATCGTTCGACTATAACCACTTTACATTTTCTGGCATGGCGGACTCCACCTACGAGTACCTACCCAAACAATATATGATGCTTGGAGGTCGCGACGGAAAGTATCGACACATGTATGAGGAAGCCATCGACGCCGCAAAGAGATACCTCTTCTTCAGGCCCATGGTTCCGTCTGGTGATGACATTCTCTTCAGTGGTAACGCCGCGTTGACGGCCATGAACACGATTCCGATAGCAAACCTCGAACCTCAAGGTCAACATTTAGCTTGCTTCGTCGGCGGAATGGTGGGGATTGGCGCAAAGATCTTCGATCGACCAGACGAGTTGCGTGTTGCTCGCAGACTTATTGATGGTTGCGTGTGGGCTTACGACGCAATGCCCTCAGGTTTGATGCCCGAGACCTTCCACATGGCCCCCTGCCAGGTTGGAGTAGGAGATCCCCCTCCCGGAAAGTGCGACTGGAACGACGATAAATGGTATGAAGCCATCTCCAAGAAACATCCGCCTTCGCAAGACACAGAGCAGATGAGCGCAGTCGAGCGAGGGAAATATCTAGCAAAGCAACATACCATCTTCCCCGGTTTCACTGATCACGGCGACAATCGATACATCCTCCGACCTGAAGCCATCGAGTCCGTTTTCATCATGTATCGCATTACTGGTGATGTGAAATGGCAGGATGTTGCTTGGTCAATGTTCCAATCCATCGAGGTAGCGACGCGGACGCCGATCGCCCATGCTGCAATCTACGATGTCCGGAAGGCGAATCCGGAGAAGAGTGACCGCATGGAAAGCTTCTGGCTTGCGGAGACTTTGAAGTATTTCTACCTTATTTTCAGTGAACCAAGCCTGGTGAGTTTGGATGAATGGGTTTTGAACACCGAGGCGCATCCTCTCAAGAGGCCTACAAGTTAAGGAGATCAGCGAACCTCAAAGACATTCCTTGCTGGAAGTGTTCCTCCCCGGGTCCTCCGTTTCTCGATGATATGCCTCACTTCTTAAAAGCCCATGGTCCCCAAAACATTCAACTCGGATTCTATCGCATCTGATAGTAAGTCTCGCCACTGCAAACAACAGCCCCTGGTCTGCATAGGCACAGAAAGCGGCGGCAAAAGAAGTTTGCGTGTGGGCTCTTGGAACGACCAGGTCGCAAGACATCCAGCAGCCTCCAGCTAGAAGAAACTTCACGCTCAGAGCTCGAAGATCGCAAACTAGATATGCAGACTGGGCCCCTGGGCCTCTAATTACTTCACGACCTCGTCAGAATGTCACGATACCTGGCCTTCTTTCTCCAGGGCCGGAAGCATGCACACACACACACACACAAAAAAAAAAAGGGCGACCCGGCGTCCTACCGTATTCGGATGGTTCCCCAATTTGGCGGCTTTTGATTGTCGCCATTTTATTTCTTTTCAACACCTAGAACCTACCAACCAGTCGAGAGGTGGATGGGCGGGTGTGCATGTTGCACATGTATTCCAGGACCAGTGGCTGTATTATACAAAAGACATACATGCGTATAGAACGAACTTCAGAGCTGCGTGCAGAGAGATACCTACCAGATAGATGCGAGCTTTCATGGCCGACCAAATTCGACGATATTCACATTCAACAAAGTATATTTCTCACCGTTCGGTCCAGTCAATCGTACCCCCAACTCATATTGATGTGATCACATCCGGCCTCAAGTTGGGCAATCGATATACAACACGCTCCTGAAACAGGTAAGCCCGAGGAGATACGCTCAGAAATAAAGTGACCTTGAGCCTCGCTGCCTACTCATAATGTGGTCCCACGATTTGATTGATTGAATGGCTTACTAGCTATGTACTCTGCAGAATGCAAATCGCTTTGCGTGTCCTGGCCTTCCCTTCTCCATTCCCTCCAGGTTCGGTTATGGCTACAATGCTCGCTTTTTTGATTTTCTCTCACGCGTGGCTCTGGTTCTGGCCCTGGCGAACGGGAGCCAGTGCTTATCTGTCTCTCTCCGCAGCAACATGCTCATCATCATCATAGGACCATCTAGATGGCCACCGCTAAATGGATTATCCTTTGGTCCTTCTACAACGGGTGTTCACGGACGTCAAATGCTTCAACAACTGCCATTCATTTGAGGTCACATTCTCCTGTTTTCTAGATTCTCGCGCGCTATCAGCGTATATCTGAGAACAGAACTGCTGACACTCATCTTGAGCCAAGCTGACATTGATTTTGAAACCAGCAAACCCTCAATCAACGACACATGCATGGCGCTTTCATTTGGCGCAAGATCAGTGATCTGGCTGGCCGTTCACCGAGGTGAAGAAACAAACCCGGAAATCACTTGAGAGCATAGGTAGGTCTAACTATACTCTTCCATGAACTTTTTGTGGAACTTGGTCCACCGGCCAACCCATTCCGTTCCCGGGGCAAGGAAGGTGGTTCGCAGATGTAGAGTGCCAGGTTTCTGGCCGAAACCTGAACCCGGGACGACGCAGATTCCTGTTGCATCTAAGAGACGGAGGCAGTAGAACTCATCGGGAGTGCGGTCTGCTTCTTTCGCGGCTTCGACCGCTTTTGGAGGGACGCGGATTTTTGGAAAGAGGTACATTGAACCCTGGTCGGGGTCAGTGATTGTGTGAGAAGGGGGAACAGCAAAGTTTCAGCCACATGCCATGGAACATCAGGACTTACCTGGGGCTCACCAATCTCCATGCCTTCCATCTCCTTGAACGCCTCGTAAAGCGCTGTCGCCCTTTGCTTCAACCCGTTCTTGATGCCGTTGTACTCCTTTTCGTAGAGTTCCGAGCTCGGATCTCCTGGCTTGGGCGGGTTCACCACCAGATCTAGCAGACACTGTCCTATTACAGGCGGACACAGCATGATGCTGATGAATTTGTATATCTGCGCCTGTACCTCCGAGTCGAATCCAACTAGCTCAAAATACCCAGCGCGATGCCCGCATTCGCCTACCATACCCTTGGACACAGAATTCAGAGAGGCAAGTTCAACGTAGTCGTAGACACCTGGCTCTTTCTGTTGCATTTTGCGGAGGACTCCCTTGAAAGAGTGGAATTGGCCGATGAAAACATTGGTCTGATAGACCTCATCGGCCAATATGACAAGATGCTTTTCTGCAGCGAATTTGATGACGGCTTCAATGTCCCCCTCTGGTAGGGAGGCACCGGTTGGATTGCCAGGATTGATGATGACCACGGCGCGGACATCGGTGCCTTCACTGACCGCTTTTTCATACGCTTCTTTTATGACATAGTGATCCGTGCCCCATGAGTGAGACTCGTCCAGATAGTAGGGGACGCAACGAGCGTTGAGGACTGACAAGGACGCGGTATAGAGAGGATACTGGGGGATCGGAACAAGCACACCCGTCTCAGGCTTGGCACAGATGATGTGAAGGAGGGTGTTCACTCCTGAAGAGGCACCGGCGGACAAGTAGATATCGTCCTTATTCGCAGGAAAGCCATCACGGCGTTCGATGAAATTGGCAACCGACTGCCGGATCCCGGGAGCGCCTGCAGACTGTGAATAGGCACCCACTGAACCAACTTCCTTCAATAACCAGCGTGCACGATCTATTGCGTCTTGATTGTATCCAAAACTAGTTTTCAAAGCCTCCTCGTTCTCAAGAAGGCCCGTGTTCTCGAGCAGAGCAAGGACTTGTCGAATGAATGTAATGGGCTTTTGATCAAGCTGTTGCGGGTTGCCAATGTTGGCAGAGACGACGGTATCGAAGGGCAGAGGATTTTCTGGAGGGGTAGGAGGGTTCCCTCGGTTTAACCGAGAGCGGTATTCTTCTGATTTGATGGCAAGTTCGCCTCGAACGGCATATTTCGCTTCCTTCACATGAGGATTGATATTGTTAATGTGCAAACTGCGCATGGGGGATGAGGACGACATGTTGCGGCAGCGGGAAGGAATCCTGGTCCTGGGATTTGAAAACGGAGCTATACAATAAATATATGTTAGTCTCCTAGCTCTGAATATTGCATCGGCAGAAAAAAAGTCGGGGCAGAAGCAAGCAGGGGACGCTTGAGTCACCAGTCGGGAAGGGAAGGGACAAAAAAAAAAAAAATCAGACCACGGAATGACCGCGCTTGCTTTTCTCACCTTGAGACTGGCCCGGTCGGGTGGGAGAAGATGAATGAGGTGTAGTCGCCGAAAATGCTTTGCAGGTAAGGGTAAGTTCAGAAGAGAGGTACTGAACTCGAAGCAGTAGAGTCGAAACTCTGGACACTGGTAGAGGGTGCATTTCCTGAAACCGAAGAGCTCGGTGGGGCGTTTCAAAACCGCTCAGTAACTGCGTGAAGGCGTTATCGGAGCTCAAAGTCAAGTTCTACGAAACTTCTGACCACTCTGTGGTAGGTAGAAGTGTAAACAGCGTGATCATGCGGTCCGAGGACAACATGCGCGTGAACGATGCACCGAGAACAGCTGTGGACTTATCTTCGATGATCAAACAAATCGATTACCTAGCTCCCATGTCGGGGGAACAATCCTCGTCTATCTTATCACTAGAATGTGGGGGTTTGTCCATTGATACTCTCGCAGGGATCTGGAACCGGAGAGCTTGATTGGAGTCGCAGAGGTGCAAGCGTCGATCAGACTAAGCGCCCAGGCACTCGAGAGAAAAAGGTTTGTAGGGAGCACATCACTCTTCGGGGTTTGGTCTCGTGCCATCCATAGCACTCAGTGGATGAAAAGACGCGGTCCCTCAGCAATCCAGTCCAACGCCTTGCGCTCTATGCCCCAGTGTAAGGTGTCTGCGGGCTGTCCCATTCTAGGCTCTTTCACTACCCCGTAATCTCACTGCCTGCCCATATTTCTGCAGCTTGGTGATCAATGCATCACCCTGTTTGACCACATCGGCATATTGCTTATTCTTATCATCAGGACGTGTCGTCTCGATCACTCCCTGCACCCGATCGATTGTGCAACTGACCCGACCGCCAGCGATGAATTTGGCCAGATCTTTGTCCAAGAAGTCCACACTGACACCAAAAGCCTGGGCCATAGTTGCCAGGCCCACCACGCGATATGACTGGAGTAGCTGCTGGTAGCCTCGCAGACGCATCTCGCGGACAAACCAGGCACGATGCTCATACAGGTATCGATCCTGAGTCAAGAAATTCTCCTCCACCGAAGCCAATGCCAGGAAAAAATTGCGATAGTTGCCATTGTACAAGCTTGTCACCAGTCCAGCTAACGAAGAAAAGTCCATGGGTGTTTCGGTCTGGGACTCCGAAGCGGAGCCGGATCCCAGAGTGGTCAGATTGACCAGGCCCGGCGCACGCTCAGCCGTTGATGCGGACACGTCTTTCATCTCTTCGTCTGCACCTGGTGCCTTCCCCTCGCCGTCACCTAGGATGGCCTTTATCTCGGGGGCGTCGACCACCTTGGCTTTGAAGTCGACTCGTTTCAGGGATAAGGAGCCTGCAAGGACCGCGTACACGACCAGGGCAGAGTAGCTGCAGAGTTCATAGCTCGTGAAGGTGGAGAGACTGTCAAGCAGAAGAGGCGCGGCGAGGTTGTAGGAGCGAACAGTGAGAAGGTGCAGGCCTTTGTACGCCTTTAATCGATTTCTTCGGTCCCAGTCACCGCCGCTTTCTACCAAGATATTTGCACGTTCGACTTGTTTTTTCACAAATGCTTTGTCATTGAAGAAAAGACCGATTCGAATGATGGCAAGGACGATGTCGATCTTGGTTCCGAGCAGGCCCGTCTTGTCGAAGACTTTTTCGTATGCTGTGATTGCCTTGTCCTAGTCCAGAGTAAGAGTCTGTAAAATTTATTCATCCGATAAGACCAGCTATTTACCTTGTCGCCAACTCGCGCCCAGAATTCAGCACGTTTGCTTCGAGCTGCCTGGATTTCGGTTTCGCCAGCCTTCTCTTCCGCTTCTTCTTCCTCCTTCTGAAATTCTTCCAACTCTTTGTCGTTATCTGCCTTGAGCTGCTCATAAAGCGATTCGTCCCAAGCTAAGATGTCCAAAGGTACAAGCTTCTTAGGCGGTAATAGGTTACTAGAGACCAGTGATGCTCTTCTGACAGGGGCCTTTGGTGGCGGATTCAGTGGTTGAACGGCGCTTTCTCCGACGGCATTCAATACTCCTTCAGTGGGATGAGCCAGATGCCGATATAAGGGCGCCATTTTGTGCTCTTTAATTGCATTTTGAAGGTAGTTTAAGGAGGTCGGTTGTGAGGTTCGCGGGCTGGCTGCAAGAGAAAAGATGTGTTGGGCGAGAGTGAGGTCAGGGTATTTTGCGAACTGAGGATCTGAGCCCATGGCGTAGACTCCGATGACAGCGATGTATGAGGGCGACCTGGTGTTGGGAAGGAGAACACGAATTAGTTGAGAGCCTGGGGGATACAATACTCCGCCCTAGCCATGGGAGGCAGTATACGGTGAATTATTATGACGGTGGCGACCCGTTCAGGCACTGGGATCACGTGTTGATGAACGTAAGAGGAACCTATACCCACCGAAAGCCTACGCATCTTTCTCTTAACAATTACCTTGTCATCTCGGCAAGCCCTTGTCGAGGAAGAACAAAGACCCGAGGTTGAGCTAGCCATGAGGAATTTCATGCTTTGGAACTGCATCTCGCTTCATTCCAAACGGAGTTCTATGTGTTTCTCTGGCCTGGTTCTATTCCACAAGCAATTCCGCACATTAATTTGCCCAGGCATCCACTTCTGGCCTCTTCAAATAGTCGTCCAGTCCAATTTCCTGTCTTGTCCGTCGGCGCATTAACCGGTCATAAGCGGGGCTTTCTTTGGCATCTACCTATTATGCTGATGCATGTTTCGGTCGAAGTCATGGTGCTTTTCGCTTCGGCATTGGTCCCAACGGCAACTTTCTTTGAGATCACGTTGAAGAATCTTTGTATGCCTTTCCCAGGTCTTTTTCTGCGTCATAGCCGGGGTGGATTGTTCCTAGGCACACGGTGCATTCGATGCGTGGAGAAGGGTCGGAACGGTGTGCGAAATCGCATCTGCTATCCCAAACTTGATCAATGGGGTTATTATTGAGGGGACCACCATTCCAGAAATTCAATCCTTGTATGTTGACCTCTTTCAGATAAGTCGGCACCGCAGAAGTCGTTCGAGCAGTTCGCCTGATGGTGATGATATTGAAATTAAGGTCCTTCGCCTCCAGGGGAAACAGGAAGAGGCGCGAATGGATGGATGTAACATCATGAATGGAACCAAATTTTTGGACTGAAGACCTGTTTGGCCAATGTCTCCTATGAGGCGATAATATCGCTACATTTCAAGTTTAGTCGAAACAACAGGAGTGCAATAAGTCCTCTGGCGCTTGTGTCAGCCGTAAGATCGACGCAATTAACCGGTCTTCGTTCGAGATTCGTGGGTTGGCTTTTCATACCACACGCTTCGTTCTCGAGGTCCTGAATGTTGTTTATGATCTTTTTCAGGATAATCATACTTGAAATCCCTTTCACGCCACCGTCGTCCAGAAACAGGAGATTGCATGACTCGATCGCGCCTGGTCTGGGGGGGGACAGGAATGGAATCAGGAATCTTCGAGGGATCTCCTTGGAACGACATGGCTTGTTGGGAACCGATGAATGCCACCGATGACCTCCTTGCATGATTGTAACAGCTCCTTCTTTGTAATCGTATTTGCCATGCATGCAGGGTTTGTCTGTGATGTGTGCGTTCTCGGAGAAGGCAGGGTATTCTTGTTCGAACCTATGCTGAACCCCTCTACGTCTGAAAGGCAGAAATAAATAGCCACCATATGAAAGGGTAAGGATGCAATCCGAACGCTGATAATAGATGGCTGGGATGAGAAAGAAAAAAAAAAAAAAAAAAAAAAAATTCTCATTCTCGTTGCCGGTAGGATAGGGTTGAATGGCGTGTCACTTTTCCGCCTGGAATCGACACAGCACAAGTGGCGCTTTCTGACGAGCACGACGCCCCCCGAAACTGCGGGTGTCTGTATTTGCAACCAGCTACAGAACTCCCGCTACCGACTGGGCAGAAATATTAACAAGACACAAGGGTTTCTCATCTCAGCGAGCTTCAAGAAATGTGCCACCCACCTGGCCATCAAGTAATGCTCCCACATTGACCTGTCCGCCGGCCAAATATCTTTCACTGACGCCTAGATTAATTCTCTTGTTCAGTAAATTCGTCAATTCGGACCGCCAACGTGAAATTTGGTCTTTGCCTACTGCTCCTTTCTGTTTCTCTTTCTTTGCCTTCCCACCACCTCTGCCTCGTCTGCCTTTCTGACCCTGACCTTCGAATTCCTCGCTATCGTAATCCACTCCAAGTTCTTCGGCGGCCGATCTCAGCCATCCATCCTTGATGTTTGCTCTTTCTTTAGCCAGCGTAGCCTCTGTAATCTTATGGGCTAGGTCGAGACGGTCTTCAAGCCTTTTCGCCAGCCCAGCATCTATCTCAATTGTCTCAGGCGCTCTGTTCGTCTTATGAACTTCGAGTATCAGCCTCGTCACGCTCGCGACCTCATCAGGGGAGCAAAGTAAGATTGACCGTCCAGGATTTTCGGCTCGGGCAGTCCTTCCAGATCGATGCACGTACATGTCTGCAGTGCGAGGCACATGATAGTGGATGACCAAATCAATGCCTTTGATATCCAGGCCCCGAGCTGCGACATCCGTGGCCACAAGTATGTTGCTCTGTGCGGCGAATCTTTCCAACGAGCGTAGTCGTGACTTTTGGGGCATGGTTGAGTGCAAGCCTGTCGCCGGTTGTTTCAAGCTCTGGAGGAGAGCGGTTATTCTTCGGACAGATGAAATGCTATTGGCGAACACCAGTGCCTTCGATCTGGGATTCCGCATGAGGAGGGTGTAGAGGTATAAGTCCTTTTTCATGGCACCACATTCCACAATGGACTCAGATAACGTTGAAGCCATCTGAGATGAGGGATTGACGTCAATAAAAGTGGGTTTTGCTTCGCGAAAGGAGAGCTTTTGAAGAAGGTATTCCATTGACTGCTGATTATCGAGGAGGCGATTTTTGGCGCGGTCGCTCGACTTGATTTTGGCTGTGAGCCTGTGCTGCAAGCCTTTATGGAATGTTGCGGAAAACACAAGCGTCTGTCGCTGAGATTTCGGAGGCCTTTTTGTTGCTTCTTCCGCTTCTGTTTCGTCGACGACGGTCTCTCGATCAAGAGCATCCAGGATGTTTTCAACTTCCTTAAAGTGCCCTTCGCTCAGAAGTCGGTCAGCTTCGTCCACAACCAAGAACTTGATCTTCTTGAGACGGTCTACCAAGGCATCGGTGTCATGATTGGTACCTGAATCATTCATGACTTCCCAAAGTCGGCCGGGGGTCGCTACCACAATATCCGCATATTCGAGCCGTCGCTGTTGTTTCTGTATTGACAGTCCACCAGTCACAGCTGAAACGTTGGGATGATTCTCCAACCCGATACACAATTCGTTCAAATGTCGATGCAGCTGCAGAGCGAGTTCTCGGGTGGGTGCGAGGATGAGGGCCAGCGTGGAAGCTTTGGCTTTTATTGGACCGTTGAATGTGACATTTTCGTTTGAAAGCCAATCCTCAAATATCGGAATGCCGAACGCCAGTGTCTTTCCCGATCCCGTCACGGCTTTACCAATAACATCGTGGCCCTGAATGATGGCTGGGATGGCAGTAGCTTGAATGGGCGTGGGTTTAGCGAACCCAAGGCGAGAAAGCTGTGACAGGGTGGCGTTTGACAGCTCGAGATCTTTCCAAGCCGAAACATCTGTCTTGGGCTCTTCTGACGAATCCAGCAAGACATTGAAATTCAGACCAGTCTCAACATCGTGCTCTCTTTTGGGCTTTGATTCTTGCCCAAGCCGGAACTTCGCGGAGTCTGAAGCTTTCGAGGTCGAAGGCGTTAAGCTTGCTGATTCCTTATGCTCTGACAATGTCGACTTCGAATCCTCGTCCTCAAATCCTTGCCATTCTTCGTCCACTGCGTCCACCTGATAGGTCTCGTCCACAGTCGATGCTGACTTTGGCAGAAACATGACATGGTGTTTCACCTCATCTCGAACCACTTCGACATCCTCGATCTCTTCGAGTTCATAGAATCCCTCGGCATCCTCGAGCCTTCTAGGTAAAGAGACTGGTTTCCATCTTAGCCCATCGTCACGGACAGGTAAGCCCAAGGCTCTAGGAGCAGCCTGAGCGGTTACATTGGACAACTTCTGCCTTTTCCGAGGATTCCGGGCCTCTATGATCCCCTTCCTCTTTGCTGTCTTCGACATTGGGACCAGTTAACCTGACATTAATACAGGCTAGAGAGCATGTATCTGAAAACATTCATCCCTTCAAAAAAAGTTTTGGAGGTTTCGATATTTGGAGCGGGGCGAAGTCGGGCCTTGGCATCTGAAACCTTTTGACGCCGCCCTCCAGCAGTAGGCCCCTTGTCTCCATCTGGGTCCTATGACACCAGACGAGGGGAAATGTTCTACCATGAACCCAATTAGAATGAAGAAGTCCGCTGTGGCATGGAAAACGGTTTCCATATCTAATGCGCGATTCGAGACAACTGGTAGTCTATTGTTAGTCGACTTCTCCAATACCCTGGATCACACCACAAAGCTCCCTTGCGCGAATTGTTGGAGTTCGTCGTGCCAGGGAAATGTCATCTAAATGTCTCAATATAGAGTCAAAGCGGGCGTCCGTACTAAAAATTTTACCTAGCAGGTTGGACCGCTCACAACGGAATTGATTCTGTTTTCCTATTCAACGAGTACAGCATCACATCATCAATCAAGCTAAATATGGCGTCTTCGTCGCTCCCCTTGACAATGCGTGCCTGGCAATTCACATCTACTCACGGAGGGCTCGAAAAGAACCTAACCCTCAACTCGTCGGCTGCTCTCCCGCCGCATAGTGTCAGTGATCTGGGGAAAGACAAAGTGCTGGTGCAAGTGCTGTTTACGGCATTGAACCCGGTGGACTACAAAATCGCGGAATTGCCGGTGATGGGCCGACTTGCAATTAGAAGACCCAGCTCACCAGGGCTTGATTTTGCGGGCAGGGTGGCGGCGTCGGGATCCCAATCCGACTTCAAGGTTGGACAGCTCGTTTTTGGTCGACTCGACCAGCCGACGCAATTTGGCGCGTTGGCAGAGTACACGGTGGCACGAACGGGCGCGTTGGTTGCGGTACCAGAAGGCGTCCAGGCGCAAGACGCCGCGTGCGTAGGAACCGCAGGGCTGACCGCATATCAGTCAATCGTGCCGAACGTGAAAGAAGGGAATGGGAACAGAGTTTTCATCAACGGTGGCAGTGGCGGAACAGGTGTCTGGGGCATTCAAATCGCAAAGGCATTGGGATGTTACGTGGTGACGAGCTGCTCCAGCAAGAATGCAGAGTTATGTAAGTCGCTGGGCGCAGACCGGGTGGTTGATTACAACAGCGAAGATGTCGTTGAGGCTTTGACAAAGATTGCTGCTGATTCTTCTTCTGGTCCTGGGCGCAAGTTTGACCTGTTGGTTGACAACGTCGGCGCCTCGGGCAGACTTTATTGGAATTGTCACCATTTCACCTCTCATGGAGCAAGATACGTCCAAGTCGGCGCCGAGTTTAGCGGACACAGCACATTGGATCTCGTGATGAAAATGGGATGGCCGGGTTTCCTAGGCGGAGGAAAGCGAAAGTTTCACATGTTATCGGTTAAGAGTGACAAGAGGCAGTTAGAGCAAATTGGGAGATGGATGTCGGAGGGCAAGGCGAAAGCGGTGGTGGATCAAGTTTTGCGGATGGAAGACGCCCCGAAGGCGTTTGAACAGCTCAAGAAGAAGCATACGAGAGGGAAGATTCTGGTCGCGGTGAGTGAATGACGAGCTGGAATGTTAGACTGGCAGTCGGCGGTTAACGTCGCTCACCAGGCCGGATGGAAGGAGTGTCTCGTGTCGCTTCTTTTTTTATGTAGCAAGAAACGCATAATCGAAGGTTTTGAAACCAGTCTGTTCAAAAGATTTCGCCAAAAGGCTGTCCAAGGGGGCGGAACAAGCCTTGTTTTGAAGTGATGGAGTGACATCTGACCGACGGGTGGAGGAGTGGTCGCCGAGGGTTTGGCGGCAAGTGATGAGGACAGACCTGCGGACCGGGCGGGCAGTGTTGAATGTCATACAGCAAGGTGCTCAGGATCGATAAGTGCGACAGCGAGGCTTGCATACTATGGTGGGTGTTGTTTCCAGAATGAATGGAGAAAATGGAATAGGCAAGTACAATCCGTAGTACGGCGCTGAACGCAAGCCACATGGGACCTTTGGTATCGGGATGTGGGACCCGATGATAAAAGGAGAACTAAGAAGACGAGGGCGTCGGGAAGACGTCAACTGTTCACATGGACATGTCGACGAGGAACGGCAGGGCTGAGGCTGCAAGGTGACTTGCGTGGATTGGAGGGTTTGAAAGTGAGGATACAGAAGGTTCCAGGGTAACGGCATAGGGAATAGGTTCCGGGAGATGAAAGGATGGTTGAGATAGACCAATGATGGAAGGCTGAGAGGAGATGAGACGGGATTGGTGGAGGCAGTGCAGTATTCTCTCCGTCAGGCGCACTCGAGGTTGAATGCGCATATGGGGACATACAGTCAGGATTTCGTGTCTGGAATACATTTCCAGTGACACGATCAATATTAATTCTGGCGTGGTGGTTGATACTGGCACTGACGGATGGACAAGAAAACTTCAGTGTGACTCCTGTTGGTAATTCTGACTCCGGCGTGCAGAGAGGATGACTACTGCACCTGCAGAACGATCATTGCTACTCGCCGACGACTTCGTTTGTATGCAGGTTGGTATTCTAGCCCTGACCGGTGAATGGGCCTCTCGGGTGTCGAAGAGAGGGGGGTGGGGTGAAATGCTGAGTGGCTAGTATTTCACCCTTTAAAGCCCTGCACACGCAAGACCTCGGCCCGCTCCCTGTTTACTCGGTCTGAGGCGAAGCCGCTGCTACACGGCCAAAGCTCTACGAAGATACCTCCTGGTATTCCCTTCGTTCTATGCAAGTCCTGGTACCGTGCGATGTTTCTGGGCCAACACTGCCACATTCTTCCCCCCCAAGCTCGTTTCACTCGAACACCCTCCTGGCAAGTTAGTGAATGCCCTTTCATCATAGCTCTGGCTCCTGGCCGGTCTCTATCCCCTTCGGCCCCTCCCTTGCTTGGGGGACTTTTGCCCATCGTCCTCATCTTCGACCGTTTCGACTGAACATTATACGTTGCCTAAATTACATGGCCGGTGTTGAGCCGGTCAGGGTGCCACCACAAGGCAGTGCCAAACGCAGGATCATGGATCAATGGTGTCCACTCCAATCATGACTCACCCTGGCAACTAGTCACCCATGATCTGATGCCTGTGGCAGCCTGGCGATTTGGTCCCCGGAGTCTGTCCGCCATTCCGCTTGCGGTATAACTTGCCTCCAGGCTTCCAACCAAAGGTCCTGGTTCAAAGTTCCCTCTCATTCACTCCATACACACCACAATGCACTTCTGTGTCCTGCTCTCCATTGGCCCCCATCCTGGCTCGAGGCTATAATTCGTCCCTCCTCCCCCTCCACGCTCAATGCATTGCTTCCTTTCCTTTCATCTCTCATACATTCAATCAATCTACCCAAGTCTCAAGTCGTCACCTCAGTCTGCTTCGCGATCATTGACACTTGTCCACCGCAGTCCAACAGACTGCGCAGCTGTCGGTCCCCAACTTGTCTTCCAACAGTCACGCTGTCGCCTCCACGCACAGTCACTTACTACCTATACCCAAAGAGGGCCAATGTTTCTGACACATTGAATCCGCCCTACGAATACATTACCATCACTCGTGCTCCAACTCGGACAAGACCTCAGACTCCACCCTCAACACCACCCTTGGTCCATTCCAACACTTCAACTCCCATCGGCAGGTCACCATCCACTCCGACTCCCAAGATGGCGCGCGGGGTGACAACCCAGCGCGTTGAATTCGCCAAGGAGGTCACCTCCATTCGTCCTCCCAGAGACGATGAGTTGTGGGTCATGACCCAATTCGCCAGACATGCCGCCAAGTGCGACGACTGTCGGGATCCTTACGGTGCTTTCAAGCAAGACCGCCTCCTCTGCGACAAGGGGAATGCCTTGGCCCGAGATGTGGCCAACTACCTCTACTCCAAAGGAGACAAGCCCTTCTCCGTCATCAACAAGAAGGAGGGCGAGCGCATGCAAGTCGAGGTCCCTGCTGACTGCAAGGTCATTGAAAGCCTCGTCAAGGCTTTTGGCCGCGGCCTGGTTTTGAGGGTTCCCAAGCCCGTTAAGCCCGCCGCACCGGTCGTTCTCATGCCCAAGGTGGACAAGCATGACCAGTATGAGAGAGTCGAGAAGATCGAGAAGTACGACCGACCAGCCTATTATCCCTCTCGACCGGACCAAGACGTCAAGGTTTACAGAAAGAAAGAGTACCACGTCGACGATCGGCCCAGAGAACGGCGTTATCGAGAAGGTGACGTCGACATGGTCGAGATCGTCCCCGTCTCAGCTCGACGGGAGAGGAAGGAGAAGGTGTACTATGGCAACCGGGTCGAGGAGCGTCCTCGATACGAGCGCAAAGAGCGGCCCAAGTCGGTCAGCTACCCGGAGAGAAAGGGTAGCCTCTACGAACGAGATGAAGAGGAGCAGAGACGACGACAACGGTACGAGGAGCAACCGATCGTCATCGTCTCTGGACCTAGGCATTACAGGCGGTGACCGGCTCGGTGTTAGAGGGAGTTTTGAGCTATTATTTTACGGGTCCATTAATGATTGACATGTATCCAAAATGACTACAACAAGACATCGACCACAGCAAACATTACCACGTGGATGGTCTAGCATCACACTATGCTCGGCTTGCAACAGTCCACACAAGCCTCGAGTGGACATCACCACCTGGATGGTCCGGCGATGAACCGACACCAAAGGAGAGCTCGACTTGCAGCAGTCCAGCCGAACTCAGGCTACCAGCACGGCACGATCAAGGAGGTCGAGGCGGAACTCGATTTGTTTCCTGATTGATTGATTGCATTTGGCTTGTGGATTATTCGGCTGTTGCGTCATTGTTTGTCATCTATCTGACCAAACCTGTTCGGCTTCTTGCTAAGCTCATTTGTTTTACTTTCGTACATCATCCTCAGAGGGAAAACCTACAATTCAAAACAAAGACCAAAAAAAAAAAAGCGCACAAAGTGTTTTGGGTATCTACTCATTTCATTTGGGGCCATTACTTTAGGGCTGAATTGTGGGTAATGGTGATGGCCAGGAAGGTACAATGCAGATGCAGGGCAGGCTCTGGACTTTGAAGGTACCACACAAACCAAATGATTATCCTCCTGCCTTTGTGGCAAACATAAGATGTCAACTTGTTTGTTGTGTGCTCGCGTGAGGAAAATGGGGGATTGTTTCATGTGAGACGAGGATTTGGTCCGGTTGCCTGACGCAGACTTGAGCGCAAGGCTGAGACTCAGGAGGATGTGCGGCAAATTTGGGGGCTAAATTATTCAAGACTTCGGAGGTCGTAGTTAGGCAAATAATATTCAGTCAACCCAAACAAATCCACATTCCTTAACAGGCTGAGGTTCATAATTCCCGCACACACACTCCTCCTTTATCAAGAAGGGCCCCCGGGACTGAAATTTCCTATGATGTGATGTCTTGATCGGCCGCAACGTTCCGCGTGACTCATGACATCACGTGGAGGAAGGGAGGCAATTACCAATCCGAAGGGACTTTGGTTACGCTGCTGTATGAACTCGAAATGAGCTTTGCTCCAAATGACGTTTCTAGGTTTGGTGGTGTGCGGGAATTGGAAAGGAAGGTATACCGAAAACTGTCGTATGGCGCAGCGTTCGCGCAGGAGTGTTCTTACCGCAGACTGTTCAGCCTTGCCTCAGTCAATTTGTCTAAATCCCAACACAAAGGCCACTACGTAATACTATTCAACCTCATCATCGTAGTTGTCATGTGTCTATCACCATCACTATCTCCTGACCAAGCACGCAACAACGTAATCTACGGTAGTACGTGTCCTTCAAGTTAGGCAAACATCCCAAACCCTACGGAAACGAGTCCGATTCAGCCTACGTGTGCCTGTGCGCGACGTCATTTCACCGGTTTTTGAGGTATGTGATGTTGCTTGTCGCTGGTGCCTGGGCCGAAGATGATGGGTGATGTTCTAGAAGCAGTAAGAAAAGGAAAAGGGCGGATACATTAGGGCTTGCCTCGGGGGCTCGGGACCCTGGATGGGGCCAAAAATGAATGGGAGAAACGGGAAAAAGGGCGTTCGACATTCGCTGTTTGGGGCTGATCTTGCGTGGTAGGCCTCTCGAGTGTGAGTGGAATCAGAACAGGGGGTAAGCGATAGGAATCGGAATAGGCACCAACAGCCCGAGTTCGATTCAGGCCCTGATTCCCGCTGGGTTTTCTCGTCCGCACGCTGTTCAAACTCGACTCGACTAGAGGTCTCGAGGATATTCCCGAATGCCATCCCTCCGAATTCTGACCCTGGAACGCCGGTGCTATGCCTTGCCTGCCTTTCCTTGCATTTCTTTCTTTCTTGCCTCTAGGGTGTTAGATTCGAATAGCCCATCCATCCTCTCACCTGATGTATGTCCGTCCGTATCGAGATCACTCATCGGCTTCTGATACGGTACAGCCAGCTGCTAGCCAGTCTCAGGTTCTTCTTCCTTGGCCAACCCGTGCTCTTTGAGAAGGGTCATGATCTCCTCCCCTGACCAGAGATGGTGGTAGATTTTTCCATCTTTTGTTTTCCCAACCGTTGCGAATTCCACTGTTTCGCAAAAAATCCATCAGTATGATACCTTCATCAGTGCTGAATTTGGACTCACCTTTCTCACTACTTAGCCTGGTTGAGTCCATCGTCTTGCTCAACACCTTCACCGCCATACCACACGCCTCCTTCAAATCGCAGTCCTCTTTGTAATCCTGTTTCAGGAGACTCTGTGCACTTGCATTGTTCGCGCCCACACTTGTGGCCTTCCAACCTCCATAGTTTCCGGACGGATTGCTCTGGTACAGTTGGAATTGACGCTGAGGGTCCCACCCGGCGTAGATGAAGGAGACGCCAAAGGGTCGCAAACCACCGTGCTGTGTGTAGTTTTGCTTCAGATTGCAGAGACTTCGAACCAATTGTTCGCAGGGAATGTCTTCGTTGTAAGTTAACAGATAACGCTGAGCTGTTTGTCGGGCAGTGTTGATCAAGATATTGGCGTCCGCAGTCATGCCTGCTACGGCGCAAATCATGTTACTGTGAAAGACGCCAAAAAGGAATCAGTAAGCCGCTCCAACTCTGATCAAAGTGTGCAAATGTCTCCGTCCATAAGGGGGGAAAGAAACGCACTCATTCAAAATGTACAGCTTCTCAGCCGAAGTATCTTGTTCCAGTAGTTTGCTTGTGACCTTGCGCTCCGCCGCCAGAACGATCCCATCTTGTGCTAATATTCCTAGAGCTGTACCGGCATGCGAAATGGCTTCGAGGGCGTATTCCACTTGATATAATCGGCCTTCGGGGGAGAAGATGGTCGTCTGTAGCGGTGCATTAGCGAATGCGCAATTCGCGATACGGTCTGTTAACGGCGATTGAAACGTACTCTTGAATCATATCTGCGAGACATCTTGGCTGCTCAGGACGGAGATTGAGAAGGAGAAGGAGTTTGTCGAGATTGAAAACGGCGCAAGGAAGACGGTAATTTTAAGATGTGGAGGAAGCAAGTTCCAGGCACGGCCCTCACGCGTCGCCCACCACATCAGCCAACCAGAACTCGTCAAGAATTTGTTCCATGTTTCCTGTTATTTGTCTCCGGCCTTCCCACCACGTAGATGGGCTTCCCATGATATTATGAGACGACAATGTTGAAATCGACATACCGCCCTCCTGTACCAACGCCGACGAAATCACCTCTCCCGCCGGAATGGACAGAGCACAAAGCTCCAAGCGGTCGTACATATTACTACAATGCAGAGACGAAGCAGTCGACCTACACTCGGCCGAGCGTTCCCTCCGACGAGCCGTTACGGATTGATTATGACGCAACAGAACCCGATCATGTTGTCCGCGCTTCCATGCAGGCTTTGGAACAATTCCACAGAAACAATGCCACATCAGGCGCCGGCGGTTTTAGTGGTGCGAGAAGTCATCAAGACCGCTCTCGGCGAAGAGGGGACCGGGGAGACCGACCAAAGTCGAAAGCAGCGATTCCGAACTGTGCGCCGTGGGTTCTTGTGAAGACGAAATTGGGCAGACGATTCGTACACAACACAGAGACGAAGCAGAGTCTGTGGAAGTTCCCGCAGGATGTGATGATGGCGGTGATCGAGATGGACAAACTGGAGTGGGAGGCAAAGAAGAAAGCGGGAGGTGAAACCCGGGAAGCGGAGGAAGCAGGCAAGTCACCAACCGGAGACACAACGAGCCCTAAGGGACCGCAACCGGATCCCGGGGAGGGAGACTACGACAGCGATTCGTACGAAGAAGTTGAAGTGACCGACGACGAGGAGGGGGAAGAAGATGGTGGGCGGAATTCTTCTAAACGGCTTCGTCTCAGTCAGGATGACAGAACGTCTCCGCCCTCTCGCCCCGTGGAATTCGATGAAGATGATATAGCATACCAGTTGGCGCAAATGGAAGAAGACTACGGTCCGGATGAAGACGGGCTATACGACCAGAACGAGGATGATGAAGATCAAGGACTACCACTCACAGCCAGCGACAACCTGGCCCTGTTCCGTTCCTTGCTGGACGACTCGGGCATCTCGCCCTACTCGACCTTTGAAAAGTTGATCGAAGGTACCGCCGTCGTAGAGGACCCTCGCTATGTTGCACTACCCAATACCTCAGCTCGCAAAGAAGCATTTGCGTCGTGGTCAAAAGACCGTATTGCGGAACTACAAGAGTTGAAAAATTCCGAACAGGCACGCGCCAAACCCAAGGATCCCCGAGCTGAGTACCTCCGCTTCCTGCAGAGACACGCCACACCGAGGCTGTACTGGCCGGAATTCAAGCGCAAGTTCAAAAAGGAAACCGTGATGCGTGATCTGGGCATGCAGGACAGAGATCGTGAGAAGCTCTACCGGGAATTTGTTGCCCGGCTGAAGACCAGCGACGCGGAGAGGAGGAAGGAATTGGTCGCGCTGCTCAAGGGCGTCGACAAGGCTATGATCAAAAGGGATATGCCTATTGAGGAGCTGCCGGACAGTATTCTACGGGATTTGAGGTTTTATACGCTCGAGGAGCGCAGGAGAGACGAGCTGGTGCAGACCTTCCTAGAGACGCTATGAGACCGTTTGACCACAGGCTGAAAAGGACCGCAATCTGAAGACTAGTGACGAGCATGAAATGGTATTCAAGATATCTATCAAGTGAATAGGATATAAACAAATCTCCGAACAACCTCCATCTGTGTTCAAGCTAGGCAATTTTTTCCCTCTTATCTCATTTTCTTATTCTGAAACTCGGTGACCGGGCTCAGGGCCTTACGTGCGAAAGATGATCGAAAAACCAAAACAACTTCGCAAGCGCTCCGATTCTCTGCAATTCAGGGTATCAAGCACAACCCGGTGGATGTACAATCAAACAGAATTCAAGATCTTGACTCTCGATCCGCATCATCATGGGAGCTTTCGTCGTGTCACTCCCGTTTTTTCTGCATTTCGTTTCCGTCCCATTCATTGTCTACTAACTGGGACGCCAACACACACTCCCTTTTACAGGTCTCTATCCAACCCCGAGCTCGCAGGTCTCATAACAGGGTCCGTCCCTTTCGAGTTCTATTTCCCACCTCCTCCGCCTCCGCCACCTCCCCCTGTACCTGTTGTGAAATGCTGTAGCATTCCCGTCAATACCTCAAGACTATTTGCAGCCTCGGGATTCTTTTCAAGGCACTCCTTGATAACTCGGAATTCGTTTTCACCGGCATTGGGCACCTGCGTACATAACTGCACCACGGCAGGGCTCGTTGCCAACGGGCCAAGGATTTTTTGCGCGTTGAACATCGCCATTGACTGTTGCGGTGGGTATTGTGGTGTGGGAGTGGGTGGGGAGTACTGCTGTGGCACAACAGCAGATTGTGATTGCGATGGAATATTTGCGTTTGGATGAGATGGTATTACCTGAGGCGTACCGTTTATTCCAGGCACCGGAGACTGGTGATATGGATTCGGTTGTGGCGACTCGAAACTGCCCTCGTGCGGTATCGGTGTCTGCACGGTAGGTCCTCTAGTACTTGGGCTTGCTGCAGCTCCCGGTCCATCTAACATCGCCGCTGCCATGTTGTGAGGAAGCTCGCTGTTCTTAATAACGATTGGCACCAACAGCATACGCTCCCTGGTAGGATCTGGAAAATCGGTTTCAAGCTTTTTCACAAAAGTGGGCAACTCTTGACCCAAATCTAGAGGGATGAGGTAAATGTCTTTGATGGCCGGGTTTTGATGTTGAATACCGACACCAAATCGATCCTTGGTTTTGAAATATCGGAACAACTTGTCGAATTGCTCCTGATCGTGTGAGTTTTGGGGCTCAGGCATCCAGACGATGACGAGATCTGAGGTGTTGCTATACTCGAGCCCACAGAGGTATTCATCCGCTCTGGCCGGCTGAATTCGACCGCCAATGACAATCTCAGGCGGTATTAATTGGTGGTAAGTCATGCGCAGTGTGTCACTATCAGGCGTTGCTCCTGCCGCATATCTCGCCGAAGCGTGAAAGCGGCCTAGATTGCCGCCGTTGACAGTGCCTCGCCAGACCGTACCGTCAGTCTCGGCGGACTCTTTAGGAGAGTAGGGTGGTGACTCCGCCTCCTCATCCTTGAGAAGTTCATCAATATCTGCATCTGCCTTGGTACCCGGTCCTGCCGGCTCTCGGACAGCTAGGCTGGGCGACTGTTGAGGTAATTCACCGAATCGTTGCCCATCACCATCCGGAGATCCCTGAACATTTGACCAGACTTTGTCAATATCAAAGCTTGCTGAGGATTGTCGTCTGGTCGTGTCCACAGAGGGTTTAGGCCTTACTTGTGTGCTTGCTTTTCCAGCTGCGCCTAGAGTTTCACTTGGGCTCTTGACGCCAGGACTCTTCATCTCTCCATCTTGCTCCGCAACGCTCGTCTTCCGTACCGGAGCATTGGAGGTCACAGACTCAGCAGCAACCTGTCTTGACTCATCCACATACTCCTCACCCTTGTGTGTTCGTCTGATCCGAGGTCCCTGTTCTTCGACTATTGTATGCTGTTTCTCTAGCTCTTTCATGACAGCGGCATCCTTCCTCTTCTGTTCGTCACTTGCCATGTCCTTGGGATCCATCGACGCAAATTCATTAGGGGTGAGGCCCCCGTTCAACAGACGTACCCCTAAAGTATGATTCTTCTTCACGTTGAACGTAATCGACCGAAGCTGGGCCTTGTATGCTTCATTTGGGTCGCCACTACCCCCCGCCTGGATATGATACAGGGCATGTTCAACATGCAGACCGATTCCGTTGGCCGTTTCGGTTGCGGTTGAGCCAGTGGGAACGGCATATTCGCCTTGTTTTACAGCTTCTTTGATTTGTTGTTCTATCAGCTTGATCAATGATGATGCAGCTTGCTTCCTCGATGCGTTGGTGAGTTCCTTCACATCCGAAACGACGTCCGAACTAGGCTCCGACTTGGAAGCTTGCCTCGAAGGGGTCCCGGATCGACTGGACTTGCGGGCTGGGGTTGTGGCTTTAGTACCATTCGTGTCTGCAGCAGGTGTACCTCGGGCTTTCTTGTTCTGTTGAGGTGTTAGCTTGCCCTGACATGTAAATCGTATGCAACATACCTTCAAGTCTGGAACACTGGGAAACTCTTCGAGTTTGCGCTTCTGGCCCACGGCAAGAGACTGCAGCTGTGACTCTTCCACCTCCTGAGAGCCTCGAGATGCAACTTCACTCGTTCGGGCGGCTCCTGATTTTCGACCCTTTCTGCCACCTTTCTTTTTCCCTTTCTCGGCTTCAGCCGCTTCTCTCTTTTTGGTTGCTTCTTCCCACGGCTTCTCCCCTCGCGCGATAGCTTCTAGCAAGGTTTTGTGATTCTCGGGTCTGCATTGTTCACAGTAGTACGTTGCCGCTTCATAGTCCTCTGGGAGGCCCATACAGCCATTGTGTTGCCACGCCGAACAGTTGTCACAACAGATCATGGCCCGAGGGACATCTTCTTCTTCCTCGTATGTCCCGCAAACACAGCGAATTATCTCGTCACCCTCTTCCTCTTGTTCGACGGCTTTGGCTTTGGCGCTTTTCCCTTTGCCCTTCTTCTTGGTGGGGACATCTTCATTGATATCGCGGTCTTTAGTGTATTGTCCTTTGGTCGCGCGACCAGATCTTCGAGGTTCATCTGAGCCTGAATTAGTAAAAGTTTGTCACCAACGGGGCGCAGCGCACGCAGGCGACGGCGCCGTTTAAATAACATCGCTTACCAGCCATGATGAAGACAAGGCAAATGTGCTAGACTACAAGGCACACCAAATGGAGGCGCTTGTCACAAATCACTTTATTTCGCGATCTACAACAAGTCGTAAAGTAGTGTTCACGAGACCAGTTGACTGCGCCGGAAGGCGCGTTCCTGTAATTTCAACCTCGGTGAAACTAACTGCTACTGGCGCGATTCACGCCAGTCCGTAGAAGAGAAATAATAGTCGAAGTGAAACGCAGGTATTCGCGCAGTAGGATGATGGTGTTTGAAAACGCAAAAGGTAATCGAAGCCCAAGGCCAGTACTCCTCAGAAGCTGCGAGACGCCAAGCCACAGAGAGAGAAAGGCGGAGATAACTACAAGTGGGCAACCCGACTTTGAATCAGCGATCGGAGAAAGAGATTAAAATGATTGATGGAGGATTGAAAGTTTTTGGGTGGTCCACCGAAAGCTCCTACGCCGGGATCGCCCCCCTCCCCAGAAAAAGCCGTGTCACGTGGTTCGATGCTCCTCGCTTGCTGTGACGGGTCCTGGCATTCGGTTCTGTTTCATCCTCAGAGCGCGTCAGATCTTCTTCCGTAACGGATTGTCTTCATGTTCAAGCTCTCGGTGAGAGAAACTCAGACCAGCAAAGATGGCTGATGTTCGCGCTCTCCTCGCCGCCGAGCGGCAATCCCGACGTATCTCTCACCCTCACTTGTCCTACACTAAATCTGGAATGCTTATATGCACTGTCTGCAACCTCAACGTTAAATCCGAAGCGCTCTGGGACGGACACCTCAAGAGCTCAAACCACAAGAGAAATGCGCAAGCTACGCAAGAGAATACCAGCAAGGGAGTCAAGCGGAAGATTGAGGATGTGGATGAATCCCAGGAAGAGCGCTATGAGGTAGACACAGATGTACGGAAGAAGCCAAAGTCACGCCCAGAGAGCGTGGCTGTGGAAGCTCAAGATGAAAAATATCTCCGGGGAACTACCGATCAGGAAGAACAACGAAAAGCATTATCAAAGCAGTCGGGTCAAGAAGAACAAAACCATACGTCTGCAAAGGCAGTTACGACCGTGGATGAAGATGAATGGGCTGCCTTTGAGCGCGAAATTGCACCCTTAGCAGCGGCGCCACCCGACTACTCATCGGTCACAATAATTGCGGCGCCAGTCACAGCCACACAGATGGAAGAACAGCCCGACGTGGAGAAACGACGAAGACTAGAAACGGAAGTGGAGGACGAGAAGGAAGAAGAAGAGAGAAGATTGGAGGAAGAATTTGAGGTCATGGAGGAAATGGAGGAGCGTGTCCGAAAGCTTCGAGAGAAGAGGGATGCCCTGAGAAATACAGTAAAAGTTGGCAATAATACTGGGCAAGCCCAATCCTTGAAAGAGGCGGACAGCACGGAGCGGGAGCCGGTTCAAGAGGCTCGGGATCAAGAGGGCGAAGATGACGAAGACGAAGACGACTGGTATTCGTGAATATGCTAATATCGTCAAAAATCGAAAATGCCGCTCCAACATCGAAATATCACTTGCCAGCCGCCCCGTCTGGTAGTCTAATATCTTGCAAAAGAGGAGAGAAATATCGAATGCGGTTGATCAAACAAAATCCTCACCCATCAAATCCTCTATCTCCACCACCCCAGTGACCTCATTATGGTCAACAATTCCAAGCAGAGTGCCTCGCCGAAGAAATTCTTTTCCCCGGCCTGTACCTTCTTCGCGCATCCGGTGAATCCATCTTTTACATTCTTCGACGGTGTTGGTACCGAGAACAGATATCCAGTCCGTCTTCTCAATGATAACTTTACCGATCTCATCCTCCAGTTCCGAGATTGGCAGTTCGGGATTCTGCAACTTCTGGATCCGTCGAGGACCGATGATATGATTGGGGGATGTTCGAACAAAACCGCCAGGCGACCGCACGGCGGTGACGAGAATATCGAAACACAAAAGGGGATTTCCAGGCCGTCCCCCGGCAATGGGTACTTGGGTCACATTGGTAGCGAGGTCGGACATGCGCGATACCGTCGGGGGCGGCGTCTGTGGGGGTGGTTTCAAAGCCGCACCGATGGCACCACCCGGATGATTTGCTGCAAAAATAGCCGGAGTCTGGAGACCCGCGGCAGAGTGCATCTCATCAGCCACCGCAAGAGCTAAGCTGTCGCCCAAAGCTAGCGTAATTGTGGTTGAAGTGGTTGGCGCTGAGACGCCGAATGACGAGATCTCGGACTCGTGGATTGTGGTTGGAAGGAGAATATTGTTCGAACTAGACCTCGTCGGATGCGACAGAAGTGGACACGTGCTAGGATTCAGATGCGCAGTCATAATGATCAGGGGAATGCTTGACGGAATGTGGGGGAGAAGCGACAAAAGCTCAGGGGTTCTCCCAGAGAAGGTGATCATGATAACTGTGTCATTTGGTCGAACGACGCCGAGGTCGCCGTGCAAGGCCTCGATCGGATGCAGGAATACCGCATGAATGCCCAAGGAAACAAAGGTTGCAACAAGCTTTTTGGCAATATGACCCGACTTGCCCACGCCGGTGAAAATGGTCTTCCCATGTCGGGTCTCAGAATGGATAATCTGAGTAATGGCGCTAAGAAGCGATTCCTGAATCTGAAGAGAATTTGTGTAGAGATCTTCCAGATGAGACAGAGCCAATCTCTCAGTGGCCAGCACGTGTAGAGCCTTTTTGATCGTTCTGCTGTCCGGCTTGAAGGATTTTTCGTCAAAGTTCTCCGGTATCTCCGGAGGGGTGATGGGTAAGGACTCAATCTGTTCTGGAAGTGGACCGGACAATGGCATGGAAGGTGTAAGGGGTGTTGGAAGAGAGGGTGGATTTGTGAAGGTCATTTCGCTCGCAGCCTTTGGTGGCCTGAAAAACGACGATGACAAGTTTATACCAAGAATTCAAAAATGATAGATCAGTAGCCGATGCAATGCCAGGCGAATAATCTCATGCAACACCGCCTAACAAGAGACGACACGCTATCAGGCTGTTGCAGGCAACCACATCAAGGGTTGGATATCGATTTGAGTCTTTTGTGAGGCCTGGTAGATGGTGCTTCAACGATCGAACAAGGGGGAAGCGGGTGACCACCATGGGTTGATGATCCCGATTGTCAATGACATGACGCCATAGACTTCGCAGAGGAGACAAGCGCAACCGGGTGGAAGATTATAGGCTGAGCAGCGAAGCCTAGGAGTGATAGAGAGTTGCGTGCAGATATATTCTCAATTATGGTACATATTGCTATCGAAGGCCGAAGGAGAAATTCTGACAGGGATGTACTTTGATTTGTGCAGGAATAGCAGTGATAACCGGGGGCTGCGCGTATCAGCCAAGGGTCGATGACTGGAAAGGAGCAAAGAAACGAGAACGAAAGAGTGGATTCAGATGGATACGCTTTGTCTAGTTTGAAGGAGATAAGGTTATGTCTCGAGCGCTCGAGCAATTCGAGGCCGTGGGACTCGTCGTGAGGCGTCGACAGAACCAGACCGCCAAAGTGTGACTTGCCAGATAGATTGCGAGTGAGAACGGGAGGCAGGGTAGGACAAACTTTTGCAGCAATAGGGCAAGGATGTATCGTGCATAGCAATAGACAGCAACGAGGAGCTCAGGGCCGCAGGGGTCGATCTTCGGGAAGAATCGTTGCGTGATCCGCCAAGGCCGTTTTGCAAGTTTGTGGTTCGGCTTTGAAGCTCCTCCCCTGCGCTTTTGGTTGCAAACCGGCATCCCTGGCTATTCACCACTGCAAAGTCTTTTGAGTTGACCGCATCCTGTTTTGCTGCATGCCACCAGAAAACCCTTCGAACCTCGCGCTAGACTAACGACCAAGCCAACTCCCAGCTCATTTTTGCAGGCATTAACCTGCTCATTCGCGTCGCGGCTGTCACTCTCCGTTAGGGCTTACCGTAGAAGAGTTCTGCCTCCGGCTTCCTGCAACCCCCCATTTATCTGTGACACCGCCATCAGCCTCGTATGCGATATGTCTCTGACGCCAACTCGGAACCCAATCACTCCTGTCACCTTAACCATGTGCTTTGGTATTCTCCAGCGCCGGAACCAGTAACTGATGACTAATGAACCTGTTGTCGTCCTCATGTACTTCTGCTTCTAGAGCTATATCTGTGCAACATGCGGCCGCAAAACTCAACCTCTGCGAATGCTGGCATGCGTCGTCCAATCCATCTCATTTTTCTCTATTTTCAGCAAATGTAGGTTTATCGAGATGAGGGCTTCGCTTACGACCGTTGCAGCCGATCAATCCGATTCATGCCATCCATACCAAAGAGCACGTTCATCATTTTACATGGTTACGACATCGACGGGGGACTGCTACTCTGGACTTTCCTGCCGAGATCTACTTTGATCACATTCTTCTATCCTTCACCTAATCAATCTCGGCGGATCCTGTGCTGACACCTTCCCCTTTTTTCCATTTCCGAATCTCCAGTGTTAGCCGTGCGTCTTTCTTTTTGGCACTTCTCCAAGTCAGCATATGGGCGCGGGGGAGACTGCGTGGATAGTACACGCAGAATGGGATGAAACAAAAAGATCAACATATCCAAATGACACACCATATCACTCAGAAAGCATAATTGGGCACGAGTCTTAATCTTGAACTTGATTCGGCGCCCAAAGGTTGCAGCAAAAGTTGATCTTTGACCGTATTGCTAGATTGATCCTTGTCTGCACCCTACCTCTCATCGCACGACAGCACCACGACGCAGACCTTGATAACAGATGACAGTGATCAAAATAAACCTCCTTATTCGGATCCGCCTGCTGTGAAAGGCAGATTTCCGTCCGAACCGTTGACTGTGACGATACGTGGGAAGCTCAATAACGCCTGGTAGATAAGGACAAATCCCACTGCACATTGGCTGGCGGCTTGGTGAATTTGCTTCTGCACCATGCCATGGATGATATTGGTCACATGTCCCTTTGCAACAAAAAGTTCCATTTTCTAAGCTACATGACCTCACCTGTGTGGGAATACCAAAGCCAACGATCGCAATTTTCACAAGCTTATGTTACATGGCTTGTGGTTCAGGATGTTATGCTTGGAGCTGCCGACTTTGATGCTGCAGCCCCTATCCTATTATGGTTCAAAATATGAAGCCACGCAGCCAGAAATACTTGGAAGGTTTGGATCCCTGATTTGGGTGGAAGTCGACTGGTAGTGGTTGGAGCATCAGCTGACGGAGGGACAAGGCCATAAACGTGGTTGGAAATGAATGAAAACTGATTATCATGTTGAGTCAGGGAAACGTCCACGGGCTCCGTCCATACATCAGGGGGCGAGTGGCACATTTTCCATTGACTTAACTTACTCTTTCGAGCTCTAAAGACAACACAGCATTGACAACAGACACAGGCTTCAGGTTCTCCCTGAGTTGTTACCTGGATGTTGAACATTTAAAGTCCCCGAATGATACATGCCCATTTTTGAGGCGCGAACCGCGGGCACGACGAATGGCAAATTGAACTTGCCAGGGCGAGCCAGAGCTGAATCTCAGCAGCAAGCACGAGAATTGAATGTCAAGATTATATCGAAGCCGGGCAAGCATCTGTCTGCGTCTGTATTGGGAGTATCGCGCATCTATAATATCAGAAAGATTTGTGTTTTCTGGGCGTGTAGAAGAAAGAGTACCATCTGAGGATATTGCGCAATATTGTGTGCTCATAGATTAGATGCCATGTCAAAGTGGGAGCGCCCATGCCAAATATGCTTTAACCAAAGATTGACTTTGTCGCTCGGGGCTTCTTCAGTTCGCATGTTGTGTGCGGAGCTCTCAAATCGGCAACCCGCATGTTGTAATTAAGGTCTGTAACCCGCAAACCTGCCAGCACTAACCTGCGATCTGCCATCTGGCGGCGAAGAACTGTCCTCACCTTGTATTTTGTTCAGTCATATCGCGCTCAAAAACCATTAACGTCTTTGGACAATGCCTACCTTCAGTGGTCAATAATTTTTACACCCGCCGCATTCCCCGCCGTTCAATCTATGGGCCCAACACGATGCCTTCCGCTTCCCCCTCTCCCATCAAACGGCCGTCGTTGAACGAACGAACCTCCTCTACACATTCTCTGTCTTCCTCGAGCAGACAGGCAACCGGCCACAAAGCCCATCGCTCCCACGTGGCCAGCCGACATTCAAGAAACGTCTCCCATGGAAAGGGACTGAGTAAATTGGGCAAAGTTCACTCGACGACCAACGTCTCCACCGATTACCACCATCAACGGAAAAAGTCTGGGGGCCCTTCGCCTCCTCACAGTCCCAAAGTACCCCTTGTAAAGCGCAATAGCTCGAATGTCACTCTGCCGAAGAATACATCTCACGGGAACCTGCGCAAGAATCATTCAGCAAATACCCTAATACGGAATGTTTCTCACCCGGCGTTGAAGAAGACTGGACTTGCTCCGGCGCCGAAACCAAAGAACAAGGAGAAGAAAGATGGTGTTTTCCAACTTGGGGACCGGTCGTCAGACGACGAAGAGGAGGGAGAGTGGGAGGATTCGACCACTCAGTCTCCAGAAATTACACGTAACAATTCAAAGACCTCTACGCCGAGGGTTAGCACTCCCAATGGCGAACAGATTCCCAGAAAACTTCCGGAATCGGGTATGGACCACCCAGACGAGACTCCGTCGCCGTCAAATCCCTCGCTAAAGAATCACACTCGATCGGTTCCTAATCTGAGGAAAGAGTCCAGTATGTCACCGTCACAGATCCCGCCCGATCCCGCCCTGCTTCACCAGTACCCTCGAGCATCTCGTGCACCGCCAGCGATGTCTACAGTCTCTGCGCATGTGACACCGGGCCAGCTGATCCGTAGCGAGTCATCCCGGTCCTTCAGTCATATCTCGCATGTCGAAGCCGCATCGATGAATGTGACTCCTACTACGCCTGGTCTTGCGGCTGGTCCTGTTCCAGCGTCTTCGTCAGTAGAGGGTGGTGTTTCACATTTTCTACCGATGGAAACTCCGAGTTCCTCACTCCGACCTATGGGTGACGGATCAGACGACGATTCGCCTTCGAATTTCCTGTCCAACTACAAGCCTCAGCCGCCGGAGTCGCCCGGGAAGACGAAAACTCTGCACAAGGCGCGGACACTCCAGAACCCGTCGAGAACGCAGCAGAAACTCGAGCTTCAGAGGAGAGAAATTATGCGTGCGGGTGCCGCAACACCAACCACTCCACCACCAACTGGTATGGGTCTCAATCTAGGCTCTTCAACATCCTTACACAGCCGGACAGGGTCCAAAAATCGAAATCGATCTCTGGCGGGAGGCCGAACTTTGACAGGAGACATCAAAGCTCTGAAGCAGGATTATGAAAATGCCATCAAGCAGTTGACCGTGGTGGGGAGATTCCGAAATCCAATTGTTGAAAGCATGAACAGACTCAAGGAGAACAATGTACTCCCGCCAGATATTGGGGTGATCTCCCCGAGTGGTGCTTTTTCTAAAAGCAGGCCACAGAGTCGGCGTGGACCAAGTTCATTTGCTGTCAATGGGCAAGCCAAGGCTAGTGTAAGTCGAAGTTTCGAAGACAAGAAGCCGTCTCCTCTAGTGTCCCGATCTTGCAGTAGAGGGCGAGGTGGACGAGTACACTTCCAGCGGCAGAGTAGCCATGACGATATCGAAGTGACTCCGAGTCAAGGCAGTCCGGATGGAGTTCAGGATGATGAACAGGATGGGCTCTCTCCCGAAGAGGCATTGATGCGGCGGATTTGGGAATCACGAGAAGTGCTTGATGCTGGTGAGCCTACATCAGCACGGTGAGTCTGATTGGATTTCCCACCATGGCTGATCAACTTCGGTGGCGGCGGTGGTGCTGTTGATGTTGCATCATATTGTTATACGTTGGTATGCTGCGTTTGAGCGGGATATTGGAGCTTCTGGTGCACGTGATGCGTGTTGCGTGGCATAAGGCGATATCGCTTACAGCCAGTACTTGACTGCTACAGGGAAATGCGAATAGATGAGCATCCCTTGGTAGTCAACTTCATGTCATACGTTTCAAACCTTTTTAATGTAGAGCTCCCTCTGGCCATGATTGGCCACGTTACATGCAGGAATTCCGAAACAATGGCCGGCGTTTATCCCTACGCACACCCTCCTTTTCCCAAATCTTGCGAGCAACCATCATGAATGTCCACAACCGGGCTCTTAAGATTTGACTGGATTGAGATCGCATTGGCGAGGAGATTGGTCTCAGCCCCAGTCCTTCACCGACTAGCCGAGGTACTTTTGTCTGAAAACCTTGTTTTCCTCCATGATTCGTCGATGGCCTTCGCGTGACCTCGTAACTTGGTGCATGAACATACCTCGTTATGTTTGCTCTCCCTTGTCTACTCTTGTTTCTTTGTCTCGTTCTGCCCCTCTTCTCTTTGTTTGAAGGGCTCGATTGGAACTCCTGTTGCGGTTTGCTCGCGGCGTCCTCAGTCCTATTGCTTGGCTACTCGTCAATTTTGCGTCTTCGCCACGGTAAGGTCACTTTTCATCCACCGGTTGGGCTTCCAGTCCGGTGCCCTAGGTGAATTAACGATGCCCGCACTTACTGTACCTTGACCTTATCTGGTATTATTTCGTTCTCAATCTCATTCGCCATCAAGCAATATAAATGTGTCTCTCTTCCAGCTCGGGCGACGGCCCGTCTATCCCCGACCGTGGACTGTGAAACACACAGAGGAAGAACTCACTTACACAGTCACAATCTGTACCACCGTCGTCGTCGCTCTGTAACACCAACATGGCAGCAGCTCCCGTGCCCTTGTACGAGTTGCCCATTACGTTCTCCATCGTTATCGAAGACGATCACCAAGCTATCAATCTCTGCGCCGGACGTCTAATACAGGCCAGAACTCCTCAAGATCGCGCCCGCTTTCTCCAGGAAGTCACCTGGCGCCTAGTCCGTCACGATGTGTCGGAGGACCTCGTGATGCGGCCGGCGTTCATCGAGCATCTGGGCGAGGAAGGGCAGCGGATGGCCGACCACGACCGAACAGACCACGACCGAGCAAAGACCGAACTGCTCGCTCTGTTCGACATGCCCCTGGACTCTCCCGACTTTCCTACGACAGTCCAAAAGCTCTTCTCCGAGCTGCTCGAGCACATGAAGATCGAGAGCGGCGAACAGATTCCACGCCTCGAGCGCATACTTGACCTCAGCGAGAGCCAGCGTCTCGGCAGAGAGTACATGAAGACGCAGGTCATGACGCCCGCTCTCGAGATGGTCGGTAAAGACGGTGCGAAAAGGGGAGTATGGGCCGACGTCCGCGACTATGCCCGCACCGATCTCCGCCAATTCAGGGACATTTGGGCACAATTGACTAACGAGCATTCTGTGATGGGCATCAGGAGTTACTCCCGACAACAACACATAAAGGGCAGGTTGTGATACGAGGTTTTGGGCTACAGCGTGGGATCATGTTCGTTGGAATAAACGGCGTCTAGACAAGCAACGATGAGATCATGGTTTGTATGACATGCGACAGACTTCCCTCGGACGGTATAGGTGGCGACGTCAACCCCTTTTTCCTTCCAGTCTTGTGACAAGCGAGGAAGAGCAAGGTTGCAAACTACATGTCCTCTTTCCTCGATCCCCCGGTGAAGAAGGTAACCGTTCACCATTCGGGTATGAGCTGGTTACTCTTAGAACTATCCTCATCTAGGACCTTTCTGGCCGCTTCTCGGCCAAGCACAGGCAGTCGCTCGATTTCTCTCTCTCTCCCCTCCTCGGCCGTCTTGAACGTCTTTGGAATCAGGGTTGGGTCAATCAAGCCGATCTGTACCAGTACCGTCGCCTGATCCCAGTGGATATGCTCGTGGAAAAGTCTCCCTCCTCTCACGCAAACGACGGATACTAGAACTACTTCGACCGTCTTGTCTGTTGGGGGCACCCCAGGAAGCATCCACGGTATTTCCGTAGTGTGCGTGAATTTGACAAACATCTCATCCACGACCCTATCAGCGCCAACAGTGCGGCTGAGAAGCCTTATCGAGAGATCGGGTGGATTGCCCGGGATGAAGAAATCAGCGTAGAATCGTCGCAATTCGTCATAGCCAATCCCGCCCGTCATAGTAGGGATGTGGTTGAGGTATGGTTGTGGTACCATCGTAGCCATTGTTTTATCTACATCCTTCTCCACGAATTCGAAGCGCGTGTGATTCTCCCACACAGCTTCCAAATCAACGCCCTCGATGTCGAACGCAGTTCTGAGGAGAGCTAACGTGCGTGACCAGGCCAATGACGCACTTATCTTGTCGAACTCTTCAAGATCGTACTCTGCGAAGCCGGGGTGAGTGTTCGTGTATCGGTAGGATGGATGTCGGGTGCCGAACTTCTGGGAGCTGGCAAGGTGAATTTGCACATTGAGTGTGGGTGGAAAACTGGTGGTGGTATTTGGCATATGCGGAGGATAGTACGCTACGACTGCAGCGAGTTTGGGCATGGGTTTCATGCAAGCTTCGAGTACGAGAGCCGCAGCGTCACCGTAGGCTGGAAGTCAAAGACAGTCAGAAATACAATATCATTGTCGGGGGGAGGTCAGTAAGTTGACAGTTCTTTGTTGGACTTCGACGTAAACTATAGACGATGGTAGGATATGATAGAAAGCGAACTCAGAAGGAATTACGTACCCACGATTGCATATCGTTCGCCCAACTCGAGGGGATCTTGCAACTGTTGCAACTTTGCAACATAGTCCGCATGATTGCCCTCGTACGCCAGGTAACTCAATCGGAAGCCTTCTTCTTGGAAATAAGATATGGTCGTAGGATCAAACTCGTCGGTGTCACTGGTCAGGACCACCCGAGGCATGGACACGTCCCAGCTCAGATGCACGGCTCGCCCATTGCCTCGAATCTTCTGTTGTTTGAATCGGGCAGCGTCACCCGGAGTAGTATCGACGTCGATAATGGGTTTTCCGCCAACCTCAACGCGGACCATTTGAGAGGTGAGATGGAGAGGATATTAGAGGGGTTCGAGGTGTAGAGGAGACTCGGATAACTTGAGGTGAGGATGGGCTGCCATCTGCAACTGCATCCCATCCCCCAGCTGATTGGGCATGACGTAAAGGCGGTCCTATAGGGTTACTGCGGAGCACAGAGGTTTGAAGTCATTATCGGAAAGCTTTTTCAAAGCATTGATATCCATGCCAGTGCCATCATTTTATTTTTCATTCCTAGAAAGGTGGGACTGAGTTGAGCAGACAATCCATTTACCAACTCTGAACCTAACTGGTATCATTGACTATTCCGTTTGTGGATGTTCCAGAAAGAGGACTCTATGCCAGCCTGGATACCACACTCCACCGTAACCGCTTGGAAAACGGATGTGAGACACACCTTTCTCTACCTAGGAGGGGGGCCCTATATCAACAATGTGTCTGCCCAACAGGGCATTAAAGATCCGGTCCATCGGTCACAAGCCTTTCAGACATGCCCATCGGTATCGCCGAATCTTCTCCAGCAGAGACAGGCTTTTCCGCATATCGGAGGAGGTCCAAGATGCTCTTGCAACGAGCAAGCCCGTCGTCGCTCTGGAGACGACCATATATACGCACGGTAAACGATGAGCATGATGCCGTCGTCACATTCCACTCAAGACTCATTGCTCGCCAGGCTTCTCCTATCCTAACAACGTCGCTTTATCCTCTCGCCTTGAATCCCTAGTACGCGTCAATGGCGGTGTGCCTGCAACCATTGGAATCCTTAACGGCACGGCGTGTGTGGGCATGGAGGCCGAGGACCTGATACAACTCGTCTCTACCGCTGGTAATGAGAACACGTGGAAGATCTCGAGGCGAGATCTGGGCTTCATTGGTGGCCTGGGTTTAAGGGGTCAGAAACTTAATGGCGGAACAACGATTGCTGGTACGATGATCCTCGCACATCTGGCAGGGATAAAAATATTTGCCACCGGCGGCCTGGGAGGAGTCCATCGAGGGGGAGAGAATTCCATGGACATCTCAGCAGATTTGACTGAGTTGGGCCGGACACCCGTGACCGTAATCAGTTCTGGGTGCAAGAGCTTCCTCGATATTCCACGGACTCTGGAGTATTTGGAGACACAAGGTGTCGGCGTGGGCACATTTGCAGATGGAAGAGAAGGCGCCGTGGACTTCCCGGCCTTCTTCTCTCGAGAGAGCGGTGTCAAAAGTCCCAAAATCATCCTGGACGAAGCCGATGCTGCCGCCATTATCTACGCGCAATCCAAGTTTCCGATCCACTCGGGATTACTTTTGGCCAACCCAGTCCCGGAAGACTCGGCAATGGAAAAGGACGAGATTGACTCTATCATGGCTGAAGCTGTCGCGGAAGCCGAGGAGAGAGGCGTGGGTGGAAGTGCCAATACTCCTTACATCCTGAAACGGATCCGGGAACTGAGCAACGGTGCAAGTGTGAAGGCGAACGAGGCTCTAATTGAAGCCAATGTCATTCGTGGGACCAAGATCGCCGTGGAATTGGCCAAGCTGGAACGACAAGACGGAGCTGCACCACAGCGGTGAGCCGTGTTAGACTTTCCACGTGTTTATTCGGACACGTATTGACGATTCTTAGATTGCCCGTGGCAACTCTCGACCAGCCCAGAAGGAAGCTGACGATGCCGGGGAAAAGCACATCTGAGACAACCGAGCAACTGCATCGGCAGGTAGAGCTACTTGTTGCAGGCTCACTTGCTAGCGATACACTCTGTGACTATCAACCACTCGACAATACTTCAAATTCGACCTCGCCGAGTCTCCACACTTCCAATCCGGCCAACATTTCCCAGTCTCCAGGTGGAGTTGGGCGTAATGTGGCACTGGCTGCTTACCTGGCCGGTGCAAAAGTCACCTTGGCGAGTGTGGTTGGAGACGATCTTGCAGGGTCATCACTTCTGGACCATATCAAGACAAGCGGCCTCGACATTGCGAACATAAGGAAGCTTCCTACCGAAGACGGTGCGAGGACAGCGCAATACGTTGCAGTCAATGATCAAAATAAAGATCTCTTGCTTGCGATGGCGGATATGTCGATCTTGGCTCGACCTGAATTAGAGGCATTGGACTACTGGATGGCAATGATAGGAAAGACTAAGCCGAAGTGGGTTGTCATCGACGCCAATTGGTCTCCGGCAATCCTCTCGTCAATATTTACGGCTGCGAAAGCCCATCAGGCGATGATTGCCTTCGAACCCGTTTCCACCGCCAAAGCTGCACGCCTTTTCCACAAACCCACTTCGGCGAAAACGAGCGCCAAAGTCGTACCAAGTCATGTTATTAGCCTCGCTTCTCCCAATGCTCTAGAGCTGACGGCCATCTATAATGCAGCCAGGGATGCGCTGATGTTTGAATCCGAGCAGTGGTGGCGCGTAATCGACAGTTTGGGTCTCTCGGGAACAGATCCACGACATCGCCTGACTTCGGTTGCTGGGCGCGAATTGGTTGACGAGGGCATCCCGCAACAGTGCATTCAGCTCTTGCCATTTATCCCGAACCTAGTGACAAAACTCGGGCGGAAAGGGTGCCTTCTAGCATGTTTACTGAGGCACGGGGATGAGAGACTAACTCGCCCCGAAAACGCCCCGTACATTCTGTCTAGAAATTTCTCTGATTCTTCGGAAATCGGCGGAGTGTATATGCGACTCATCCGCCCGTCCTGCGAAGTCAGCCAGGAAGAAATTGTGTCTGTCAACGGGATTGGTGATACAATGCTGGGCGTTATTGTTGCAGGCCTTGTAAAGGGGCGCGCGCTTGAAGAGGTGGTACCGATTGCCCAAGATGCTGCCATACTTACCCTAAAGTCTGCAGAAGCAGTGTCGCCAGAAGTTCGGAGCATTCAAGCCAGACTGAAATGATCAGAGTGAGACGGCCTTTCGAAAATCTTGGGTCCCTTATGCGGCGAATGGTCAGATACGGAAGATTTAACGCACCAATCCCAGCTTCACACGAATTGAAAACCCCTTACTCAGCAGCGGACCGGCACCATCCCTCGTTGCTCACTAGGGTTATCTTTTTATTACGTCAAAGTTGGGGCCCATCAATATATACAAATTAGCCTTACCTCCATAAAGCCCGCGCACCACTGATGAGATCATGCCGCTGCTATATGCACTCGAACTTGCTGTTCTCCTCTTTGCGCGGAATGCAGTCACGGATTCAGCCATTGGCCGAAATATAATTGATTCCGAGGTTTCCGAAGCGTCAACCAACATTTCCCATACTGCCCAATCGATATCCCAAATCAACATCCTCAATCCTCGAGATCAATCCGGCATTGACATCGACATCGCTACGCGACAAGTTTCCTGTCCCGACCCGTCGACAAATTCGTACTGCGAATCAGGCTACTGCTTTCTTGTCCAAAATAACGTCGATTCGGCGTGGGGGACGTGCTGTCCGGCCGGTTGGTATTTGCAGTTAAATTCGGCAGAATGGTCGACGCAGAGGTGCTGTCCTGCTGGATCGTCGTCTGATCAGTGTGACGACGATGGTGTTTCGCAACCGCCGTTGCAGCCTCTAGATTGTGGGAGTGGAGGAGTGACTTCAGGGTGGGCGTGTGTTTATTCAAACGAGAATGCTAACGGCGTCAAAGTTGAATCAGCGACGTGGCTGAATGTTCTGATAATGTTGTTGAGCCTGGCTTGGATCGGCACATGGATCTACGCATGATCTGCTAGATGGAGTACTCTACTTTTCATCAATTTGCGGTAGACAAATCAGCACTGCTTGACAATGTTCCGCTTTCATCATCGAATCATGAAACAGTTTGAACGACCATTCGCGAAATACGCAAAGAGCAGGTGTGTACTTCGTACTCTATTCATTGCCATTTCTACGGCTCTACTAGAATGAAACATGAGCAGCTCCCGGCACCCAGCTCGCTCAAAGCGAAAGTTCTTCGTATCATCACTCTGCCGCTCTCGTCTCGTCGCACGCCTCGTAAACAAAAGATGATCCAACATACCAATATTTATCCTTTGTGATCGCCGATTACCTTGATCGGCGACCTCGGGGTTTTCCATCTTAGAACTTTTCCCCGTAGAGTGGGGGTTGGCCTTTCTAGTGACCGTGAACTGACAACGTCTAGAACAAAGATCGGGCTAAGATCTGGTGATATACAAGGGCACAAGAACGTAGATCCACGTATATAAGGATCATCGTTCCTCCAGTTTGGCTGACGGAAGCTCTCGCATATTCCCCGGCGCAAAAAAAAAGGTACTCTCAACTACACCCCGCCTCGCGTATCGAGTCATATTCTGACGCTACAGATCAATTTTGGACCTACAATTCGAAGCCAACACTATAACATTGTGAACGAAGATCGTCAGGAATAAAATACCGCAAAGATGTGCATGAAGCGGACGTGTCCGAATTGCCGTACGTCTTCTCTGTCCCTCTTCTTTTCTCTCTCCCTCCACTTCCATTCCCTCGCTTCAAGACGTTGCCATTGCTCCCGTGACGACGGCTGAGATGGATCTTTCGGCTCGTATACCTCAACTCACGCGGTGCTTCTTTCATACAGAAAAATCAACTTGGTGGGGCTGCGGAAACCACATTCCGTCGGTGATGGATTCGATCCCCGAAAACGATAGGTGTAGTTGCAAGCCTACGTGCGAGGTGGATGGGAAGACGTACCCGCCAAAACAAGGGGAGGGGAAACCTGAGAATAATTTGTCAGGATAGGGAAAAAGATTGCAATTGCTGAGATGCTTTTCATTCCGTCTGTCGGATCAAGTGAAAATGATGCCGCCGTCAATCACAATCGTTTGGCCCGTGATGAATTCTGCATCCTTGGAGCACAGGAAGCCTCCGACGGGATTCCCGACGTCTTCAGGGACACTGACTCGACCGAGCGCCGTTAAGTCGGAGCTGTATTTCTTCACTGACTCGCCCTTTCCTCGCCCTTCGATCTCGCCGAGCTTCTCGTCAATGAGATCCCACATCGCCGTGCCTACAATGCCGGGCGCATAGGCGTTGACGTTGATCTTGTGCTTGGCCATTTCCATGGCGAATACTTGCGTGAGGCCGCGCACTGCCCACTTGGAGGCGCTGTAGTGTGAGAGGAGTGGGAACGGCTTGAACGCAACGATGCTCGCCGCCCCGAGAATTTTGTATCCACTGCTGCCCTCAGGGACGGGGCCCTGAGCGATCATCTGCCGTGCTGCGTGCGTGTAGCATAGCCAGACGCCCATGAAGTTGACGTTGAACATGCGCTGCACATCCGCGTCCGAGATATCCAATGCTGGAGCCACCTGTGCGATGCCTGCGTTCGCAACCATCACTGTCAACGGCCCCAGTTTGTCTACCGACTCTTTAATCATGGATTGCACGTCTGAGGAGGAGGTGACATCGGCAACGACTCCGATTGCAGATCCCGAGCCGTGCGTTGAATTCAGTTCCGCTACTAGTTTGTCGATGCCAGCTTTGTTCGCGGATACATCGTTCACGCACACGGCGTAGCCTTCGGCCGCCAGACGGCGGACAATGGCTTCCCCACTGAGAAGGGTCAGTAGTTGGCTTGAAGACAGCGAACGGGAGTAATGTGTGGTGGACTTACATACCCCGGCTTGAGCCGGTAACGATCGCTGTCCGCTTGAACATGCTTTCTGACTCTCGCCTCGGATGCTCGCTCTCGTTTCTGGAGTTTCAGCAGGATTCTTCTGAAGGACTATCTTATAGTCAAAGATCTTCGATGCTGATCGGCCATGAAGGACAATCAAAGACCACTTTCAGGCTTCTTGTTATATACACTTGCATCTTTGACCAGGCTTCCCTGTAATCCCGAGGTTCCCCCCCTCCGGAGGTACGGAGTATCATTATCACATTCCCCCCGGTTTCATTCCACTTATCCATTGACTTGTCCTCGTCGAATCGATTGAAGTGTGGAGTAAGCCGTCTTTGTGGGCTGGGAACGAGGAGAAAGGTTGATGCGGGGCAATGGACACCGAATGCAGCTCGGCGGAAGAGTTCCGAGAGGTATGGACACTCAAAGGTACTGATGCTGGAGAGTAATCCTTGGAGATGCGGAGAGGAGCATGAATTTCGTTTCGGAGCACTGGGGTATGTCGTAGGGCTCATTGTTGTCGGACAGGATTCTTGAAGTAACAACCTACCGAAGCTCTCTCTTTCTCCAATGTTGATCTTGGTTGCCAGACATCATCATTTGTGGTCCCCCGACCAAGTCTTCGGTATAAGGGCTCCGAAGCATTCTTTCTTCGAAAGCTAGGCAAATTGTCCTCGCATCTGCTAGTCCGCCATATAAGTTTATTCGACGTCCAAGGCCCTCTAGCCTTCTGTCGAATGTTGAGAGATGAATGGCAGAACCTTGCCGGCAGCCACAGTGTTGGAGCACAGAGATGAAGTCGTGGATGTTCTATCGCAGCGCCACACTGCCAGTTATTTCGAACAAATGCCGAGCAGACGCACCAGAATCCATCAATCCATAAACTTACAGATGGGAAGTCGATACCGGTCGACATTCCAATATTTTCGTCGGACCCCTTCCCATTCCCCATCTAGTTTGGGAAGGTCGACGTCTTTCCACTCCACATCAAAACCAGATTCGAACAAGTCCAATTCCAGCACTTTTTGATAGACGTCGTAGCTGATTTGTCTGTCCGCGCCCATTCCGTTGAAAAAAGACCATCGGCCGTCCGGATTCAACAGTCCTATTACTTGCTCGGAGAAAAATTCTCGGAATTGCGAATAAGACTCGGCAAATGTGTCGAAATAAATGGCGTCGAAGACTACTCCTTCCGAGACAAGTCGAGGAAGAACATCCTGCCACTTTCCATTATGGACAATGACGTTGGACTTGTCCATCCACCCCTTATGGCTCATTTCGGCCAGAATGTCTGGGTGAGCCTCCAAAATATGGTGATTGGCCGGTTTGTTGGTGTGATTCTGGATATGTGAGTCGACGATGCCCATACCGAAGCCAATGTTCAATATTTGTAGATTTGGTTGGAACAAAATTGCATCCGCAGACTGGGACATGATGTCGCTTTCCCATGCCATCATTACTCCGTTATGCCGTTCGTCCAGTAGTTTGTCCTTGCCGAGCGACAGAGTAGACGAGAGGTACACCGAGCTGTTGACCTCCTGTTGCAAATCTGTGGTTTCTGCATCAGGCGTCTGCTCAAGTTCAGTACCGGCAGGTTGCGCGTCCTCGACGCTGTCTTCCTCGGCATCTTCATTGTCGTTCAATTCCTCGTACTCTTCCAGCCGGCTCAGCAGCATTTCGGCACGAACTCCCGCATCGACCATGATGTGGTATAGATGGCTCAGTCCCAATCGATGGGCAAGACAGCCAGGGGTTTCATCATTATTGTCTAGCTGATTCCATATCGCTCCGTTCTCCAATAGAAATCTGAGAGTATTGGCGCCTTGTTCTTCTTCCTGGTTCGAGGGCTCATGTCCGTCTCCGTTCGGCAGAGTCTGACATGAGGCGATAGCAGCATGAAGGGGTGTAAATCCAGTAGTAGGGTCCTGCACGTCGACGGCTTTACACTCCATAAAGGAATGGGCGTTGATGCATCTCTCTAGCGCCTGGATGTCGTGCTTGGATGAGGCTTGGATGATTTCTTGTATTTGGGCCCGCACTACTTCATCGTCACTGCCAGTCGACATGTTGATGGACCTGTCACCAAGGTACCGTGGGAGGCTTGCCTGGGGGACCCGGGGGAAGAAAATTTGATACTTCGGAACAAAGAAAATCCGTACCCGAAAGGCGACTAGGGCTTCCGGCCAAGACTAAAATAAAAACCCCGTGACTGAGGGTTACAAACTTGAACTTAAAACGACGCATCATTTAGTTCTTCCAACTTGGCCTCTCTCTCCAAAGACCATCGCAGCCTTGATATCATCAAACCCAGCCATCATGAGCATTGTGAGCCTGGCTGAGATGTGAAGGACAATAAAACTGCCATCCCGGCGCCACTTTATCCCTAAGCGAGTCATTCTTTTCCCGATATCTCAAATCGCTTCCAACGACAACGGGTCGCCAATTCTCCAGCTTCCAGACTTCCTAAGGGCGCGGGGACTGCATCTTGCTTCTCTTGGAGAAACATGCGGTCGCCTCCATCCAAGCCATGTATCTTCTTGACATCAAACCGTGATGCCAAGTTTTTGGATGTGGTAGGGGCTTTCGGTAAGCCTTTGGCCCGCCGGGGTGGCAGGTGTCGAGAGTTTTCAAACAGATCTTCCATCCTCGAGGCCATCGGACCATTCACCTGTTGAGTATTGCTCTTGTCGCAGTAACTCGTCGCTGAAGCCAAGGTGCGCTCGTCGTCTGCTACGGCACCGTGAAATTGTCGCCAGCAAATTTGCTCCATCTGGGACTGCAAATTCCGGCCTTGGCTGACATCCAAACAATTCCTGTACGCATCACTTATCTCTATCTCATAATCTGGCGTTCATTTGCTCCACTATTTAATTCCCAAATCACAAAGCGATGGGCAAGACAAAAGGCAAAAGCCTAAAGCCGGCAGGCATTGACAGGCCAAGCGAGATCCTTTCCGAATCTCTACCTTCTGTTCGGCCGAGGAGCCCGCTGAAAGCTGCAGATGGCCACAATGTTGATGGATGGGCGGATGAGGATATCCGCACGTACAATGAATTGCTCAACGAAAGAGCAAAGCTTGAGAAGGAGAAAAATGAGCTCGAGCAGAAGTCGTCGAGACACCAAACCCAGCGAGCATTACTCGACGAGAATGCCACAGCTCTTGACAACCTCTTCAAAGCACAATTAGGAGGTGATTTCAAGTTCATCGGGTCTGGTTCGTGCTGTCTGGACGCAGATTTTGACGATCCTTGTCTAGAGGGATCCGAGGGCGCCGACTTTCCTTGTAAGCATGAAATTTGCATGCGGGCAAAGACCAAGGGTGTCTCGTGGATGGAGATGGACACGATTAAGTATTACCATGCAAGGATCATGTCTGAAAAATCCCAAAGAATGCAAAATGCACTACGCAAACAAAGAGACGTTGAGTTGGTTCGTGTCAAGAAGGATGATGAAGAGGAGCTTGCTTTGAGAACACGCAGGAATGCCATTCTGGACAAAGCTACCCGCAGCAGCAGTGGTTCAGGCGCCCCCCCGGCTGACGATCGCGACAAGAGTGGTCTTTGGGGTTCATCCCCGTTAGATATGCTCACTCCCAAAGACTTCCTCTTTGATCCAAAGAACACTGCCATTTTGGAGGCAGCTAAAGAGAATGAGCACATCGTGCGGCGGATTAGGGGAAGGCTGGAAAAGATCCGACATGACGTCAATGCAGGCAGGGTGTCGCCAGCAGATGCGCGTGTCAAGCTGGATCAGGCCAATTCTGAAATGGCGGAGGCAGAGAGAAAGAACAACGAGTTCCGGAAGATGATTCTGGACGCCGAGCCCGATCTCTCGCGATTCAAGTTTAACCCACACAATTCTCCGGGGCTGTCTACTGTCCTCCAAAACACCCTCGCCTCGACAAGTGCAGACGCCTTTTCTCAGGCCTTGAGTGTCATGAAGGGCTTTTTTAGTGCGTCTGATCCCCATGACGTGCAGACCGCCATCGCAGACCTCCGCAGTGTTCTCGAACTCAACGGGCCCATGTCTCCGGTCCTCCGCAAATCCTTCCAAGCTCTGGAAGAGATGCTGGCTAAACCGAATGCCAAAGGCTTCACAGTCGATGTTTCCACCGGCGATGGTAAAACTCGGACCTGTAACAACGTTGTGGAAGTCATGATGAATCTCCGGATGAAGATGCAATCTTCAGACAATCCCTCCGCTGCGGCCGATCCGGATTTGAACCTTGACGAAGACACGATCAAAGCGAATCTCGAGTGCATCAAGGTGGAGGAAGCGGCAAGAAACGAGATGGAAAAGGTCTCGGACAGGATGTCTGTTGACACCATTGAAAATGTCTCGGCGGCCCTCAAAAAAATCAAGTCGAAGGCTATTTTAAAGTCTCCAATTCCACCTCTATCCGATATTGTCCTGGACGACGTGATCACCGATATCCTCTTCCACCGCTCAGTCAAAGCTCTGGCGGCCGAGGCAGCTCTTGGAGAAAATGTTTCCCGGCTGTCGGCCAGAACCACCGCGCTCGTGATTGCCACAGCTCGAAGCAAGCCCGAAAAATACCTAGAATCATTAGAAATGATCAAAGCTTCCATCAAGAAGACACAAAAGAAGGAACCACCTCAAAGTCTTCTCGAGGCAATCTCGAAAGTGGAAGCCTCGATTCCGAAATTTGTCGCCGCACAACTCGAGAAACAGAAGAAGCTCGCGGCCAAGAAAGCAGCATCTACCGGCTCTGCGACAGGGGTTGATCCGGGATCAAGCAGTGCCAGGCAGTCTTCAACCAGGCATCTGCTTGACGGTACCTTTGCGGATGGTGAGGCATGGGATCTTTTCAAAAAATTCTTCGATACCCCGATGGTCAAAAACGCTGGCACGGTACGTGCGCGCGTCGTTGCGCACTATCATTTTAATATCGAAGACGGCATCTGGGAGATGTTCCGAGTCATCGCCAATCATCACATCCAACACACCTTTCGGTTTGAACCTTGGGATGCTGAGAAAGAGTTCTACCGCGCTAATATGAGTCTCGCTGCCTCGAGACCGGAGAAAGTCCACGATACCATCCTGACCCTCAAAGAGAAGGGAATCTGTCCTGGCATGGCTGCCGTGGTGATTGCACAACGTCTTACATTCCAGATCAGAGACAATTTCGAGGAAGCCAAAGACATTTCAATTGTACTGAGAAACACGTTCTCCCATTACGACCCGACCAACAATGGGGAATGGTTCCAAGTGTTCAATTTCATAGCCCAAGCTATGACAGATGTTCTGGCCGTCATTGTCTTCTCTGTTTCCGCCCTCGAGCCTAGGGATGCATCGGTCATGGCCGCCGACGTGAACGGAATTCTGAGCACATTCGTATTGGCAGCCGTGGATGGAGATCAGGCCGAAACAAACCTCCATGTGATCGAAGCGTTCATTAGAAGTATTTTGGTGGACTCTGTTGATGAAAGTGAAACCGACAAGCTACAAGATGTCATCACTCGATTCCTTCACATGTGCCAGTTCTCACGCTATAGGTGCTCGCCGCAACACACATGTAAATTACGGATAAGAGAGCTCAACGTCGAGAAATTGAAGCCACTGGTTCCTGCGCCGCTCAATTTGAAAAAGAGGCCGCCAGAGAGCGCTGCAGGGGAAAGCCAGCATGTGCCAAGCCCACCGGGACTCCCTCGACATATCCTTCTTCAATCCAAGGTGGATGAACATTGGGACATGGCTTGCAGTCTCGTTCCTCATCTGTCTTGTCCAACGGGAAGCGAGTGCGACTGCAGTCCAGCATTGCAAAAGTACGCAGAAGAAATGCGGGCCCTAAAATTGGGGTGCGACGCCGATTTCGACGCCATCAACTCCCGGGCCGAAATGGGCATGTCGATACCAGACACTCTCATGGATTCAATTGAAAAGAAAGAGTCAGCAATGCACAATCAACTTTTCAACTACGGAGACTGGGCCAAGAAACCAAGGAGCCCGCTCGTGTTCAAATTGTCGCGGTTTGAAGAGCGCCTCGCCGATGCCTCGACGTCGGGAAAGACCCTCAGTAAGGAGCAAAGCATGCAACTCAAACAAGTTCCAGGAGGCGTGCCGAGTATCCAGAAGAGTACCTCGAGCAATACTTCCGAGACAGGCAACCTCGAGAGAGAATCCAAAGATGAACGCAACCTTCAGCCGACCGGAAAACCAGTCTCGGTAAACGCAGGAGCACCAGATGTGGAATCGGGACAGTTCACCTCTCTGGTCGACTTGGGCCTCTCTGAACCACGGAATAGAACTGTTTTCGCAGCTCAGTCCGACTTCCCCATGAGCGAACGGGAAGGTACAATCAAAGCCCAGATACTCGAATTCATCCACGGAATATACAAGATGGACCGGGTTGCCTCAGAGTTAAATGGTCTTACTTTCCGGGACACGCTCCATGGTGTTTCACTGCAACTACAAGACATGGCAATTGGACACATTGAAACGGCCTGGATCATCGCCAGAGCTCAAGGCTACACCGGATTGCAAGCTTGGCTGGAGCGAGAATACGCTGGAGTGGAAGACGATAGAATTACACGTGATGTTCATATCCGGGTCCCAGCAGAGTATGCTACGTCAAAGGCTGAGAATAAAAGTGCTCCTAAGAAAGGCCCAAACCCATCTCAGGGACACACTGCCCGACCTCCCCCAAGTCCCGCTGCAGGAGCACCTTCGCTCGAGCGGCACACTGAGCAAACACTCACTGAGATGGAGCGAATAGGTCAAGATTTTATTCAAAAGATGCAGATCATCCCTCAGCCTCGCATCGGTCGTCCAAAGCGCAAGCAGTAGACAGACCATCGTTCCGTCTTGCGAATTCTTGATATCAGACCAATACCAGTCACTAGGCTGCAAGACACTTCCATGCAAGCATTTTCGGCCGGAGTTTGCGGCGCAAACGGCGAAGAGCAATGTGACAAAATGCATCTTGTTATGAATCTCGAATACGAATGCATAATGCAGGTTCAAATCGGCATGGATCCGAATCCGTGGGCTTTCCTTTTTCTTTTCGATTTCTATCCAAAGCAATAGGACGGAGTGATGGATCAGGCTTTTGGGGCTGGGCATGAATGAAAATTCGATTTTATGTTGAGGGTTTGTTAACGGCGCATGACACCGGAGAGACTCTATTGGGCATTTTCTTCGGCGTTACATTTCGGGGCTTCATTTTTCTTCTACCCATGAATTTTTCGACGTTCTCTTCCTTTTTTTTCTCCACCGGGGGGGGGGGGAGACTTTGTGTGAAAAGGGGGATGATTGTTCGGTGTCATGCTGAATGTGCAAGTCGAAATGACGGTAGAAGGCTCCAACGGGAGCGGCCCCCACAAAAGAAAGGTCGAAGGCGTCTGTATTCACAAAGCTGTGCTCGATCGACGGACAGCCCAGGGCTGAGGGCTGGGATCCCAGTAGGTAATCATAGAGTAGCACTGAGTGAGAAAAATTAACGCTTCAAGATGACTTCCCTTTCTGTGACTTTCTGACCGATTGGAGAGTTAGTATGTCGTATCAAATATAGATTTTTGAGTCTATCTTTCTTTGTTTTTGATTTTGTATCCCTGTCGAGCTCTGTGCCCTCCAGGAGCAAAAGGCACTCTCAGCATCGATAGCACTCGAGAACATTAATTGATCTTCCCATTCAACGTCCCTCATTGACGTTTGACCTAAGGCCCACCCGGTGTGTTAGGAGGGCAATCTACCCTGGTCATGACTCGATTCGTTCGAACGCCAGTGTTTCTTTCCCTTTCCCTCCGAACGGTAATGCGCAATATATGTCCACTATCCATATCGTCCACAGCACGCACACTTCCAAAACATGCAACGCCGCAGACAACGTCGTGGGGTTGAATGCAGCCTCCTCCCGTGAGGAGCCGTAAGTAAAGAGCTTTGAAGGAGTCAAATGTGACCACCCCCAACTCCGACGCGCGGCTCGATATCCATTTTCTCTTGTCATTTCACACGCCCGTAGCACCTGGAGCATCTTTGTCCGCTTTCAGGCTCAGGAGGAGTTCCCGCATTCTCTTCTTGGACGAGCCATCTCCCCCGCCTTGCTGGCCTTTGCCGCTCAAGTCGACCAATTTTGCGATCCGCTCCCAGCTCGTGCCTCCAGCCGTGGTATCCTCTCTCTTGGCGAGGAACTCCTCGGCTTCCTTCGCCGTCTGGGCCTTCTGTTTGTCAACTTTGCGGTTGTAGGATTCGTAGAAAGAGTCGATGTCTTTCTGGGCTGTGGCGATAGTCTCGTCCTTTTTACGGGCAGACGCTTCATCTCTTCGGCTCAGGTCCGCGTCTCGTTTGGCTCGCCACTCGCGGATAGGCTCGGTGTCTTCTTCTTGTGAAGGAGCAGTGTAGTTTGTATAGCCCGAAGTGCTTTGGAAGGGAGCGGTGCTGGTTATGGTGCCACCAGGGCCAACGTTCTGTGGTATATCAGTCTTGATGTGTTTTTTTGCCAAAATGACCAAAAAAAAAAAAAAAAAAAGGTTCTGGGCTTCGGGGGTCCAGCATACGTCGTTTCGAGTGTCAATGGCAGGAAATGAGCTTTCGAAATCATCCAACTCATTCTGCGCCCCGCCTGATAGCCGAGCCGGGGCTGATGTGAAATCTCCATCCCCTCCTAGCAAGTCGTCATCACCATCTTCTACAGTCGCAACACCGGATTTATCGTGGGCGGCAAAGAGCTCGGCGTCTTCTCCTAGGAGCGCTCGTTCTCGGTCAAGGAAATTGCCTTGCGCGGTGGATTCAGGTCGCACGTTTGTTTCTCCTGCAGCCAGAGTTACTATGTGACAAAGAGAAATCCAGGACGTGATGAATTGCACAATAACCACAAGTACTCACCCGCATCAATGTCTTCGATGGAAGGGAAACGGTCTGCCATGGTTGGGCAGCTGGCGGAAGGGGAACGGGACGGATTTGCAGAAAATAGGTTGGTTCCGAGATTGGTAGTAACGGCAATGTGAGGGTGAGAAGTGATCAACGTTCAGAAAGCGAACAGGTTTGCAGGGTGCGACAGTCTTGTCGGAGTGGTGGACGAATGGTCAAGCTGGCACTTTGTGAGATTATTGACTGCGCTGGGGGCCGCAAAGGAGGACAGCGGCGTTGCTCGTCAAGTGGTTCTGTCTGACGAAAAACAGCTTCCCTGCCACAGGGAGATTTTTGATAGAAATGGTTCATAATTATTTTTCAAATGACAATATTTCAGAGGCCCTACATTTTTGAGACCACATACCAAAGCTTGCCTCTATTTGACCATATATCCATGATTGCCATAAACTCGCACAAGTAGCCTCAGCCCTTCTTGGATTGCTCTGATACATCATTGAAGGCCGGCGTCCGCCTCAATCAAGTCCCATCTTGCATTGAAGCTACGAACCAGTGTTAAGGTCAGGAGAGCGCCTAAGTCGGCATATGAACGGAGCACTGGAGAGGAACAATGGTTCTATCGAAGCTGGAGAACTCCAACGCACCTAGAAAATCTACCATCCACAGCAAACAAAACCATTTCCAATAACGGACACTTTTGTCATCCGAGTGAACGACCCTCAAGAGTTGGCCAAGATTCACCACAATTCATGCGATTGGCGCTCAGGCTTATCGCCCTTGAAGAGACAAATCCGAAATACAAATCCCGTTTGGTTTTTGTCCAACGCATCAACATCATGCTAAGAGTTGCACTTAAAGGGGGGCGCTTTTGAGCCATGGACATTCTGAAACAACTTACTCGGGTATTGCCACACAAGAACTGATCCTGAATGACCCCGAAACAAGAAATTATGTTACTAATCCTAGTCTTCGAGCGGTGAACACTTTCTGCACCAAAAGACTTAGTGGCAATTATCCGGGCTTGTGGTTCTTGGATGTACTTATCAAGGACTGTCACTATTGGGTTTCCGGGGGTATTTGAACGCTTACATTAAAATCGGATGAAATTCCAAAAGCGACGGTTTTCTTCATTCGTTCGCTTCACTTGCTCTCTCCTTGACGCATTATCCTAACCACGACAGTCATGTTTGTGACATACACTCATCCATCCGAAACTAAAGATTCACGAAAGCGAAGGCAGGTACCTTCGTACGCTGCACGCCGAAATGATAGGCCAACATCAAGCAAGGACGAAATGCAAGAAGAAAAAGGAGTTCTGAAACCGTGTACAAGGGCTTGGCGCATTGGCTGCTATCCAAGTCGGCGCGCAGAGAAGAAGCCGTTGACGGGAACATTGAAATCGGGAGCGTTCTCCGATATTCAGTCACATAGCGTCTTCAGCCTTCTCGGACATAATGTGGGAGGTACTCGTGAAGATCCTCTCCAGTCATATCCTGTCGAAGGAAATTATGTGACAAGTGGGCGGTTGACCAATGTGAGTGCATGTGTGGGCCGGCAGTTGTTCAGACCGTCGCACCTATGAACCGGGACCTATACACTGACGAGAGCGGCGGCAATTGGCTGATGTCGAGTCGTTTCCTCGCCGCCATGCAGTCTCAAATCCTATTCGAATGCATCATATTGTTTACTTTAAGTCAATTGCCTTCGTCCTACACACCCTTCCCGATGCTGCCGCAAATGGTCCTAAAATATCGAGACAGTACTGGAAAACCGCATTGGAGAATTACCAACCCTCATCTCTGTCGATGATACGACATTGGAAGTCATCACAATGTTGACGGCTTCTGAAGCGAGGCGATATTTCCCAGGTGGAGATTCATCAGGACTGACATGGGACTGACAGTTTCATCTTGGCAAATATTCTTTCGTTCAGGCCCATCGCGATGGTTTGCATCGAATCATCAATCGACGCGGAGGCCTCGAAGGTGGAGGTTTGCACCCCATGATGAAAGTGGCGGTCACGATGTAAGTCTCCATTTGTTCCAAATCAATAAATAACTCTGACTAGACTTTGAAGGGTAGAGATGGTTTGTGACCTTGCAGTGTAACCCTAGCGCCAGCCCGTCAACCCGACGATATCTGTACAGTATCTTAAAGATCCATTTCCGCCTGAACTCCACAATATGATCTCTGAACTCCCGGATGGCCTTCGGACGCTAGCCAATACTTCCAAACTCCCTGTCGAGTCGATCAAAATTCTCCACCAGCTTTCTGTACGGGTCAGCTGGCAGGCCTTGCAGAATGCGCCATCAAGTCAAGCAGGATTGATCGACCGATGAGGTTTGACCTCCGCTTTCTTGATGGAGTGGATGTATCTGATCTTGAACGCTAGGTGTGCTTCTTTATTCTCATCTTTGAGCGGAGGTGGCAGGCTATATCTCCAGGTCGAGGTCGATGCTGGCGCTTGGGCAGGCAATACACTGGCGCCTGCATGAACTCTTACAGCGTCTATTTGCTCAATACCCTCGGGTGCTAAAATGGGAAAAGGTTCTGGTCTCATTGAAGAAGTACTTTCGGACCGAAGCATTGGTCTTACAGTGGCACATACAGTAGATAAAAGCAAGTACCCGCCATGATCGTGTCGACCCAGCATGAGGGCGAGGGACAGGTGCCTGTAGAATGGCGGGTCACCTGATGTACAGCAAAAGAACATCGCGATTCGCAAAGACACGAGTCCCGAAGCACATCGACCCAAATAGAAACTTGTAAGGGAAGCGCCTCTGGCTATATTGATGGACTGATTTGTTCTTCTTCCGGTGCTATGGGCTTCTCCGGTGCGCAAAGTCAGCGATAGTCACGTGCCTGCACTTGTCGCATTTGCCGATCTTGGCAAGCAAAGCAACATCAACAACGACTTCGACCTCTGATCCAGTTCATCTGTTGTAGAAACTTCTTCGATCAGCTGCAGAAACCTTCACGAGCCATCGATTCCCATCTTGTGACATCTGAAATTGAGCACTGCTGTCTTTGGAGTGACGAATATCACGTTGCCCTCTGTGGCGGAGCTCATTACCTCCGTGTTGTCATAGCTCGTAGCATAAAGCGTTCAAGAGTAACCTCAACCGCGCTGTTTCCTGGATCGTGATCTCCTTTGCCGTTGCTCAACGGTCCAATCTACAGGAGGCGGCCCTTGTCTTTCTGCAGTGAGCGCGTGTCCATTTGAGCTGCGAGCGTGGCATAAACCCAAGGCCAAGACAACATGTCCTTCACGGATGAGGCTCTCAAGGCCAAACTTTCAACTCTCAACGAGACCCAAGACAGCATCGTCTCGGTCTCACAATGGATTATGTTCCATAAGTATGTTGGCACCCACTCTCGTTTCCCATCGTTTCCATAGGTCTCTGCCATTCAGCATCTCACATTCATCTAGAAGACACGCCGACCGGATTGCCAACTACTGGCTCACTCGTCTCCGCGACTCGCCACCTCCGAAACGGCTCAACTTCATCTACTTGGTCAATGACATCGTGCAAAATGCTCGAGCGCGTAAACGCACCGAGTTCCCGGATGCCTTCTCCCCTTTGATGCCGGAAGCCATCCAAACGGCCTACCGCTCCTCCCCGGCAGAAATCCAAACCAAAATTCGCCGTGTGATCGAAGTCTGGCGAACACGCAATGTTTTCGAAACACCAATTCAGGAAGCCATCGAGTCGCGGGTAGACGAGATCGACAAATCCAAAGGATCTAGCGGCAAGAAGACCTTGATGGGGAACTCACTTTTCAATTCTTCCTCCGCTGCCGGCATCCCCAAGGAGCTCGAGACTCTTGCGCCGCTTCAGATTGCGGTGACCAAGGAAGCCATCTCATCCCGCCCAGCGATCGACGCTGCGAATTCAGAATTCACGAAACTCAACGACCCGGCAGCCGTATTACCCAGCCCACCTGTTCATGCCGCTCGACTATCGAGCCTGATCAAGTCTCTTGCGGCAGCGGAATCCTCTGTTTCGGCCAGCATCAAGGCACGTCAAGCCCTTATTACAGACCTAGAACGCATCTTGGAGGCCAACAAGTCCGCTCTGGCCAAGGACGAAGAATCATTATCGCTGCTCGAGAGCCGGAAGGCCGCCATGGAAGCGAAGAAACGCGAAGTCGAAGACAGCATCATTCGTGGCCTGTCATCAGCTGAGGCCGCCGCGGACAATGCACCTGCCGTGGGAAATGGCGGCCATGTTCAGTCTCCGCGTTTCGATGGCAACAACGAGGCCGGCGGATTCCTCTCCGAGCGCCCCGAGATTGAGGAACTCACGCCTGAGCGCGAGTTTCCTGACGACGACTTCGCAACCGGCGGCTTTTACACACCTGGTCCTGGCCCAGATCAACCTGTCCCTGTTCCCATTTCAGATCGACCCAACAACCCTGCTGTCGCAGCGGCATTAGCTAGCTTCTCTGGAGTGGAGTATAACCCCCTTCCATCGTCTGGAAATCTCGGCGGCCGTCCACTCGGTGACGGTGCTGGCACCACAGCGCGCGTCCGGTCCGCAAGTGGCGGCCACGGTGTGAATGGGCTCAGCGCAAAGAGGAGAAAAATGTCGCACGGGGAAGATGAGATGGTGCCTGACCTGGGAGAGATGGGAATGGAGGGCTTTGGTACACAGGAGTCTGCAACATTGACGGGTGAGGGAACGGGCACGGATGATGATGTGCTGAGAAATTTGGATGCAGATGTTGATGAGCTGTTAAGGCAAGAGGGCGGAGGGGCGTAAAGAAGTTCCAGAGGGGGGGAGACCAAAAAATTGAATCTCCGTCTTTGGATGTGCGCCGCGTACATTCTCTACAAGTGATCCCTTTGAAAGCACGGTTTCTCGACACGACAGCCGGGAAATGGAACCAGCAGGGCACGATTGCCTCGTTTGGGCCCAGACGCGATCTCTGTCGTTGATTTTCCATCTATCAGATACAGTGTAACAAAACAGATTCCGTTAAAGCAAATTCGTTCTACAACCCTGAATTATTGTTCTGAGGGTCAATTGCCTCGCGCAGTTACATCTACAATCGCTACAACGATAATTACTGTCGCTAGGCTGATGGATATAAGGAGTGCGGAATCCTCTACTAATCATATAACACCCACAATCGAGTAAGTATGACTTGAACTATTAGATATTACGGCGTGCCTCGGCCGGTAGACTATACTCGAAAAGACAGGGAGGGGAACACTCAATAGCCCAGTCCAGGGAAAAATTGTCATGACAACATTTACAGCAGACGACCTCTTTTTTGGTTTCTGGTTTTCCAATCCTTCTCACTGTGGGAGATCCGTCAACATTTCCAAGATGCAATTGCGCTACACAATGCGACATCAACAATTTTCCGCATCTGAATGACGAAATGATGAGAGGATGTGTGTGTGTCCTGCGATGGAAGGAGAAAAATATGATGAAGTTTCTGCTTTTGGCTCGGGATTAAAGCAGGATCACAGCTCCCACGAAACCAGCGACGACAGCCAGGCCTGAAAGTTCCTCACGATTTGCGCCCCCGGTGTACGTTGCGGGGGCCGCAGAACTGGCACTGACGGCTTCCACTGTGGGTGTGGCGGCCTGTGGTTGTCCATCTGAGATTTGAGTCACAGGCGCACCAGTTGGGGCTTGAGGCTGACCGTCTGAGATCTGAGAAACGGGTGTCCCAGTAGGGGCCTGAGGTTGACCGTCAGAAATTTGGCTGACTGGGGCACCAGTGGGGGCCTGCGGTTGGCCATCTGAAATCTGAGAAACGGGAGCGCCGGTAGGAGCCTGTGGTTGCCCATCGGAAATCTGGGAGACGGGGGTACCAGTAGGGGCTTGTGGTTGTCCATCAGAGATTTGACTGACAGGGGTGCCGGTAGGAGCTTGTGGCTGCCCGTCTGAAATCTGAGAGACGGGAGCTCCAGTGGTGGCCTGTGGTTGACCATCAGATATCTGAGATACCACGGCGGTAGTGGCTTGAGGCTGTCCATCGCTGAGCTGACTGACGGATTGGACCGCAGTCGTTGCCACCGGTTGACCATCGCTCGCTTGTGTCGCTGGCGGCGCCGAGGATCCAATAAGCGCATAGAGATAAATTGCAACACAGTGGTCTGCCCATTTTCTGTCATAGAGATTATAAAAGTCACCACTCAGACACTGCCACCAAATGGCTGAGCCTCCGAGTGCAAGGCTGTAGTTGGAACAAAGCGAGAATCCCGAGGTATAGATGGCGCCAGCTTGCGGCGGTGCGTCAAACTGGAATTGGTAGTTGGCGGCGATATAGCCAGTACGGCCAGCTTGATCGGTGAGAACAGAGTTGGCCAGAGTGAGTGTCAACGGCCCGGCGAGTTGTCGCTGAATATGTCAGCAAAGAAGACACATCGTAAGCTAGGTGAATCACTGACTCCTACAAGGTCCCGCTTTGATGCTGAGGTCGAGACATTCACCACCGTGATTTGGAAGGTACCATCATGTGAAGCCAGACATCCTTCCGGAGAAGGCGAAGACGGTGCAATGGCAGACGTTACAGCCTGTGGCATGGGCGAAGCCACGGCCGCAAGGGCCAAAGCGAGCAAAGCGAGCGTATACTGCATGGTCGAGCCAGGCACAGTTTCCTGATTCTCAGCTCACGGTTCTAACGATTGTAAGTCGAGTGAACGCGAGACACCGAGGCCTTTGTTGAGCGAATGTTGATAGTCTTGGAAATATCTGTAGCAAAGACAGTCTCGGAGAGAAAGAGGGTAAGACGTCGAAGGAGCTGGAAGAGGTGTGGTTTTGAAGGTCCCAGCTGGTCCCTTCGGGGCGAATGGGCACCCGGCGCGCCATGTTGAGCTCGATTGATGGATCCTCGCGAGCATCATTAAGTTCCTGGTGTGATGCATATGGGAAAGATGTTCGCCGATGTAGGGCGAAAAAACCATTCCATCAAATTACAGTCTATTCATATTTTAGGAATAGCCTGTAAAAAAAAACGCGTACGCGAAAAACACGGCCGCTTTAAGGACTCATACTCGATTCCTCTATGGACGTTCTCCCCCTTATCAACACTTCCTCTTCGGAACGGTACTCTTCTTGTCGTTCCTCACAGGATTCATCTCAGCTCGTCCGCCCTCTCTCCGGTTTTATCATTCATTGGCAAGGGGCCTGGTATTACCTAACCTCTCCGGCGTCGCGAGGAGAAGATGAAACAGTTCAGGTGAAGAAAACATTGATGCCTTACCTCCAACCCGACTTCCGCGGGAAAAGTCGACATCACAACACTAATGGATATTATATACAACTCGAAATGTCCGTGCCTGCATTTTGGCGCGACAGTCTTTAGACTATGGGTGGCTGGGCAGAGGCACGATCATGACTTGTGGACGGTGAAACTCAGCTCCCCATTTGGAGAGCTATGACTGTCCGAAGGCTAACCTCGATCTTCTCTGTGAGGGAGAAAGTGTTCCTACCAAGCAGTATTCCTCAGGAAAAACGGTGGAAGCCCTGAAAGCTCGTCATTGAGGACAAATTCTTGGACGGTGTTTTGTTCTGTATGTATCTCGCATACCCTACCACCTCCGGTTGTCAATCCATCCGACGACGCAGTTGCCGAAACAGAAGTGACACTGTTTCATTCAAGGTGATTTCTGGGTGATTCTGAGAGTACAAAATGCCTCCCGCGGTCGTCCGGCCTGTTCTGATCTCACATTTGAGACATCTCTCCACACACTCTTCGGCATCCACTGGAAAGCACGATGAAGTCGGAGAAGCCCACTCACGTGAGGGGATGGCTAATACGAGCCAGCCTGGGGCTCGCATCGCGGGTGTGGGAGGAACTAATGCAACGTCAGCTTGCTCCAGTATGCAAAAGAAGCGGCACAACCTCAATGGCTAACAGTGGCAGCTCCCATGCGTGCACCGGACTATCCTCCTCATTTCGAATGCTTATTTCCCAGAGCTTTGAGAAACCCCGTCATAATCGTCGGTCAAAGCAAAGTTCAGATCGTCGAGATTGGTGACCATTTCCTGCCAGGCTACGATCGATTTACCGCGCTAGCCCCGATGTGGCGTGATGCACGGACCATGAGACTTCTCCCGTGCTTCAGCAAAAAGTTGCTCGAAAAAAGGTGGAGAATCAAAAAGGATACCCTACGCACACCACCTCTCCTCTCAACCTTTCATTATCCAATGGCCTACCCTTCCGGACCACCCTTCTGTCATAGAAAAGACATTATTCGACAGATGGCCGCCATCTTGTGTCTCTCAATGGCTTGTCTCTGGGTCTTCTCACGGTGATGCAATCTATTCCGTCACTTCCACTCAGTCAATGTATCAAGATCATTACGGCATAGACGCTGGGTTTTCTCCATTGATTGAAGCTGGCATTGATTGCTGCTTGGTTCTTTCCAAATAGTCATTACCTTGAGCCTCGCTCGGATTCCAAAGTTCACGCTTCAATCATCCTCACAATGCAGCTCCCTCATCCCCCGCCTGGACCTCCACTAGACGGAGCACACCACGTCTTGTTCTCGCCAACTCCTTGCATAAGCTTGCTGGCCACGCATGCAAAATGTCTCAGAATATGTGGAAAGATGTTTTGTTCACGCTCGATTCGTCCCCATTTCGGTCCAATATCGTCATCATGAGGGGCATACGAACATGTTCAAAAGACCAGGAATATGCAGCGCGTTACCACTACGCTGGTAAAGGTGTCTCGAAGGGTTCGTTCAGCATTAAATATCTCTACCTAAAAGCGGCGACAGATTTCATAACCCCTCATTCACCAAATGTCCCATTCTACTAGCAAACGTCGAGCCCGCGTTCTTCCATTGATCAGAACATTGGAACTTAAGTCCATCTTTGAGAATAGAGATATATGAGAGGGTCTTGGTCGGGTTTCAGCCCCCTGACCCTCGCATTGGCCCGGTACCCAAGAGTCGATTCCTACGCAGACTTAGAAACCCGAGGATTGAGGATTTCCCTGCATGCTGCCCCAATAATTTTGCTGATGGTGAGTGAAACTTTAAAGCCCCCCTCTTACCGATTAACAGAATCGAGAGCTCTATTGCTTAGAGCAACATGGACAAACCGTACTCCAGAGCAGCCCCTCAACGCTCCAAGCAATGTCTAGGCAAGCCCGGTCCTGAACCGGTCTCTGAAATCTATATCTTGGCCTTCGGTTCGGGCCACGGGGCTCCAACCCCCAGGTTGTCCGGCAACTCTACCTCCAATCTCTTGGTGTTCACATAAGACGGATTCAATAGGTCCAGACTTGTCACACCCATACACCTCATTGTCGTTTCGATTTCCTCGCTCAGCACTAGAACATAAAATCAGTCGACGCTCGTCTGACAAAGTTTCCCGTGATGGAAATTCAGTTTTGGCATCCACAAGGCCAGAGGGAATTCACGTACGCTGAACAACTTTCAAAACGCCTTCATCGCCCATCGCAACCGAATACATGAAGGGCCTACCCAGCGCCACCCCCGTGGCGCCCAGACACAATGCCTTGAGAACATCTGTACCTCGACGAACCCATCCATCCAGATATATCTCCATCTTTCCAAGCAAATGAGGGTAGAATCGTCGAATCTCCAATAGTGTCCGGATAGCACTGGGTGCGTCATCGCACTGCCTTCCACCATGATTGGAGAGGTAGATTGCATCGATTCCGTACTCAGCAGCCAATGCTGCGTCCTCGGCCGTCTGAATACCCTTTAACACGATAGGGCCGGAGTTCTGCCAAGCCTCCCGTATCCATGGTAAGTCCTCCCAATTGAGGGTTGAACTGTGGTGGCCGCGCAGAGGAGGGCCGTCCTCATTCTCCTGAGGCCGAGACCACTCGGTCAACAACGTGTCATCGCCCGATGCAGTGGCGAGCTCGGCGCGGTAGCGCTCGTCTTCCTCTCGCTTCCCCACGACCGGAGTGTCCACCGTGATGACCAAGGCCGTGAAACCGAGTTCCCGAGCCATGGTGATGAGCTCAATGGTTCGAGACTTCTCGTGCGCCACGTACAGCTGGAAGAACAGGGCGCCGTACGGACTCGATCCTTTCACGGACGCGAAACAGTGGGCCAGGTCGTCGTGCGGTATCGTCGAATACGTGCTAGGGCAATATGGAATTCCGGCCTTAGCTGCACCTCGAGCCAGACACCGTTCGCCGTCCTCATGGACCAATTTTGCGCGAGCGGCTGGAGCAATGAAAAAGGGCAATCGACTCTTCTGACCCAGTATCGTCCGCTCCATGTTGACGCGCCGGACATTTCGCATGATGCGGGGCCGCAAGGTGATTTTCTGCCAGTCCTCCCGGTTATTGTTTAGTGCTCCGAGACGGTCGGCGGCGGAATGGAAGTAAACCCATGCACTGCGCGAAATGATTCGTTCGGCCGCAAGTTCGACATCGTCGAGATTCAAGCAATGAGAAAGCGGGATTTTGGCCGTTGGGTCCCGATCGTGAGGTACTTCTGGTTTGGTCACTGTTGACACTGTCGCCGGATCGACAGGGCCGAGATGCTTTTCTTGTGGAAGTCCGTTTTCGATCGTCCCTTCGGCATGATTTGGTTCATAAATTGCGGTCGCATCTTTACCGCCATACTTCAACAGAATCGCTGAGCCACCGGGATGGTTGTCGAGATAGTCGGTCACATCGTACACTCTGCCCTGAACGATGACCCAACAGGATTCACGAGAGTTGTGCTTCGCTACTTCCAAGCCATGGAGCATTTTCGACATTTCCGCGGATAATATTTCTTTGTCCTGTTGTTGCTTTCAAATGCAGAAAAGATAGTTGGATTACACTGCGTAAAACTTGTACCGAACTATTGTTGCCGCAGCACTCATGCGGAGATCAGGCCGTGGGCGCGGAAAGGCACCGACTGGCGTGGGGAAGGAGGGCACTCACGGGAGTAAAACCGCATATAGGAATCTTTAATTACCCCAAATCTTTTGGTTCTGGTGGATGAACACTCGCGGGATCAAACTCTTTTTCGGTTCCTCAGACATGCCTGGGCTATCCAAGAATCATACAAGCTCGTCGCCGCATTGGTGGGGGGTTTCATGCCCGGCTTTTCTTCCGATCAACCGGATGATGATGATAGTTGGGTATAATTCTCCCCAACTCTGTCTCATAACACGGGACTCTCACGTATCGACAATGATGGAATTTTGATGTATTCAAGGATCAAGGGCTTTATCGATGTCTTCTCAGCCTTGTCAAGGTATTTTGTTCCAACGCTGGGCATGGTTCATCAAGTGCTTTATGCCAAGATTTCGGAGAAGCCTTTTTCCCTTGCGCGCATCAATTCTCGACCATGTTTTGCTCTCACACGTCTCATTGGATCATCTTGACTCTCTGATACCCATCGAGCAAAATAACAAATCAACTCGAGACGCGGTCTTCCATTCTCCAGAGGATTCAATTCCTGAGCCACCTTAATTCACTCGAAAAGTCTCTCGGAACTATCGTTTCAAACATCAGTATCTCCTCGCGGTGGTGTGACCGCTATTTCAAGGGAAGGCAAAAGGGAACCTCATGTCTGGTCTCTCATGACAGCTTGACGAGATGTCAATGAATCGCATCGCATACGCCAGTGCCAATTCGCGTTTCATCGGCCGCTGAATTCCACCCCGCCAACACTTTTGACCGAGTCGGGCGTGGGAGCAATCAGTCGGCGTCACGCTACTTTCAACAAAACCATCAACCACAACCTTTTATCATCATCGTCGTCATCACCATGCGCCTCTACGCGATCTCAGATCTCCATCTCAGCTATAAACACAATAGAGAGGCCCTGGACGAGCTGGAACCCCACCACGACGATAGCTTGATCATCTGCGGCGATGTGGGGGAACGCCTCGAACACCTCCAGGAAACCTTCGAGATCGCCACCAAATTCTTCAAACAGGTCTTTTGGGTGCCCGGCAATCATGAATTGTACACCTTGCCAGGGGACAATCGTGAAGACGACGTTGATAAAGAACTGAAAGGGGAATTCAAATATCAAGAGTGCGTGAGAGTGGCCAATGAATTCGGCGTCATTACCCCCGAGGATGAATATGTCAAATGGGAGGGGGAAGGGGGCCCTTGTATAATCTGCCCAGTCTTCACGCTATATGACTACAGTTTCAGGCCGGCGGATGTGACGCGAGAAAATGCACTTCAATGGGCGATGGATCAAAATGTCTATGCGACAGACGAGGCTTTACTGCACCCCGATCCGTACGAGACGCGAGAAGCCTGGTGCGAAGACCTTGTATCTAAAACGGAGGAGCGATTAGAAGCAGCCGCCACCAGAGGGATTCCGTTGATCATCATCAATCATTGGCCTCTGCGCGAAGATTTGGTGACAATACCAAGCATTCCGCGGTTCAGTTTATGGTGTGGGACCAAGAAGACCGAAGATTGGCACGTGCGATTCAACGCCAAGGTCGTTGTGACAGGGCATCTGCACGTTCGTAGAACGGACTGGATTGATGGGGTAAGGTTTGAGGAAGTCAGTCTGGGATATCCTCGCCAATGGCAGGCGGCCAAGGACAGGGGCTTGAATATCAATGATCTGCTGAGAGAGATTCTGCCGGGTACGGAGGATCCTGGAGATGGCCGAACTGTCTGGCGGAGATCGGGAATTCCCTCCAGCCATACATGAAAGCTGGAAAGGATCCCGACAGCTCGTTCGGATCAAATCAGAGTGTGGCCTCGTCCTCAGCAAGAGTATGGCGAAAGGTCGTCCCATCATTAGTGTCTCTGATTGAGCGGCGGAGAGAACCGTTTTCACAACTGTGCGAGTCTCTGGATTCCCAGGAGTCCACTGTTATCACAGGCCGCCCTCAGTTGGTTACCTCGTGGACATGCCTTTACATCGTTAGCAGCACCAGGGGATCTCGCGCTCGGCCGATAACTTTCAACAGTACTGAAGTTGCCGTCAATCCTGGCCTGACCTATGACTGTTGCTGAAGATGGAAAACAATCTCTTGACCGCATTCCTCGCACAGGAACTTTGGAGCTCTCTCGATATACGAAACGGGCCATATCGACCGTTACTGAATAGGAAGCTGATCATGCCCTAGATACACAAACGAGCGCTAGAGATGACGCCTCTAAAATGGGAGATGATGAATCCGTAGAGCCTTTAGCTTTTTCAGCAGCAATCAAAGACCATTCCGGGCAGTACCTATTCAGTCCATCGTCACTCATTCTTTCATTTCTCCTTCGTTTGACACTCCACATCCGTGTAACTGACAGGCAAATGCAGCATATAAATATCGTTACCCTCGTGTGGCTCCCAGTCCAGCCCAATCCATATTCCCCCCACATTTGATCTCCTTGGTTTACGTCCCTTATCGCAAATCCAATCTCACCCTGCCAACACCCGAAGCATCTGCCAATTCGTCCGAGCGCAAGGTTGAAACATGATGTGGACCATAGTGATGCCGGTGGACGGGGTGGATGGGATCCATCCAGACGTCGCCTGTGAAAGTGTTGGATCCGTTCACGGACAAGCCCTTCGGGGTGACGAACACTGCGGACTATTGTTGATGGTAGTTTTGATGATATACTAATGAATCGAATCAAGACACTTGAACAGAATAGAATCTTGGACTCCTCTAGACATCAATTACATGGCCAGTGAAACATAATCTGATTGTCGGAAGTTGAGAAAGAGAATGAACCCCCAGGCCGGATATCCGATATGACATCATTGGCTGCTTTTCCACTTTGGGCTGCGAGATCCATCTCAACTTCTTCTACTCTCGACAGACATGACACGTGGAAACAAACGATACTCCATGATAGATAAGCAACAACGGGATGAGTCAGTTCCAGGCCCAGTTCGCTCCTCTACTCTCCAAGGAAGGGGGCTTTCAGCTTCACACGGAACCCGTCGCCGATTGAGATATTGGCCGTGCAACCAGACCCGATTATCGGAATTCTTTTTTTTCACATGACCTGTCATTGGGATCCTTGATTCGCTCTTGTTAGATCTAGATGGGATCCGATAAACGCTGTAGACATCAGCATCCATTCCTGCTGTCTCTGTCAGACGATGACAAACCGAGAGATGGACGCAACAGATGCGACCACGAAGGGCTCCTGTTCAATGGTGGGTGGCGTTCGGTACTGTCAAAGGACGACAAAAAGGTATCGAGCTGCTCGATAAGCTCCGCCTGATGTTGCCTGTGATATACTGCACTGGGGATGCCTGTATAAAGATGATCGAAGTGGTAACAGCTCTGGAGGTGTTGGCTCACTCGTCGTCTGCCGGACATGGTCACGTGGAGTCAAAGAAACGGCCGAGATGTCTTCCAATTTTAGGCGCACGCTGACATGTAGAGTCGCTTCGAGGAAAAGAGATGCTCCACAGTTAAATGCTTCATGACCTCGATTACAGAGAATGACCCCCCGGAAAATTGAAAGGCCGTACATTGCCCGGGTCTGGTTTCGATCACAAGAAGCCAATTGTCCGTGAAATAAGAAACAATTAGGGAGTCTTTCCGGGCAAAAGGTCCTAGATCCCATCCTTGGCCAGGAATGGCATCCAGAGCATTTGACGCCGTCAGTTATCCCGTCCATTAAGGGGGCACCATTGTCGACAGAGGATTTCCACTAACTTATCTTCCGGAATTTCGGCCAGATGATTGCGTTAGATATGCCAAACTCTCGTACCGGTCGGTAAATTGCGACTTTCCGGTCCTAGGGCACTGCATCGACAACGAACCGGAAGGGCCAAAAAGGGAGTCAGCTTTAGAATGAGCCGGCGAAGCTACGGGATGTTATTGAAGGGAGTTGACTTATCATCTTAATGAACTTTTCGGATGGCTGGTACAGCCAATCACGGTATACGACAGGGGCAATTATGGTTGGTGCCCTGGTCACTTGGTGGAGGGTGTTTGGGCACTGGCGTTGAAAAAGACCCGTGCAGTAGTGCGACTTTGTCCGGGGACATTTGGCTTCGTCCTGGAGGGGGCCGGGCCCCCGCAGGCGAGAACGGCGAATCGAAGGGGGGTTTGTAGGCGAGAGGGGTGTGGATTTAGCGTGAGGAATGCTCAGGAAATGCAGTTCACACACTGCCACCGTTATTCCGTACTTCGGATTTCGTTCTTCCACACATACGAGCAGATAGAATGTGAAGGGGCATATGGGCCATGATCGCGAGGCATTAGGGTTTCGACGCCACGAGCGGGTAACGGTCAAGAGGAAACTGGAACACGCTGCTAGACGCGCAATTGGCTACCCAATACGTCATTCAACAAAACAATTTACCCAATGTGGATGATAACGAACGCTGGCTACGGACATCGAAAGCTGTCTCTTCCCTCTGGTACAGGATGACTCCCCCGGACAGAGAACATGTATCAGTATGCCTATGTCCTGTGTTGATCAATCTGCCCATCATCCATCATCCAGACGGGAAGCAAGCCGATTATACCGACTGTTCCTTCAACCCTTCGAGTTTCCTCAATAATGTGCTCCCTTCCGCATGCTTTGAATCCACGAAACATCAAGATGCTGCTTTCCAAATTGGATGACTCATTCTATAAGATGTGCGGGGATATTCTTCATGCTGGTTTGGTTCAAGCGTCCGACAGTCATTTACTTCCAAAGGTTTGTAGAGATTGTCCTCAAGGCGGAGGATATTGGTTCAGGTACCTGTCAGGTTTTTTATTCCCAAGTTGTTCCCAATGAATGTCAGATATTTTCTTCAAGAAAGAATTTGGTTCAGGCGTCGGTAACGGTTCAATCTCAAAAGTTGGGTCAGATTTCCTTCAAGGAGGAGTACTTCCAGACTTTGAAATATTTTCTTCTAGGAGGAGTCTGGGCTAGGCACCCGTCAAATTTTTTTTTATTTCCAAAAGATGTAGTAAGGGAATACACAGTGGAGGGATGGAGACACATAAAATGGGCTCTTCTCCCTGTTTGTTTCTCGTTTGTATTCTTCACCGCGACAGCTCCAGGACACTCACTACACACAACACGCAACGTTTTGAACCAGTCATAAACATGAGTTTCTGTTGCTTCTGTCGCAACAATTCCAAATATGACGAGAACAGGATCCTCCAAGCGTGGTGGCAGCGCGGAAAATGATCCACGATGCATGCTTGGACAATCAACAATGCGGTGAGGGTCGCTCTCGAGGTCTACTCGTTTACAAGACAACACTCGCCGTCCACAATTGGCACCCACTCGACACGCAACAGCAACCAACAGCAACAGCAACAACACCGCTGTGTCAATGAGCTCTGCTCCAAGGGATTGGAATGGTTCATCCTGGCATTGAAAGATGAGAAATGGGAGGCTGGAAATACTTGTCCATTTGGAAAGTGAGAGCAGTCTGGAAGATGAGAATTGGGAGATAGGGAACTCGTGTTCATTTCGACATGCGGGAATCTGTCCAAAGGGACTGGAGTTTTTGATGGAACAGATAGGACTGAGAGGACCCGTGGGGGAAAACTTGTTCATTTTGAAAATTTGGGAGGCCTGGGAAACCAACCATTTTTCCGTCTGATAAGAGCAAGACCTATCTGAGATGCAATCAATAGTTCATTGAAACTCTGGGTGTGCTGATCGATAATTTTCAGGGATGCTCCCTCCTAATCATAAGCATCCGGGTCTCCCCGGTGTGCCTAAACATAGCTCTTCAGCAGGCGTCTTTTTTTTTGACCCTGTACGTCACTTCCAGTCCGGGCGACCACGCGAGAAACAAAGCAACAATTGTTCAATTGACGTCCCTGACAGAAACAATTCGTGTTCTCCATCAAGCTGTCAGTTTGGAGTTTCTAGAGCCGCCATAGCATTCCCGTGGATATTCGATCGATACCTAGGTATGCAGCTTCTGCTTGGCGGGGAGTATGCTCGACAACGGGGAGTGCCTGTGGGCGTGAACCGACCAAAGTTCCCGTGAACTCTCGCTCGGACCTTTTTGGACTCGGTATGAAATCATCACCGTGCAAAGAACCCTGAGTTGATCGTCCCCGCAATCTGGAAAATCATTCCCTCCTGCAGAGAAACAGAAACACTACAAAAGTTGTTAGTTGAACCTCAAGAATCTTCTGCGGGATTTTTCGTTGCTTCGTACCCGCAATTGCAAAGGTTCTTGAAGTTGCTCTCTCCGACTCGAATCGTTGGCATAGCTGTGGAGGCACTCGGGCTCTGGATTTGCATGGTTGCCAGCTCCGTCAGACAGATGAGATTGAGAAAGCGGACTTTGGTGAGACGTGTAAGACTTGTAGATTTATCCGGAGAGTCTGGCGTAAGACCCATAGAGTACTGGCTATGTGTACGGTAAGAATATAGCAGAACAGTCGTCATTTGGAAAATCCAGTGGACTGGCAAGCACCTCGCAGCGGGCGAGGGACGGAGTCGGCACCCTGCCTGCGTCAACCTTGGATTTTTCATTCCCTACACTGCAAATCACCGCAAATCACCGCACACACCAGCAACCACCTCACGTAGGAATTCATAGTTGTCGCCATCATTCGAATCTGTTATTCAAGTGGTCTGTGATTGCACTGAATCTAGTCATCTACATCTATTCCGCGAGAATCTTCACCGTCCTACCAGGAAGCGAGGCAACTTGCGGTTCCCAACCGAACGAAAGACGTCACCAGCACGTTCGTCTTTTTGCGCGAACAGCGCAACCATGAGGTACGAGCATCTTCTTGTTCCAAAATTCTGCCATCGTGCCTTCAGCTCATTCCTGTTCTCTATCGTTTCGCTCGATATGGGCACGACCACTGCCAGTCATACCAGCGATGACTGGCGAACTGATCCGGACCAGAGTCCACCCGAAGAGCATAACGCTGGCCACGCCCCAGGACTGCGCTTCGATGTCAGTAGGGAAGACGTCGTTCAACATGTGTCATTCACCGGAGCCAATTCCGCGTAGTTGTGCTTTGTATATGTTGTACAGTTACATGACATGGCCACGACGTGCTTCTGATTCTCAGCTTGCTAACCACGCAGAACCAATAGTTCCACACGAAGCAGTGACTCGCTTGAGTCTGTCCGAGCACCCTTTTCTGTCGATTCGGTCGGAGCCAGCTCCAGCACCTCCTCTTACTTGTCTTCCTCTTCATCCCCAAGAGACATGGGTGTCTCAGGCTTCGCTCTGGAGCGGATGCTGGCTGAAGCTCGGATCGATGCCCCGTATTGGAAAGGGCAATTGGTCAAAGAGCGAAGAAAGGAGCATTTCGCAAGGGTGGCCGTCATTCTCGGCGACGTGCAGACGGCATTCAACAAGGCCGCTCCACGTCGATAAGGAAGAGGTGGACTGAGGCGGGAGGTGTCCTTATATACAGGTGAGTATACATCTGGAAAACAAATGAAAATGTTAGTCCTCTGACAATGGATGGTGCCAGACATTCGTTTCTTTGACTTTCTTTTGTTCACATCGTCTGGCGTACTGGGCGTTATGACATAATGGGGCATGTGGGAGCAGACCGGCAACAGAGAACACTCATTCCATCAGACGGTAACATGCACTAAATCCCATCATCTTTCAGGGGCGCCGATACCAATCGGCGTCCCCCACCTGCTGTGCCATGGGTAAAGCCAGGCATCGCTCAACGCAGGCAACTTCTGGAACAATAGGATGATCCGATCCGGTCTTGGCGAAGAAAATTTGCAACCTTTGAAACTCCACCGGGGGGGGCCAAAACAGGCAGAGGGCCAGAGAAGGCAACCATAATCGATCGAAAAAGGCGGACATAACATATTGAGCCGCGACAGCCTCATGGGAAATTGGATCAGGTGCTTTGAATTTGGAACCAGGACAATCTCCAGCACAATCAAAGCATCAATCTCCGAATTCGAACCGCTTAAGAAGGCATTTTCACAATCATTAAAGCACCAGGACAGGTGGCCAGAACATCCCAAGGTCGACCCCAAAAGAGCGGCGGGCAGAAGTGCATCGAGCCGTGAGCGGAAGCAAAAGGCCTACGATGTCGATCATGGTGACAGCGACGGCTTTTGCATTTCCTCACGGTTCTCGAGAGGTGAGCGAAAATAAGCAAAGGGAACCAACGGCGCTGAAGACTTCTTATGTGAAACGGACCGCAGGAGGAAAATCCGGTGGGAAATTGCAACCCTGCATGATGGGTGCCGGACACCTTCAGGCCGGTCCTTAAAATTCCTGGATAACCAGTTGGAGCAACGCGGCACCACTCGCTCAAGGGCAGCCTTACCCTCTACGGTTTAGCCAATGTATAATCGCAACCGCCATTACCAGGTCAGGCTGGTCATCATGGCTCGGATTTCAACGCACGGTGCCACCGCGCTTTATGCTCAAAATGTTGGGGCCAGCCGGTTGCGGCTAGAAAACTTTCAGGATCTCATACCCCCGTGATTGTGGGCCCGAAATTCGAGTTTCCAGTACATATCGTTACTGAGAACATCATAACGGCGATGGCAAAAGATTCTGGATCTGTGAGATATCCTGAAGGATTGAAGCTTCTTCTACAAATGAGCTTTGATCAAGAAGGATCCTCTGGACACGGCGTGGCGCGGGCAAGCACGGCCACCTTTTACAAGCCTGTCCTTGTTCAGTCAATAGTAGAATGCACATGCCTTGTCCTTGAAAGGATCTCGGGATTGATCCATCAAAAAGTGAGAAATATTCGGCTCAGAAGCTGGCTTCCGTCATTTCTCCCATATCCACTTATGCATCCAAGCCGACCTCAATCCAATCGTCAAGTCAGAAATGCAAAATGGTCGCGTATTGGCTACATTGCCATACTTCATGATGCCTGACGGAATCATCGCTGTATCGGAGAAACGAGGCAAGAGATCAGAAAACGACGACCACTGTGTGTTTCCACACTGACACTATCCTCAATTGATCATGGAAGTCGAGTTCGTCCGCCTATCCTATTTTTGCCCGGCGTATTCCATTCGCTGTTGTTGTTGTTGTTGTTCCTTCTGTGGGATGATTGTTCAACGATGATTCATTGATGCACTGTGTCGTAAGCATCAATGCAGCCTTCGAACACAATCGAAAACAATCACGAACTAATTTCCAAAAGAAAAAAGCTCCAGAAATTTTCAAATTCATTTGATCCTAGAACAACTTTTTTGTTGAATCCACTGATCAGGTCCTGATACGGAATCATTTTATTGAGGCGGTGATGATTCAATGATCCAAGTCTCCGTCTGTCATTACTACACGATTGAGTCACGAACGAATCAATTCGAACTTTGAATTCGGTTTTCGTATGGACAAACGATACGGTGGGATGAATAATGGATGACACGATGATAATTGAAATCATGAAGACGAAAAGGGAAGTTGTCAGCGCTTTTAATGGTCGGCATTGAATAGTGCCCGACTTAACAGAGTCCGAACTGGAGATGAAAGGATTTGGCACCTTCATTTATCTTAGATATTTATTATTTTTTCGTCATTTTAGTTGAGATATTCGATTGGGCAAAGAGGCGCATAATAAGCGTTGAGCAGCGGAAACCAGCAGGATACTGACTGGTCAATTCTGAAGATTAGGGGAAAGAGCATGGAGCTACGAGAGAGGAGTGCAATACATATCTGCTTTTATAAGATTCGAAGCTTCTTCGATGCTTACAGCTAAACCATCTTAAATGGCCATATGTAGATTGGCAAATCCTGAAACATATTGACATTCGCGATTCAGCGAAATCGTTTCTAATTGTTTGGTTAATGAATGCACGCGCATGAATCTGAATTTATTCTACCGAGAACTGTGGGCGAAGAGCTGAAAGCAGTGCAACGAAAATGGGATTTCTAGTCGTCATTCTACGTCGATCATATGGTATCGAAACGCATCCAACGACAGTAATGTCGTCGTCGGCAGAAAGAAACCATATCAGAGTCCAACAGAAGAGAGACATGCTGGAATGGGATTGAGGTTGACCTGACACTGCAATGTCAATGATTCCTGGTCTGGCTTTGACGTGAAGTGACACGGCAAAATGACTCGTCAATTCTTTGCCTGTACGGCGACTCTCTCGCCTGGCTGCAGCCTGCATGCCAGGTAGCCAATCAGGCAGACTCCGTTTAAGTACAAAGAGGGCGCAGAGAGCTTCAGGTTGGGCGGGCGCGTACAGGATGCATGCATCGCCAAGGGGATTCAATTTATACAACCGGCTGTGCCGCGTGCGCTTCCTGTAACGTCGGCTCGTATCGAGTTGGGTGACGCCCGAAAATGCGTTTCAGACTTCAGCCTGAACAAAAAGTCAGGCGTAACTGCAATGTGGGTAGCCAAAATACGGAAGGAGAGGTGGGAGGATAATCGGAGGTCCAAAATCCAGCCCTACGAGTGTGGCAGAGTTTCTTGCACCCTTTTTGATAAGATCAGCCTGATAGTGGTTGCGAAATTGCGTGCTGTTTCGTGGACAAAGTTTTAGCGTTTCTTTTTTGGGCGGGGGGGCCACGCGTTTTCTTCAGTTATATCAATCTATTGTGGTGTTTTCTTTTGTGTTTCTCTCTTTCATAACTCGTACTCGTAACATCCGCCATGATTCACTCCTTCATCATTCGTTCAACGTCTCTATTCATTCAAACTCGTTGTCCGCCATTGTCCTAATGCATATTCTTCAAGTGCTCCACAAGAGCCTGAACTTGTTCTCTGACTTCGTCGGTCAGCTGATCTTGGGGCTCGCCGAGGACGTTCATCATGATGGATGCGAGTTTCGGGGTGAGTTGTTGCACTGTAGGTTCTTGGTCACGGTAGAGCTGCACGATCATCTTCCACACTGGTTCGTTCTCTTGGTAGTCGTCTTTTAGAGGGAGGATTCCGCTGTCGACAAGAGCAGGAAGGACCTGAGACACTGGGACTTTATCCTTGTGCTTGAGGATCAAGCGGGACACACAACCTGCGGCATTGTCCGTGCAACGTGCTTCAGTGATATGAAGAACCGATTCTAGTTTCTGCAGAATCTGGGGGTACGCCTTCAAGACAGTGGCATCATCGTTTGATTTCTCGACGAGACGACCAATTGCGTAGGCGGCGTTTGACTTGGTTTGTGGATCCTCATCACCAAGACGCTTGAGGAGCACAGTCATCATCTGTGACGTGTACGGAGTGACTGCGCCTTCCATGCCCGTGATGATCTCAGCAAGAACTCCGCAGGCAGAAGCCCGGCCGAGAGATTCTCCACCACTTGCGTAGCGAAGGACTTGTTTCTCGAAGATTTTCCACAATTCGCCGAAGCTGGGACCGAGAGCCGCAGCGAGGCCAGAGATGACATCCATGGCACTATCGACAACGAGCCATTCAAGTTCTGTAGATTCCATATCTTCCTCATCCAATGCTTCTTCTCCCATGTCAATTTGACATGCATGTTTCTTCGTTATGAGATCGGTGACGGTCTGAACGATCTTTGTCAGGACATCAGGGTAGGAGAGGAGGCCAGGTCCGGTCATTTTGAGATTTTCTGATAGAGCTCTCGATATCTCTGAGACAGTCGCACTATTTTTCAAAGTCAGCAGTAATTTCCAAACCAAAGTTCGACGTAAGGTTGACGAAAACGTCTCCAATTCAGAGGGTTGAAGATCGCGTTCGCTTCATCCACGATTTCGTGTCGGAGTGAGCTGGGATTAACGAAAGGTATATCATCACGATAGCGGACTTCTGTCTTGGGAGGAAAAGAAATATAAAAACTCACGTGTCTTCTTCTTCAGGCCAGACATTCAATGTCGCAGTCATCAGAACTTCTCCAAATTTCTTCAACTCTGGTGAGAGTTCGATCTGGAGTGGAAGGCCCGGCTTCCATTTCTGCAGCCGACCAGATTCTTCAGCTATGTCGTAGAGTGCAGCATATGCTCGATGCAAAGTGCTGATCGTCGCTTTTCGAACATTCTCATAAGTGTGTTCGGCCAGAGGAAGCAGCTTCTCGACCGTCTTTTCGAAGTAGGGAAGAAAAGCGGTCTTGGTGTGGGAGACAACATCACCAATGACTTCAATTGCAATCTCTTTCTCGAGTGCAATTGGCGTGACGGTGGCAAGATCACCCCAATCACTATCATCTTCGCCGTCAATCTCGACATCCTCAATGGTACCGTCTTCCGCCTCCTCGTCGCTATCGGCGGCCGCAACCTTGACCTTCTGTCCGGCGATTGTGACCTCTTTTCCAAGAAGATCCTTGGCACTGTCCCCCAGCGCAACCTCCAGGTCGGCTTCTTCTTGGTCAATACATTCGAAAAGGCCCTGCACAACACCACCCAGGAAAGGGGCAAAGTCCTCTTCGTAGACCTTTGCAAGAGATCCCCAGAGGATGTACGTACTTTCTTTGAGTCTCGAGTGTTCAAGATGAAGCGCTTGTTCGCTGGTTTGCATGAGTGGTCGCACATAGTCCTTGAACTCGGCAGCACCAACGGCGACAGCCATTTCTCCCATCGCATCCGTACAACTAGCCCGAAGGTCCAGTTCTTCGTCACCCTCTTTCTTTGTGATGTATTCCTGCATAGCATTCATGGAGTTGCTGAGATAAGGCAGGAAGGGGCCCTCCACAGTCGACGCCAATGAGCCTAGTGCGCCTGCCGCCAAAGCTTTGATCTTGAAATCGGGATGGCGGAAGAGTTTCTGAAGGAGAGGCGCCAATTCGTCCAAGTATTGCAGGGCCTCTTCAGCATCCATGCCGCCGACGACTGCATCGATGGCACTAGTTCCAGACTTCATGATATCGACAGCTGGTCCCTTCTCCTCCCCCTTGTAGGCATTCATTGCGGCCGTAAGGTTTTTGACCAGTAACGGCATCAACTTCTCGTGCTGTTTGGTGACGTCTTCTGGCATGTCATCGGCAAGCCGAGCAGTCGTCTGTAGAGCGGCCTGTCGAACCGTGACCTCTGGATCTCCCAAGAGTGTAAAAAGGATAGGCATGACCGAGTGGAGCTGAGTGCTAAGGAAGTCCGGCGCGCCTTCGACGGCCATACCAAGAGCTAAGATACCAGCCTGGCGGTTCTTGTGGTTTGGGCTCCGGGAATATTGGGGCAAGGCATCGAGTAATGGCACAACGACTTGACTGGCGGGAAGACTTTGAGCCATAGTATCAATCAACCCCAATGCTGATCGGGCAGGGGTGATCTCGTCATCGTCGGCAGAAGCCTCATCGATCTCGGTGACGATCTGTAGCATGCTCTTGGTCAATGGTTCACCCATCTTGGCACCTTGAATTCGCAGCCGCCGATAGATAACACACTGCATCAGGAAACTGATGGCTTGAGTTCTTGTGTCATCTGCCATGTTGGTATTTGTAGCAATTTCATTCATGAAGCCGACAAGCTCTTGGAAGTGTTTTGACATAAGTTGGTATTCGGCGGTCAGGAGCGTATTGAAGACTTCGAAAGTGAGCATAATCTCATCTTCCTTACCATTGTCAATGGTGTCCTTCAAGACGGCGACCATGGATGGGAATAGGTTCTGGAATGCCTTGGTCGAGGCTTGGTCCTCTTCTGCATCGACGACAAGAGCCATCTTTGATATGGCCAACATTGTATTGACTCGGACTTCCAAACTCTCTGGATCTTTGATTGTCTTGCCGAACAATGCAAATAGCTCTTTAAATTTGGAGCTGAAGCCATCACCCATGGTCTCAAGAATGCTGTAAAGGACGTAGACACCAACCGCACGCTCGGAGGCTTTGGAGCTTGTGGCCGCCTGTTGCAGCAGGCCTGGCAATTCGGGCCATTCGCCATCTTCAAGATCGATCTTTGCAATAGCGCTAATCAGGCGGGAAGACGAGTGCCGGACGAGGGAGGAAGATTCAGAGAGGGTAGCTTGAAAAAGTTGGCTTCTTGCATGTTGACGTTGTTCGTTGGGGATCTTCGTCCAGTGTTTGGAGACTAAGGATTTGGCTTGGGTGGCCGCAAGTTGTTTGAGGTCTGCATTGTCGTGGGAGATTATGAGTTGGATGAGGAAAAGGAGAGATTCTGGTTGCTTGTAGAATTCATTTTGCAGGACGCTTGTGGCAGTCTTGACATTGCCCTTCTTTGGATCAAGGACAATGGTAAGCTGTTCAAGGAATTTCTGTTGATCCATGGGGTGCGGGCAAAACTGCGCCGCAGTATGCCGCCTTAGTAGAACTACAACAATAGAGAGAGGGCGAACTGTATCTGACGAAGATAGGCGTGAACGATGACTGACAATAATTACCGAGCCTTCAGAACCCTGCAAAACGAATTCATAACAAAGTAAGGGCAAGGATTTTGTCGCCGTGTAAGTGCTTGGAAGGAAAAAATTTAAGGCTCCAATAGAGGGTAGCCAACTAGTTGTTTTGCGACCTTATCGATGCTATCTCACGTGAGAAGTGAAATACCTCTTGCACGTGGTGGATCACGTGCAACCTCAGCCTTGCTCGACTCGCTCACCTCCCCGATTACTCCCTCCAGCCTCTGCTGAGCTTCGATCTTTACACCACCTCTTATCCACAAAAGGCATCTCATGAAAAGCTTGCCATCTCCTGGCTACCTGTATATTCTGTCCCCAATTTTTTTTTTTTTTTCCCCTCGCCCGTCAAGCCCGCGCTCGTACGCTTGGAGAGGACTTGGCCATATCCTGTGCAGTTTCAAGGAATAGCCCTTCAGCCGAATACGTATCCGGGTGAGGCTGAGCAAAGTCGTCCGGTTCAGATGATCTTGAACCTAAATTTTCAACCTCAGCGATCACAATAACAACATCCAGACCCTTCACTCTTCATATTCTCTGGCTAATCGCCGATATATGTCAAGATCAGCTCCATGGAGATGGCCCTTCGGAGGTAGTGTTCCTCAGAAGGTAGCGAGGAGACATGAAGCATCCCCCAGCCACGGCAGTTGAATTTGACAGACTCCTTCATGCCGTAGAGTACTGTTCCATTTACATTCAACAGACCTATTTGAACAGGCCCTATCCCCATCCAATGGCGTCAAAGTTGATGAATGCAACAGCTTAGCCGGTGTATATGGGCAACACTCCCGAAGGTATCCCTTGCTGGCCCGGAGGATGCGTCCGTGAATCAATCTTTGTTTGCTCCGGGCTCCCGTAATGCCATTACTTGCAAATTGCCCACTTCTTTGATCTCCTCCAGAATTTCCTTTGTGTTCCATTTAGCCTTTCTACATTCTAATAAATAGCAGAATCGATTACCATCAATCCAAAATCTCACAGTAATTGCGAACACATGATTATGACAGATAAAGTCTTCAGAAAAGTGCTTTGTCATGTCTCAACCTTTGGCACCACGATCTGCCCAAGGAGGCGATGGCGCTATGGACGTTCCGCCTACACAACGGCTTTGAAAGATTTCCACAGCTTGTGGAGCGAGCAAACAGGGAAAGTCAAGAGTGTGCTCCAACAATGCGTCCGCGACAATTGCTGACAACGATGCAGTGCGCTGGAGGTGACCCTTGCGAAGCGTGCGTGACGAGAAACAGCGGCCTCTATGTATACGACGCCCAGTTCTGACCAACGCCGAAAATCCCCAAGTCAGAGAGATGTTCAACTCGCAGACGTGCGGCTCCAGTTCGACAGATGCAGACAGCTTCTTGGAGGAAGAATTGCCACCGTCAGGGCTGGTGATTCAACGCAAAGGGTGATCTCATGTGTGTCATATGCTCAGTTACGACCTTTCGCAGATTAGCAGTGCATGTGCGGAATGAATGTGGATCGAATTCTGCGAGTCAACAAGCCTACAACCAGGTCAATTTCACAATAGATAGGCTATGAGACTTGCCTTCGCCGGAACAGGTGCTAGATCCATCGCCATTTTCGGAATATCAGACACATTTAGGACTTTTGAAAGACAGAATCCACCAGCGAGGCTGGCACCAACATGTTGCAAAGTGAAACCTTTCCCAGACCGGCAATGGCAGTGACGAACATAGATATGTCAGAATACATGCAACTACATTGCGAAAGCTCAAAGAGTCTTGGGAAGAAATAGAGATATACTTTGAAATAGGCGAAGCAATCCAGAGCAGGCGACAGGACTGCGAACCTGGAACGTTAACACAACTATTTTCCTTCGTGTCTTCTACTTTTTTCTCGCGAAAGCCAGGTTGAAGTCAACACATGGACTTTTTCGACCGCAAAAGGAGAACTTCAGAAAATGGGCAAATGGCTTCGAGAAGGAGTATTTGTTTGTGCTTCCTTCAAACATCAGCAGAAGATCCAACGTCGCTCAGGTTGGCTCTGACCAACTGAAATCAAAGTCCTAAAACTCGATGACAGAATCCTAGACGAAGCGAGCAAAGTGATCACTCCACAGTCCCGGTTTTGTGTTCCTTAACACAGGGGGGTGCTCAACAAGCTAGTACAATGCGTCGTGGCATCCCGTTGAGGTGGTCTGCCAATCTGAAGGAAATGAAACTATTCTCTAGCAGGCACCATGGCATCTTTCGGCCACAAGTGGTTGGTGCTCTCCAACGCATGCTTGAGTGGAAGAGTGACCTTATGCCCATTTCATCCCGTCTTCTCCAACCATTGTTGCGTGCCATGAATCGGAATGGCCAGGTTTCTTCTCTAGTAGAGAGCTTTTCTGACCAGAGTATATGGAGAGGCGTGCTCCGGTCTTCAGCCTCTACCAAACAACACCCCCAATTTGAGCCGTTGCGGGCCCTTGGGCTCAGTCCAGTTACTAAGATCCTACCGTGTTCGAAATTTTGGATGAAATTCTTCTCTCTTTTTTTAGGGGTGGGGGGAGGATTTCTCTTCATATTTGGTTGCGTTTCCCAAAAAGAGAATGGATTCGCCCTTGACTGTGTACTTGGGTAAGTTCTATCCACTTCCAGGCAACTATGTCTGATTCTCACACAAGGGAAGCGTCTAGCTAGGGTAAGGAGATAGGACCATCCTCTTGCCTTGCATTCCGACTCCAAGACCGATTTCATCTTCATCCATCTCCATCACAATCGCAACATCCGTGACCTTCCCACCATTAAACCCACCCCCAGTAAACGGACAACTGCTCACCGCACAAACAGCATCGATTTCCGCCTTCATCTCGATGTAATCACCCGGCTTTGAACAGTTCAGCGCTTTCAATGCATAATATGGTGTGTTCTGGAACGTATTGAACGGATCGATTACCTCGCTCCAATGCTTCATGCCCCAGGGTGCCATGGCCTCAGCAATGTTGGTCGCGCATGATCTGTGGTCGGGCTGTTGCTGGCGAGCATAAAATCCCGGATTGCACGCCATGTAAAGCAAGTCGTGCGTCTTGACCGTGTCGGCCACGAGTGTAAACATGCGCCTGTCACGGTTCGTGTACAGAGCTTCGCCTACCTTTGGCGGGGCTGACCCTCCCAACGCATACCGCGTATAACTCGTGGAGAAGTGCTCCGGGTTGGTGGCTGGAGAGTAAGGCAGCGTCCAAGCCATGAAGTCGACTACTTGTTGTCCGTGAAGATCAACGATTCGGAAATGGGAGGACGCTTTCACTTCAAACGCGAAACCGTGGGCTGCAGGAACAATGTGCGTTTTGAGCTTGGAGCGCGGTTGCAGCTTCAGGAGAGTTTGCCAGCTCAGCGAAGACTGCGAACCAGATGTATCGCCTCTGCATGGGCTCTTATCGAATGTCACAGATCGATGGACTGAAGGATCCCTTTCGGTAACTCTTTTCTGGTCGTGAATCTTTCGGGTCATCTTAGCTTCAATGTACCGAAATCCTCTTGGGATTGTATAGCTGCAGATGAGGGCAGAGATGAACCGATCGCCAAAGACACTTGGCTGAGGGTGCCTCAGAGAAGTCGTTTTCTTGGAGTCAATCAGGCGAGTTTTCAGTCTACCGGTCCATCATTGTTTGAGGTAGCAGCAGAGAAGGTTTTATCACGAAGAAGTTTAACCTCCGGTCACAGCGGTGTATGGCCTTCGGATATGTCCGCCGGAGCCAATGAGGACTTCTTCCTCCTTCAAGGCACTCGAACGAAGGGTTCATACTATTTCTTTAAAGCTGACACCTAGTAATGTCAGAATTATACATGGTTCGAGTGGCTGTGTTGTCAAATAGATCAAATTTGGTGCTCTGAGGGTCGCTGTAGCCAGTACCTCGTCGTGCGTTTATATGAAGTATCTAGGGCACTCCCTTGCTTTGCCACCACCTTTCTGGGCTTTGAGGGACTGAGATATTGTCTTATCAGAAGCACATTAAATTCCAGTCTGGACCAATCTATAGAGGCCTCCTCGCCGGGGAATTATCGAGATGGTAATTACGGTGTTGCCGCCGTGAAGGATGGATGGGGGGTGGTTAGACACATCGAGAATCGCATATAATTTTCAACCAATCATAACAAGCCATCTGCGGAGTCACGTGGTGAAAGAGCAAGGCTTGCTTGCTGGCGGGGAAAAATTCAGCTGACAAAATTCCAGATGCTCTCCCCCCCCGCCGAGGATTAAGAAGCATCTGATCGTGTCCGGCACTCCTGTTTGAAGCAGTTTCGAACCAACAAAATATGGGAAGGCGTCAATTCAGCCGTGAGCAATCGAATACAACCTTACCATGAAACCCAAAACACTTAGGCGCACAACCTCTTCGGAATCCTGGACTTCTAAGTAGGCAAAGGGATGAGATATCCTTCGAATTGCCCTCAGCTTCAAGTGTAGGGCCGATGTGGTGCAGAGGCCCAGAAGGCTCTTGCAACAAACGATTCGATCCTTACCTTCGTTTGGAAACCCATTCTCCACAATAAAAATTCGGCCCTTTCCCCAGGAGTAAGGAGTAAGGCGTCAATGAGATGTCAACGATGTTGTCTCGTGGTGTAGAGCTAGTGCAAAGGCTACTCCAGCTGATTGCTGCATTTGAGGCGCCACACCAAAAGACTAGTAGGCGACAGCTAATCCCAGCCTAGGGGCAGTAGAGCCTCGCAATGCGAACATGTTTGATCCGAAACCATCTCCTGCATTCGGAACAGTCAATGGTTAAAATGTGGTTAGGCGTAATAGAGGTCATTCGGCCGCCAAAACCGAAAAAAAAAAAAAACAATACACGCCTTGAAGAATGAAATCCAAAGGCACTGCTGCCCCCTTTGTCCACTGAGTCTCCGAAACCAAACAATTTTCCTTGGCATGGGATACCATTTCCTATAAGCGTCGGTACGTAGGACAGAGCTGAAAAGAGTAGTCCGTAGGGCTGTGAGGCAACCCCATCTTGTACTCGCAACGGGCAACACCTTCAACCGCAAGCTGTAACTCCGGAAATAAAGAAGAATTTGACCAAAAGGATATCGAATTCCGACCAAAAGGAACTGGCCACAGCCTGAAGCTTAAGAGCTGTTCTAGAGGCTAATCATGGCATCTCGGACTTGGATTTTGAGTCGCTTCCCGGTGCATGGTTGTGGTTCCGGTTCAAAGACTCATTTGACTTTTGCCCGTGGTTCTTCTGCTGTTTTCCCTCGTCCTCGGACACCGAAATACTAGATGGCGGTGTTGATATTGGCTCTTCTGTCATCATGTCCATCAAAAACTGGTGGGACTGTCCAACACTACTAGAAAGAGAAGGAGGATACTCTGCATCAGAATGATCGTCAGACCGTCGTGACCTGCTCCCCGTACGTTGATCCGTCCCATTCGAACCTCTAACACTGTCACCAAGCAGAGGCTCATGACTGAAAGATGGAAAAAAGACGGAAGATCTTCTGTTGGGCTGGCCGTCCAGCTTCCATGACATCGCTATTTCCAGTAAGTACTCTGAGTTACTGGATGGTTTTCCATTTCCTTACCATTTGTTCTGTGGTCTTTGGTCGCATGGTTCGAGGATCCGTTGGGTGCATCCGGTTCCCCAACAGGTCGTTCCAAGGTCGACGTCGCGGAATCCGACGACGAATGTGACTCGTCATCTGTTGGCCTGTTTCTTTTTTTTTTTTTTTGTCAGCTCCGTATTTAATGTGGCAGGTAATGAGACCGAACTTTTCGTTGCCTCTCGCATCAAACTCCTCCTTTGCCTTGCCCACTTCTCCATCTGCCTGAATTCTCAGCGAATTCCGTGAGAGCCGAGACATTTTTAGATATTTGCAGAAAAGATGTTCTACGTCGAAAGAGCAGAAAGAGTCCTTAATATACCAGTATGCTAGTCAATACCAATTTCCGGTATTGCACCAGGACTTGTGCTCAGCTGAGTGAAAGTCATCTCTTCGGTCATCAACTCTTCTGTTTGATTATTTGCAGCTCGACTCGGAAGGGAACGAATAGTGCACTGAGCACCGCCGTCCGTTGGGTATCAAGCGGGCGAAGTCAGGAAATTTGTGTTTGGACATCTCAAACGTCAATGTTCGGTACTGGCTGCATCGAATAGACAAGGCAGCCTCGGATTTCCTGACATTTAGGAGGGGGGCGGAGCGAGTGTTTTGGGCTGGCTTTGTGAGTGAGCAATGATCCATGAAAACCACAAATGCCCGTCCAATTGATGGGGGTACTCTATCCTCTTAGCAATGATATAGAAAAATGAGGCGGATGACCTGCTTTGGTTGCCTTCCCTTGGACAGGGGTAGGTCTACTACTCTCCCAAGGTGAGGCGTGCAGCCACCAGAGATCCTGCTGGTTGGCAATCGAACAGCTGCGGAGAACATGGCTGAGTACGACTGACCAAGGAGCAGAAGAAACGGTGTGACGGTTTCCCTACGACATGAGGCGATATGGCTGAAAGGGAATCTCGAGGTCGGTGGTGATGATACTTGGTACCCCGGCCGAGAAACCAGCACAGGAATGGAGTATTGCTTTTGAAGCTCTCTGCACCTGCCGATCTCCGCCGCCTGCGCCGCCATATTCAGAGACTTCTTCTCTCTCACGATCAAATCCTTTCAGGTACATCGACATAATCGTCAGACTTGGCCCTTGGTGTTTCCAGTAGTCAGCAACACATGCATCGTTTGTCACAGTACTATCATCGCCGACGTCCTGTTGCGGTATGTGGCTGCCTTCAGAGTTTGCGACCCAAAAGTTGATGCGACAGCTTCTTTAACAATCACATTGTGGCCCTTGAAATGAACCACTCGAATCCCGTCGCTTGAGCTAGCTTCAAGATCACTGCAGGTTCAGTTTAATCCTGCAAAATCCTTCGTCCTCACTCACCTGACGGCGATATGCTGCGCCGCAAATGCATTGATACCCAACGAATCCGAACTCAAATCGCCTTCCTCCAAATGGACATTTCACAAAGCAGAAAGAGTCGGGAAAAGACCTGCTGATACCAAACATGTCAAAGGCTATCCAAGCTCTTTTTGTCTGTGTCACACCACCGACTGTCGGATTTGACCCTGTAACCCGTCTGCCTCGTTGAACTCGGTCTTACCCAGCCGTTCGTTCTGAATCTCAGATGTTTCCAGCTTGTCCAGAAGGTAAGCCAGTTAAATACCAGTCCTTGATACTGCCTTTTTTTGGGGGGGGGGGGGGGGGCTGAAGCTATCTCGCTTGTGCAGCATTCTTGTCTACCGAGTTTTGGAGGAGACATCGAGATATGAGGAGGACAAGCCCATCTCGCCACGGATACTCGCCAAATTTATTCTACGCTGATGCCGCATAGGTTTACCCGCTGTGATGCAGGATTTGATCGAGTTTTGTGCGGAACCCAATCATCGCTGAGTGATTGCCTGTACGTCAAATTAAGCTGGGAGTGTAAGTTTTCCTTTGCGTGGTTGGCCTACTTATTGAGGTCACCAGTTAGCTTTGAACATGTGGGTATCTGTGTGTTTCGAGGTTTACACCACTCGCGATTGAGATTTAGCAATTGGCTCAATGCAGTCTCTCCAAGTTTCTGGGTACTGCTAATTCGACAATGGCCAGACAATCTGGATCGCGGTCTAGGATCATTCAACTAGAATCGCAGGGGCCAATCCTTGTCGAAACCACAGCCGATCAACTGTGCTCCATAAACCATATAAACATTCACCGCAACGACAGAGATGTCTTCTTCTGTCCAGATTGGGTTGAGTGGATATTTTTTCACGACAACCAGTATCGCCGGTACATGGTGCTTCTCGAGTCACACCGCTTCTTCCACTTGCTAGACTTCCCCAGGAAAACGCAAGCTTTCATCCCGTATCATACGTGGAAACCTCAACCAATGGAATTGTTGATTGATCCGGGTTCCTTTGACTGCAAACTCCTTGGCCGCAGCCGGCTTGTCATCATCCGCATTTTGAGACCGCCTCCGCCAGAGGTCCGCGGGCCATGGAGTCAACATCCCATTGCGATTTGTGAGCTTCCTTGTGGGCCGCCATGAGCTCGGAGAGCCATCGACAACTGGTCGCACCACATGGATGGGAAAGTAAACTTAGAACTCGCACGCCCTTTTGGAAGCAATTGGAACGCCTTCCCTTCCTCCCGCCAATGCACTACCTCTCTTCGGGATCCGGAGACAGCTCGTTACTTGTTGATGACAGGGACGCCTCGGTGTTTTCTTCAATATCGTTAGTCAAAGCTCATGCTGTGTCTTGCGGGTCCATCTCTTGTCCCTCCTTTCTAACCGACGGACTATGGTCCTGGATCCCAGACCTGCTCGGAAAGTAGGTTCCATCTATCTGATCAGAGCCTTTACAGAGGTGAATGCAGGGTAACAGCTCCATTGATTCAAGTGCAAGGAAACATCATGCATGCGTAAACGCCTGGTCGAAGTTTTATGTTGTCTTGGCTATTCTATTAAGATGGTTATCCCATAGTCAGCCCCCGTCGATGTCTCCCTCTATTATGCCGACTTAGTATACAGGAGGCTGTCTATGTTTCCTGTGTGTGGTTTTGTGTTTATTTCCCACCCATGCCAGCCCGGGCCGAGTCATCTTTGTAACCATGTCTTTGTGGATACTGGAATGCAGTGCCCTTTTTTCACCGAAAGTCAGCCACAATACCGATTGCCGACATTGGATCAATCAGCTCCAAGCTCATCCTTGTTGTGATTGTCAAGTACCTCAAAATGAGAACCGGAGAGCTTGTGAGGAAGCCACATCAAGATATCATACGACTTCGTTCCAAGGACACAAAGGATGGTAACGAAAAATTGCCATAGAACTACGAAAAGGACGCCAATCCCCCAGGGTACGACGAACTTGATGAATTCGCTTGTCTGATACAAGTCATTTTGGGATTGGATGTAGTATTTTTCTTCGTCTCCGGTATCTTTCGACACTGGACCTGAAGAGTTCTCACTGGGTCCGCTTTTATTGCTCTCACTGTCTTCAGAAGAGAAGTTGACCTTCTTTCTTCCAACCTTCTCTTCTGCCTTTCCATTCTCTTGTCCAGACACGGATGGCGTTGTTGGAACTTCCGTTATCTCTTGAGCATGAGATATTGGATCCGTCGTGAGCTGGAGCACGGTGACGAGCTTGACCGGAGCGCTGTAGAGAGGAACCATCCGGAGCTTGAAGTTTTGGTGAATAGAGACATAGAGGAGTAAATTACCCCTGTCAAATGCTATCGTTCACTCAGTACAGTCATATTGGAGCACCGGCGTGAATTGACCAACCAATGCTGTCAACTGCCACATCAATATGAGGACTGAGAATCTTGTACCAGCGGTAGATCATTATAACGAGCCACACTGAACCAGCAAAGCTTCCGGTGCGGCAGAAGGGGTGGGTGAAAGATGCAGTGGGTGTGAAATATGTTACGATTGCTGCTCTCTGCACCTCTGGCGGAGCTGTGCAGAGTGTCTCAATGATGTGAGGAATCTCGGCCACTGGAGAGACGGTAGTTAGCGTATGGTCATATTGGTCGCCGAAGGGAAAGTAGAGATATACCAGGGTCATCCATAAGTTGATGATCCGAGATTCCAAGTATAAAGAGAAATATTGTCCAGCCGAGTTGTTTCTTGGAACTGGGTTGGATATGTCCTGAATGTTTGATGGATGGACCACTGGCAGGGCTGCCACCAGTAGCAGAAGTTACAAACTAGAGACGTGAAATCAGTCATTTACGAGCTCCTGCAGCTTTGGAACTGATCGTTCATTCTTGAGGAATACGAATGCATCAACTTTTTTTTGTTCCGCAGTGGCGCAGCCTCGCTTGACGTCATTTCTAACCGAAACCTGTGAGCGGTGCCCAGTTGCATGTGAATCTCTCATATCCGCACCACTATAGCCACCAACCTTTTCTTCGCCAAAAGCACTTCTAGTCGGCGTATTTGCTCTTGATGTAGCCCATACCGTTTCTCAATCGATCCTCTTCTCCCACAATCTTCGCTGGGAGGTCTTTCCCAATACCAAACAGGACGAAGAATGCCCACTTCCATCGGAAAGGATTGATTATCGTAACGAAGCAAAACCAGTAGATAAGTTCCGAATATGTGAAAAAGTCAAAGGCCTTTGTTGGAGCCAGAGATTTGATAGCGCTTGTGAAGTCAACCCATCGCTTCATCCACCAGGGGCGAGGGGCCGCGAGAGGGTCGACGAGAAACATCAGCAACATTCGTGTGTAGATGCCAATGTGATAAGAACCGACAGTCCTAATGTACAGAATCAGCTTGTGAGGCCATGCGTACACATCCGTTGTACTCACCCAATGGCCGAGACATATGTTGCATTGATTGCACAAATTGAAGGAGCGGCGGGAGGGAAACACTGGAGGAACCATCGAGGTGGTAGATAATCATCCTCGAAGATCTCGTCTGGTAAAAAATCTAGACTTGGGCGCTTGTAGCCGGTAGCCATGATAATCATATCTCCTTCGACAAGTCTGTGAAGGCCGGGCCCGCCTTTGGGGACGCCCTTTGCTCGGTGGTTGAAAAGGATCCCGTTCTCTCGAACTTCTTCAATGTCGCCTCGTAACCAGGCTGCTTTGCCCGCTCGAATTTGGTCGAAGATCTCGGAGTTTACCATTGGAGTTTCCGTGAAGAGACCTTTGTCCGCTGGAGCTATATCTTTGAGATCTCGATAGAAGAAGATGCGGAGCAGATTCTCCGGAATCCAGGACAGAAGTGTTTCCTGACCAAAAATGTTGAAAGCCAGAAGTCCATCGATGAATGCATTCCGAGGTATAATCCATTTGTCGGATCGAGATAATACCTTGATCTCCGCGGCATCGGTGTTCACAGCCCATTCTAAGGCCTCGACTGCGCTGGCCCCGCCACCAACAATCAGAATTTTCTTCCCTTTCGCTTCCCTGTTATCTAGATCGGAGGAATGTACGATCTCGCCCTTGAAAGATTCTGGACCTGGCAGTTGGGCTATTTTAGGGGCTCCACAAGTTCCAATCGCTGGTATGATACCGTCAAATCTGCCGTTTGAGGGGTCGTTGATGATCCAGCGGCCCTGTTTGTCCTTGTAGACTCTTTCGACCCGAGTGTTGAATTTGGTTCTCTCTTCAAGGCTATATCTATGCCACAGTTGTCGGATTTGGTTGACGACCTGGTTCTGTTTGGGATATCCATCGCTCCACTTGATCGAAGGATGAAACCTGTACATCAAACTGTGGATCTGGAGTCCTGATGTGGTGTTGACATGAGTCCATATCCCCCCAAGACGATCTTTGCCTTCTGCTTCAAACAACGTAACTTCAAACCCGTGTCCTCCACAATGTGCAGCCGCTGAGACACCGGAGAGACCGGCACCGACGACGGCGATTTTTGGCCGACGCAAATGGGCTCCCGGGGGAGGGGGACTGGGCGAGAAGACCATGTCCAGAATCCATTGGATGAGGGAATACAACCAGGAGATCGGGGTGAAAGCCATGGCATAAGTGGATGTTTTCACAGTTCTAGAAAGAGTGAACGATCATGAGCAAGGAAAGATGAGAAGACGAATCTTTGACACGAAAAAAGATTTTGTCGCAACAACAGGACGTCATCATGCAGGTAGGGTGACGGAGCTTCCACCCGACAAGCACCCCTTTTTGGCGATTGGATCGATTCAAGCCGAAACACGTGAAAGTCTCACAGCTTGGCAAACAACAAGGCTGCATGTTACCGCACCACGCTGGAATAGAGCAATGGCGACCTTCGGGCCTGAATGGAAGGTGCTTGATCTCGGAGAACTGGACTAAGAGATTAGGTTGCTCAATCCAATGATTAAAGGCTGGCTAGAGGTTTCTGCCATCAAATAGTGGTTGTGGCATTGGACGGTCGAATAATCCGTAGTTTCGATTCGACGGCATCATTGGGCCATTGAAAATGGTCGGAGCCGGAGCACTTGCGGCTGTGCTCTGGGTTGACTCTGTCGCTTCTGGAATTGCGAGACACACCGTGACATGCAAGAAGAGAGTGAGATGCAAGCAGCAGTTTAGTGGGACTCGCATTTTTGCATATCTGAAGTCTTCTTCTATTGTTCAATGTGAAAAGAGGATCTCGTCAAGATATGACCCAGCTGTCCATATCCTGGTTCGTCATACCGCAGCAACATTGGAGGAGGCCAATGATGGTATACGTAAATGTACGGATCCCGTAAACGATAGCAGGTGTTCTTGTGTCATGTCAATGTGCTAGTGAATGTCTGTGTTCGGTCTAAAGCCCAGTGCGTATTTGCTGGGGATGAGTCCGTTGTGGCTCGAGGTGGCATCTGGGTTGTTGTGGGTTTTCACACCGCCCCAGCTGGAGCATCCCTTCGTAGGACAAAATGTCGGCGGTGGATTGGTGGAGAGAGTCAGTGTACCCAGCTCATGCAAGATGGGGCGACCTGAAAGGCGAACTGGATTGAGTTTCAGGATTATCCCAAGGTTTTGGTTTTAGCTCGAGGCTTAGTCTGTAGCAAACCTTGTGTCATGTGATAACCGGATATGTGACATCCTTGGTCCGCGACTACCTTGTCATCCCAGCATGCGACGAGCCGGTCTGTGAGATCGCTTTGACTTGATGCATGTTGCATTGACCCACAAACACAGTTGTTTGGGGTGCTACCCGGTGACTATACGTGTTGGATCCTCCCACACCGCTCCTCCTCCAGATGCAGCAAAGTGCAACCAAACATACTGAAGCGCCAGACATAGGTTTTGGCCTGTGGCAAAAAATCAATCGTTCACCTTTATATCAGCGACGGCACGAGGGTCGCCGCAGACGTAGTATTCGTCAGGGGAGTCGAGGCTTCCCTCTTCGATTGAAAGTTCAATCTACTTCGAGTCTTCCAGAGTGACAGAAAGCGCTGTGGACTGTCATAATCCCGATTGAGCGGTCGGATCTTGGAGGACTATGGGACAAATGGCTGGTTGGATTAGAGATTTCAGATTTGTTTTAACCATTGTATCCGGCGTGTCCTATGTTCAGATAACATCAATACGCATGGTGATAAAAGCGCTCTTTTGTAAAAGTATGTAATTTAATTGAGGCTAAACAGGCAGCATAGCTCTTTGGTGCCACGTCCGGTACTTAAGATGGAGGAATATAGCTTAGAGGAAGTTTATTTCGAATTAGATGAACGCCTATTTTCTGTGTGGTCACTATTCGCCCCATCATGCTCCGATCGAAAAAAAGAAGCCGTATTCTGGAAGAGTGGAAATTCGGTAAGGGCATCCAGAGCGGCAAGACATTGGTAAGCTGGGACGTGGCGGTTATTGGATGGGCAAGAAGCACGTTCATGCAGGTGATAACATCATGTAGAAAGTATCTGGGCGTCTCGGGTCATCCGACAGAGGAGCAGCAACCACGTGCTCCTGCGGAATTTGGGTCCTGCATACAAATTATTCCCTTATCCATCGGCGTTGGGAAATTCAGTATTGATCTGTGTAGACTCTAAAGAGTAATGTTCCTTCTCCCTCTTCCAAAAATTCCATGCCGAAAGATGAAGGACTGGCTCATCCATCGGAGCAATTAATTCTGATTGAACTCCAAATCACACACTAGCGCCCAATACTCTCATCGAGCTTCATTATCGAGAATCCAGGGTACGGGCCTTTCCCGACTTTATTGGGATCTCTGTCTTCGATTACGCTTGGCGCCGCGGGAGAGGGCAAAGTTGACGATAGACATGTGGCCTGCCCTCGCTCCCACTGCCGCCACGGGTTGAAGAGGATCGAGGTTAGGTGCGCGGAGCTGGCGAACGGCGTCAAAAGTTGAGGTGACAGTTTCGAGGTCACCGTGGAGCGCAGCTACGAGGAGTTGGTGATATTGCTGAGCCTCGGCCTCTGTGTTGTTGAGGTCTCAACTTAGAGCGCTGTCAATCCACACAAGTAAGTCCCACATACCGTTCAGCGGCTCATAATCGTCATTCAAAGCCAACTCACGGAGGCAGTTGCCAACTGGCTCGAATTGAAAGACAAAGTGATCACGTTTCGAGTCGGAAGGATGTCGAACGCTACACATGTGCCTGACCAGATGTCGTAAATATTCCTCTTGAGTGATTCTCGGAGTGGTCACTTCAGGTGCAGCAGACTGGGTGCGCAAGAAGGCGTCGCGGAAGCAAAGACTATCAGCCATATTCTGAGCGAAGATGTGAATTCGTCTTTCAATTTGAAGGCTGCTTCGGTGTTGAAGATACCGACAGAGGCCTCAATAGCTTCTCTCACCCACCTTTTCAACAAAATTAGCAACTCAAGCACTCCCAGCGCAGGACAATCTTCATACCAATCCCGACGTGCTCGAAGGCGCCTTGACGCACTAATGTGGCACAGCCGCATCAGCGAGCGCCCTGGAGCTTCGAGTGGATCACTAGGGCCTCTGTGAAGGTCTGTTGTGCCTATGGTGGCGGAGTCGGTGGAAATCCAGGTGGGAAAGTACTGTACGGTAGTATGCATGGGAGGTAGGAGGTGGGGCCTGAGGTCTCTTTAAGGTCCCAGCTGCCGTTGGCCGGACCCGCATGGGCCAACTAACTAGTTCGTCTGCATGGAAGGCTCTGTGCTGGATGTGCAGACTTCACCAGATGTACAATGTTTCCTGTTTTAGTCTGCTCGGTAGATCGCCGCTGGACGGCCATGTGATGCAGCGTAATAACACATATCGTTCATATTGGAACCGAGATTCCATTCAGGTACGTCTTTGAGCCAGGCGGTGTCGTCATCGAATGACTCTGTATTGAAGAACGTGTTCATGTCTCTCGGTCCTGGCAGCATGAGGCCACCGTCCGTTCCGATAGGTGTTTTGTAGCCATCCTTGGCGCGCGACCAGAGTCTGAATGCTGGACGACTTGGATGGTTGGGATTTTGGGATTTGGACATCGAGGACGCCTACTTAGGAGAAGCTAGGACGACTCAATGCGTCGTCAGATGGAAGTCGTCACTGGTGGCCAGGGAGAGCTCTGTCGGCGAAGAGCTCCGGTGGCGATGCGAGACAATGTTCGAGACGAGGTACGGGGCGCAAGAATGGCGGAAGAGAGTCTCAACGAAGCCGTCTTCGTAATGTGACGATGTTCTTTGAGTTGGTACGTGTGGGCCAGTTCAGATGCTTCAGTCAAAAAGAAGCAAGGGACCCAACTAACCCTGTCATGTGATAGTGTTAAGACAAAATTCCATGGTTACATTAGTTTCTGTTTTCAGTTATCCAATATGCATCGAATCTGAAAAAGGTCAACTTCTTGCGTCAAAACACCACTTGCCAACCGTCTTCAATGGAAACTCCATCCGGAATCTCCAATATAACTTTCTGAAATGCGTACAGGTAGGCTACGTCACCTTGTCTTCGCAGAGCTGTACTAGCAGTCAAATGTCAATTTCTAGTCCAGCAGCTCGGTGGGGTGGGTACTTGATTCGAAATCAACAATAAAGTTGTCGACACTATATCTTACCTGTATTATCATCCCTGCTAAAGTCTGTCAGGCGTATGGCGAGTCCGAACATGGCAATAATGCCGCGCTGTGGTCTCCCATTGAAGAACTCGATCTCAGGGGTGAGAGGGTCGTTCGTCACCACGACAGGCGGGCCGTACTCCGCTTCATTCCTTTCCTTGAGCAGATAACCTCGCGGCTCGGACTCCCTGGGGGTTCCTGTTAGGTCTCGAATGCAATTGCTGATACCGGTTAGGCGATAGCAGCTTTCACGTGTTTCGTTCTCAGGAAGGAGTAAAAAGTCCTTCGTTTCCTCGAACTCTTCCTCACTTCCGTCCTCAATCACATCACCAATCGTGACATCTGAGTTCCCAACATGCTTTGTCTGATCGAGGAGTAAAATTTCCTTCGGAGTCGACTGATTCAATGCACTCTATTCTGGATGCTCTGCGCAAGGCCTTATTTAGTGCAATCTCGATATCGTCTTCCGTTGCGTTATGGGATTGTCAGTGAGGTTACTGAAACATCTTTGCACGAATTGGTCTTTTGCTTGGCACTCAAAGCCGCCTGGCGGCGGGGCACAGCCCGCAACAGCTTTTGCGTGTTTTGCAGTCGTCATCACCACCGATACTTGAAGGACTCTTCGCCAAGTGCTACGTCAGGTAACTGACCCTGCTCCAACCCCCCTTAACTTTTTGTTCCTGCTTGGAATAAATCAACCAGCAGCAGCCTTCCCTCCAGCCGTTCAAACGCGTCGAGGACGCTAAGATCAAACTTTCATTGTAAACATCGATCGAACGCCGTCGACAAGTACGTATACCATCAGATATGACCACCCCAGTATTGACATTGAATAGGTCGAGAACTCACCCGATCCCAGCCCAGTCACAATGCCTCCTTTGTCTACTTCCTCCACGTCAAGCATCACCAAGGGTGTCAAAGGCCCGACCAAACCATGCATCCCTTGCGACTGTGGTGACTATGAGTGCGACTGCTGTATCATTCCATGCACGGTGATGTGAAGCCTTGAGAGCCTACAGCACGAGTTGATGCCAGGGGTAAACATAAATGGCCTCAAGATCGGTATGATTTTAGTGAATGCACAAGCCTTGGTTGTGGGCGAATAGGGGGATCATGGTGGTATGACGAAAATTTCTATGAAGGTCTATTTAAATACGCCGAATAAACAAGATATTCATTCATGCCCACACTATGGCGGGTGTCTGTTTTCTGTTCTATCTGTATTCGATGGCCCCGAACTCGTCAAAAGATGCGCCTGTGCTTCGTCCTCGGAGAGATCATCCAACGTGAAGTCTTCATTTATCTGCTGTTCCAAATCTCTGACTTTGTTTGCTGCCCCTCCGGAAGCATGGTCTGCTCGGTTGGGATATGGCACATCGCATTTCCGGTGCTTCAAGGGACGATAGTATCGTCGATAAGAGAAGTACGCAATTGAAAGTCCCAACATACTACCACATGTCACATCGAAGACATCGTGTCTGTAATCAGCAAGTCGTGACATCGCAACGAGCGATGCACCCACGAATGGTGCTAAAAAGATCAAAACTCTGGCGAAATCTGCATATGGTCGAAAGACGTGCAGCTGTCCTGCAAGGAAAAAGGCCAAGTATCCAAGTCCAGAAAACGCCCAACTACTATGCCCGCTTGGGAAGCTTCTCCAGCCATCGTGCAGCGTATGGTAATCTGTTTCTGTACAAACCGAAATCGTGACGAGCTCGTGTTCGGGCGTCCCTGGTTTTGGCTTGCAACGTGCTATTAGGTCCGGACGAGGACGACCGACGGCATTCTTGATGATGTTGGTGAGGAGCGATGTCAGAAAGAGGCTGATGAGAAGGCCGAGAACCGTGATATGCGTCTTGTGAAGCCCAGGTCGAAACAGTAGAGCCCAGACAATGATGAGAATCAACGGTCCTACACCAGCATACAGGATGTTCTCGCCTGAGGAGACCCGTTGGACAAGGGCGTGAGGGTATTGTTTGGTGAGATCGTCTAGCGTAAACATTCGGTGGAAAGGTTCGACGAAAAATTGTACCTGAATATCTTAAGTTCAGGTGCTCAAGGGTGGCGATAGTCACTCACATATAGATAGGCTGCCATGAGCAGCGCGAAGCCAACATAGTCGGAGGCATAGGACCGTTGCCAGAAGCGTCGTATGGCGCCTACCATCCCAGGCGCATCGTTTGTAGAGGACCTCATCGGAGCTTCGTGGGCTTTTGTAAGAATGACTGGGCTTGAAAGCCCTAGAACGACATCATTTTGATGAAAGCAGCCCAAATCACATACACTATGAAAGGGAAAGTCGGAACAAGACCACATCATCCCGCAAATTGCCCCTCTCTATTGGTCCTCCTCCAACCACCAACACGCTCTCGCAATCCCGTGCTCTAACACAATGTGCACGTGAGCGATCTTTTAGGAGGTCTTATATAATTTCACCTTTTCGAGAAAGACATCAAAACTTGAGCAACATGGCGGAACAAGAGCAGCCGCAGCAACTCCCCGAGGCGCCCTTTCCTGCACCACCCCCATTCTGGAGGCATTTCACCATTGCCAACGAGGAACAACTGAAGAAAATTGAGACATCCGATGCGCCACAGGAAAAGCTGCCCTTACATCTGGCTTATTTGCGTCCACCGCGTCCACCACCAGATTCAGCGGAATTCTACACCGCGTTCGGCCAAAAGCAAGTCATCGATCCTACCAAGCCTTCGTCCTTACCTACCGAGCAACTCCTTTTCAATCCTGACAATCCGAACCTCAATCACGCTGTCCTGTTGAGTACCCTTACCAAGTCTCTTCTCCTCAACTTTCTCGAACTGACGAGCGTATTGTCCCTCGATCCTACGAAACATGAAGAAAAGATGGAGGACATCAGACAATTGGTCTTGAATATTCACGTGGTGATAAACATGTATCGACCGCATCAAGCTCGTGAGAGCGTGAAGGAAATGCTCGAGGGAATTTTAGAAGATGGCCAGAGGGAAATCAAAGAATGCATCAGACTCAAGCAGAAAGCTGAAGACTTTCTCGGCGACGTGAAGAGGCTGAGGACAACTACCGCTCTTAATGGTGCGATCCACGAAAACGGCACATCAGGGCCTCAAACATCCCAGATGCGAAAGATGGAGGAGCAACAAAGACGGTGGAAAATGATTCACGACATGACCGATTCATGATTGCTAGGGTTCGCAAAATGATTTGCAAGATTGACCTTGAAAGAGCTTTTGGGGGTATCATGAAGTCTATATATCCTTTCAAAGCACTGTCCGGGTTGCTTTGCCTCGAAAGCGATTGCCATCCTTTTGACCGTTTGGTTAAACGTGGATTTCAGCAGTGCCACTGTTCAGAATCAGATCCTTGTATGGCGCCAGAGCCGGTTCAACCTCTTCCTGAACAAATTCGTCAACCTGTTCAGCAGATCTCCCAACAAATTTGGCTGGGCTCAGCAAGTCGTCTTCGGTCAGTTCATTCCAGATGGGTTCAAAATATTTCTCTTTTTTCACCCGCTCGACCAGGTCATTCGCCTTGCCTTCTTGTTTCACGGCCGCACCGGCTTGGTGGGACAAGACTCGAATCTGCTCATGGGTCTCTTGTCTGCTGGCGCCTTTCTCGCTCATCCTCATAATCATTGTTTCTGTTGCCATGAATGGGAGCTCCTGCTGCAGACGGCTGCTGATGACTGCTGGATACACAACCAGACCTGAAGACACGTTTTCAAGGAGGATACACAATGCGTCTGCGATCAAGAACATTTCTGGGACATCAATCCTTCGAATTGCGGAGTCGTCCAACGATCTCTCGAACCACTGGTGCCCATATGTCGCACCATATCCGAGGGGAAGGAATGAAAGTTTTCGCCCGAGAGAGCACATACGTTCCGACCGCATGGGATTTCGTTTGTAGGCCATTGCGGACGATCCTATCTGGTCTTTCTCGAAAGGTTCTTCAATTTCCTTGAGCATGGCCAGATGTCGGATGTCGGTTCCGATATGTTCGCATGTTGTTCCCAACGACGCCAGGACACTGGCAATGTCAAAATCAATTTTACGATTGTATGTCTGCACCGAGACAATTGACCGTTTGGCGAATCCGGCTTTCTTGGTGATGAGCTCGTCCAGCCGCCGTACCTTTTCATGGTCACCGTGGAAGAGCTCAAGGAAAGATGCTTGTGTGCCGGTGGTTCCTTTGGCCCCTCTAAAGCGGAGATCCGATCTGGCTCGTTCAATGTTCCTCAAATCCATCAATAGGGATTCGATCCATTGTGTTGTTCGTCGGCCAACGGTGATAGGTTGGGCAGGTTGACCATGAGTGAAGGCCAGGCATGGCAACGCCTTGTACTCAGTTGCAAAGTCAGACAGCTTTCTGATACACTTGGCCAGCTTGGGTAAGAGAAGAGAAAGGCCGTCTCGGAGGAAGATCAAATCCGCATTGTCTGTCACATAGCATGATGTAGCCCCCAAGTGAATCTTCCCCGCAGCCGCAGGAGCTCTCTGCCCAAAGACATGGACGTGTGCCATTACATCGTGGCGGCGTCTTTTCTCCTCCACTGCGGCTACCTGGAAGTCCTCATCAGACATGATCTTAGCCGCCTCCATCTGTTGGATGGCCTCGTCTGAGATGTCAAGACCTAGCTCCTTCTCGGCTTCTGCCAGCCAAATCCAAAGTTGTCGCCAGGTCGAGGCACGAGTGCGAGCTGAGAATAATGTGAGCATTTCTTTACTGGCGTACCGTGCCCCAAGAGGGCTTTGCCATGTGTCGTAGGACATTTTGACGAGAGCGTATTGGAAACAATAGTTTTTGGTTGCGGAAAAGTGAAATTCAAGGAAGGTCCTGTTCCAGAGGCAGAGAGGAAATGAGATTTTTTTTTTTTTCCCGAAAACTAAGTGGTTTGACTTGCGGACGAAATCGGTCACCCAGTTCGTTCAACCCTTGTTTTTTTCTTTGCCAAGCCATTGGAAGCTCAAGCGCTATGGTTGATTGCACCTTTCCACCTGAGGACCGTCATTCGTCCAGGTGCTTCGACCATTAAGGTTCTGGGATGACTCGAGATGAGGATCCTCAAAGTCATGTAGCCGTGGTGCGTATCCACGAGTACGGAATGCACTCGAGGAAGAGATGGCCGAGGGGATGGGCTCAGACTGTCGATGGGAAATAGGACATGTGATAAACCGTCCGTCTCTTCCCTCCCCCGATCATTGACTATCCAAGGATAGAAGCTTCGTCAATTCTCACTGACCACTTTCAAATTTTGTACTAGCATCAAGCAGGCTGAACCGAGCCCTCCCAGATGGAGAATTGTTCGGACAACTAAACACCAAAACAAAGCCGGATGAGAATCGCGCGACCAGGAAATTTTCAGAGACGGTGTTTGTCAGGACCGCCTTCACCCTGACAGTGTACCCTATGCAGTGCAACAAGGCATCACTTTGCTTGCAGGATTTCGTGTCATGCCGCCTGCATCTAATTGGCCTGGACTCGTGGGGGGAGCACACCGGATTCAGCCTTGCGCCTTGCGCCTTGCTAAGGCGCTCGTATTCACCCGAACAAAAGTGGGGTTATCACTCGAGGAAGCAGGTCAGAAGCGAATGAAGGTACCTGAGTTATTTAGTCACTGATTATTCTCGCTCTGCCACATCCTTATCCCTGTCACTGCTCTGGCTCGACCGTCCTTGGCGGTATCTCAGCGTTGTCCTGCAAAAAATAACACGTCGATTTTGATATCTCAAAATTCTTCTCCTGACCCTCTGAATCTCTCATTCCACTTCGACAACTACATGACGCGAGATTTCTCCCTCCCTTTGCTGTTCCTCTGGTACTGACAGGCGCCATGGCGCCGTACAAGATCGTCCTGATCCCTCCTAAAGGTGATAGGCTTGATCTTGTGCTCCCGTTCGATGGCAGTTCTACCTTTCAAGACCTCACTGCAGCTGTGATTCGGCGCGCTTCAAAATATTGCTCCCTCCCTTCCAACATCCGACAAGACCATTTGAAACTCTGCCTAGGCTCTGAAGAGGGCTTCTTGGTCGACCCAGAAGATGTCGTACAAGACGTGATCACAACCTCTGATGTCCTCTTCATCGTCTTCTTTGACGGACCGTCAGGGAGAATATCTGCACAATTCAAAGATGACGACCTCTCCTCGGCCGAACATGCACTTCAAATCAGAGTTGTCACACCTGAGATAGCCGAGCGAAATCTTGAAACTCGTCATATGACCTCGTTGCAAGAGGGCCGACACTATCCACCTTCTACCACATTGGCACAGCTCAAGTCCGATATTGCGCATCACCTTCACCTACCATCCGTCCCGTCTGATGACTCTTGGGAGAAGATGGAATGCAATTGCAAATTAGCGGAGCTCCTGGTTAAGAGAGGAATCTGGGAAAAGATTACTTGTAATGGACATACCATGTTTAGCTGTGCCTTCCAATATTCAGCCCCCACGGCCGATCGGAACTGTGCCAAATGCTCTCAGCCTTTGGCAACTCATACCACGATGTACGATGGTGGCATCTGCCAGGCGTATGTACTTCGCCGGATAGATCTTCCGTGTGGACATACGATCCATTCAAAATGCCTCTCTGCCGGAGAAGATTTCGACTGCCCCCAATCGTGTTACTCCACGAACCAGCCACAGCCACTGTCTTCGCGACACCTTCTGGTCGTCTCTGGACACGGTAATGTCGAAAGACTTGAGATGACATCCAACCATCATTCGGCCCTGATGGGCAGACTCACTGAACGTTTCGGAGAAAACTTCACCGATGAAAAGGCTGTTTTTTATAAGGGTGGCTTTGGTGATGAAAATATGTATACACGGCTGCCTGTTGTCGCGGTCTGCTCTTCTCACAGACACAAGCATGATTCCGATACTATCCCGGCTGGCGAAAATCTTTGCCGTGTCAAGCTCGATCTTCACACTATTGAAGGGCCTATCAATACCGCGAATCTCAATCTGACAATGAAGGATATGAGATTAGCCGACCTGGCCGTAAACGGTGTTCTGACAATCTACGCCGTCCACTGGACCTCCACCGGCAGTGAAAAGCATGCCAAAAGCCAAGATGCAATGTTCACTGCTGCGTCACACTGGAAACTGCCTACTGTTCAATCTGATCGTGGCATGGCTGCAGCTCTGGCTTCCCTTCGAGTATTCGCTCACATTATTGGCTCTGAAGACTTCGACGACGTCCGTCAGAATGAGATCCTCAAGGCCGTCCACCTCCTCACCCGTTTTCCGCCAGCGGTCCGAGCTACACACATATTGATGGATGGCAAGACTTTGCAATCAAATGAAAGTGCTGCTCTTGTCCAGAGTCTTGCCGCGGTTGCCGAGGAATTAATCCCTCTGAGTCTTATTGGTAGTGATGTGAGACGCAGGTTGGAAGGCGCCAGATTGGTCCTTGGACTTATTTTGCATCGTGTACGAAAAGCAGAAACCGTCAAGGGGGAAACAATGAATTCTGCTTCGACTTCTAGTTCAAAATTTCCCTACATCGCCGCATACCACACCATCGATCTGAGAGACATCAAAACCCTAGAACCGGTCACGAACCCAGTCTTGACGAACTTTGGCTTAGCCGACAGAAGTGTTTTCAATGCCCTCTCTGCCTCTAGTGCTCTCAAACATAGCCCTTCCTGCTATCTGACTGATTGCAGTGAAGATGATTCAAGACGCATCCGCGTGGCTTTGCTCTACGGGGGCGTGGCATTGGAAACGCCTTACTATGAAGCAGATGCCGTAAGCGCAGCACTTGAACTCCATACAGCTTCCGCTAGTTCATCCCTCGATCTGAAGGAGCTTTCTGCTGATATCCCATATCTTGCATCGCTGTGTGAAGAGACAAAACTCGTCGTCGTCGCCCCTCGGCACCTTTCGAATGCAAGAGCTCCATGCCTAACCCTTGATCGGCATGGAAACATGGCGGTGTACACCGGGAGAGCTGCTTGTGCTGCTCCTGGTCACGACCATGCGGTGTTTCGCCCTCTGACCGGAGTCGAAGAGAATGCCGACGTCAACATTGTCACTCAATTACTGGAGCCCATACTTCGGGCCCGTGAACAAGATGGTACAAACGTCTTTGATCTGTTCAGTGCAACGTACCGCCGTAAAGATGCCACTCCAACTGAATTGGTGGTCTTCTGCGTGGACTGCAGCTACAGTATGAACGGATCTTCCGATTTTGCAGAGCTGAATGACGATGACAGCCTTCCCAGCTCATCTACAGTTGATGGTGATGTTGTCCTTGATGACGAAGATGATACAGATGTTACATTGGAAGAGATCAAGTCCTGGGTCTGTGATCATGAGGCATACGAAGATATCCTTCACATCGTTCATCACTACCCGCAATCACGTACCCGAGACGCCGCACAAGAAGTGATCGAATACCTCAGAGGCATCACAAGTCGACACCTCGCAAATCTGGCCCAGAAGCAGCGTGGTATATCCAGATGGGCTACATCGACCTACTCCCGAAACAATACCTCAGCTCGGCAGGAAATGAACTCTTTGCGAAGAACACTCACCGGACTTAACGTACATGAGCAATCTTTGTGCGATTTCTTGATCTTCACCGCCAGAAATCCTCACTTCGAATCCAAAGAGTTCCGTTGGCTGTATGGTGACGACCTACCTTCCGCCCCTACCTCAGAGGAGGACCAGAATGCGGTTGACATGGGTGATTTTTGTGTCATTCCTCAAGAGTTTATTTGTCCCATCAGTCAGGTTGTCTTTGAAGACCCGGTAGATACATCAGATGGCTTCACCTTTGATAGAAAGGCAATCGAGAGATGGTATCGAATTCGAAGGAGCTCCCCGCTGAGCGGCCTTCCGATCGAGAATATCACTTTGAGGCATAAGCAGGTGTTGGCAAACCAGATCAAATCTTGGGTGAGGGCAGAAGATGTCATGGAATCATTATCATCCACGCCGAAACGCACTCGATTGAGTATGCGGCAGTCGAAAACCGTGATCGATTTTGTGGCACCTACGGTCAGATTTACTCGGCAAGTACCCGCGACGGCAACGCTCCTCGATTTGCACAAGATTGCGTTCCGAGGCATGCGCGGTCTCTATCCCAGATTCTCCTTATACGTGGGAGGTACTTACCTACCTTCTTCTGAAGAGAACATGGTCCGACGAGGAGTTTCTGGTAACCAAACAATTACCATCAGCCCCAACCACACCCCTACCGCAGAAAACCCAGGAGCCTTGGGAGGATCCGAGGAAATGTGCTTGATTCGTGTCTACCGAGGGGGAAGGTTTTCTGGTGCAAAATTCAACTTCTGGGTGCCTCTCCATTCAGAGTTTACCATGACTTTGATCTTGTTTCGCAACTGGCGCTACTTGGTTCAGTGCAAGGCTCGGCCCTATTCGAACCACGATATGACAGTATGGAGTGGGCTGCGAGACGGTGGCGACAATGCTTGCATTGGCCACGATCAGGACGCTTGGGCTTCTTTGTCTTCTCTTTTGAGAGACCTCTCCAGAACTGAGATCAAAGAAAATGAAGCCCTTTTTGAAAGTCTGAGTGATTCGGCGAGGAATCGAAACGCTCCTCATGCTAATCACTCATTTTCGGGGACTGGTCAACCAAATAGAGAAACATCCGGAGACGGGCAGTATCGGCGTTGTCGTGTTTTGAAGGTCAGCTTGTACGATTATGTTGATCCGGAAATCCATGAGCAGCAGAAACTCGCAAAGCAGAAAACCCTGACCAGACTGGCCGTGACTAAACAGGTTTTTAGCGCATTTATCAATCGATTGATCGCGTACAATTTCCCAACCAATGTCGGCCTAGTGACCTTCGGAACAGACACGAAAATCTCTCAGAAATTGACGGACGTGATTGAAAACTTCCGTCAAGCAGTGGACAGAATGGATGCGAACGGCAATACTGTTTTATGGGATGCCATAGATCTCGCAGCTGATCATCTTGTGGAGGTGGGTCGAAGCTACGGAACGATCAAGAAAAGAATCATTTGTCTATCCGACGGCGAAGATACGTCTTCCGGCAAGAAGGTCGAAGATGTCTGTCGAAGACTTGCGCAGCAAGAGATTGTAGTCGACTCGGTTTGCATCGGTGAAGAAGACAATTCTGAATTGCGAACACTCTCGTATCGTACTGGTGGCTACAAGTTTGTACCAAACTCTATCGAAGAAGCGTCTGCTCTGTGCGAACTCGAGCCTGTTCTCTCTATACATGAGAGACCACCTGTGAGTCGGCCCACCCATCAGTGGTTTTCACAGTCAACCCGACACGCCATACCGGACCCTGTTACTAGAGACCAATATCCAGCGCGCAAGACTCATAAGAACCTCAATGATACATTTGTTCGAATCGGCCGTTTCGAAAACACCGTACATCGTCGGCTCCGTGAGTCATCAAGTTCATCGGGCTCCTCAACTTGGTCTCGGAGACTACTCTTGGAGATTCGCGACATTGCCACTCATCCTCACCCTTCATATGATGTGTATGTCTCAGAAAACAACATGGGATTCTGGAAGATTGTACTTCAAGGCCCAAGTGAATCAGCGTATGCGAGTGGAGCATTTATCCTGTACCTGGATATGGGCGAAGACTATCCGCGACGACCTCCAAGTGGTCGATTCGTCACTCCTATCTTCCACCCTAACGTCAATAGACACGGGAGAATATGGTCAGTCTCACCAAGCCATTTCTCCCTTTCCTACCACTTTTCTCTGCTTCGCTAACCCCAGTCTCCTATCTAGCCACTCCATCTTCGACCGCAACTGGACCGTCGACACCAGCAACAAGCAAGTTCTCGACACTGTATTCAGCCTTCTTCTTGTCCCTGAATTCACTGACCCAATCAATACAATTGTGACACTGAATTATTATTGGGACGAGGTTGCGTTCAGGGAGGAAGTGCAGAAACATATTGAAAAACACGCCAACAAATCGAGATCCGAGCTGGGACGCGATATTGTGGGCGAATGAACGGTGATGGGGTTTCAGCTAATTATGGATGGAAAGTCGTGGAAGTGATGGCTGCGGGGTCTTCATAAGCAAGTTGAATCCATCGAAGTGGATGGATATGATGATCGCGCGAGGCGTGTCAGCCAGTATAACTCACTGGATCTTTCCTCCTCTCGCGCTCGTTTTGCTCTATATTGCTTCAAGCCCAAGACTATCGGGCTGAATGATTACGACCTCTCCAAATCTCGAATGCGAAATTCAATGATCCTCTGTGTCCCAGGCTGCGATTCGGATATTTGGAGCCACAAAATCTACAGATGAAACCATGTACGGGCAAAACATTGTTTATTTGTTCTCGTTTCCACAGAGAGATAGAGACCATTCAGGGTATGGAAAGGTGACACGGCTGGAACCAAAGAAGAAAGTCGACGCAGAAAGATGAGTGGTCTCCATCACAGTGGGGTTCAGGGACGAGGATGATATTGCATTAAGATAACAAAGATCTGGAATATGGGTCGGTGGTGGCATTGGTGTCTCCCAAATCGCTGTCGCTGGGCTTCAACGGCGTCGGTTTAACTGGTTGGTTGCTGCTGTCGATTCTGTAGCGTATTCTTTGAAAGATTGACCTTGTCCATGGCCAGGTATCGAAGTCCATTCTAGTCCCTTTTTGACACTGGTGTGTAGTTGATCGAACAAGACGCCGATGGTGGATCCGTGCTCATCTTCCGATCGCGGATCTCTGAGGGAGTTTATGAGTGGTCGGATAGGGGATGGCTAGGACGAGGAGTTTCCGATTGTAACGCTAAAGCTGGGATTCGGGATGACTGCCGCCAAAAAGAGAGCCTCGAGGCTGGTAGGACTAAAGCAACCTGGCCAGCCATCAGGAAAATGGCCGGTGTCCGCTCTTGAAGGACGCGTGGCCCCAGTTCAATTCTTTTTTTTTTTTTTTTTTTTGGGTGGAAACTTCCCATAATGTCACCATCGAACATTACCGTGCGACTGTCAGCACGTGTAGAGGGTGCGGATAGAGTATTGGTCGCCTTTGTGAGAGAACATTGCGAGGTTCCGTTGATTCTTTTGGTGCGGTCTGTATTTGCTTGAAATCACAAGGTTAAGAATCCACGCTTCCTCGGAAATCACCAAAGGAAAAAGCTTGGTACTCGCCTTGTCTGGGCTTGGCTCTGCGCCTGCTATGCAAGCTTATGCGATTGCAATCTCTATGGAAATTCTCCTCGTACGTACTTTGTCCTACCTCACAAGTTCGCATGTACTACAAATCAGACACTTATCGATCGGTAGCAGATCAGCAGCATTGGTGACTGACCTCACAACTTGGCTTTGGCGCTCTTCTCTTCCTCTTTAGCCTTATCTTTCAGCATCCGCCGCAGGATCTTGCCTGCCGCGCTCTTGGGGATCTGGTCCACAAACCTCACACCGCCCCTCAGCCTCTTATGGCTGGCCACTTTGTCTGCCAACCACTGCACGATCTCTTCTGCACCTTTCTCGCTATCGTGTCCCTGGCTGGCCACCACATACGCCCGGGGCACTTCGGTGTGCTGTTCTTCATCGTACACGCCAATCACAGCGACATCGTTGATCCTGGGATGATCCATAAGTTTGCCCTCGAGTTCGGCAGGGGCGACCTGGAAACCTTTATACTTGATCAACTCCTTGACTCGATCGGTGATGTAGAAGTTGTGATTTTGATCCTGATAACCTACGTCTCCCGTCTTGAAATACCCGTCTGGCGTCATTGCGTCTTTGGTGGCTTCTTCGTTCTTCCAATATCCTTTGAATACGTTTGGTCCAGCGAGCCATAGTTCTCCGGCCTCGCCCGGTCCCAATTCTTTTCCGTCGGGAGACATGTATTTCGCCGTCATGCTGGGGAACATCTTGCCCACGCTGCCGACCGATGAATACCACTCGTCCCACGGCTTCAAGTATTTAGTCAGTAAGTCGCGCTTTGATACGCGAGTCGGGCACCTACTTGAGTATGCGTCATCGGAGAGGTTTCTGACAATCCGTACGCCTGGTTAATTTTGATTTTGAGCCGTTTGTGCACGGTGTCAACCAATTCGCGGGTCAGAGGGGCCGCTCCACTTGTGATCATCTTCACGCTGCTCAAGTCATACTTGTCTACCAATTCATCACGAGCCAGTCGCACGACCACTGGAGGAGCAACGTAAATGAAAGTGATTCTGTGTTCTTGAATGGCTCTCAAAAACACCTCCAGATTGAAAGCTGGCATCACCACGAGCTCAATGCCCCGGTGCAGAGGCTGGTGGACGAGGCCAGTGAGTCCATATATGTGGAAGAAAGGTAATACTCCCAAAATCTTGTCCTCTCCGCTGGAGTACCATTTCCCCATGGCCCCTTTCAGCATAAGGACGTCGGCGATGATGTTCCGATGACTTAACATCACTCCTTTTGGCAGGCCCGTTGTTCCTGAGCTGTATACCAGGAAAGCGAGGTCTTTGTCTGAATCCATTTTGCGCCGCCGATATCGAATCGCGCCAGAAGTCTTGCGAATGTTGGTCCAGTGTTTGATTTTGTGGCTTGGGTCCCGATCACTGCCCAGTAATATCACGCGGTCTTCAGGGATATTCGACTTCTTAGCCGCTTTCACCGCGGTGGGCCAGAAGCGGCTGGTCGTGACGATAGCTTTGGAGCCGGAGTTGGACAATTGAAACGAAAGTTCGTCCGCTGAGTATGCCGGATTGGCCGGCGATACAATACCTCCAGCATAGAAAACGCCATAGATGATGGGGCCCATGTCGACATCGTTAGGCGCGAAGACGTTCAGGACATCACCCTTTTGCCAGTCCCACAGGTTTCTGAGACCAGCGCCGAACGCTGTGGCAGCCTCTTTGACATCGGACCATGTATATTGACGGGTAGAATCTACCGCCCGGTATATCACTGAGGTCGCCAATCAGTAACCCCACCCCCATCAAGTCCCACGACCGGAGCTTCCATCTAACCTTGGGAATCAGGAAAATCTCGTGGCTGTTCAAACATCAGACCCCAAAGGTCCACATTCGGGATCTGAATATCGGGATACGGTGATCTGATCGGCATGATGATCTGGATATTCTCTCTGTGCTCTTTCTTTCTGCTATGGATATAGACCGGTGCTGTTCAAGTACACACGGATGCAAAAATGAGAACGCAGGATGTTCGGTGAAAGGAGCCAATCAAGGCCTTTCGCCGTATGGTCGGGTTTGGGCAATCTCGACAGCGTGAGTGTGTACAGCTCCAGCTTATTGAATGATCTTCGGAAACGGAATGATGTCGTCGTCCCCGCAAGATATGAGAGTGGAGTTGGATCGGCCCCAAAACGAACGGGGGCGCGAGGAGGGCCGGAGAAAAGGGGGAGAAAAAGCCTCGGCTGGCGGTTTTTCGGAAGAGATATTTTCCGGCGCACCAATGACCAATTATATGGTTCTGACTTCGGACAGCCTCTACCCAAACGCCCGTCCAGGTATCTATATATCCTAATAAAAAGATCATCTCATGCCGAATTTTCTCCTATCTTGTCTTAGCAATCTTTGGGCGACTCCACTGTGACTGTGATCTCATCACTGTGCACTCTAGCTACGTTATCCGTCGTCTGCTGGCCTTCCTCCATTGCTTGATCCACGTCCCTGTAGGTCTCGAGCAAGGGCAATTGTACGGTGTCCCGAACTGCTGTCGTTAAACTTCGAATACAAGGTCTTCATCATACCCTTCCTCTGCGATGAGGCGACACACAGATGCATCCTTCCTGATGTGTAGCCGAACATTGCCCATGAGTCGCTCATTGATACCGGTCGCAGATTGACAGGGTTTCGGATTTCTCGTACAAACTCCAGCAGAAATTTGTGTGCTCCGAGTACCTGCTCTCCGGGCGAGAAAGGAAGGGAAGGCGTAAACACCGACGCTCGTCCCGTCATTGGTAAGCATACTTTAACATCAACAGAACCTTAGCCTGCTCACCCGAAATTGCTCTTTGAACTCGTGTTTGACCACTTTCGAGAGTTTCTTGATCAAAGATGTTCTCTGGGAGTGGTCCTCTTCATTGAAAATGACGGCCTTGTGCTCTTCACAAAATTCTATAATCTTCTCATCGATGGCATTGGTTGCCAGGACCCAGATGGTCCTAGAGCAGTCCACCTTGCTCCGATGATGGCGATCTTCATATTCACCTAAAGAATCGGCAGGGCATTGTGGATCCCAGTGCTTGTTTTCTCAAACTCATCCAGGAATACAATGCACCGTTGTCCACTTTTCCTGGCCGAGAAATTATTCAATGACGAGCCTTGCTCAGAGCCTCTGTACTTAAGGCCTACCCAATCCAACCCCACGGACGGCCCTCTTCATCCAATTGACCCAGGAGAGTCCAGTTCAACATCCTCCGTCAGATCCAATGAGGGGAGTAGCACAGCTTCAGACCCTGTCGGAGAATCTCGAATTATGAAGAGCGCATTTCTGGGAATACAAAAGATAGAAATCTAGGCGGTGTCCACAATACGTTAAAGCATCTCGCCCTTCTGCGTCGACCTCCTAGATTGCGGACCAGGCGTGGTAGCATGCCTGACTCGAAAGACGACAACAAGCAATGGTGTTTGTCGGAAATTGAACGCCGCAAACTTGCCAAAGATCTCAGTCAGACCCCAGTGGCACTACATGGAAAAGTCTACCAAGATCAAGAATTCTTCGATCCGATCCTGGCAAATTGCGAGGCTGCGTGTGCCGAGTCTCTTCTAGGGTACCATATGTCATTGTCGGTCGGACGGCTGCAGCCAGGTGAGTGATTGACCATTTGCTGAACTACATGGCCCATGGGATCTTGTGACAAAGCAAGCGGCCGTTAGTGAGTCTTCGCCGCCCAAAGGGGCACGGAAAGACCGAGCTAGTCAGACGTTTGAATCACTCGCTGAATTTAGAGATCGAGATCGTGGACTGCACGGTATTCAATCGTGAGGATGAGTTCTTCGGGCCGAGACCGGCCTCGGTAACTTTCTGGACTGACTTGGAGTTAATGTGGGCCATGGCTTTCAGTGGCTTCTTCGGGAATGTCCTTTCCGGAGCTGGGACACTCGGACATGAAGAAGGAGCTGTTCTAGTCTTGAGGAGAAGGTACCAGTGTAAGGGTGATTTTCATGTGTTATGCTGGAGTACCTGAAAGAAGTATACTTTACGAGGTGAGCTGGGTGAGGCTAGGAGCTTAAAATGATGGATAACCCAGGTGGAACATTGTCAGCATAGCATCCCGCGACCTAACTGCAAGAGCCCATCTTGTATCGCATTAGATTTGTGATTAGTTGTTGGCTCTTATCACCATCAAAGCAAGGCTGTCAACAAAGGGGGGTGACAAATCACCTAACAACGCCCATTTTGCAAGCGGCCTCAAGAGTTTTCGTTCTTCTGGCGCACCCTGGGCGGTTCTTTTTGGAACAAGGGCTGAAATGTAAGCTGCCGTGTGCCTTCTATCGTGATCAGGCAACAAGGCGCACTGGATGTTGTGCTTGTGGTCAGGCGTCACTAAGGTGGGGTCATGGCGGACAATCGACAGGGGTCGGAACGAGCCTTGATTGGAGTGGATCCAGTGAGACGAGCATCAGGAGGAAATTGATCGATCTCAAGTGAATCTTACCCGGACGGAGTCTGGAATATCCACTTGGGAATGCCAAATTGCTGAATTTTGCAGCAACAGCTGCACCATGAGACTAGTCAAAAGGATGACCTGGCTGAGTATTTTGATTGTGTAATGATCAGCCTTGGCCGGATAACCAGCGAGAAAGACGAGGTGGAGAACTTCTTTGTGAGACTAGGGCGGGGTTGGAAAGAACGCAATCAATGCTGCAAGAAATCTAATTGAGCGAAAGTGATCAAAAGCTGAATCAGCCGATAAAAAACTGGAGGAAGCAGTGATAGCAACGAAATCTCTTGAAGCTGACTTCCAGAAAGCTCGAGAGCAGATACAAGCACTCACCGGAACTCTGAAGTCGAAAGGCGAGGATCTTGCTGCAATGCAAGAAGAAACTGCGGAACAGAAGGAAGGATTCTGGAAATGGTTAAATGGAAGCAAAGAGTTAAGAAATTGCCACTGAACTCTCAAAGGCGAAGAAGTCTGCCGAGAACGAAAAGGCCTGGCGACGCATCTCTACGAAGTTTGTTAGGTAACAGCTTTCCAATCTCCTGGGTAGTTAGCAAGCGAGAAGAGCAAGCGAGAAGAGGTCCTCATAGGGCTCCGCGAAGGAATCTCCATTATCAGCGAGCAGATATGGAGACTTTGAAAGTACTTCTGTGGTGCATTTTTATCGGTAGAATTGCAGCTGTGTACATCCCCCAGTGGTTTTGGTATGTAGCACAGATTGGCAAGCTGTTTATAACATATGGGATTTGAAGCTGGTTGCGGATGAGAGATGTGCTGGACCAGTTTGTAGGATGGAGAAGGCTTGTGAGGTGGGTTCGTTTGCTTGGTGGAATATCGCTCGAGGTGCTGCAGAGGTAGGGAACCAGTCTTGGGAGTATTCATTTGAGCAGGACAATAAAATGGATGAGGTTGTTTGTATTTGCCCTTTGCTCACGAATCCTAAGCCAATAGAGTAGTTAGGTAACTTCGGCGATTCATGATGAAGATGCCTCGGCACATGCCATTAGAAAACCCGAAATTGTTACTTGTTCTTGTAGACACCAAAGGCCCAGCTTGGCTCGGCTCCCCATCTCACAGTGCATTTAATAGCATCTGCCATCCTCTGCATTCTTTACGCAGACAGAGATATACGGGCTTTTCGCTGGAATCACGACTGATTCGGCTCCATCTTTCATCACACAAACATTCAATCTTCCGACGACCCATTTGTCCCTCCGGATTGACTTTGTTTTTTTTTTTTTTTTTTTGGTTTCTACCTCACTTCGATTTCAAGGTGTGAAGCACCCGTGCTACAGACATGGTTGCAGACGCCCTAGTTTATCACCCTGCGGTGACCCATTACCTCCGATATGTTGCGACCACGAGTAAGAAACCACCCCAGGTTCCCTCCGAAACAAGACGAGCTAACCCATTATTCACCTTCCAGTCGGCCGTGACAAGGTGCTTCGTACGATCCAATACTTCAGCAGATTCTACGCCTGGTATCTCTATCGCACGAACAACCCAACGAGTGCCATTCAACCATGGAACGTGATCAAGACCCAATTCGGGCTGACGAGGAAGATAATGCGTGTTGGGAAATTCGTTGAACACGTGCGCGCTGGTTCGGAGATCTACGATGCTGCCATGAAGTCGGGCAATGGCGATAAGATTGTCCAATACCTCCAGATCCTCAGGCAGATCGGCTACGCCGGTTACCTATTTTTCGACATGATGACGTTGCCGGATGCAATGGGCCTCAAGAAGGATCCCAAGGCAAAGAGCCTTCAGGCGACTGCATATCGATTCTGGTTCGCTGGTTTGATGGCTAGCGCAATCGCCGGAATCTACAGCACCTACCAATTGAGAGAGAGGACAAAGGCAGTCGATGAGAAAGACGCAGAGGCGAAGGTTGAAAAGGTCAAGATTGCCAGGTACGTGCATCGCAGGCTAGAAGGGGGGCGGTAATTCCTATGAGGGGGTATACTGACTCGCAGCATCAGACAACAACAAATTGTCAACACCCAACTGGTGTCTGATCTTTGTGATCTGACGGTACCCAGCTCAGCTCTTGGGTACGCCAACTTCGACGAGGGAATTATTGGTTTGGCAGGAACAACGAGCAGCTTGATCGGAGTCTGGGGAGCATGGCAAAAGACTGCTTGATCCTAGTGACGTGGATTGGAAGCCGTTGACACATGTACACAGGGCGACAATACGGATTGTGAGCAACTGGCGTTTGACATTTCTGGATTGCCGGACGGAGATGGATTGTGTTCTGATCAACTGTTGTGACAAGGATTGATTTTCGGGCCGTTGCTGCAAGACGCGATCACGCCAGAAAATTATATGTAGTGCTTCATGGTGAGGAAGTATTATTCGTTTGGGAATGATCTGGTCATGGCATTCCATCTCCTCCTGGACTATCATCGATCATCACAATGTCCCGACATCCGTGCAGGATCCGTTTGGCGTTGTGGAAGACCGTCGACAAAAGTATTACTTGATCCATAACTGTCCATGCTCTTCTTTCGCCGTCCTAGCCCCTCGATGGGTTATCCAACCACCAGACTCCGGTAGATCAAATTCCTGTCTTTCTGGTTCCGGAACCCCGTCGACGAAAAGTTGCGAGGTGGCGCAAAACAAAGACGTCGAGAACAATAGTCAACCAATTACACAGAGGGATAGCGGGGGGAAGAGAAAAGGGCCTACTAAGCCCTCCTCAGCAGAGGGCAGCATTTCTGTTTTGCCTCCACCTCATCTTGCTGTGTCGCCTTTCGTCACCTCTCCTCCTATCTTCCCTCATCGACCACGATAATAAGAAGGACCCTGCGATCATTTTCGCATGCTCCGCATTGATCTCCAATTACTAGAGCACGGCATATCCACGGTACCTCGCCTCTTCCAATCAGCTGCGCTCGGGCAGAGCCGGGCAGGCTGTGTCAGGAAATCTACCTCGTCGTCTTCCGATCTCTCCCGTTCCTCCTTCCGGGATAGCAATTCACATCGGCTTGGCCCCAGTGTCAGAAACATACAATATCAGAGACCATCCTCCCTCATGGCTTCAGACTATTCTACTCGCCTTCAAGCTGTCCACCAAATCCGGCCTCACTCACCCTCTCCAGCAACCGGCACCGCTCGCTCAGAACTCGCCAAAGTCCAACTCCGATCTTACTCCTCCAGAATGGTTACTCAGTCGGTTAACAAGACCGCTCTCCACCCTGGTGGTGTCGAGTATGTCGTGGTCGTCCTCATATGAGATCATTCTTGACTGACCTGCCCACCCAGGCCCACTCGCGAGCACACTGAGCTCGAAGAAGAACTTCATACCATAGCTCACATTGACTACGACCGAGTAGCCATCGTAGCAAACCCATCAGTATCAGCCCTCTATGAAGACGCTCTCGTTTATGAAACTGGCTCGGCCATCACCTCCTCAGGAGCCTTGACTGCCTACTCAGGATCTAAGACCGGACGTTCGCCGCTAGACAAGCGCGTGGTTAAGGAAGAGGGATCAGAGAAGGACGTGTGGTGGGGGCCCGTCAACAAGGCCATGTCAACCGAGGTCAGTTCATTTCTTCTCTTTCCAGTCCTTTTATATTCCTCGGGCACGTCAGTGTTCACGGACTTTGTGTCGTCCCACATCGACTTCAAGATGAAAGGGTACATACCGTGGATGACGTGGGGATGGAAAAAACCTCGTTTTACCATGCCAGTCCTGAGACTTGGTCTTCCCCGCAGTTCGCACATGTTTATTGCGGGCAAGGAGGAAACAACGACACCTGTCTGAGGGTCGTGGTTGCCCCGCGTTGCCCGGAAAAGCCAGTGACGCACTTGCCTAGTGCCTCGGCTTTCAGGAGTCTTGGCTGCGGGAGACAACGGGGGCACCACTAGAAGTTTCTCGCTGATATCGGCAGCTGCACCGGCAAAAACCAAGGGCGGAATGGATGTTATCCTAGACCCCCACCACCGCCTCCTGTGCGAGTTATCTCTGTTAAGAGAGACCAGGTGGACGCTGATCACGCTACGGAAAATTCAGGAATTGAGGGCTAACTTGGGACTCTCGACAGGTCTGGAAAATCAATCGAGAGCGAGCAGTCGACTACCTCAACACTCGAAATCGCATCTATGTGATTGATGGCTATGCTGGCTGGGATGAGCGATATCGCATCAGCGTCCGAGTTGTGTGCGCCCGTGCCTATCATGCACTCTTCATGCGAAACATGCTTATCCGACCGACTCGCGAAGAGCTGAAGTCTTTCCATCCCGATTATGTCATCTATAACGCTGGTTCTTTCCCGGCCAACAGGTACACTTCGGGCATGACCAGCGCCACCAGCGTCGCCATCAACTTTGCCGAGAAAGAGATGGTCATCTTGGGTACTGAATACGCGGGCGAGATGAAGAAGGGCGTTTTTACTGTCCTCTTCTACGAAATGCCAGTCAAGCACAACGTCTTGACCCTCCACTCGTCGGCCAACGAAGGTGAGAACGGCGATGTCACTGTTTTCTTTGGCCTGTCCGGCACTGGCAAGACCACCCTGTCCGCCGACCCCAAGCGAAAGCTGATCGGTGATGATGAACACTGCTGGTCAGACAAGGGCGTGTTCAACATCGAGGGAGGCTGCTATGCCAAGTGCATCGGCCTGTCTGCTGAAAAGGAACCAGATATCTACAATGCCATCAGATTCGGCTCCGTTTTGGAGAACGTCGTCTTTGACCCAGAGACGCGTGAAGTGGACTATGATGATGCCACGCTCACCGAAAACACCCGTTGCGCATATCCGATCGAATACATCAGTAATGCTAAGATCCCCTGCATGAGCGATCACCACCCCAGCAACATCATCCTGCTCACCTGTGATGCTCGCGGGGTGTTGCCGCCCATCTCTAAGCTCGACACGGCTCAGACCATGTTCCATTTCATCTCGGGATACACCTCCAAGATGGCTGGAACAGAAGATGGGGTCACGGAACCACAAGCAACCTTCTCTTCTTGCTTCGCTCAGCCATTCTTGGCTCTGCACCCCATGCGTTACGCGAAGATGCTTGCCGACAAGATCTCCGAACACAATGCCAATGCCTGGCTCCTGAACACTGGCTGGGTGGGTGCGGGCGCCACCACAGGTGGCAAGCGTTGCCCGTTGAAGTACACTCGTGCCATCTTAGATGCGATTCACTCGGGAGTGCTCGCCAAGGCTGAGTATGAAACCTACGATGTGTTCAATCTTCACATCCCGAAGTCGTGCCCCAACGTTCCGGATGAGCTCTTGAACCCCAAGAAGAGCTGGACTGGATCGGCCGACTTCAGTGAGGAGGTCACCAAGTTGGGCAAACTTTTCAACGAAAACTTCAAGAAGTATTCCGATCAGGCGACTGAGGAGGTCATCAAGGCCGGTCCAGTCGTGTAACGGAAAACAAGAGTGCCGTGGTGAGCTGAGCTGAGCTGAGCTGTTTCTGTTTTGCTCCTTGCCATCTGTTTTGCTAATCATTAGACAACACGGGCTTCTTGTACAGAAATGCGTTTGAAATTTGGACAGCATTGTCATGGCGTTGGATAATAGCAGCGTTCGGTTGTTTGAGGAGAACGGCAACAAATACGAACGCGAGACGCGAGAGGCATCACCATGCAACGAACGGACAATCCGATGATGACCGCCTTAAACCTGTCTGGCTTGCCTTGGAGAGTGGCCGACAGTAAGAGAAGGGGGCCATCAGAGGCCTCCAAAACTACGCCTGCTACACTAGCTAAGAGATGGTCATTTATAGCTGCTTTCTTTTGTTGGGTATTGAATGAAATAAAAACGAGCTCGAACTTGAGCCTTGCCAATTTCTCCGAGGGTGCCCTAACCTCCCCACTGCTGATCCATGAATTGTGAGACGGCCGTTGTGATGGAGGGAGTTGAGACGGCTGAAACGGTCGTTCCGTAGTCAAAATCCGGTATGAGACAAATCGCCCGGCGAGTTTATCCGGGCCTTTTTCATGGAATGGAAACGGGCAAGTCGTAGGCGAGAGATTTGACTCGACCATGAAAGAAAATGCATGTGAACAACAAATTGCCGATAGGAGAAGGGGAATGGGAGGGTTCGGAGGGCTGACTCGGTGAGTCGCGTGGGAGACGGTCAGACCCTGTGACCTCGCTAAGGGCAGCCTACCTGGGGCAAACTCACCGGATTTCGCCCACGTAGGTTCAGGTTGCTTTCACGGCACGGGCACACAGCGAAGGGCGCAGGACGGATGTAGGGCGCAAAACGATAGCTGCAAAGTACCATGTAGCAGGTAACTTGCCATTTGCTACCACTTTCTGTGGGCCGCGGGCGGTTATCTGAATTGCCAGATGGGTGGTGGTTGAACGTCGAGTTCTTCAGGATTTGTCCGTCAAATCTTCGAGAGGGCCACCGCTAATGTGGTAGTGGCAGTGCTCATGCATCTTCATGTGCAACTACTGTTGAAATATGTAAGATGGTGCCCGTAAAACATTCTTGTTCCCGTCGCTCCCACGTCCACACCCAAAGCCCAAGTCTCCGGGAGCCCGGAGCGCTACTTAACTAGTTACAGTAATACCGAGTTTTGCTACGTAAGTTGGACTTCGGTACTGGCGATTTGGCTGAAAAGCAGGTCAAGTGGCCAAATCTTGGTACCCCTTCGACCCTTCTTTCCCCGCCCCAGAGCAAAACTCCGGTTGCCTTCGTTGCACAACTGATACACCACTCAACTCATTCTCATTCCTTTCTCCTCGTCCATCCCATCTCCTCCAACGACCAACAGCAAGATCAAACCCTTGACTTCTCCCACTTCCAATCCCACGGCCCTAGTCTCCGCGGGCACCCATCCAAGATCCATCCATTCCGTCGTCAAACTCACCTGCGGCTTCGCTTCCCGTTCGATTCCCGTACTTTCTCGAACGCCTTGTTGTCCTCTTCCGCCCACCCACTCGAACTCGATTCACTACTACCTCCTTCATCTTACATTCTCCTTCTCTTCTCCAATACACTCTGCGCTGAACCAAACCAACAACATGGCCGATCCCGACCCAAAGTAACTCTCCGATTCCCAATCTTTCCTCTATTCATCCATCGTTACCTCCCACTTTTCGGCGCCTGGTGGTTCTTTTATCGAAAAGGTTTACCGTCTCTTCCGCGCAGCTCTTTCCGCAACCTGCTCCCACCCGACTCCTATTGCATCACTTGGCGTTTACTTCCCTCTCCTTCGTTCAGTTTTATATACACAAGCCTAGTCGCACTGGCTTACCGGCCTGATACCTACTCGTCCGGCGCGGTGAATAATCGGTCCATCTCGACAATCTTCCTTCGACTGGCATCCCGCGATCCATCTGCCACATCCTTCCTCTTGTCAACCATCTGACGATTGATCTGCGACGAACCTGCGTGAAAAAGGGTTTCGAAATACAATTCCATTTCCAAAATGCTTATAAACGGAGAAAAATTCGCCTGCGAGGCTTGCGTGAGGGGCCATCGTGTTAGTTCTTGTCATCACCAGGGTATGTCTCCCGAGGAATTTTTTATTTTTTTTGGTTGGTCTGATACTGATCTTTCTGTCTCCTAGACCGGCCTCTCGTTCATGTCAATAAAAAGGGTCGACCCGTTTCACAGTGCCACCATTGCCGAGGCTTGCGCAAAGCCCGCTCTCAGCATGTCAAGTGCGAATGTCATGACAAAGCTCACTCGAAAGAGGATTGTCCTCATGAAAAGAATGAAGGGAAATCTGGTATGCCCGCTTACAACCGTTCCATTCGGCCACAAACTGACACGACCTCAAGAATCACACACTTGCTGTTGCCAGCACGGCGCACGCTGTACCTGTTCTCTCAAGAAGGAACACCTCGACACGGTGCCCGAAGATATCCCGCAACTCATTCAACCCAAGGAACATCACAAGCAGCGCCTGAACATGAATTCGCACGATCCTAAGACGACGATCTTTACAAATGGTCATCACAAACCGGTCCATAAGTTCAACGACGCTCACAATCAGCTCGGAAATCCCTACAAGATCCCTTCTCGATCGAATTCACTTCATGGCCATCGCGAGGTCGCTCAACGTTCCACGGACAGTCTCCCACTCACCAAATTTGCAAAGCCTTTCCATGAGTCACCCTTACACAACTCGATGACGGAAGCCATGGATATAGTCCAGCGCAAGGTTAAATCGGAACACAATTCACCTGTTCTCGGACCTCAAAATTTGGCAAATCCTTCGATCCGAGATCTTCAAATCCCAAGCTTTGATCCCAACGCCTACTCATATTCCCCTTTTGGTACCGACACTCCCAACAGCCTGCAGAATAGCCAAAATGCCAGTCAGCAAGACCTTACCCTCCCTGAACGATTTCCGGAGGCCTGGTTCATGACTTACGAACAGGCTCACGAGTATGAGCCGCCACCGGGGTCAAAATATAACGAGATTGACTGGTCGACCTTCAACCTGGATGGCAACGGTAGCGTCTACAATACCGACAAGGCCAATTCTCCCTACCTGTCACAACAAGTCCCACACCAAGCTATTGATCTGTCTAATCAAATCAGTCAGGCTGGAATCACATCGTCCAGCGGAGAAGCGTCTGAAGTAGAAGACCTGTCTCCACCATCAAATCGTTGGGGGAATGATCGTTCCATCAACAATGATCGACAGAGTGGGGTGGACAACTTCAATGACTTGAGCAGCATTGGAGGCGATGATGCTTCTGACAGATATCGGTTGAGTTCTGCCTCGTCTTACTATGGAACCCCTCAAGCCAACCTGTTGGCCGGTGACAACATTGCAAGCCTCGACATTGACGACTTTCTCAAGCAGGCTGAAGCCGAAACAAAACGCATGCAGTTACAACAGCAAATGGCCCAGATGCAAATGGCTTCGCAAGAACCACCACAACCATCGCGATTGTCAAGTGCGAGTCGAGGTATGACTCCTAATATCTCTACTCCAGGAAGTACCGGAAATGGCGAACATCCGTACACGATAAGTGAGGCACAAAGATACGCTCATATGGATGGAATGTCGAACGATCCTGTCGTGCAACCAAAACCTGCCATGCCAGCTTCCAGTATGGCCGATGACCCTTCATGGTCGGCTGCACCGGATATGTCGAATCCCGAATTAACCCTGGATGACGAGCGAGAAGACGAAGATTGGGTTCGGTGACCTTTGGGCACAACCACTTTTTGGATTGCCCACTTCTCTTTTTTTTTTTTTTTTTTTTTGAGGAGAGGCAACGACCACGTTAACGAGTTACGATGAACGTACATTATGTACATGGAGATACCACGGGACTTTGGACTTTGACAAAAAGAATGGATCACCAATGCGGCGAAAGAAAACGCAAAGGGGATTTTCCGACGAATTGGACAGTATGGATCGTGAGCACAGCACTACCGTAATTTATATACAAGGAAGGGTGTCGGAATGGATAAGGCGATGGTGTTTTGTTTAGGACAGCATTCTTCCGTGGACAGCTTTCTTTTATTTTTCTTACTTCATATATACATATATATATATTGTGTGTTTTTCGTCTTCGAAATCACGATCACTATCCAAGCCATCTTCAAAGATGGATATCAAGTGGATGAGTGATGCAGTGGGCTTTTCGCCTTTTGGCAAGAGCCAAAAGACACACAGACCGAAAGACAGAAAACAAGCAAGCTGGGTTAGGCAGACAGGGCGGGTATACATCATCTATTACGGGTGGGAAATGAATGCACATAGAAGAAGAAATTTGTTGTTTCTAATCTTTAATTCTGTTTATATCGGGTGTGCAGTGTTTTCAGCGTCCGCCTGTGGGTCTTGGTCCTGCCCCTGAAGAATGGCCGAGATATATCCGTCGATATCCACTTTGACTCCTCCATTGACATTGTGTATCGTGATCCTCGCGTCGTGCGTAGTAATTGCTCCTCCTGCCAGGAGCAGAAGTCCAAATGACGGATTGACTAGGTCGTTAGACACTAGGCGCTCGTGGTATATCAACGACGTAGTACTCCCCCAACCCACTGCATCTCCACTACACTTACACCTCTCGCGTATGCTTTGGTCCCCGTGTATACGAATTCATTGTACATTATCCCTTCGAATCTGCGGGTGCCATTCGAACCGGTACTAGATGATCCGGCTGAAGTGGAAGTCGAAGAGACGGAGAATAGTACACTACTTGGATGAATAGCAACCGCCTGGTTGGTGAGTAGGGTTCGATAGCTGCCGTCAGAACTCAATCGGGCGACGTTGGGATAGAAGCCGGTAAGTAGACATTTTAGGATGCGGGTGGTGAGTGGTTCATCCGGCTTCACGCTTGAAGGCGGCACTGATGCTAGTCTGGGTTCTTCAGCTGGCTTCGGAGCCGAACTCGAATCGTCGTCCTTGGTTTGACTTTTGTCTCCGTCTTTGTTTTTAAGGTGGTCTTTCATCTTGTTCGTGCCGTGGAACGGCGCTTGACCTTGATCCTCTTTCTGATTTCGATACCGACTCATCAACCCCGTCAGCTGTTTCCTTACGTCCATTGCGCCGCTCATGCCGCGATGCGAGATGAAGCGCTCCTCGCACCAGCGGCGGCGGTCGGTGTTCTCGGCCGCGTAGGCCTGGACCGTCGCCAGGAGCGTCAAGTGGTCACCTTCGCGGCGGAAGAGGGCGCGGCGGGCCTGCTGGGCGCGTGATTCGCGGGTTTCGACCTCTTCATCTCCCTCGCTCTCAAGAAGGTTTGTGGAGGCAGTGGGCGGATCGTTCGAATGTGCTTGATTTTGATTTTGGTGGTGGATATTCAGAAAGATATTCTCGACGCTGAGTGCCGAGACGATGTCAATTATTTCTTCGATGCAATTGTACTCAGACTCCGCACTGGCGAGGAGCACGCGGGCCAGACTCACGGGAAGTGGAAGAACGCTCATTTCCCGGCCGAGCCGCGTGATTTGGCCCGTCGAGGTGTCTAGCGCCGTGAGCTGGATGAGATGGGTCAACGCCCTTTCGAGTGCTTTGCGGGGTGGAGGAGTTAGGAACGGGAAGCTATGCAATTCGTCGATCCCATGTGCTTTGAGCGTTAGAACCAGCTGACTGAGATCACAGCGGAGGATCTCTGGTTCCGTGTCCTGGGAAAGCCGGTAGAAGTCAGCTTCGGTGTATAGTCTGTAGGCGGTACCAGGGGCGTCTCGGCCGGCTCGACCAGATCGTTGATTCGCAGAGCTGCGTGAAATAGGGACGGTGAGGAGAGTGTCGAGGTTCAGCGATGGGCGGAACAGTCGCTGCTTTGCTTTCCCAGTGTCGACCACGTATCTTATTCCCGGGACCGTGATGCTAGTTTCGGCGATGTTGGTGGCTAGGATGATCTTGCGTGTGAATTTGGGTGTTGGTTGGAAAACGCGTTGTTGCATGCTTGACGGAAGGGCAGCGTAAAGAGGAAGGATGAGGAGTTTCGGCAGTGTTTTGGATTGGTTAGGATCCTTTTGGATGGAGTTGGACCAGGATGTCACGAGGCTGAGGAGAGATTCGACTGTTTCTTGGCCCGTGAGGAAGACTAGGATATCTCCCGGTAAAGGCGAGTGCGCGTGGATGTGCGTTATTCGCTGGTAGGCAGCGTCGAGGATGTCGGGGACTGGCGTTGGCGTATAGTTTATCATCACAGGGTATTGACGGCCTCTGATGAAGAGTGAGGTAGCTGTCGAAGAATTTCTCCGGTTCGAAAACGCCTTCGGAACAACATTGGTACTCTGTGAAGGACTTTTGGGGCGTGAGGCCTTTTCATCAGAAGGATGTTCGTTCTCGGACAATCCAGACCTGTCCTCTTCCGCTTCTGGAGGGTGACTGATTTCTTGTTGGCGAACGAACGATGTGTCCAAGGAGACGTTGAAGAAATCCCTGATCTTCTCCATATCCGCCGTGGCACTCATGGCCACGACTTTGATTCCAATTCCACCTCTTCCATCTTTTTTATCACTGAGATTCTGCATCCTCCGGAGAAACCCTAACACCAAATCCACATTCACACCGCGCTCGTGAACCTCGTCGACCACGATGGCAGAATACTCCTTCAACCAGGGATCTCGAAGCATTTCCTGCAACAGCATTCCTTCAGTCAGAAACTTGATCCTCGTAGATGGACTGGTGCTGTTCTCAAACCGGACTGAGTAGCCCACCAAGGACGCCGGACTCGAGTTCCCCAGAGGAGAACCCATCTCTTCAGCAACGCGCCGAGCCAGGGAGATGGCGGCCACTCTTCGTGGCTGCGTAACGGCAACACATCCGCCAACGGTCATGCCTCCTCCAATCTTCTTTTTCTTACACCATTGCTCATTCACTAAGAATTGTGGAATTTGAGTCGACTTTCCTGAACCGGTCTCTCCAACCAGCAAGAGCACATCATGGTCCCGAAGCTTCTGTCTGATTTGGTCGGCATGGCTGTAAATGGGTAATTGCTGTCTCCCTGGGAGCAAATCCCGAGCACGTTCTTTGAGATTTCGACCTCGTTTGATTGGCTGTGAATTTGTACTGGTCACTGCGTTGAAACCTTTCTCGCTCGTCCCTTGTCGACTTTCAAAATTTACTGTCTTGCCTGTTGAAAGCTTCGGTAGGACGTTGGTCCAATGCTGATTCATGGACTCTCCAGGCGAGGTAGATTTCGACGTGAAAGCATCGGTAGCGGAACGCTTTTTCCCTTTTGGGGGCATGGTATCTCTTTGGCTGGAGGGTGTTTGACGTTGTCCTCCTGACATTTCTGAATGGAACCTCTTCGACATAATCTGCAGCAATTCATGGTAGAGAGGTTTTGGTGGCTGAAGTGCAAAATCAAGTTTTTATAATGCGAGCCTTGTCGGGAAATTTTATCGCGCCTTGGCAAAGGGCGAAAGTTCACGCATCATTACAAATACCGACGGTTGGTCATCCTGTTCAACTTCGATGGCGATGGTGAGATGAGAGTCAGTTTCCTGGTCACCGTCAAGTATTTATTCAATGTTTCAATTTTGTCCTGAAATCAAGTATTTTCGGCAAATTGTGCAAATGCTTTTTTGGGGCCCTCGGTTTCGAGATCAAAACACCAAACACGCGACTATATTTTTACATGGAATCCCAGATCCAAAACCTTTGTAGGCGCCTCTATGCCCGACCTCTTGGGGGACTTCGACCAGCTTCCACTCGTTTAATCTCATCCAAGATCAAATCACGAGCCGACAACACGCCATCCTCCTTGCCCACAATCGTAATGGCTTCTCCTTCTTCACCCTTTCCCGAGTTCCTATTTGGTACTTGAATATCACATCCAGATGATCTGCGAATCGAGTTGATAGTGGTTCCACCTTGCCCAATGATAAAACGATGCATCCGAGGATCAGGCAAGATGAGGTATCCCGTGTGTTGCGGCTCCGCCGCCTTCTCCACCAACGTCTTGATCTTGTCCTTGGCCTTTTCCAAGGCATCTTCTGCACAGTCCTTGCCACCAAAGATCACCCAAGGAATTTCTCCCGAGTCACCATTCAAAGTGTCTTGGTTGGAAACCATGTCCCAGGAGTAGGAGGTTTCCCCGGGCCGATCCGTGATCAAGGGCATATCACCATTGGTGGTTCGTGTTCGAGGACCGCGATTGGCGTCGTTTGTCTTGGGCGGCGGCTTTTGGCCATTATGGTCAATCCGAATACCGTCTCTTGAAAGTTCTCGGAACAAAGCCCCATTTCTGGAGACGATGTGATGCAAAGAACGAGGTACCATGATGGTCTCCCCGTGAGGCTTAGTGGTCATTCCTTGAATGTGTTCCTTGGCTTTGGACACATTCTCTGGTCGACCACTAATCTTGACTCCCGTCTGACCAAGCCCTTGACGAGGCACATTGAGGATGACTCCCAAGTCCTCTTCAAGCTTCTTGCGAGTGCTTCCATTTGGTCCGATCAATTCTCGGTGTTGACTGACTGGAACATCAACGGTCTCGGTCACTTGGTTTTCTCTTTCGTCCACAAAGGCTTCAATGGCTGCTACGATGCTGTTGACAACATCGGCAGTACCCTTCACCGTAAGACTGTCGGACTCATCGCCTTGACGGGGGAAGCGGACGTGTTCAGCGCTGGTGCCGGTGCCACCCGCTTGAGCGACAATACTCTGGATGTTGGAACCTGTAGAAGGTCAGCATGAATCAACACACGATTGCGGACATATGCTTACCACCCGCGCCAATCAAAGCCCGATGATGCTTTCTGTCAACGTTCAGATTTCGTGTGACGATATCATCAAAGGCTTTAGATCGCTTCTGTAGCTCCGTCTTTGCCTTTTCGACCTGCTGCTTGGTCCCTTTGATCTGAATGTTCACACGATCGGAGCCATCGCCTTTCGGAATGTCAATTTGGGCGCCAGTTTCAGCTCTCAGTCTCTCCATTTCTTGGCCACGTTTGCCAATAAGGGAAGCGATTTGTCCTTGGGCAATGGATACAGTGGCAGTGTGAGAGTTATCGACCAGATATTGGTGAAGGCTCAGAAGCTCCTCCCGCACCTTCTCCGCTTTCGCTCGCGGACCTCGGATTCTAATCTCATCATGTGGTTGAGTTCTGCTACCACCTACCTCACTGCCATTGTCCCCCACCGAAGCGTCGTCACTAACTCTGGACATCTTAGGGAAGTCGATTCTGACCGCATTGTCCACCTTGCTTTGAATCTTCTGCAGATTTTCACCACTTCGGCCGACTAGCATGCCATGGTACTTGGGATCGATCTTGATCACAAAGTTGACCTCATCTTCCCATTGCTTGCCCAATCGCTGAATTTCCGCTTTGCATGCGTCAGCCTTCTTCTGGGGTCCTTGAATGATGATCTTGCCCGTCTCACGGGTATCAATCTCGACGTCATACTTCTCTCGCAGCACCTTGATATTGGCCCCTTGTTTTCCAATTAGATTTTTGTTGAATTGAGCGGGGAATGCGAAGCTCGTTGTGTAACCACGCTCCTTCTCATCTTCCTCAGCCTCCTTTAAGAACGCCTCGATTTTCCGACGTAGATCTTCGATGTCGGCTTCACTCGGGCCTCTCAGATAGACTCTCTCCGGCGGCGAGCCTCGAGACACGCCATTTGCTTGGTTAGGGCCGCTTCCGGCGCCACCAAAGTCAACTTGTACCGGGAATGCCTCGGGAGGCATTGGTTTAGGCTCGTTCTTCACAAATCTCCTCACCTTGTCATGGAATTTCTTGGGGACGTGGATGTCTTGGACGGAGATGCCTTGATGTGGGATGTTGCTCAGCAACTGCGCCTGGGCCTCTTGAAGCGCCTTTTCGAAATTGGCAACGTCAGCCTTACTGGGTTTCGTGCGCGGGATCGAGAATGATTCATCTCGGGAGGGTCCTTCGTAGACGAGAACGACCGGGTCGGAGCCGTCATCGGGAACGATCATGTGAACACCAAGGTTGTTCTTCAAGCTGGATGCATGCATTTGCTCGAGGTGCGGGTGGAAGAACGGATCGACCTCGACCAACTGCAGCCTTGACGAAGGATATGCTTGAGTAATTTTGGAGAGTTCATTTCGAGCAGACAGAGCCTTTTGTGGGTCGTTGCTGATGACCGTCCAGCTGGGTGAGGCACTGGAGCTTGGAGGAAAGATGATTTCCGCGCCATGGGACTTCATGAATTCGCGTTCAATGGCCTTCTGTTGGAGGTATTGTGCAAGTGCTCGAGAATGACGTTCGGGGCCCTGAGGTGCATCGCTGAAGTGCTTGTGCATGTCAACAACGCGATTGTGCTTCCTGGACATGAGTTCTTCGGCAAGGTTTCGACCGGCACTGAGCTTATCCTTAGGTCCAATGATGTGAATATCTTCGGTTTCATGGTGAGATGGTGGGAGGATAACGGCACATCCCGTTTCTTCCAAGAATTTCAACGGATCCATGCCCCGATCGCCGATGATATACGGATGCAGGATCTGTTCAGCGGCCAGCTCTTCCAGCAAGAGTTCCTTTTGAAGTTCTTCAGCCAAATGTTCAAGTAAAACGCGTGCCTCCAATGCAGCTGCTTGTTCTCCGGAAATGACGATATGGTTGTCTCCATGAGGAACGAAGACAGGACGACCATCGTCTTCGGCAGGTCGAGGTGGTGGCTGTGACTGCCAGGTATGATATTGCGGAATATTGATCCGGATATCGCGGTCTTGTTCCATTCGTTGGATTCGGTCTGCGTGCAGCCCCGCAATGAATGGGTAGAACTCCGGTGGAATTCCACGTACAGGGAGGTCAATTTTGGGCTGCAGAGCCTTCACTTGGTTCGAGATTTGTTCGTAGACCTGGCGAACTTGAGCCGCATTCCCGCGGATCTCGACAACATCCGTTCTGACCTCTTCCGGATTCGTCACAGGTCTGGTGTCTCGGTCAATGTGGATCCTAACATTAAATTGACTCTCAAGCTTCCGAATGTTGGCACCTCCTTTGCCGATGATCTGGGCGGAAACAGTGGAGGGAATTTCTAGTTTGACTTGTTTCTCCAACGTCAGTTCCTTGGACACATACATCAATGCCTCAGTGACTCGAGCTTTGGGTCCTTCAGCGATGAATTCGGTTCTGGTAGCAAAATTGGTCGATTTTGGTGTGACAACGACATTGTACTTCTTCTTCACGTCGTCCAGGATTCGTTTGACCGGCTTGCTCTTGTCCAAGTCGGCATTGTCGATTTCAAACGAGTCACGGTATCTTCCGGGCAACAGGACATTGCTGCGAGCACCGGGTGCCGCGGCGATAGGAGTTCTGACGCCTGGCGTCGAAGCGGGCGTGGGAGCACCAGAGGAGGTAGGACGAGAACCCAGAGCCGGTGAGCCATTTGCGGGAGCTGCTTTCGCGGACGCACTGGCAACCCAGCCGGGGGCTCGCGAGGAGGGAACCGAAGGCTTGGCTGTGGCTCCGAGGGTTGGGAAAGCCTCCTCGGATTGAGTATCGAGAACACTGGGCTGTTCGGATGTCTTCTGCTTGCCTGCAGCCTTTGCTGACATGGGAGCATTACCAGTGCCGTTGGTTGTGGCTTCATCCGCCTCTTCAACATGGAGGTGGGACGGAGGAGGATGCTCAATGTCATCTTCGTCGACAACGTCCTCAACAGTTACCTGGTGTGCCTCCGCAGCCTCATGCTGTTCTTGCATCAACTGAGCAGGGGTTTTCCCAGTGCTGAAGTTGGCATCAGCAGTAGAGTCTGCTGTGACAGTGTCCATGATGGGGGTGGCTTCAGGGAAGCCTCGAGGAACCAGGAGAGTGGAAAACCGCAGGAAGGGACGATGACCGAGGGGTTGGGAGCTTTTATAGTGCGACAAACATGAATACTTGACAGAGATCGCAGGGAAAACAGAAAGGTTCGGTGAATAGAGAAGACTGCCACTACAAAGTGACAAGCAGCAGTGACCAGATCAGCGCAAACGCGAAGAAAGTTGAAGTTAAGCCAGAATGGTGTCTGATTGTGGAGAGACTTGGAGCCTGCCTGGCGCACGCACCTGGTGTCCGCCAGGCTTGTCGGAACGGAAAAAACTACGGACCGGACTGTGCACGTGAAACCCACAGTTATGTTGGGTTGTAGCGGCGTGTCCGAGGTAACTAAACCTCTCTGCCAGGAGAGCCGCTTTAAATGGAATGTAGCTTAGCGTAAGCCAGAGTTCTTGGCATAAATCTAGCGTTGATTAACCTCCTCTCCGCCTTCGACGTATCACGCAAACAACGTGAATCTCAGGACTGGCCAGCTTTAAAACTTCCTTCAAGTTCCGAAATGCTTCTGTCTGTTCTCTATGATATCATAGTTGCGTAGGTATTATTGTGGTGTTGGTCCTCTCATCCCCTCTTTTGATCTCCCTTAACCTGTCGAACGTCTGAACGTAAGTCGAGGAATTATCAGCCGCCTCTGCATCTGACTACCCTTTGCAAGGGTCGTACAATTCTTGTTTTTGAAGGTTGAAATAGTCCTCAGCCATGCTCTTTCGCATCGGGGCCATGCTGTTGTGCGTCACGACGTCACGTGCCATATGGCCCCAACCGGCCGACATGACTTCTGGGACCAATGTTTTGTGGCTGGATCCTGCTGCCAAAGCAACGTTTCGTTGTGATGGAGCAGAGCTTGCATTATGTGACGACTTCCTCGGCTTCGGAAATAACCGGCTGCTGAACCTCATGAACGATGCGTTTCAGTTCTTCCAAGACTTATTGGACTGGTTTCCATTTTCTCTTGGGAACAAATGCGGCCATGACGCCCAGTCCCCTCTCACTGAAGTCTCAATTGTCCGAAGGGCAGTCCGTGAGACCATCGCATCAACGCACAAGTCGAGGTTCGTTCCATGGAAGTTCCACAAGCGAAAGTCAGATTTCGAACCTGGTGCATCGGCTCCACGTCACTACCTTTCCACTCTGCAGATAGTACAGAATGGCTGCCCGGAAACAAGAACATTCCATCCGGCAACCTTTTTCGCCGGTGACGAATCATATGAGATAACTGTCGACAACGTAACTGCGATTATCAAGGCAAACTGCACGATTGGAACATTGAGGGGTTTGCAGACCTTTCAGCAACTCTTTTTTGCTCACTCGACTTTTTCGGGGTCATATCTGCCTCATACACCTGTGAAGATTGTGGACCGACCAAAATGGCCACACCGAGGTCTGAGTATTGACATAGCTCGAAATCCGTTTCACCCTCGAGATTTGATACGCACGATCGATGCGATGTTTATGGCCAAAATGAACCGGTTGCACGTACATGCCACAGACTCACAAAGCTGGCCCCTTGAGATTCCCTCTCTCCCGGAACTTGCGAAACGGGGGGCTTATCAACCTCATCTTGTCTGGACAGCCTCCACCCTTGAAGAGGTCCAACGTTACGGAGCTCTGAAAGGAGTCTCCGTCTTCGTTGAGATTGATATGCCTGGTCATACAGCATCCGTTGCTCATGCTTACCCAGACTTAATAGCCGCTTTTAGCGAGCTGGACTGGTCTACGTTTGCTGCTGAACCGCTTAGTGGGCAGCTCAAGCTGAACTCTTCTGCCGTCTTCAAATTTGTGTCGGATGTTCTCCAAGATCTCCTCCCTCGGACCTCAGACTATACTCGGCTCTACCATTTAGGGGGCGACGAAGTCAACCGCGCAGCTTATCTTCTCGATGACACCGTCCGCAGCGATGACCCTCAAGTTTTGCAGCCCCTGCTGCAGAAACTCATTGACCACGTCACCGGAATCGTTACCCAGCACGGCTTGCAACCTATCGTTTGGGAAGAGATGCTCTTGGACTGGAACTTGACTCTACCCTCGCTCCAAAATGGCGATCAATCCACGAGCACGCTTGTCCAAGTATGGCGCAATAGTGAGCGCATCGAGGAGGTGCTCAAAAGAGGTCATCGAGCAATATTTGGCGACTATCATTACTGGTACCTTGATTGTAAGTATTGTCCCTTCGGTTCGTAAATTCAGTCTAAATCGGGCCGAGGTGGGTATGGCATCTTCCTTGACCCTTATCCGACTGGCAAATCACCTCCTGGTGTTCCTTTCAACACCTCGGGGGGCTCCTCTAGTAAACTGAAGCCTCCCTATCTCGACTATTGCGGCCCTTTTCACAATTGGCGGCATATGTACATGTATAATCCTTTGGCCAATATTAGCGACGATCTTCAGCATGGCATTGAGGGCGGCGAAGTTCTCATGTGGAGCGAGCAGACTGACTCTATCGATCTCGATACAAAGCTGTGGCCTAGGGCGGCCGCAGCGGCGGAAGTGCTCTGGTCCGGGCTGAGGGAGGAGACTATGCTCGAAGACGCCTCCAAACGATTGGGCGAATGGAGGGAAAGAGGTGTCACGGATCTTGGAATACGGATGTCGCCGGTGCAAATGACTTGGTGCCTGATGGAAGGGGCTTGCAACCTGTAGCCATACGTAGGTATGTTCTCCGGCACATCGCTTATGCAGGAATTGATTACAGGGCCCAAAGACCTGTGGGAAACAGTCATTCGACGCATCGACAAGCTTATCGTACCCTCTAACGCGGTAGAGATTACGAAATACGACGAGCGTGGACGCCTCTTTCACACCACCGTGCGCAAGTATGACGCGGGTATTCACAATCATTTTTGCATACTGGATGGCGATGAATAGATTGAACTCGGCTGCCGCTCCCGGGCTCTACTTAGCCTAGTATTGGTTTCATCCTGCCGCATTCGCCCCTGGTCAATACTGCATTCTCCGAGCCGGCGACTAGAGCATGTCCGCCTCCTAATTTTTCAGGCCACATCTTTTAATAATCGCTGTTCTCGCATTTATTTTCTTTGGAGGCCTTGTTTGGAGCGCCTTTCTTGACATGGCGATGCAATATCTCTCCTGGCAATACGTCGCCCTCGCGGTTTACCTGGCCCATGTCGCCTCTGTGTACATTAGGAGATATGTGAAGTGGAAGAAGGTACAAAAGCTGGGTGGCGAAAGCCCCAGAGTAACGACCAGATTCATCTTTGGTCCGGTTCATCGCGAGGGAAGCCCGTCACTAGGACTAATCACATCTCACAGGACTCGACTTCCCCGTCCATTCGACATTGGCCATTGTCAGAAATCAAGCACTGGAATTCTGGGAATGGATATATGAGCATACTGGTACTTCGGCTAGTGGCACTGGCTCATATACCGCCGAGCTTCATATTCTCGCCGATGCTCGAGTTCTTTTTACTGCTGATCCGGAAAACACCAAGGCAATCCTCACGACACAATTTCAGGACTTCGGGAAAGGTGAGTGACTTGATGACTTTGCACTTTGTGTCTGAAATGCGACCTTGGGCTGATGGACTTGTCCCATTCAGGGGAGGAATTTCACGCCGAATGGACGGATTTTCTTGGGGACAGCATCTTCACCACCGACGGCCCACAATGGCATAACTCACGACAACTTATCAGGCCGATGTTTGTCCGTGAGAAGGTTGCTGATCTTCCACTGATTGAGACACACGTTCGCAAGTTGATCTCGTTTCTCGGTCCGGGCGATGGACGAATGGTCGCCTTGAACCAGTTGCTATTCCGGTTCAGCCTCGATGCGTCCACCCATTTCCTGTTTGGCCACAGCGTCGGTAGCTTGGACAAAGAGCAATCCGAGTTTGCAACGGCCTTCGATGAGGTCCAGAGAGTTCAGTCTCTGCTAGGTCGACTCGGGTCAGATTTCTTATTCGAAAGTGGCCCGCACAGACTGACACCGTATGCAGACCTCTCAAGCATTTTTATTCCAAACGATCATTTTATGCGGGACTTAAAACTATGGAGCAGTTCATCGAGCCGTTCATCGATGAGGCCCTGATGCTGTCTCCGGCAGAACTTGAGTCCAAGCTGTCTCGCTCCGATACTTTCATCCATGCCCTTGCTCGTTATACGCGCGATCGCAAGGTCATGCGCGATCAACTCACGGCTCTGCTCCTTGCGGGACGTGACACAACAGCCGGGACGCTATCATGGGTGTTTCTAGAACTATCCAAAAACCCTCGAGTGGTCGAGAGATTACGTGCAGAGATTACTGAATTCCTAGGAAATGATGGTCGCCCACCTACCTATCAAGACATCAAAGACATGAAGTATCTGACTTATACGATGAACGAAACATTACGTTTGTATCCCACGGTTCCGTTCAATGTCCGCTCTGCACTGACTGATACGTCGCTACCGCGTGGTGGTGGCTCGGATGGCATGAGTCCAGTCGGTTGTCCTCAAGGTACCGTCATTGGATACAGCACCCTCATGATGCAGCGCCGAGGAGATTTATACCCCCCGATTTCTGAAACGTTCCCATACGATCCTCTCGAATGGGTGCCGGATCGATGGGCCACCTGGACTCCAAAGTCGTGGAATTTTATTCCTTTTAACGGCGGGCCGAGAATATGCATTGGACAACAATTCGCGATGGTGGAAATGGGATACACGATTGTCAGGATTTTGCAGGAATTCGACCAAATCATCGACTATGGGAATAAACGGATTTTGCATGCCGAAATCATTCTCACCCCGGCCGAGGGCGTGAATGTTGGATTCGTCAAACGAGAAAAGACCAGAACCCGTCACTCCCCCTAGCATGCATGGTGCACGTAAATGGACTGTTCTACTCGGGATGCTGATCGGGGCGGATGTGATGGATATCGAATCTGTGTGTTGGCCAACACGTAGTAGTATTGGGAAGGTTTTCAGAAAAATCTCCTGTACATCCTGAGAGAACATGTGGAGATGTCTTCGTAGAATGAAAAGCGGCGAGATTTTGATGAGCGTTCTGACTAAGCAAAGCAGAACTGGTCTTGGCACGATTTCGCCGCTGGGGCCTTGCGCAATTGCGGTCGGTGCTGGGTATTTTGCTTGGACCATCTCTTGCGGCAGCAATCATCTCCTTGTGGTAGTACTTGTAACTTCTACCTTCGGGTATCATCACAAATCCAACGACGCAATTCATCCTGGTAACATCATAGGACATCGCTTGCGCCCTCGACATCAGTATTTCACTCGGACAGAAACTATTCGAACCTTTCCGGGCTACATTACTCCCGTTTCTCATTGTTTCCCCCCAACAAGCACCAAAGACACGACCCGCCGCCTCAACCCATCAGGGAGGTTCGTCTCGCCTGATTCCTCACGTCACTCTCCTTGCCTCATTCGTCGCCTTTTCCACAATGTCGACAATAGCTCTCGAGACGCCGCTGGCAGAAGCGCTGAGTAGTGCTGTCCACTCAAAGATAGTCGAAGAAGGATGGACGCAAGAGGATGACACTTCATTAGCCGAGTACATTGTGCTCATGCTTGCGAATGGAAAGACTCAGGACCAAATCGCATCAGAGCTTGCAGGTGAATTATTACAAGATGCCAAAGGAACCACGGAGTTTGCACAGTGGCTGTTCGATCAGGTCAATATTCTTTCCAGTGGAGCGACCGGCGCCGTTCCCGCAGAAACTTTACAATTGTCAGCGCAGGGTAGCCAAGCGGCCGCGCCAGAGTCGGCATCTTCAGAATCGGCTCAAAATGGAAATTCTTCGATTCCTGCCGCATACGAAATGGACATGGCTGATAACGCGCCAGAAAATGCGTAAGTTCTGGCACCCGACGATCCCCAAATACACTGGAACGTTCTTACTAACTTCTTTCATAGACCTCGAGGGCCTAAAGGTCTCCATGGAGGCCGACCAGCCGGCAGAGGCGGACGCGGAGGCGCGAACAACAAATCTGGCGACTCCGTCTTACATCGAGTCCGAGGGAACGATCGGATAAGCACACATTCGAGTGTGCGAGGAGTACCCAAGGGACCACGGAACATACAGAATCGTGATGTCCGCCCGGGCCTGCAAAAGGCTCTGAATGGTATGGGGATGTCTGGTCCTGCGCAAGGAATGCAGAATCCGATGATGATGAACGGTGCCCAGCCGGCTCAAGGAATGATGCAGATGACTCCTCAGCAACAAATGGAGTTTATGGCTATGATGGAACAACAAACCCGCATGCTTGCGCAATTTACCGGTATGATGCCAAGTGGTGCCAGTGGTGCCAGTGGTTTCGCACAAGCCGGAAACCAACAACAAAATGGCCAGGGTCGATCATTGTTTGATAGGGTCGAACCTGGGCGTGGTCGTGGAGGAGCTCGAGGCCGAGGTCGAGGCGGCAATAACCAAAATGGACACACCAAATCTCCCGTGAAACCAGGCGACAACGATACTTCGATGGAAGGCGACGGGCAAGTGACCACTACCGACGGGCCTTCAATGGATGTGGAACCAACGGCCGAGACAAAGACCAACGATCCATCGAGAACAATGTGCCACTTCAACCTACGCTGCACCAACAAGGACTGCCCCTATGTTCACCAGTCGCCCGCTGCTCCTGAAGGGACCGTGGTTGACATGTCTGACACATGTTCGTTTGGGGTGGCTTGCAAGAATCCAAAGTGCGTTGGAAAACATCCCTCACCCGCCCAAGTCAAGGCATTCCAGGCACAAGAGCTCTGCAAGTACTTCCCCAACTGTACCAAACCGAATTGTCCTTTCAAACATCCAAACATGCCCGTTTGCCGGTTTGGGGCCAACTGCAAAACGCCCAATTGCCAATTTACACATTTGCAAATTCCATGCCGCTTCAACCCTTGTACGAACATGCGATGTCCCTACAAGCATGAGCCAGGCCAACAGAAATTAGCCAGCTTTGCGGATTACTCTTGGACTCCCGACAAGCAGACCGAGCAGGACGCCGCGAAGGGACATGTCAGTGACAGGAAATTTGTGGACGAGCAAGCTGGTGAGGAGGAACTTATCAAACCCGAAGGAACGAGCACCGAAACCAATGGCAATATGGGTATGAGAGAAGAAGTGATTACTTAATGGAGGGCCATGCATAACAAGGGAGGATAAAACACTTGGGAGGCGCATCTGATCCAATGGTTGTTGTACATTATGAACGGAAAGCATACAGACAAGGCCCTGGGTTTGCTGTGGCCATGGCTGCGGTCACGTTCGACGGGCTCTGAATCAAATGCTCTTGGGAGCAGGACGAGAATGAATAGATTTTGGATGTTGTGCTACATCGTCGTGTTCCTTGGTTTCTCAGGTGTAATGCATATTGGTTGTACCCTATTCCTCTTACATTTTAAATGCGCTCCATCTTTCGTGAGGACCAACAGGCCGTCGACGTTTGACATCGACATCGTATCGTCTGCCACCGTGTCTCCCTTCCTGTCTCATTTTTCTTATCCCTGTCGTGTCACCATACACCATTCGTCCACTGTAGTTCTATCGCTGGATTTGTCGGCCTTGACCGCTCTTCTTGCCCGCCCGTGCTTCCATCTTGTGGAGTCCCTTGAACCCAAACTCTCGGCCGACGCGGAACCCATTCACGATGCTCCGACGCATGGTCCTGCCTGAACAAGAATGTATCAAGGAAACTTTGGCATCTTAGCTGTTGGCCGGCTATGGAGCATCCCCGAAAATTAACACTGGGGAGGGGAGAAGGACAAAGCAGTCTACGTGTGTCGAAGAATCATACTACGTGATGCGATCATATTCAGGTCACACATATCCACCGACCGACGTGTCTGAACTCGTTCATCCCTGTTTCAGAGTATCATAAAAAGAAGAAGGCAACTATCCTCTCTATCAATGGATCAACATCCCAGCCTGACGGAGATTATCGCTACATTATCAAAAATTTTGACTACCCCGACTCTGCTTACAGCTCAGCCCAAGTCGATTAGTGAGTCCAAAAGCCGGCCACCGATCTTACCTCGAGATATCCCGAACTTCAATCCACTCAAGTTGGAACTCACATCACTCGCCTTGAACTTCGAGGACCGGGATTCCGATACATTGGCTGCTCTGTCGAGACATTTGACGACCGATATTCTGCCACATCTCAACCTAGCATCTCTGTCTCCAAACTATTATGGCTTTGTCACCGGCGGTGCTACGCCAGCTGCGCTTCTAGGCGATTTTCTAACCTCGATCTACGATCAGAATGTCCAGGTCCATCTTCCACGTGAGACGATTGCCACAACCCTCGAGGTCGCGACATTGAATCTCCTAGTGCAACTCTTCAGGCTCCCTGAAGCAGAATGGTTAATTGGAGGATCTGGACCGGGTGGAGGGACATTCACGACAGGCGCCACGGCGAGCAACGTTCTTGGGCTGGCCTTAGGGCGAGAGTATGCTCTTCGAAAGGCTTTGGAAAGAAAGAGTAAGATGAATGGCACAGCATTGAGTTGTGGAGAATGGGGCATTGCAGAAATGATGATGAAAGCCGGCGTGCGAAAGATCCAGATTCTAAGTACGCTCCCGCATTCCGGCACGGCCAAAGCGGCGAGCCTCGTCGGCATTGGGAGGAGGAATATCATTTCAATCTCCGCCGACCACGATCCACTGCAGATTGACCTGGGACGCCTGGAGCAGGAAGCCCGAAAAGAGCACGTTTTGAGCATTTTGGCAATCTCCACGGGAGAGGTGAATACCGGGCGATTCGCCACAAACTCGTCCGCCTTGATGTCCCGACTCCGCAGCATCTGTGACGAGCTGGGCATCTGGATCCACGTTGATGGCGCATTCGGACTCTTCGGCCGCATCTTCAGCCCTGATGACCTTGAGTATCGCGAAATCGTCCAAGGTGTACAAGGTCTCGAGCTCGCGGATTCCATCACCGGCGACTGCCACAAGTTACTCAACGTTCCCTATGACTCGGGTGTATTCTTCACCCGTCACAAAGGTCTCTCCGAGGATGTCTTCCGCAATGGCAACGCCGCATATTTAACCGGCGCTATGGGCGATGGCGATGTGATCCAATCACCCCTCCATATCGGCATTGAGAACTCCAGGCGATTTCGGGCGTTGCCTGTCTACTCGACACTGCGGGCATACGGCAGGGACGGCTATCTGGACATGCTTCGGCGGCAAGTCCGGCTGGCGAGACGGGTCTCGAAATGGCTACTGAAAGATGACCGGTTTGAAGTCCTGCCTGGTGGTGCCGACACCGATGAGGTGTTGGCCAAGACGTTCATCGTGGTTCTGTTCCGGGTCAGAGATGAGGAAGTCAGTAAGGACTTCGTCAAAAATGTCAATGCCACTGGTCGCATATATATCAGCGGTACGGTCTGGGATGGGAAGCCTGCTGCGCGCATCGCAGTGAGTAACTGGCAAGTAGATGTTGAAAGGGATGGGGGTTTGATTGAGGACGTGCTGAATCAAATTACGGGAGGTCGATCATGAGAGACGAGGGTGGGAATGGGTATTTATGACGCCATCCGAGCGAAGCAGATCGCCACGGCTAGAACGTGTGCATCAGACGAGTGACCCAAATTTCAGATCGGGACCACTGGCTGTAGCACCAACAGCAACGCATTGAAAGGGAAGAAGAAAGGGGTCACGCCGGTGACTTGTTTGGAATCAATTCTATACGAACAAGTCCACACTCAAAAGACAGCGCCACCGATGATAAAGATGCGCTCTTCCTCCCTCTGCACCCACTGGATCACCCTATTGGCGCTCTGCGCCAGTGCATTCCTCGACGTCGACGGTCCAGCTACACAATACAGCTCAAACATGGGCGTGACCCAAGCGAGTGCGGTCGCCGACGCACTCACGCTATGATGGACCTTGACGCCCGCATGCTTCGCATGGACACTGGCATGGAGGTTGTGGTACAGCGACATCAATCGCCTGCGCTGCTTCAGGGTCTCAAAGTTGGGTGAGAATGAAGGCATGAAAAATTGCACGTTTCCCTTGGATTTGTATAGGAAATGTCGCAGCACCGTTCCGGCCACGATGTCTGTTGGGGCGAGTCGACCGGCTTGCACCGCCATGTGGATGACATGCAGGCTTCTGTTGCGCCGAAACTCGTGCACCAGGTAGTTTTTCATGCTCTGGAGGTCCTCGAAGCTCTCCTTGTCGGCGCTAAGAAGGATAATGGCTACAGAGTCTTCTTTGGCGATGCGTTCGTTTTCGGCCAGTTCTCGCACGTGGTCGCCGCCCGTATCAAGGAAGCTGACGTACATGTAGAGATAGCCTGTGTTGTTGAAGCCGGGGAGGCAGATGGGGACCCAGGATTCGCCGCCGCCGGCTTTGATTCCTTCGGCTTCGAATAGCATGTTGAAAATCAGTTGGAGATCACTTGGGTGGAGGGAGTGCTTCTTGGGTCGGATGACGCTGACGAGTCTCCCTCCTGCAACGACGAGGCCGTAGAGAAGGTTGTCCACGCGCGCCTTGATCATGGTGCTGTTGATCACGTTTCGGTGTGACTTTCGGATCTTTAAGCATTCGAGGGCCGACAGGAGCGTGGAGGGAGAGCCTCGGGTGAAGCTATCCGCCAATGATGACAAGAGGACTTCGGTCCCCTGTAGTGGACGTCTCAGGTCTGTTGAAGGACGGACGGAGAACAGATGTGTTAATGTCGGTAGTGTCAATGTCGACAGAATTTGCATGTACAGTGCTTCAAGCTGGATCCGGACTTGCGCCTCGCTTTCAGGAAGGCTTGTGATTCCGACGAGGAATAGATTTGTCTGTGACAGCACGACAAATTGAACTCCACGAGCGTGGAAACTCTTCAGTTGGTCACGGTTTCCAGAGTATGAGGAAATGATGGTCTGAATGATGCCCACGTAACTCGAGATGACGGCATCGGAGCCGTGTCGTGTATAAATGGGCTTGCCGGCGGCGGAGAGGATAATGAAGTGTTTGCGCTTGGCTTTCCAAAGAGCCTGAGCGACATCTTCGCCGGCGACCTGTTCGTCCACGTCTTCAAACTCCTTATCAAAATCGACGTCCCCTTCGTCGCAGACTTCATCCGAGTCTCCTTCAAAGAGACCTGGTCCTCCTTCGCTGAAGGACGACGAAAGGCCTTGATCTTCTTGTAGCTCTCCATCGAATATGCTCTCTGTGTCTTGTATGAACCTGCCAAAGGGCGCATAGCTCCTGATGCTGGAGCTGTCCTCGCCAATCTCACTTGTTTTGTTGCTTGTAGAAGGGCGGATCGAAGAACTAGAGGCGACGCGAGATGGGGTGCTGGTGACAACGCGCAGCTCTTGAGAACCATCGGGTCGATTATAGCTGTTGACGTCGGTCATAGATATCGCCGTCGTTGCACCAGCGACGAGACCGGCTCGTGTAGGAGGGCGTGAAGCATGGCTCGTCGGGGGTCTGGCTTGCATGAGGCTGAGTTCGCTGGGCCGAGGAGGAAGGGGCGGCCGCTCTCCCTCAGTGCTTGACGGTGGAGGGCTATTGCAATTCCAGTCCTCATCGGGAGGAGTATCTTCCATCTTTGTTTATTGTGGCGGGCTTGAGGGTAGAGACCTGTCTCGATCGACCGTCAGCATTGGACGATTGTGACATGTCCAGTCTCCAACAGCGACCTATCCTCCATCATAGGCGGTCTTTCCAGCCTGCTCGTCACCGCTCATGGCATGCATGATGGCAGAAACGAGGCCGTAGCATGTGCCAGGGAATGAGACGAGGATGGTTGAGACATGAAAGGTAAACTCTGGATGAGGAAAGTTAGGTCATGGGGCCATTGAACATGTTTGACGACTGCCTTGGCGGGTGTTCGCTCCTTCCTTGGACCACCGTGGCTTCCTGAACATGACTTACAATTCACTTTCCACACATTCAAGAACCAACGTGAGGACTCATTATTCGGCAAAGGACGCTTCTATATGAAGATCCATTTTGTCATGTTCTGAGAACCGTCTCCGCGCGGAGCCTAGGCCCCCTTAACTGAGTCCGGCAATGCCATCGAGAGGACGTCCTGAATACTACGGCCAAATCCGCAATGACAACGGACTCTAAAGCTATTCGCCGTTATCATGCGGGTGTTGAACGAGCACTTGGTCTATTTGACGCGACCAATGAGTGGGCGGACTACATTGCGTTCCTGAGTCGTCTAGCAAAGGCATTGCAAGCATCACCGCCTGATGCCGATGTCCCTTTCAAGCCGACTCTGGCCAAATACCTGGCACTCTGTCTCAAGCCATCTCTCCCTTCTGGAGTACATCAAAAGGCACTCGAGGTCTACCATCTCGTCTTCACTTTATTAGGCAAAGATGGCCTGTCCCGCGATCTATCTATTTGGCTTCCTGGTGTCTCTCATACTCTCACATTTGCTTCGTTGAGCACAAGACCCTTGTTCCTCTCCCTCTACGATGAACACATCTTACAGTTGTCGAGCAATGTGATCAGACCAGCATTAAGGGCCATTATCTTGTCCATGCTGCCTGGCATTGAAGAGGAGAACGGTGAGGACTTTGACCGCACACTGAACACATTCAACCAACTTCGACAGAACTTCGCAGAGGACGATTCCGAAGAATTCTTTTGGCAGAACCTGTTCTTAGCCTCCATCACAAGCGTTAGTAAACGACCAGGCGCGCTGGTCTATTTAACCCGCCAGCTTCCACGGTTAGGACCCCGCCAAAGTCTACCGACTGGTCAAGATGGGGAGGTGACAGACCAATCCGAGGCCATGGGCCAGGCAATAAAAGTCGTGACCACCCCTGAACCGGGACTACTCGTCCGCTGTTTTGCGACCGGTCTGCAAGATGACCAACCGTTGGTCCAACGTGGATTTCTTGACCTGTTGGTTTCCCATCTTCCATTAAACGCGCCGATTCTCCAAACCCATGTCTCACCAAGTGACCTAGATGTTCTCGTCACTTCAGCGATGTCGGTTGTCCTAAGGAGGGACATGAGTCTGAACCGACGTTTGTGGACGTGGTTCATCGGCCGGGAGGACAAGAGAGAGGGTTCAGCTGACATGACACCTGGCTCAGCCATTGAACCAACAATGCCCACCTCACAGGGCCACCGGGGTGAAACAACAAACAGGCATGATTATTTCGCCACATACGGCCTCAAATCTGTGATCCGAAGTCTTGAGAGAATGCTCAGCAATAAGTCATTGTCCCCTGTCGATCGGGCGCGTCCTTTCCGTATCATGCTTTCGTTGATGGATCGTTGGATCATTGGAAAATTACCGGTGGAAGTCTTGTTCATTCCCGCCATGCAAAACTTGCAACGATACCAGACGACGGCTCCCTCACAGGCATCCTTCGACGAGGTTTTCCGAAGTGCCAATGTATTCTTTGACGCCATTGAACCCCAATTGATTACAAGCCAGCTGTTCCGGCTCCTTGAAAGGAGGGACTTGAATCTCATTGACTTCATTCTGTCCAATTTCAATCTGCAAGAGGAAGAAATGACGGTAATTCATTTGCCTGTGTTATGTCTAGCGACCTCTGAGATGCTTCTGGAGAAGCAAAGCTCTCGTTCGAATGAGCTCGTCCAAAATGGAAATGACGCCTTCGAAGAACGACTGTCAAAGCTCTTGGAGGGCTTGCTCAGTTTATTGCCCGCCCAACCCAGCGGCGACTCATCTGAGCCATGGGAAGATGTTCCTAAGGAGGCTTGGATGGGAAAACTTAAAGAGATCTATGAAACTTCTTCTCCGGTGAAAAGGAATCAGGCCAATGCCATATCTCCTGGCGCGGCGTCCCAATTTCTGCTCAGGAATATTGTCTTAATCATTCTTGATTGTCTCGGTCATCCAAATCACCAAAGTCTACTCGACTCATTGACAAATGCCCTCACCAAAGCCATGTCCAGGATCAGCACATTCCAAACACTACGAGAGTTAGACGTTGGCAAACAAGTCTACGCAGCGCTCGATATCAAACTTGCAGACACGGCCGCCAAGTACGAGAGGACCAGGACTGTGGCCAGGATAGTGGATACCCTTCACGCTTTCGATCCTAGCATGAAAGTCCTGACAGAGCATGATTTGTTCTGTCTAATTCCTAAACTCGTCTCCCAATTTTGGGAAGTTCTCCTTCCGTCTACTCCACAATTCCACGTCGAGGCCGTTGAACAGCTTTGGAATCTTCGAATAGTATCAAGCCACCTTCTCCTGGTGGACAGCAAGATTATGGAATTGATCTGCGAAACTTCATCCTCGCCAGGGTCTCTTGGCGAAGCGATCGCCAGATTTTCAACGCTATGGACGCATACTCGATTTCCAGAGGTCAACGTGGAACTCTTCTCATCCGTACAACGACTTGACGATGACGACGTACCCTGGGCTATGCTACGGCAACCGGTGCTAAGTCTTATTGACGGACTGGAGCCCTCTGAACCGGCAGACCCGCGGCGAGTGTGGCTAAGCAGTCTACCATCAATACGACCAGTATTCCGGATTGCCTACGTCGAATCTACTGCGGCGTCCAATATTCAGCTCTCTTTACTCGGTCTGCATCGACTCCATAAGGTCGTATCCATTGCGCGGCAATCCAATGTGCAGAGGAACGAGTTTTTCGGCCCCGAGGGATTTTCGGGAATGATGTTGGATATGTGTACCGAAATTATTTCGTCTGAACGGAGTGAGGAAGAGTCAATGAAGATGGCATTATCCATTGTGCGGCTGGTGCTGGAAGAGGCCGATATTCGAGGACGTCACGCTTTGATAGAGCTTCTGATTTATCAGTTGACGAAGGTTCCCGAGGACGGCTCGTTGCAGGAGAACATTCTTGACACCTTGCAAGCAATATTTGCGAGGTCAAATTCTGGACCTCCACCTGACGAGCTCTTAGGCCTCTTGATATCCGGCATCTCGTCAAAGGCCGTCGACTCCACCATCGACAAATGGATCACACTTCTTTGCAACACCATACCCTTGTACTCTACTCAAAATCTGTTTGCAAACATGCTTAGACTCACGGCTTGTCTTTGTCAGCGGATAAAGGCCTATTTTGAGCTTATGCAGGTATTATACGAAAAGCCCAAGCCGGTGACTCAAGTCAATGGTGAGAAGAATATTCCATTGGCTAAGAACCCGGAAAGATCAATCAACAACCTCCTTGCAGGCCTAGACTATATCTTGGCTCGGGCGCATACCCATCTGGCAGATCAGACATCAGGATCTGAACCGTCGACGTCGAATCCGGCGGAAATATCTCCAGCTCGCTCAGTAGCCAACAACCGACTTACCGTTATATTATGCATGCAGGACACAATCAAACTTTGTGGTGAAATCTGGGCATGGAGGATTCTCAAGAGACCATCAAATGCCGGGCCACATGGAAAGTCTTTCGCATACATATCGTCTAGGTTGCGCACCAAGTCTCGGCGGATCTTGGAGCATTTGGCTGATGCCGAGCCGCAAGAATGTCTCGAGACTTTGATGGGAATGTGGGTTGATGCAGTTCGTCGAAACTCCGAGCAAGACGCCACATTGAATTTGATGCAAAGCCTCGATGGGGCACGACCGAAGTTCATGATGCCTGCCACGTTCAATGCCATTTATAATCGCACGAATCCGTCAGCTCTGGACCACTCTCAAAGATCAAGCCTGTCCGTGGATGTCGGTGCGTTCGAACTGATGGTATTTTTGATCGCATACACCAAGGCTCTGGAGGACGATCTGCTGGAAGAAATTTGGACGGACTGCACGGCATTCTTACGAGAAGTCCTTGCAAATCCCATGCCACATCGCCAAATTTTGCTCAAGCTCCTTGAATTCGTGGCCGTCATGTGTCAAAAAATGGAAAATACCAATTTTGGGGATGTTTCGAAGATGCGACGTGAGCTGGGTGATTTGTGTGCCCGACTGTTCACGGCCATATTTACGATCAGACCGGCCGGACTTGATTCGACCTCTTCCCGAGTCCCAGAGACGGCGACCGGCCATCGAAAAAACGGACTGCAGGCTGGCAATGCCATTCATGTCCTCTGCGACACGCTGCCGATCATCGGTAATGCTCTAGGAGACCTTGATAGGCTCAACGCGACCCTTTCGGGAATAACCCTGCATATCACCGGACCAGCGCTACGGTCGAAACAATTCCCGCAGGCAGTCAGCATTGACATTTTGCGCCTGGTCCATCTCATGGCCAAATCCCAGCCAAACAACAAGGTCTGGAAAAAGGATGTTCTAGAGGCATTCAACGACGGGAAATTCTTCCAGACACCCACCCCGCTGGCCGAAGAAGGCTGGCTCCCCCTCTTACAACAAGTATGGCTCGCCGACAAAGGATTGATGGCAGAACTACTATCGAGGTTGAACCCTCCCACTACCGCCGGGTTGATGTTTGGAGTGGGAGCGACAGCAGCCCGAACAGAAACTGATCGGAAGACACAACTCACCCTGAGGCGAATCGCTCTACTCCTCGTCGCTGGCGATATCGACGCATTTGTTTCCGACTTGGGCCAGATAATGCATCGCCTAGAAGAGCTCCTCACAGCCACAGCCTCGTCTTCGCCTTCCTCGAGCACCCGAGGGGACATTTATCTCCTTCTTCGGGCAATAGCGCTGGCGTTTTCGGAGACTCACTTGGTGTCGATATGGCCCATCGTCGAGGTGGAACTCCGCGAGCTTCTCACCAGCATGCAGAAGGGTGGAGAGCCGACATTTACGAGTTATTCACAATTGCAAGGCGCCAAGATGCTGGATCTCCTTCTTCTGTTGAAACCCGAAGAATTCCAACTGCACGAATGGTTGTTTGTGACGGACACTGTCGATGCCATCCATCCACCCTCAGATTATCAGTCAGCAGCGATAGCGGATCGGATGGTGTCCAAGGGAGCGAAGGAAGTTGAGCTTCCATCCGTGGCAGACCATGAAGCTCGCAAACCGTGGCTGTGTACCGAATTGACTCGTAGCACAGAGGACCCTCAGGCACTTCTCCGGCCGTTCTTCCGGCAGCTGAGTATCCATGCCTTTGAAGACACGTACAGCCTTCAAGGCGTGGATCTGGAGGCATGTCGAAAGGATCTTCTCGCAGACTTATTTATAGATTGAAACTGTGAGATAGAGCGATAATTACCTACCTTAATACCGTAATGTGAGACAACAGACACAACTGCGTTCTTGACTGTGCTCATCACCGATGTGCCTGGGTAGAGTACTTCGGGTAAGAGGTATACCACTGCCGAAAACGGCAAACAGCACAAATGTTGGGGACTCAGCCACCGCCAAGCCTTTTGTAAGGAAACGGGAAAGCAAAACGTAACGCCTGTTTGGCCCTTACCCGACCAGCGTACAAGTACTCCGTAACTTTGCACTAAATATTGCTCGCGACGCTGCGACTTTGCCCGTATTCTCCCTCAAGTCATCTCTCGGACCCTCGACCGCAGTCGTGAAAAGCTCACCGGAAGTTCAAGCTCAGCTGTTACGCAACTCCAGCACCTCCACAGCTATGGCATCACGCCTCCTCGTTCCGCGCCTCTCCTCCGTGTCCAGATCGATCAGAGCTCCCTCTCCCCTCCTGTCGAGATCCTTCCAGAGTACACGTAGACGACTCCAAGAGGCCGCTAATGCTGCAACAACAACGGTGAAAAAGCCTATGGGAGCTTTCCGAGGGGGGTGAGCTTCCCCTCCCAAACGATATCAAATTCTACAAGAGCTCCATCAAGCATCTGCGCTGGATCCCGGATGTTTCGTCTCCGGTTCGAACGACAACTAATTGCTTGTATATAATAGACTGTTCGGATTTCTGCTCGGCTCTACCCTGGCGGGGGCATCGGTCTACTATTACATTCTTGAGGAATACAAAGTTTCTAACGAGCTATTGACGGAAGATATCTATGTATGGAAACCCAGCTCCCTCCTTGCGACCACCGGTCTTCCAGTTTACTGCGACCGCCAATGTGGATTTCCTCAGGGGCCACCATGCTTCCTCCTGTCATGCGCACGGGGCAGTTCCTTACTTTGCGAACCTGTCGCTAACCCCAGTCCCAGGCCCTTCAAGCCTCTGTGCAACGCGTCCACTCATACGTCACGGAATTGGAGAACAAGATGTCGCAAATGAAAAAATAAGAGCCGGCGTATTGATGGAGTTACGTTGGGAACGTGAAGAGGTGATGGCATTAATATCCTCTTTTGGGCGGAATGCACGGTTTTGCTGGGCTCACACAGACCCAGATATCTCGTCACCCGATTTCAGCGATGTAAAAATAAATTTGCATGTCACCATTCGCTTTTGGGTTCCCCAATCAAGCGCCAGCTCCTGCACACTGAGGAGAGGATTGGATCTATTCCCATCTAGGAGCTCTCGCACGCTTTTCCTCTTATTGAGCCCCTCTCGATGCCCATCACTCTCACCTGGACAAACGGCAAGCGAAATATGTGACGCCTATGTCTGATGTAGTCGATTGCTGGCCAGCTGAGCGAACCGTTGAAGCATCCCGAGCCTTGCATGTGCCAAGCCGAACCGGAACTGCGAAGAGAGCATCGATCTGTTTCTGGTAGGGTTCATCACGAATACAGAGAAGCGGGCCCCTACCGCATCGACCGTATCGCGATTCAACCATTTGATGGTATCAGCTGCTATGGGCTGTCAAGACATAGCACCGCGCCTCCTAACTAGATCCTCGTTCAGCCGCCGGGTGATCGATAACGTTTCCATAGAAGACATTTGTCCCCCCGCATCGTCAAGTCTAACTTGAAATATTCCATAGAAAGTCAAGGGAATCTACAGCGAGGCCCGCGCCTGGTTGCATGTAATCCAGGCCAAATGGTGCGATCTGAGGGTTGAACGGCTGCGCCAGCCAATCTTCCGTGCTTTCATCTCGGACAAAATTGAATTGGTTCGAGAGATCGATTCCCGCTCCCGGAAAGAGTCCATTACCATTGTGCTGGGTTTCATCAAGTGCATAAACTGAAGCGGGCGGTTGCCGATCTTGATGTTCATGCAGACCGTCCCGATCCTGGTTTCCTTTGGCTCCATTGGGCCGAAACGGCGAGGACGCTCGACTCCGAGAAGGCGACATCAGCGGATGCACAAAGGCCTTCTTCTTAACTCGGAAATTCCGTCTGAAGCGCTGAACATGCCGAGCCATCAGCGTGGCATAGCGGCTGGACAGGTGTATGTCATCCGCACAATTCGTTTGCAAAGCGTCAATGCACCGGTCCAGTGTCCTCAAGGACGCGATGATGTCCGCCTCACGGGATCCGAGGCTGATCGACTTGAGCAGGAAGACCGATGCGCTCACAATCCTCAGGTACAGCCGTACAGGACAGTACCGTAAGACGCCTTGATCACGAAGCTCCACGGCGGTCATGAGGATTTTGCCGCTCGACTCACGAACCTCGTTAACGGAGGCAAAGTCTTGAGCATGTTTTGATCGCAAAATTTCGTGGTCCTGCCATACTTCGTCGCCGCCAGAAAGATTGCTGATACGATCGACTAACGCTTGGATCGCAATGGAGTGGATATACATGCGCGCATAGTAATAGTCCACAAGGAGGATTTTTCGAGCCGCGTCTTGAATCGCTAGGATCGGAATTTGTTAGCCCATTCGAACAATGGGTCAAGGGGATCAGCCTTACTGGGACACGACATTTGCGTAAAGCCTCTATACCACGAGTCGAGAAGCGGTTGGAAGTGGTCGAGCAAACTGATGTAACGCGTGCTGCGAAGTATCTGCTTCGTGACCGACCGGCTGGCAAAAAACATGTCGGTCACCGTCGTTAACAACTTGGTAATATCGATCCATTTGGACAACATCAGCTCCCTGTCACGATGGGGTGGCCGCGTTGGTAGATCACTAGATAAAGACGTTTGCGCGATGTCCTGGAGGGCTTCTTGGGGAAAGACGCTCGTACAGCCAAGCCGGAGCGAGAGCTGTGTCGCATAGAGGTACAGCAGTCTGCGAATCCGCGATTTGGAACTGCGAGCAGCGATCGACTCAGTGTTGTGAACTTCGTCAGCGGGCCTGAAAACACCGAGCTCATGCGCCAGTGTAGTGGCCAATCCAACCAGCATCCAGCTCAGACGGTCGGACCTTTTGGCGGGTTCAAAGACATCTTCCCGCCAGCGTTTGCCGGCTTCGGTGTCGCGATCCTGTGGCGTGAAAGTATCGTCGACGGCCGGCGCGAGACTAGCATCCCATCCATCATTTTCTGGAGGAAAGTGCAGTGAACGGGGATGCCAGTCGGTTATGAGCAGGAGAGCTTGTATGCTGCCCAATGTCCGGCTCTTGGCGATGCTGTATTTCTCGGACCCAAAAGTGATTCGCTGCACGAGATATTCAATGTGTCTCCAAAGTCGGGCATGAATGAAGTCGGCTCGAACGGCACCACCAGGTCCTGGAGGGTGATGATAACGAGACGAAATCATCAGCAACGTGCAGCACAGCAGCGGTTCTTCCAGAATTAGTCGCCTATGATTCGCATGGTCGGCATAAAAGCTGTCCACGACGGGAGATAATGAAGAGAGCCTGGTAAAGAAACTATGATGGTCAGAGACATATCACTAGCTGGAAGATGGATGGGCTAGACTCTTGATTCGTCTGACGAGAAAGGTCACTTACGCTTGGACGTAGGCGACGGCCTCGCGTGCTGTGAACCAGCCTTGCCTGACAAACCGATGCTGGTTCCAAAGTTCCAGAACTTCTGGAGAGGCTGGCTCACGGGTATTCAGACCAGGGCACAGAATGCCAGTACTCGTTGACTGCCCGGGGCTCGTTTCATGCGGGTCCTGATTTTCCGCATCGACCGAACCCTCCGAGTCGGTGCAGTTCGCCGCACGGAAAAGGAGGCCTACGGCATCGCTAGAGCTGGCGACAACGGTTTGTACCACCTGGTCCTGGAGATTGTCGGTCAAGGAGGAAGATTCGGTACATTCAATATTTGCTGGCGGCGGGCGTTCTCCTGGATTTTGATTCTGTAGAGCTGCGTTCTGTTGCGGTGTGATTGGCACGCCGTTTTGAGGGTTGGTGTGAGGTTGACTTCTGCGAGTAGTGTCTTCGAGTCTTGCAACAGAGTCGGCTCTCCCGGAAAATGATATCGACGGAGACTGAGAGTAGGATTGACGCCTTGGCTCGTCTCGATGACGTGGATGTTGGATGGAAATGCTTTGATGGGGACTCGAGTTCTCTACGTCTGGAAGAACTGACTGATGTTGGGCAGCTTGTCCTGCTGGGGATGTCTGCCAGCTCTCAGCTGGACGCTACTGAGTCCAAACAGCAAAACCGCTACTCACATTCGGGTGTGCTCGTTTCGCACGCTTCGTCGACCTTTGCGCCGGGAAGATACATTCTCTTTGCTCTCGCCGGCACTTGAAACACGATTGTGAGTATTCGTCACGTTCACATTTAGCCTTGGTTTTCCGACAAGCCTCACATGCCTTGTAGGTGCGCTTGAATGAGTTGCCGGCGCGTGGGCCCCGAGTTTCAATATTTGCCTGTGAAGGCTGGCTAGTCATTGAAGACATCCTAGCAGGAATGGTCTACTAGCTTGCTGTTGATGGGAATAGACGGATAAAAGTAAAAGTCATACCGCTGTGTTCGGATAACTTCGTTGATGTAGAGTGCGGTCTATTTTACCGTCTTTGGTTGTGAGCCGTCTCCTTTGTTCAGCTTTCCGCTCCGGATAGCGCCGGATATAAATCCCGAGGCTCGAAACGAAATCGGAGTCCAAGCACGAGGTCTCCACCAGCACAACTGCCCCCTCAGTCAGACATCGGCCCTTGCAAATGCAGGTATTTTCTACTCCATCACCACCATGGGACCTATATCTAAGGAGAATATTGTTAGCAACGCGTCTACTCCAATGCCAGGACAGAAACCGATTGAATACGGAGGTCAAAGGTTGGAGGACAATATGCTTTCGAGTTAAAGCCGCATCTGAAGAGACTTGCACCCGGTCACAAGCAGCAATTGAATATGAGCTTTACATTACTACGTCCCTATGGTAGTCCCGGCTCCCGCTCCTGTTTCGCTCTTGTACCTTTTGTTGGTGGACAAACAACGGTTTCTTCAGGATGGAATGGGGAAAAAAAAGAAAAAAGATGGAGCCATTTAGTCATCATCGAGCCACTTGACAATAGCAGCCACCTCATGTTCCTTTAAAGAATGTTAACTTCGAGTGACCGGGGACCTTTCCCGACGGCTTTCACCCAACACACTCATCTCGAGAACCAGCATTGGTGCTCTCAGAATGGCAGCAAGGTCCTAGCGAGACATCAATGTCCAAAAGCCCCTTCTCCGTAGAAACCATCCCCTCTGAAAATGTATCGTAATCGGGAACTTTAGGTCCAGGCACCACAGCGGTGGCCTGGGTGACCTCGTGATTACTCTGAACGACCTCGCCGAGGGTGACGCTTTCTCTGGACTCCCATCTGTTCAACTCCATCTTCTTTCACCTTTTCTCTCAAGATATCCTCAATCCTTTTGCTGAGATCCGAAGGACTCTCCATGCCGAAGCGCAAATACGCATTCGAGAGCTCCTCATAGAGCACGCTGAATACCCATCGCTTCGAAAGGACAACAAGAATCTCCGTGCGAAAACAATTCACCCGCGATCAGGATATCAAAACCTGCTGCCCGTGAAATCGGTGACTGTAGGGACTTCTATGCCGGTCTCAACGACGCATGTAACGTTGGCGTTCTGTCCTGCAGTCCTGCCAACGCTTTGCAGCCAAACTGAACGCACTTACCTGTTGGATATGTTCGAGAGAGGGGTACTGCGACCCAATACGATATTCGGCCCTTTGTGGGTCTTCGAGCTGCTGGCAGTGATGAATTCGTGCGCATCTCCAGTGCCAATTCGGCATAATATTCGTTCGACCAGATGTTGGTTGCATCACACAATCACTGGCCGTCAACGGAATGGAGGCAGTCTCCTGGGGAGTAGATCGATTTCTGGTCCTATAATGAAATCCACGAGCGGCTTATTGGAGATGATGGAAATGGAAAAGAACCACTTGAAGGTTGGCCGGAATGGCACAAAGAAGATATTCCTGGAGGACGGCGATGATGTCAGAATCATGTATGTCGCGGGTAAGAAGGTGCTCTCGTAGGCCTCAGCGATTGTCAAGCCCGCATTGTCTCTGCGAAGAATCGATTGAGCTAGCCTTGTGGACAGTGAGATAGACCTTCAAGGATAAATTAGGCACTCGTAGCCCTTGATGCCTCGCTTGGATGCCGTTCCCGGTGAAGATTATACCTCGTCTTACTATTTCTGGAGCTTCTGTCAGGAGGTGATAAATCGAGATACGCTCCTATGCAAGGGGCGTACCAACTCTTTGAACGGAAAGGCAATATACAGGTGCGTTGTTCAAAAGCGTGGAAGATGAGATACCGTCATTGAGCCGGTGTCCGCCAAATGTGTCGTCCTAATGCATCCCAGACTTCATTGAAAGCCCATCGACACCGTTCGTATCTGATGTTGAGTTCACCAAACCCTTCTCGTTATACTTGTATCTTTCCTCCAGATCCCAGTACTTGTTGAACCCGACACCCTCACATACTTCGCTGTAAGACAAAATAGATGGCGGCGCACCGACAGTCATGCTTTCTTTGAGAGTTTCCAAAGCTTCTCGTATACTCTTGATCTTGGCCGCAACCAGACGCCATGGGTAGGCAACTGCGCACATTCCCAGCTCAGCGAGGTCCTTGGCAGACAGATTCTCAGTGAGGCCGCCCTCGATGATGTTGGCAAATGTTGGGATTCCAATTTCCTGCACCGCACGCTTCATTGACTCACGATCTGGAAGCGCTTCGACGAAGACGGCATCCACACCGATACGACGGAACTCCTTGGCTCTTGTCATGGCCTCCTCCCAGCCGAGAATCAAAGAGTCTGTTCGAGCGAGGACGAAGATGTCGAGACCCTGGTTTCTAGCATCGACCGCGGCCTGAATTCGAGCGTAAGCTTCGCCGCGGCTCACCACCGACTTGCCCTTGGTGTGTCCGCACCCTAGGAGAGTTAGTAAAGGAGGCGTGCCAGTGGGATTTCACGGAGAACAACCCACTCTTGGGCCATGTTTGATCCTCGATCATGACACCGGCAGCTCCAGCGAGCGCGAAGCACTCCACCGTCCTCCTCACGTTCATCGGACTTCCGTAGCCTGTGTCACCATCGGCCATTACAGGAACTTTAACTTGTCGCACGGCTTCTTGGATCTTGTCACACATTTCCTGCATCGCAATATATCCAGTGTCGGGGAGACTAGAATCACCGTCGACAAGTGGTTAATTACATAGGAATGCCACAAAATAATGGAATTGACCGACTGGCCAAATTGGGTGAAGGAGGGGCGAGAAACATACCCATGAGTACTGGCGCATGGATAACCAGCTAGGAAAACCATGGGAAACCCAGCTTCCTCGACCAATCGTGATGACAATCCATCCATGGAGCAGCAATGAGCCAGGATTTTGGTAGGATCTCTGTGGGCTTCCAACATCATCGTGCGCAGGCGTGACGCCTGGATCGAAGGAATGCGGCCGCGGACATTGGGTAGAGTGACGGTGACTTCTCGACCGAGCCTAGATATGGTCTTGTCCTTAGAAGAGATGGGGTCTACAAATTGGAAAGGGTATTTGTGCGTGTTGACGATGTTTTTGGCCATGGCGTCGATAGATGTTTCGTAGTCTATAAGGTTAGGGTCCTAGGGAATATCAATGCTAGGAGTACAGTCAGTGGTATCTCAGACAGTGCCAAAGTGTCTGAAGGTGGAAACTATCGTGGTCGACAAAACCCATGGCCGAACGCGGGAGGGTGTTTATACGGCGTGATATCCCCATCGAGGGGTCTGTCTCCAAGTTCCTACTATGAATCGCGGATAGATTCAGGGGTCGGACACGAAGAAGTCCGTTGGATTCCGGGGATATCCAGATCAGCGGCGGAATCTGAGAAAACGTGCTTTTGAGTTGTCACCCATGGAATAAAACTTTCTTGAGAAAGTACCAAGGGTCGGCCATAATGCCGTTGACTGTGTGATGGTGTAAATGGCCATGTGCCGGCGTAGCTCGTGTAGTCGCAAGCACTAATGATGGCGAAGCCGTGATCCGACTCCATCAGAATTCTATGTCAAACTTCTCTCATCGAATTCGGTCAGAGGGTGGCATTGAACTTGTCTATATGCCTTCCTAACGAGTGTACGTCGTCATTGTTGCCTATCAATGGTGATGCAGTCTGGTGAGCAAATGTTGCAAAATAACCCGTATTAAAAAAATGCCTCCCTCCTATAGTCCATCTCTAACAAACTTATAGGTGGGGCGCCGCAGCCAGTGAAAGCTTCAGCCACACAAGTTCAACTGTAGAAGAGTTTGAATCAGTGACCTCCCAACGGTATGAACAAGACGACATCATCAACAATCACTGGCTGGAGCATTACGTTTACCCATCTAGGGCACCTAGACTTGAGCTAGGCCGGACAACCCTCTTACCTTACCTATGATCGAACACTAGTAAGGCCCCTCAATTCTATCGGTTCGAATGCAAGCCGAGTGTTTTGCCACTCGTTTACGTCCTTGATAGGTCAACCACGATTTGGTGTCAATTTTGAAACAGTTTTTGGCATTATAAAATATAAACTTGATTTTTTTTTAGATTTTGGAATCGCCTGGTTAGGGCTTGGCGTTGTGCGGCGACGCCAAGAGCGACGAGCCGGCCAATCACGTAAGCATATGGCTTGGCGTTGTCACGTAACTATTTTCGGAATCACGTGCAAGCCCCCGGGGGGCCGCCCTCCCAACTCGTCGCCCATCGGATCCAGTCTATGGACCACCCGACCTTCAACGGATTAACCATTTTCCGGGATCACGTGCTCCCCGGGGCCCATGTGGCGGGGGCACCCTACTCGATAGATATCGATATCCTCGATATCGAGATGATCCACGCATCGGATCCAGTCTGTGGACCACCTCAGACAAGCTCTACTAGTCACACTTGAGATGGTTCGCAACCGAGCGTTAACGGACGAACCTCGATGTCCGATGGGTCGTGGTATTTCATCGGATCCAATCCGTGGACCATGTGGCCGAGGGGCATCCTACTCGATAGAGGTCGACATCCTGATATCGAGATAATCCACGCATCGGATCCAGTCTGTGGACCACCTAGAGAAGCTCTACTAATCACACTCGAGATGGTTCGTAACCGAGCGTGAACAGACAAGCCTTGAGTTAGCTACTGAAACTATTCGCTTACTTGAACTTGAGGCATTAACGTAGCATGGTTAAAGATTGAGAAATACTTCAATCTTATCGATGACTCGCCTCTCTATGTTGCTGCTGTTATTCTGCACCCAAGCCTGCGCTTCGAATACTTTGAGGACAAATGGCAGAAGCAGCCAGATTGGATTATCCAGAGTTGCTAACAACCAAGCCAGATTGGAAGATTGATTGGATTGGCTTGTTACAGTAGTATCGATATTGCTGACCGTTTGCGATTTTATGATGGGCTCTGAGTAAGGCGATTACGCATACAGCCTAATCTTATGAGCGTCCTTCGGAGTCTCCGGTTCTGGAAGAGACTAGGTCTCTGACCGTACAAGAAGCATGAACTTTTGCCAACGCCTAAGCCAGTTGAGGAGCTTACTGTCAGGGTGGAGACGTACGATGGAACAAGAGTAGAGATCCGACAATGATATTACTATCCAATGCCCTATAAAGTACAAGACGAGAGACAAAGAACATGAAAGCAGTACGAGGCTATCCTAGATATTTATAGCCTTGTGGTGTAGTCATGCCGCAAGTCTTCCACGCAGGCACACGAGGCTAAATAAGTGTGGGATAGAGCCCATCTATATATCTATCTACGAGGTGTATACTGGCGCTGTTGCCTGTCAATGGTGTTGCACGCCAGGAGGTGAATGTTACAAAACGAGTAGGTTTGCCATGAACGATAGGTTATCGTTTGTTCTACACAATTCACGGAGGACGATTAGCTTACAAATTAATTTAATCCCATTAATCTATCTTCCGTTGAAAATCCTATCAATCAATCCAATCAATCCGTGAGACTATTTGCTAACAATCAATCAATCCATGACGACGAGATTGATTGGATTGATTGTTAGCAACTCTGATTTGATTCGACGTGTAAAGAGATCCTTTCGCGAACTGTTCGAATGCCATGGCGACGCCGATACTGAATCCGACGATCAGCGAGAAGAACCGAAGTCAGCCCACCACGAATACAACCAAATCTCGTCAGAATTCCTCAGCAGAAAGCGGAAACGAATAGCGAAAGATAAGGACAAGGATAGCCTAGAGTACGATCGCTATATTAAGTCGTTTGACGAGAAGCTCAGGGTTAAAGATCCACTTGCCTGGTGGAACCAGTATAAATTAGACTATCCTCTCCTCGCAAGAATGGCTTTTGATCTCTACTCGATATCGGCTATGAGTGCAGAAGTCGAACGAATCTTCTCATCGACAGGAAATCTAGTTACAGATGATCGGAACCAGCTGGGCGAGGAGGTGTTGGAAGCTACTGAGTGCCAGAAGCACTGGATAGCTGGAAATCTTGTCTCCTAGGATTTTATGTCAGTTAACTGACTGAACTTTCAATCAGGCCGCGAATTTCATCAGTCCAGTCAATCAGGCAGACTGGCGATTATGTCAGTTAATTGACTGTTGGCCACGCAGCACTCTCCCATCCTCCTCGACGTCGACCTCTCCATCATCCTCATCTCTCTTCATCCTGGGTCCCCTGGCATTTCTGCCCTGCATTCTCAGGCCTCCTTCCAGTCCGCCCTTCCGCAGCCCTCCAGACCCTTAGGAAATTGTTGAACGGTTGGACAGTAGCAAGTGCCCCTTTACTGGGAATAGGGGTTATCACTCCTATGTAGGATATAGGGGGTAAGAATAGGAGAAGAAAAGGGGTCAACCAAACGTGCATAAATATCAGCAACCTGGCAGGACCAGTTGCCAAAGGGCAGAGCATTCAATTCATATTCTCTTGGCATTCGTTGTTTGACAGAAATTTATGGCGCTTCTGCTGTCCTGAATAAGCTCTCAAGTGAACTCTCGGTAAGGATGGTACTTCCGTTGCCCTAAACAAGCCCTTAGAAAAACCCGGGGAAAGTGATGACATTTCCGTTGTCCTGTATGCTGTACAATAGCGAAGCATATAGCCCGACCCACCGTTTGCCGTTGCCAGTCCCACAATGTGTTCCCTTGATTCTGCCATAACTCTTGCGAGATCTCTACTTAATGCCCTTCCAGAAGTAATCCGCCCAGACCGCAAGATCTGCGACATTAAAGACGACGTTCCCTTCTGGCGGTACAGCGGCTCGGAGGAAGATTTTGTCAAATTCGAGAATCAGAGGCGCTCCAACAACGTCATAGGCTGAGGTAGTGCCTGGCTGAACGGTGACAATTGACTGGCCGATGGTATTCACTTGAGCAAGAGGACCTAGTTGTGGAGTGGGATTTTGGGTGATAGTAAGCTCTTGAACTTTTGTCGGAATTGGAGAGTTGGGATTTGGGTGGCTTCTGGTAGCTGGTCTATATGCAGCAGGCGGAGAAGGGCACCACTTTTCGACCATCAGCGTCTTCTGTGCTCGCTTAATTGAGATGATGATGACAATCTTGACATCTCCTCCAGAGTTGACAATCCACCACTCTGTGTCATGTCGCAGACGAGTAAGCGTTTCAGAGAGTCCAGACTGAAAAACAATTGTTGGCCAGTCAGATTTCATTTCTCGGGTCGGGAGGGGGCGGAATCCCATATCACCCTCTTTAGTGGAATTAGGGAGTTTGTATGTTGTCCCGCCAACAGGATATAAGCACTCTTCTGGGAGGCCCATTCCGGAAAGTGCGCGATCAAGTTTCCGGGCCAGTGTGTGGTGCGCACCCTCATGTTCCGCTGAGGGCATCAGCTTGATAACTAATAGATTGCTATCCGCGTAATGGCTCATCCGAGTATGCTTCCCTATGTCGGCGCGCTGATGGTCAATCTTTTCAAGCTGGCCTTTTGTGACACCCATGAAAACAAGGTACTGCTGATTCGTGTGACCGTCCATCAACGCAGCGGACTGCAAGTTGACACGTTCTTTTAGATCTCGGATCCCTTTGTACCTATGCATACGAACGTCTTCCAATCCCTCTAAGGGCGATAACTTCGGTGCCGAACTCTCCACTGTCGTAGTCTCTTTTGATGTAGTTGAGCTTGAGGATGACCTTGACATGGGTGTACATGTAGGTGCCCCATCGCTGGGTCCGCAAACTGTATTCATGTTGAGGTTCGAAGGTCGGAAGGAGCAATGTTGAAGGAGTAGAAAAGGCTGGTGGAAGAATCAGGCAGGGGAAGTTGTTGATGAATCAGGCGTGGACAGAGGCGAGAAGTGGGAGCACTGAAGTAGGAGAGATTATGAATAATGAATTGTATGGGAGAGAAGATTGAGGGTATAAGTTGCCCCAGGTGTCACTATAGAGTGATAATGCCAAGCCAGTCGCGGTGACAACGCCAAGCCAGCATTGCCTATTCTGGCCAACAGTGGATGTATACTATCTCGAGGCCGTGAGACTTGGCGTGCCAGCCAAGTGCTCACGTGAGAATGAAGGCGCTTGCAATGAGAGCGAAGAGTGGATGGTCTTGGCATTTAGGAAGAAGAACTCCACAAGTGGCGACGCCAACTGCCAAATTCGGCGGCAGATTTCCCTGGTTAGGGCTTGGCGTTGTGTGGCGACGCCAAGAGCAACATGCCAGCCAATCATGTAAGATTATGGCTTGGCGGTATCACGTGAGCAAGCGTGCACTCCGCCTTGCTGTGGATTTCTGCCAAGGATTCTGGCTCACGCTAAGCTACATTCGTTTACGGAGTATATATAAGTAAAGCGGCCACCCCCAGCAGATAGTTTTAGTTAGTTCATACATTCTCTTCCCGCCGCTACAACCACATTGCCGCTCCATCATCGGATCCAATCTGTGGACCATGTGGCCGGGGGGGCACCTACTCAGATATCGATATCGAGATGATCCACGGATCGAATATAGTCTGTGAACCACCTAGAGAAGCTCTATCGATTGAAGAGATTCTGTTTTGCTTTCCAAGCTTAGTGGCCGCATGCGTTCCTGGCAGATCGGAATAACCGTTTGCCATCCAATGAGGATACGACTCATGAGTCGATTCCTTGCCTAGGGGCAAATGAATGGGAATCGGGATCGAAGGAATCGATTCCTGCGAATGCTGGCCCTTAAGTTTGCTCTGTGTCTCTGTCAAACTGGGTGCAACTCGGGATGTATTGAAGGCTTTGTTCTCTATCTACTTGTCGAGGTATTGAGGCCTCTTTTATAGACGTGCGGATACTACGTCGTTACGCAGAGCAACCATCAGTAACGTCGTCGTCTATGGAAACCTCTCACCAGTGTTTCAGCTGTGGAGCCTGTACACAATAGCCCTTTGTTCAACAGTCTCCAGCCTCCTTCAGCCGACCAGACCGGTTGCGTCCACCGGTTTACGGCTGTTAACGCAAGCGACCCTTTCTCCCTCGATACTAAAGCGTGGTTACTAAGTAGAAGGAGAATAAATCGCGAGTGAGGGACAGGGTATTTGTTATCGAACAATGAGCATTACTCCTTTATTGGGAAAGGGTTATCGCCCTTATGCAGGATATAGGGGAAGAACAGGAGTAAAAAAGGGGTCAACCAACATGTATAAATACCAGCAATCTGGCAGAACCAGTTGCTGAACAGAGAGCATTCAATTCATATTTTCTGGGTATACCCAGTTTGACAGGATACTAGTGATAGCAACAGTCCCTTTAACGACTTTAAGGTGTACACTAGATACTGCTGTCTGCACCTCTATTATCTGTAATGTCGTTGCCAGGAAATCTGCCTCTAGCAGGGACGGCACTGCCCCTTCAGGTATGGTCGAAAGCTGGGCGCCCCACTGCTTTTGATGTTACTATTGGAATTTCATCTTCCTACCCATCTCTCTTCTCTTCTCTTCCAACCTGTTTTTCGCAACTTCGTTCGCCCTGACGCACCTGTCGCGCTTCACCCCGATACCGCCTGAATGTCCTCCTCACTGCCGTATCGGACCCCCCAATACTCGATTCCCCCTGGCTCCTTCAAATCTGTCTTGCTACCTAGATCCTCCCCTGCCGCATCAGGCTCCCTTCGATCCTCCCTTCGGACCCCTTCAAAAATCAGCCTTGTCTCTTCGAGTACGTTTCGATTACCCTTTCAATTCTCGATCGTCACAACCTCCTCTACAATTTCGAAGAGAAACCGTTCCGGGCCCCTTATGCGTCTAATCCCTCTATAGCGCATTTGACTCCGCTTGCCGCATATAGTTGCGACAACCCTCGTTATAATTCCAGAGTCCTCATGGTCAACTTCGTTAACAAACTAGACGTTGACCATCGATTACCTGCCTTGTGTGGAGAGCCATATGATCAAGAGAGGGGAGATCACGTTGTCGCTATTTCAGCTGTTCTTGATTCGCGAACGAAGATTGGGGCAAGAAATAACCGGTTTCGCAGATTTTTGACGAAGTTTGGGAAATGCGTGCCGCAGCCCGAAACTCGGACAAAACGTTACCTTTGAGGTTTGTGAGGTCCAAAGCGGGTACAATTTTTTGATTCACCTTTTGTGGAATTCTCTTCCGGATCTCTTGGTATAACACATAGCTGCATCAGCCGAGGTCATCACTTGCTGTGTTACTCCCAATATCCCTCCTCGTAGGATGGATCACCTTGAGTGGAGTGAAAGATCAGATCGTTCGCGGTTTCGAGTGCCTTTCGTGGTGGACCAAGATGTGGACTTGGAAAGACTCGATCCAGGCAAGCTTGTCGTTGGGATTAAGAGGCTCCTCACGTCCGACATAATCTCTTTACCGCAACTGGCCAAGGAGGTTCAAACCTGGCTGTATTTTGGCCTTTTGAAGTTGTGGCTACAGAACGATTTCAGCACGGAATGCTTTATCGAGCACGGAGTTGTGCATACCAGAAACCTCGAAAGGCTTTGCAAGTCGCAAATAACGAAAGAAAACCTTACGGAGACTAAGGATGGAGAAGCTGTATTAACGGCGCATGCGGCAACAGCTCTCGCCTTCTCTCACGCAGCTTCCATTTGCTTCTCAGATTACATAGTCGCACATATTGCTCGACTTGAAGAAGAACATGAAGGAGAGCCACTTAACCTATGGAATTCAGAGTCATACGTGGTGTTGTTCACTGTCCCTGTTCTTCTGAGTTTTCTACGAGACATACTTGGGCGGATTAAGCAGGAGTCGGGACTCACGATGCGTCTTTTTAGCGGCAGCAACGTGCTAATGACGCAAGCTTCAGGCATTTCTCGGACTTTGGTAGCAATAGGTAGGTGTCCGAGTTTTATTAGGAGACTTAAACCTACCATCGCGGAGGTATATTCCCTTTTCTCATTTCCTCCGAATGGCCATCACCCATCTCATAAACGTTGTTCGATAGATGAGTGTCGAGCGTACGACGTCATTGAGTCGGAATATCAGACGAAACATACAGATGATTGTGTGTCGTCGGACTGCGGCTTGATGGGCTTCGAGGACGAACAGCTATTCGCCATCATTGACCAAGGCTGCATACCGTTGGTCTGCTCTACATTGGATGAGACCGGGAATCTAATCATTCAACTTCGCGCTGGACAATTGAACTCGCGCTACACTGCGGTATCCCATGTTTGGGCCGGTGGTTTAGGTAATCTTGACAGGAACTTTTTGCCCCTGTGTCAGCTCCGACGCATACATTTTTCCATAACGAGAGACGAAAGACCATTGTGTACTCGAAATTCATTCCCGGAAGACGCTGGTTCTCTCCACAGACTCAAGAAAAGAATTCAAAACCTGCGCAACGATATATTTGCGCCGCCCGAGACAAATTTCTGGCTTGATACTTTGTGCGTGCCAGTGTATCGCACAGAATCTTCACCAAGTGTACGTCCGGATGTATCCGTGGAAAACAACGAAGATTCGATAGGGCGAGGCTCTCCTGGGAGCCTAGGTGAGCCTGTCGAAAGCGCAAGCACAACCTCACACAAAGTGACAACGTCTGCGTCCGAGTTACGGAAATCTACAGAACCTCTAACTAGACCGGCACAGATGCATAAATATCGAAATGATTATCGCAGGGCAGCGATCAATGCAATGGCTCGCATTTATGCAGGAGCGGAACGGGTTCTGGTGCTTGATCCTGAACTTGAGACAGAGAAATCCGAGGACCTCAAGCCTTTCGAGATGTCACTTGCTCTTGCTTGTTCCCCTTGGATGACAAGAAGCTGGACCTTGCACGAGGGCGCTCTCGCATTAAACCTCGAATTCAAATTCGCATCTAGCTTTCATCGGTATTCGGAATTCAGCACTTCTTCGTTCCTTTTCTTCTCTCCGCTCGAGAGTCTGTGGAAAGAAATCTGCACAGACACCAATCACCCAGAACGTCCCATTCCTCTGCTTGATTACTTTGGGCGAAATATCAGCGATCCTTGGTCGCGAAGTAACGGCTCGAAATTACACAACAAGTCATTGGAATCTTATGACATGGAACGCTTTGTTACCGTCTGGAATGCCCTAACTGAGCGGCGCACGACTAGAGTGACTGATGTTGCTCTAATACTCGCCTCACTACTTAATTTAAGCGCAGGGGAAGTCCTGACACTGGATCCAGACCGACGAATGAAAGCAATATTAAAGCATCATTCCATCCTGCCAGCGTCGATTTTGTTGCAGCCTACCACTTCGTCGGTCGGTAAACCAGATTGGACACCAAAGTTTCCGAGTATGGATTCTTCAACGTTCCAAATGCGGATTCCCAGACAATTCGAAACTCTTAAAGTCACCGCAGATGGGTTGGTCTATGAAAATTTCATCGATGACGGAACTTGGATGATCCTACAAGACATGCCAGATGGTTGTCTTTCTTTCCACGTGGGAGGTCATAGTGGAGTTCCCAGTCTCCATATAACCTTTTTCGAACCACCCACAGTCGGTCAAAACCATGTGCCCGGACCGATGCTTCTATGGTTGTCTTCTACTACAGACTCCAAGAAGCGCCTCCTTGGACTTTCCTTTACTGTTGTCCGAGAGGACATGGATGCTTTTCATGTCGCTGTGGGCGATCTTCTCTGGTACGGACGTCTGCTCGGCGTTCCGGACTCCGAGCATAGCCAGCACCAAGAAACCTGTGCTCTAGTACTTTCCAAACATTCGGCTAGAGGAAAAAAATCCTTAGTCATTGATTTGAGTATGTTTCCGCAGCCTTTGCAATATGTCAACCTAACTCTTACAGACATTCAATCTTGGCCCGATCTTCGGTGGTCTCGAACGAGGGCATTTCCGTTTCTCCAATTAGGTGCAGGCGGAGACGGCATTTTAGAATGTATGATTCTTATTACCATGGCTTCATGGATCTTGCCTCTTTTTCTGTCTCCTGGAATATACTGTGTGCTCCTCACGTTTTCCGATCACAAGACTCAGGTGCGCGAAGCCCTGTTTTCACAGAAACCTCTATTCATTTTGCTGTACAATGTGATTATTATGGTGCGTATCTTTCTACTATATATGGAAACCTTGTATTTCAGAATAATAGAGGCAAGGTGGATGCAAGAGTCGTGGGCAACGAGCTTTTGGGATCCACGATTCTCGGTTCCTTCCAGTAAGTCTCGACAGCCGCTGGGGAATTTTACCAAATTGGCCGTTGAAAATGCTTATCCTCACTTCGCGCTTCGAGCGTGTGTTGGCTACGCAGGACTTGGGGCGCTGTTTGGTTTAGAAACCATGTGCCAGATTGGTCCTTCTGTTTGGGAAGTCTTCTTGGCAGGAGATATTTATGAACTCTTTCTCTGGCAGATGAGGTCGTTTGCTAATTACCGTGAGGGGATGGTTGTCATGTATGGTGTCGTCTGCTTTGGATTTGCCCTAGATTCGATTGGACGAGTATTTCTGTTCTCTCTCTACTTGTTCCAGTGGAATGGCGCTCGCAAGCGAGCCAGACAGCGGAAACTTGCAGAGATATCAGTCGAACATCATATCATGCAAGCAGGGGCTTTTTTGACCTTTGGCTTCTGGATGACGTGGACCATTGGCGGGATCAGTTGGACGGCCCTTGCAGTTGCTCGAGCAAGGCAAGAGTTGATACATATTTGGGGTCTCGTCTCCTTTCTGGCTCTACTGGTCCAGACGCCTCTAGTCTACCAGAAATTGGGGATAGGCAAAGCGGTCCAGGATTACTTGTGGGGAGACGACCTTAGTACTTGAGGGATAGAATTCTATGGCAGCACCTTCTCTTCTGAAGCTCGAGGCCCCTAGGAAGACGGCTAAGCAGATGGATCAACTCTGATGTGTGTAAAGAGGGCAAATTTCCAGACGCAAGGTCTAACATTTATGGTTCATCGACATCTACAAGAGGTCTAGGTACATTCCAGATACACAATGTCAGGTTACACCCAGGGTGGTTACTATCACATCTTGTCAGAGGTTGCTAGGTCTGAGGAAGGGGTTCATCAGCAATAGAATACTATGCATATTGCCTATCCATGGGCACTATCGGCTGATACATGCGGCCTTGGCATCTGTCTTGGCATTCAGCACACAATACCTATCGTTTTTGAGTTGGACGGATGCCTTACTGTTTCTGAAGGGGACTGTTTCTGGTCCCCGGGAATGATTGTATAGGGGAAGGCAAGCCAATCTCGGCGACTGTAGGAAAGGACCACGGGAGCGATCTTGGCATCGAGGGAAATAACCCTCCAAAAGCGGCGGCACTGATTGCCAAATTCGACGGGAAATTTCCCTACCCGTCTGCGCTGGACTGTAGAGGGGCGATATGGAAAGGCACCGACAGCCGCCCATAGACAACAACAAAGGCACCCCAAGGCAAAAAAGACTGACCTGAACTTACTGAATAGGTAGGAAAGAACTCAAGAAACCTGATAAGGGACCTCTGAACGCTTGACTGTCTTCAAGGGCTGTCCTTTTCACTATGGTTAAGATGCTACTCTTGACTCTCTTTCTTTTCGGAGCATGCCTCCTCCCTCCTCTAGAGTACCTGATTTCCTCCAAGGCCCGTCAAGTCCTCCGGTGAACCACAAACCTGTCCCGACGAAGTCACGTGAATAGTCACATCCCCTTCGATCACGTGCTGTACTAGGATGAAGCAGCTCCTACCCCGTAACAGTATGTGGTCTGGCGGGAATCGGACTTTACGAAGAATTCAAGCCTTTTTGCCACTATTTTGACATGCCGCCAGGTACCTATCTTTCGGGAGGTCCTGACAGCTTTATCGCGCTGTCAGATGACGTTGTTAAAGCACATTCATCATTTGTTAGTCGACTTTCGATAAATCACGCTCAGCTTCATGTACCTAGCTTAAGATAGGCCAACGTAGGTCAAAAGTGAGCCCGAAAGTTATTTGTGTTTATGTTAAAGGTGAAGCCGCAATTGAAAACGTCTATACACATAAAGAAGCCTTCTGTAGCAAGGCTCCCAGACACGATGAGGTAAGTAGTCTTTTGTGTACCTGTTTAAAAAGACGGAGGCTTGCATATCCCGTCCTTTGAACCAAGTGTGCCGGAGAGAGCCAGAAGTGGTCGTTTCTACTCAAGTGGGAACCCATCCGAGGTTCCCATCGAAGGACCCAGTTTGGGACCCGCCCGTTAGCCGTATGGAGATCCTAAAACATCGTATTTCGTATTAGCCTGTCCGACGGTGCTTCTCGAAGGCTTAACGGTTAGAGAGACCAGAACAAGCCTCCGCTTAGCATATTGCAGCAAAAAACGGCCACTTCGCCCATCCTACTTCTCTCTGCGAGGGCGAAACAGCCACCCCCAAACTCGACCGTCGCTTCGAAAGTACGATGGAAAGATCTCAAGAGATATTGCACGCCTGGAACGACTGTCTGCGCTGCGAAGGGGAATATTATGAGAACTTTATTGGCAAGGGCAGTGGAGGAGATAGCTGGAGATAAAGACAGTCAATTCGCTTGGCGATCACCTGATGAAGATATGCAACCGTGGAAAGTGTGCCGAGAATGCGTTCCCCTTCAGACTATTTGTCTCGGCACTCTGACCTTCTGCTGAGACGAATGGTACAAGGACTTCTCCTGCGCTCCCAGTTGACACCCTCTCACAGTAGATCGTCTTCCTTGTACGGCTTATATTGAACGAAGCTTTCCGTGGCTACCTGGGAGAGCTCATTTCCGAGCCTATATCCCACGCCCCTACTACCCTGGAACTCTGGCAGCACCCACATAGTGAAACCGTCCGAATGTACCATCCCCAATTTTTTTGCCGCATAATCATAGAAAGGATACGCCTTCAACCTCTCCTCAAAATCATCGTCGGTGCGGCAGCGGCCTTTTTCAAGGGCCTCGAGGGATAGGTAAGCCACACAAGTCTTCGCCAGGAACTTTTCTGCATCGGACCCCGAAGACGACGAAATGGTGCTCAACTTCCTTCAACACGAAAATAAAATCCTTGCCTGCAGTCAAGCTGTGCTTGTTCGAAAAGGATACGCCTGGTGAGGATACAGCCAACGAGTCCCGGGCAATGTAATCGGGTTGCATCTGGCCGCATTTTGGGGTCTAGTATTGCAATCAGGGCACTGTTGGCTCGAGGAGCCTCTTTGGCATCAACAGACACTCACGGCTGGACGCCGCTCTCATGGGCAGATAAGAAAGGGCACGAGGCCGTCATTAAGTTGTTGACCGACACAGGAGGAGTTCAACTCGATCGCGTAGATAACTTTGGCCGTGCCGCGATTTCTGCGGACAGCTAAGAATGGCCACGGAACCGTCGTCAACCTTCTCCTCAAACCGAGAAAGTCATCATCGATTCGAAAGATACAGATGGTCGACATTCCTCCACGGACTCATTCAAAAAGGAATGTTCAAAAGGGCCGTGCGTCTAGACGTTGTGCGGATCCAAACAGGGAGCATGGTTGCCTAACTAGAAATGCTGCAGGGTCCAGCACCTACGAGCCTGTGAGGGTTCGGATCTGCCGTCCTGAGACGTTCCTAGCAGCTCTCCTCCCGAGATCGGTGCTGTGACACAGTATGACCTAGTACCATTCCAGGATTTTGTCCATCCCACGATGTGAGGTTCCTGCAACTGATACCAACCATAATCGTCATCGCCGCCATGCATGATCAAGACCTGAAACGTTGTCTGAACCACGATTGATGAGGCCTCTACCTCCCATTGATATAAAAGGCTAAGGAAGTAGAAATAGCTATGACTACGGAGTGCGAAATATTATACTGCGCCGAGCCAGCTCTGGGCAGCATACACTTCCATTTTGACAATATCTCAATCTGATTTCCTCCACCCTCCCCCGGTTGGCTTTGAACAGCTAAACCACCTTTTGGCTATAGCCTCATGTTCCTCCCAGAGAATAAAGTCACATTGTCTGCTTGGGTGTTTTGGACACCTCAGGACTATAGTAGTTGCGTTAAATGCCATACGATCTTCGCTAGGAGCATTACTTACACCTCTTACCCTTATTGGGGGAACATTTCTTTACTCCTTTCCAAGTAGCTAGAAGATTACAGTTGCAGTACCATTTCCCTTCTTGGAAGCTCCCGAGTTTTGAATATGGCCGTAATTCTGGTGTTTTCTTGAGAGTCTGACCGTGTTTGGGCTGAGGCTGGCGTTGGAATCGAAAAATTGAGGGAGCATGCACTAGATAAGGCAATAGCTGTCTTTTTTCAGACAAAGCGAGCTTCTTGCGAATGAAACTGGCCCACATGGTGAAGAATGGAGATAGAATGCAAGCTCAGATGCCTCAGAATAGTATCGACCGAAATAATGGGAAGGTGTGGAATAATATGGCTTGGAGGCTCAATTCTAGTACCTCGATACTCGACGCCGACTCTTGTATCGACTTCAATAGTATCTGCCTTTTGCAAACCTGGTGGCTGGGCCAATCGCAACCTAGTAAAGTCTCACACTTGGAAGATGTACCTATGGCCAACAAAGACGCGACATGTCCGCCAGGCTGAGACAGACCGGGCGGCAATTATACGAGTCTTATTGCGGAAGATCAGACGATTTGATATGAGGGATGCCGGAGGGTGCCTGAGCCTCCAGGGGGCCGCACAAAATATCGATGCGCCGAATGGGGCCGAACGTTTACGGCTTTGCAGGGCAAATATTAGTCAAGCGCAGAGTCTGCAACTGGCATACTACATTAAAAGCACATTCTGCGGGATACGGGTATACCCTACAGAACTAATAAGGTACAATAAAGTGTACAGAGTTTATCTCGACTCTAATCTGCTCTGAAATGAACAGCTTAGAACAGCAAGTCCTAGTATATCATTCTAAAAGCTACAGCCTCTAAAGCCCATGCGCCAATGCATTCTTCGATTTTTAGAGGCTAGTCATCCTGATCCCAGCTAAATGCAAAGAAGGCAGCAACATACTCCCAATACTCAGGGTACCAACCAGCGTTCTCCCAGTCAACAATCGAAACCTGGAAACTCTTTTTTTATGGGACCCTCTTTGACCATAATGTTTTTCCTTTAGAGATCGGAATGGCTAAATGTGGGTCGAGATTGGTTGAACGATGGCACGAAGTGCTTCTCAAAAAAGTCTGCCAGATAGGAGTGCTTCTGGTTATCTTCCGGACTTCAAAAGGCCCAGATAGTATTACATCACCGTCGGACCAAAACAGGTCATGTGGTGAAGGACCGTATACCACGCTACCAATATTACTCGTGAACGAAAACCCTAATTGTCATATACGGCTTAATCCTAGACGGTGAGCGAAGGCCGCTTTAACCTGTTGAGTACGTGCCCGATTCAGTCTCAGCTGCCCAATTCATGGTGACGCGCAATCAACTGGAAGGTTCCATACCTTCTGTACACTCATTTTTGTACTGTACCTCGTAGATAGCTACATAATCCTTTCTGCCCCTCGCGCTCGCTTCCGGAGGACAGCGCCCTCAAATTAATTGATTTGACATCACCGTTAATCCGCAAAGCTTATGGTCGTGGCGCTACCAGGGGCCCTCAGGTGAGCTCTACCAAAGAGCCAAACCAGGCTCTAAATAATTGAATCGACACGATTGGCTGGGGTTAGTGCCGCCGGTTTTTGGTGGGGTTTCTCTCCCCCATCTCTCCCTCTCCCAGATGGACTTTGCCTTCTTCCTCGGTTGACCTCTACCCACTGTTTTGCGCGTAACATGCCGCACAAAAGCTCGGTTCATAACTGCGCATCGAATTTGGTGCCAAGTTTGGTGTCCACAACCGTTCCTTGTTGATATTGGGTAGATCAACTTGGTGGACTATACCTTTCTTCCATCAATCAATTAATCCGCTAATAAGTTGATCTTGCTGCGCTTCAAGGTTCCTGCAGTGGTTACTCTGACCCAGTATGGCGGTTCCACAAGACGGGCTTCTTCAACTTCCATACTACGCTCCTGAGATTCCTTTCGAGTTGCCAACAAAGGAAGACATTGCGTCGCCGGATGAAGTCCTCAGTGAACTTGGGGGCCGAAAGGTTGTCCGTGTTGGCAAGAAATTTATTATCAAGTATGGACAAATCGAGCAAGCTGAGGCGGAAACAATGATATTCGTTCGACAATCAACGTCGGTGCCAATCCCAGCCGTGTATGCTATCTATCGATCAACAGAGAATGGATTACTCTACATTGTTATGGAGTATATTCGAGGTGGAAATTTACTGTCACTCTGGCCAGTCCTGTCTAAGATACAGAAAAGCACTATTTGCCAGCGGCTGAGAGAGTGTTTAGCCGAGAAGGCTAAGGTTATTGACTCGTTCAGCAATCTTGGGACGTACCGATCCGACTTCTATCGTCGCAACTTGCAGAAGGTCCTCCAAAATCACCGGTCTGTATTCACTCATGGCGACTTCCAGCGCAAGAACATCATAATCAGGTCGCGAGAAATTTCAGCAATGTCTGCAAGCTCTGCAAGTAACGACGAAGTCATCCCAGAAGCGAACTACGATGTTGTATTGATCGACTGGGAAAAAGCTGGATGGTATCCAAGCTACTGGGAATTTTGCGCTGCTTCATGGTCATTCCGTTTTGATGATGACTGGCCAGATCATTTGGAAACGATCATAGATCCTTGTCCAGTAAAATACCCCTGGCTCAAAACAATAGCCACAGAACTATGGTCTTGACTCGCGTGGTTACCCGTGGCCAACGAGTCGATCTCTTCCCAGTCGTAAATGAAACCCAATTCTTGCTTCGATGTGTTTGTATTGGCTTTGTATTCCTGCGAACCTCGCTCCTTATCATACTACTCAAGTTAGGCTAAAATGCCCTGCGACCTCAACTCCTTTATCGCGTTCTCTGCCCATTCACCACATCTTATCAGTTTTTGCCCGGGGAACAATCTTTTAGGGCCCGCAAATTGCTTGGGCGGGGCCTCAACTAGCACCGCACTATCATTCTTGTTGAGCTGAGTCGCGGTAGTTATCATGCAACTCGTCTGTGACAAGGGGATGTGTCGATGACGCTCTATCACTGCCGATCATATGGAATCCATCATATGCATCGGTCTTGATTTTCCTGGCTAGTGTTGCTGCTTATCCGGACGCTTATGAAATTTATGAGCCCGGATAGCTTCGGAGCCGGCTCTATGCCACAGTCGGACACGTCCGGCTGAAAGCGGATTAAAAGTGACTCGTGTGATCCAGCAGAAAAGATCGGCTATCACACGTTTTGACGGGAATGCCTGTCAGTGTATGGCGATTAGCTACTCACTTCGCACCGTGCTTCCCTCTGGTCAACTTGGAAGCCTGGGGTTCGGATGTTCCAGAAGCTAGCCGGCGGCGAACATCCGTATGTCGATTGAGGGAATGTGATGCTGTCAAACTGATCAAAGATCATTTAGAGAGAGGGTTGATAAATGACTAGGTCTACGAATAAGGACCACGACTTAAGGCCGGAGAATCCTTTCCGCATCGGTAGAGTGGCTCCTCCTGCAGCTACCCAGTCCTATTTGGCGTCTACCTACGAGCCTCTCAGCAGCTCCAAAGAGACATCCCTGCACACCTTCCTGGTCGCTGAGGAACCCAAGGAACAGATCAATTTATATAAAGGCTACGGGAATGTCCACTGGTATGTCGACAACACAAAGCAAGCCGCTGCATATTAAGTCACCAGAATGGGTTTCAAGTGGATTGTATACCGGACAGGTTAGATACATATTCGAACAACGTCATCTGTGCAAAGTGTGATATGTTGAACACCTATCCACCATGAAAGTCGACATATTCCTCGATTTGTGACCTTTTCAGTGCCTTTGCAGATTCGTCAATGGGCATCTTTATCTTTTGGTTAGCCGATGCCATGACGACGGATTTCAGAGCTGAATATTCTATACAGATATCCTTGAGAAGATCGTGACGCATTGCTGGACTTGTACGCATGCAGCGGTGAGGTGAGAACAAAGGTGAGATCTTCGTTACGGACAGCGTGTGATGCTACTGCTCTGGATCCAGTCGAAGGCCTCGGACGAGATGTCGAGTCCATTATGGTACCGAATTCCTCCCACTCATCGATGGAGAAGAGAATCTCTGCTCCTGGTATTACAATCACGTAGGATTTCCCGAAGCTTAGGCAACTTGGGATCTTGATTGATTTCGATGAGGGGAGTTGTTCGTTGCTACGCTTCACCAAGCACGTTATGGACTGACCTACCGCAACAACTTCAGCGGGTTTGGAGCAGGCAGTTTCATGAGTGTGTTCGAGGCAATTGACCGGGAATAGATGGCACGGGGAATGTTATGGTTTAGCTTTTTGTCCCAAGGTATTTCCGTTGCAACATACGAACGGGCTCCATCTCTCCACGGCATGTCTCTTCTAATCATAACTCACGCCACGATGCTCTGTTCACCCGCCACCTCCAGGGAGAGGGAGAATAGACGATCCGATACCCGCTTGCTTGTGTCCTACATATGCCAATCTCCACACCTCTATGTGGAGGAGTATTATCTATCTTCCATATTACGGAGTGTCTCACAAGAAAGATTACACAACACCCGGTATTGCTGCTTCTGTAACGAGACAAGCCGCGGAAAGAGGACTTCACCAACCCCCCTCTTCCGGCAGAAAGACATCTTTCCGATTGGCTTGCAGCCACATAAGTCTGACCTACCGCAGGTTCCCCCGTCAGAGGACCAATCCACCTTCCCTCGGATGATTGTGTGGACGGCGCTGGAGGCCAAAACGTATGAAACCCCGACTTTGCCGTCTGGGGACCCCGAAATGGATCCACCCCCGGAAACTTTGATATTCCGCCCACACCCAGTGCTTTCCGCTCCCCGCATTTTCTCAAGTTCCGGAGACTGAGAATCTCCTAGGGCACTCCAGGGACAGGGCGAACTTTCCAGCAATGAAAAAACTTTTGTGCCTTGGTCGATCCATAAAAAAAGTGGTCGATTCCTCATAAGGCTTTAGATACCTATAGCTGTGTCTACCTCAATCCCACTGACACATTTACTTTTTCTCTTTCTCCTTTTTTCAACTTCTTTAAAAGGTCACGAACCTTCTTTGGTCATTATGGATACCCCTACCGAGAAACCCAACGAGAAGGAGATGCACCTAGAGGAAGCTCCCACTACTACATCGGTGGCCGAGATGACCACTAGAATAACGGTGACGGCCAAACAAGAGAAAGCCATCCGCAGAGCTGTAAGCTCCTCATCGTCTTTCCATGTTTCAACATGCTCATTTCTCCCAGTTTGATCGTCGGCTGGTCCCCATCGTCTGCATCTTATACGTCTTGTCCTACCTTGACCGGGGAAATATTGGGAACGCAAAGACAGCAGGCGCCCAAGAAGACTTGGGTTTGTCCAGCGCGCAGTGGACTTGGGTATTGAACTCTTTCTACATTGCATATGTTGTTTTCGAGTGGGTGAGTCACACGTTGGGTCATTGGAGTAACCATCTAGCTCACGAGATAAATCAGACCACGCTCCTCTGGAAGATCTTTCCGGCACATATCTACGTCTCATTGTTGTGCGTGCTTTGGGGAGCATGTGCCATGTCTTCCGGCGCCGCGCACCAAATGAGCCATCTGGTGGTTTGCCGCGTCTTTTTGGGCATTTTTGAGGCCAGCTTCGGCGCGGGAGCGTCAGTCGCCCCCAACCTCGCGGATCGTTTCGTTGTGCTGACTATTGGCAAGGCCCTACTTCCTCTCTCTTTTCTATCAACGTCGGGAACTAGCCTTCCGAACTTCTTTATTGTTGGGTATGTCTCCTTTGGCCAACTGTTTTGCTGGAGCATTGGCCTTCGGCATCACTCATATCAAGAATTCCATCGAGCCATGGCGACTCCTGTTCATCATCGAAGGAGCTCCCACCGTCCTGTTTGCTCCTATGGTCTTCTTTTTCCTTCCAGACTCGCCGGGTTCTGCCAAGTTCCTGAGCGAGGCGGAGCAAACTCATGCCGTGGAAAGGATGCAGACCCGCGATCACACCAGGAAGAGTCAAATCCAATGGAGACAGTTCTTCGCGGGTGCGACAGACTATAGGAACGTCGTCCACACCATGATTCATTTCATGTGCAACTACTCCTTTGCAGGGTTGTCCAACTTCCTTCCCACCATCGTCCAAGGAATGGGATACTCCAGCATCAATGCTCAAGGTCTAACGGCACCTGTCTATTTCGTATCCTTCCTGCTCTGCGTTGTTGCCGCTTTTGTCAGCGACAGGTGGGGTAGACGGAGCTTCATTATTGCCTTTGCCGCCGGAGTCGGTGCCATTGGTTACTTGCTTCTTGCGATCATCGAGGATATGGACCAAGTTCGCGTCCGTTACCTTGGTGTCTGGCTCGCCGTTTGTGGTATCTTTCCGGCTCTGTGCATCAACGTAAGTGATTCACAAGTCTTCACCAATATCTTGTTCCCGAGTCGGGACGCTCATCGACTAATTTCGATGGAAATAGATCACATGGCTCCTCAACAACAACAGTAGTGAATCCAAGCGTGGTGCTGGGCTTGCTATCCTCGCGATATTCGGCCAATGTAGCTCTTTCCTTAGCTCAGCGGTTTTTCCTAAGGAAGATGGGTTAGTCCAAACCCCGGCTCCCTGCTTCACATGAATTTCTTTTTCAGTTGCTGCGATAGACATTTGCTGACTGCCTCTGAGGCCCTTTTTCATCAAGGGATGCGCCATCGGTTGCGGTTTCACCGGGCTTGTTGTCATATTCTCCTTGGGCCTTTATTTCCGGCTCCGTCACATCAATAGACAGAGGGATGAGATGTATGGTTCTGTTGAAGATGATCAGCAGCTAGATGTCACCACTCTTGGAGATTCGCATCCTGCGTTCAGGTACCTTCTCTGAGGAAGAGTAAGAGCTAAGGCGGGGCGGTCGAACAAGGGAAAGTACAAATTGGATTTCCAAGTCAGTTATCTGGTTAATCAGTTGTGAAGAGGTAATATTTATGTAAGGCTCACGGGACAGATGTACTACACGCAAACGATGTATAGTCACATCTTGTCTTACTCTGAGCAGCAATATAGTGCAGTGTGTCCGCGATTCACGAAGACAAAAAGGCCGTCAGAGGGGGCCGTATTTGGTTGTCCCGAAGGGCGCAAACTTGGTGAAAAGCTTTTAGCGTAATTGGCACCTCTTGTTATGTAAACTTGGGATGTCGTCGTTGTTAGTATCCGCCGTTCTCGAACTCGTCGAGGGCTCACCCAAGGTTGAGAATCGTAGAAGGGTGTTGAACAATGGGCAGCACCCCTTTACTTGGAAAAGGGTTATCACCCCTATAGGGAAAGAATAGGAGTAGAAAAGATGTCAACCAAACGTGTATATACTGACATTCTGGCAAGACCAGTTATCAAACGAACAGAACATTCAATACGTCTCGATTTGCACCCCCAGTTTGACAAAGGGAGATGCCCACAAGACAGCAGGGTCCAGATAATGCAAGTTGGATCATTGAAGTCGAACCTGTGAAGGTACCCGAAACCGCTGCCGGGAACCCACCCATGGAGGCTTTTCTTAAAAGGTTGATGCCAATCAACATATGGGGCATCCGTGTTCATTGACCATAAACCTGCAGCGAGCCTTGCGCGCTGTCATTGGACAAGATCTTTCTATCCGCGCGTCAGATCTTATCTTATCTGCACGCCCGTAGGGAGATGCGGCCGCTCGTCCAACTCTTCTCGAACAATCATCAAACGTGCTACCATAGGTAAGCATCTAGATATCTCCGGCTTTTTATAGTATCTGTATCCCTATCAAATTTTCAGGTCGACTACAACTCAGCCGCATGACGCAGTGCTGGGACGACTCCTCGCGTATCTCACCATGAAAACTACGAGATATGCCACTTCTCGACAAAAAGCTTGCCAACAATGTGTCATCGCCAAGGCAAGATGTGACCACAATGCAAGAATCTGTGGTAGATGCGTTCAGCGAGGTCTCTCTTGCATCTATCCGCGGGCAATTTCTTCTGAGGCTTCAACTCGACGCACGCGTGGCCATGATGATGCAGAACCGTACAGCCCATTCTCTGCATCTGCCGGCGGTCTCCTTTTAACCCCCGAGCGTGAGATACCTGTTGGAGATAACTCGATGGGTCAGACAATGACTGGCAGTGTCCTCGTCAACAACTGCGCGACGACCGCCACAAAGGCTCAATTTCCTCTTGGTCCAAAGCTTCATGCGGCCGTTCGCATGTCTGCAGACTCAAAGGAGTCCGAGGCTTTAAACTTTTCAAGTCTTGACCTCGTCTGTCCTATTGATGTCGATAGCATTAGCAACCGCTGGCTGAATGTTTACATCCCCGTCCCCGGGCAGGCGCTCAAAGAATATCCTGCCCACATCAACGCTTTCATCTATCGGATTCTCAAGTCCTTCGCGGCTGCCACCATCGGCGGCCATGGAATTCCACCCTTTCTGCACTCGTCACAGATGGTGGATTTAGCAATAAGCCCACCGCTCTCTGCTTGCCTTAGCCTCGTTCGCATCTGCCAAACGCCTTTACCCGGGAGTGATGGCGTCGTGGCGGACATCCTGCAGCGGGAGATGAACAACCTGTACGAGCAACACGGAACGTATGATGACATGGTTCTGCTTGCTGCATTTCAAGCCTATTTGATTTACGCTATGGTGTTGTTCTTTCAGCTCCGGCAAGGTTCCCATCCCTTCCTCCGCCAGGCGATGATGAACCTTCAAGAGCTTGCATGTGCAAGTTCTCGGCGAGGTCTCATGTGTTCGGCGGAACTGCAACATGTCCGTCCCCGATGGGAAGCCTGGATCGTCGCCGAGGCCAAGCGGCGGACATTGTACACAATGTATCTTTTCGACAGCGTCTTGTCGACCCAAGATGGTCTCCCGACCTTCCTTGGGACGGAGCTGCGGGGATTGCTCGCTCCAGCAAACAAACTCTTGTGGCAAGCACAATCTCGACACGAGTGGGAAGTGGTCTACAACCTGTACTTGGCCGAATGGACCGGTGGAGGCCTTCGTATTGATGAACTTTGGCCCATCCCTGCCGATTTGGCCGAGGCCGCCATTCTCGAACGACGCAGCAGAGTGGATAAATGGCTGGAAAACTTAGATGAATATGGAACAATGCTCTATGCGGTTACGAGTTGTACACATGGTGGTTGAACTACCCCAATGGAGAGACGACTTCGGACGTGGAACGGTCCTAAGATCCCCCCAGTGCCAGCAGAGCATCTTCAACAGAGATTGTATTCAGACTCATCTTTGGCAGAGGCGTGTCGAGCAAGACTTTCGAGAAATCTGCATTCTGGTCCACCGGCAATTCCAACACATTGTCCGAAATGACATAAACTTTAGAGTCGAGGTCGAACAGTCGATAAACCGTACTCATCACGACGCGGGAGAGGCTCAGGCCTGACTGTAGCGGCCACTGTCGGTCCCAATTCGGCCTAGAGGGTTGATTGCATACGATTACAACAGTGTCAATATTCTGCGCCCGCAGAATTTGCTCCCAGCTATTTCCCGCACCAGCGTACCATCTTGTCTTCTGAACGACGATATCTCGCTCATCGACCGCGAAGAGAGAATCGATCTGCACGTCGAGGGAAATTCTTTGTAAAGGGCCCGAAGGCCTCCAGCGATCTGGTAAATAGTGCATCCCGGCTGAGATCAGGCTGCGAAGGGTTTGCGAAGGAGAAATTTGTAAAGATCGTCAGTGGCCGAGGAATCTTTCTGATGGACTGCGTCGTTCCATCTGATGCAGTTCGAGATGAACGCTTGTCCGGCCGCTGTGTCCCTGATACCGTCTATCAGGAGCGACATCAAATCGAGATTGAGGACTGCATAGTGTCGACCAAAGCTCAGAGGATCCTCGGTTGATTGCTGGGCCAGGGCCATTGTCACGATGGCCAGGAGACAATGTCAGGAGTAGCAGACGTTAACGCAACATCTTCGTACGAGTGACATTGAACAAATTTTATTTTCGAACTGTGAGGCGGAGCCTGGGAACCTCAACTCCGGGCCATTATCCCCTGAACGGGAGCTGACGCTCTGTGATTGGCTTTTTGACAAACCCAGGCTCTCAACTCCGGAGGCGTTTGTGTTGCTCAACTCCGCGTTAAGACGAGATACATATCAGTCGGCAATCCCCAACCCTCAACGTCAGCCTTGACCGAAACTCCACGAAACCACCTACAGATAGCATTGAATAGAGAACCATGAGCAAAGATGACCAAAACGACCACTCTTCAGTTCCCGATGCCACCACTGGAACCACACCGTCAGCCCCCATTCCCAATATGCCTTACAGCATCTTTGACAAAAGACAAAAAGCATTAATCGTGGCCATCGTTTCGATAGCCGCAACCTGTGAGTCCTTAAATCCTGCCGCCGACGTCTGTGGTTCCGACTAACGTAAGATCAGTCTCGGGATTTGCATCGAATATTTACTTTCCTGCCCTTCCGACGATTGCAGCCGATATCTCTGTGTCCATCGAGCTCATCAACCTCACAGTGACCTCGTACCTCATCTTCCAAGGCATAGCACCCAGTCTGTGGGGCCCGATTTCCGATGTCAAGGGACGTCGGATTGCGTACTGCTGTACCTTTCTCGTATTTCTGGGTGCATGCATCGGCCTGGCAGAAGCGAAGAATTATGCCACCTTGATCGTCCTGAGATGTTTGCAAAGCACCGGGAGTGCAAGCACGATTGCTATAGGGTCAGGTGTGATCGGAGACATCACCACGCGAAGCGACCGGGGCGGCTTCATGGGGGTCTTCCAAGCGGGACTGCTGGTGCCTGTGGCTGTGGGCCCGGTGATCGGAGGCGCTCTGGCTGGGTCTTTAGGATGGAGAGCAATCTTTTGGTTTTTGAGCATCTACAGTGGTGTCTTCCTGTTGCTGTTGATCCTCCTACTTCCAGAGACTCTGAGATCGCTCGTCGCAAATGGGAGCCGCATGCCATCGAATCCCGTGGCAAGATATCCGTTGTACTTTTACCAACGAACCACCACGCTCACGTCGGATCCAGGATCTGTTCCGCCGCCTCCCCCGGCGAGAAAACCCATCGATCTTAGAGGACCCTTCCGCATCCTCATTAGCAAACAAGCAGCCCCCATCATCGTCTCCCTGGCCATCTATTATGCGGTTTGGCAAATGAGCATCACGGCCATGTCCACCCTTTTCAAAACCCGCTACGGCCTTGGTGAGACCCAAATTGGTCTGACCTTCATTGCCAACGGGGTAGGCTCCATGATCGGCACGCTCATCACAGGTAAAATCCTCGATGCCGACTACCGCCGCGTCAAGGCCAAAAGTGAGACGCGGTCAACCCGAGGCAGTCTCAGTAGCAACCACGACGTCTCCGTCTCGACGGCCTCCTCTAACGACGAATTCCCGCTCGAGGTCGCCCGCCTCCGTCTCGTCCCCATATTTGCTCTTCTGCAATGCATATCCATTCTCCTCTTTGGATGGACTATCCAATATCCCAATCACGTCAATATTGCTGTCCCCATCGTGTCCACATTCATCACTGGTTGGACCACCATCTCGACGCAGTCGGTGATCATGACGTACCTTGTCGATGTCTTTTCTGATCGAAGCGCCGCCGCAAGTGCGAGTCTTAATCTCGCGCGGTGTTTATTCGCGGCAGGCGGGTCTAGCATTGTGATGCCGATGGTGAATGACATCGGAGTCGGGTGGGCATTTACGGTCTGTGTTGCGGCGCAGGTTGTGGCGTTGCTGGGTATAGGCGTGCAGTGGAGATACGGTGGTACCTGGCGAAGAGAGGCCGAGGAAAAGAAAAAAAATGAAAAAGCGAGAGATAAGGGATGAGCAAAAGGGGGATTTGCTACGGGGAAAACGTAAGAGGGCGTTTCGGAAGATGTCGAAATCCTCTGCTGGGAGGAAGACGACCGTACTGTAGAGCCCGATCAAAAGGACCTAAACATAACTTCATTTTCTATTACAAATTGTAGGTCTTGATTTGAGGGAAGGGTAAATTATAGGCAAGGAAGACCATCAGATAAAGTCAGTTGCGATTTTAAAAGCGGCACGGTTTGGGTGAGGACCCACGTGAGCTTCCCGGTAGATTTGCTCTCCACCGTTTCCATCACATCTCTCACTTTTCCCCCCACCCCCAATATCACCCTCACAATGCCTTTAATCGAAGAGCTTCCAGTAACTGCGGCGAATGCTCGTCCCTCTCATGGCTGGACATACGTTGCGGACACTGGCGCCCCTTTCCAAACTGCCCATTTCGGATCCCGCAAACGAGGCCGTGATGGGACCACCGTTGTTGCGCAAGCTGCGCATAAACTTTCCGCGAAACAAGAAAAAGCAATCCAGCAGCGATTAAATGATTTGGGAAAGGAAAATTATCGCGAAGTTAATATCCCAGTTCCCAAAAGAGATGGGACGAGAGACAGAGATCGAAAATCCACACAGAATGTCAGGAGGATTCTCGCGTACAGCAGGACATTCCAGCATTACCTTGCGGATGAAGAAGCGGGAGTCAATGTGTACGGGAGCGCTGGAATTGCTCCGACCACAAACGCCGGAACACAAGCAGGACATGGACAGGGACAGGCGCAAAAGGCAGCGGATACAAGGAGACGAGGGATGACTGCTCACGACGCAATCACATCCATACCTAGACTCAAGGGAGCCGGAGCACAGCCGAGAAGGACCGCATCACTGAAACAGCCGACTGCGACCTCGAGCAAATCTACATGTACATCCACACCCGAACCTAGCAAAAATGAACAGGCACCTACAACGACGAGCAGCAACGGTGATGTAGAAATGGCAGACGCTCCTATCTCTACGGCTCATCAACAACAATACCACCACCAACAAACGGGCTCACCATCAACATCTCAGAAGTCCCCCCGACTACAGAAACAACAACGACCAACACCCTCACAATCACAATCACTGCAATCACCCTCAACTCCCTCTGTTCCCAGCTACGATCCCGCACTGGACCGCGACCCTTTACTCATTACGCACGACGTGCCGAAAATGCCCTCTGAGCGCGTAATGCAAGCGCTCCTCGCCGAGCCGCCGCTTAGCTACAATGCAGCGCGCGCAAAGCCTCTTGAGGATTCGACTTCCTCATCCGCACCCATATATGTGGGCAACAATGCGGGCACCGCGAAACCCCAACGCTGGTTCTGCTGTATTTGTGGGTATTGGGGGAAAGTGCGGTGTAAGAACGGCTGTGGGGAAAGAGTGTGTGGGTTGCTGGAGTGTTGGAAGAGTCATGAGGGCGTGTGTTCGTTGGGTGCATACTGAAGGTGTGCTGTATTTGTACTTGAAATGAGTTGAATTGAACTGAAGACCACTTTGATTGACCAAAAAAAACCAGGGAAAAATTGATGGTCTTCATGAAGCAAGGAAAATGAAAAATAGTGAAATCACGAGTTGGATACCCTCTACCTAAGGTGTACATCTCGATAAGAGAATACCGAAATTGAATGAGATGAAACTGTATTCAACGCAATTCTCTTGGTTGGCTTTTGCTGTAGGATGCCTTACTTCTACTATCGATTACCGTGAATTGTAACTTCCGATTTCCTTTTCTCCGTGTATGCTTTGTGTTCAATGGCTCTATCCTCTCGCTGAATATCAAGGGCATCATTTATGTTCATGTCGTGGTATACATCCAGATTGTACAGTGCAAATTCATTTTATCCTCGCCATCATGATCGCTATTTTTTTCTTTTCTCATTTCATTTTTTTTTAACCGGAAAGCCCAAAGGTCGATGAATACTTCACTTACACCCCATACCAAACAAGTGACGCATACATATGCATATGTGTCTCCGCGCATAGCATTGTACAACACAGCACAGCGTAGCGTTTTCACACATCAGACAGTAGACGTCGTTTCTCCATGTCATGCAACGGTCCCCGCAGGCCCCAACCTTGTCGGGATTCAGTACAGGTACCGGTACGACGAGGGCCACGTACCTGTTCCTGGGAGTCTGACACAATACGTTCCGACACGACCAGCGACGCAGGTCTCTCACAAAGTGTCGAACACACATGGATTTTTACCCGGAGCAATTCAAACATTATTCCTCCTCATACCACAGATTCCGCAGACTCCTGCGTCACCGGGGTTTAGGTACGAGGAATCGCTGGTCCGGCATGCTTCGCTCTGACACGACCAGCAGCGTGGATCTTTCTGCAGATCGAGCACGTGGCTGCAGGCCGTACAGATGACGTTGAGTCGATGGTTCTCGAGCGAGCATATGGGGCAGTTTATCACAGGCGACCATAATAATGATGGTGATTGGGACCGGGCAGAGGTAATGACAGGTCTGATGGTCTGCTCTGTTGTCGACTCTGTCGAGGAAGACGGAGCGGTCCGTGAAGTCTTAGACTCTGACTCGGGTCTGAGTTTGAGCACTGGCACTGGGGTAAGGCCCGTGGCAGGACTGTCGTTCTGGTTCTGGGTGGCGGGCTCCTCATCGAAAGAAGAAGTCTTATCTGAATCGGGCCATGCCGGAGTCAATGGACGCCGAGACCAGGCAGAAGTCTTAGGAGTTGATGATTCAAGCTGGATTGATGATTGATCGTGTTCGAGTATAAGTTCGTTTCCATGTCCAGGAGAATTTCCACGCTCGTGGCCGTCGAGAATGGTGATTTGAGCACCAGTGGCTGGATCACTGTGACTGGCACTGGCACCACCACCGACATCCGTGTCAGATTTTGGTGTCGACTCCGTTCGGGCATCACCATCAGCCTCTCGATTACTTCTTTGGGGGTTTATGTGATTTTGAAATCGTTTGAAATACCGATCCAATAACCCCATTTCCTGTATTTCGTGCTGGAGGTTGATGTCATTTGTACCCTCGTCGTCACGGACACGCACCATGCCGTGGCCGTGGCTGTCGAGTAATTTCTGCCCGTTGACATCCGTTGCGTCTTCTTGGTCGGCGTCGACGTCGACGTCTCCGTAATCGTCACCGTCCCCACCACTGTGATCGATTCCGTTGTCGCTCGAGTCATTTCTCCCGCGTCGTTGAAGATCTGCCACTTCCTTCTTGTCCGTCTCGAATCTCGCCAGCGCCGCAGCGGCTCGTAGCTCTCTGCCTCGTTTGCTTTGGGCAACTCGAGGTTTCCCTCCGATCGGTCCCTTGCGGTTGATCTCGAGATGGAGGCGCTTATCTTCATCCTCCCCGAGAGCGACGCCATTTCTGCCGAATTTCTTTTCGATCCGCCGCTCCTGCTTTTCCTTCCAGGTCAATTGGGGGCGGTCCTGAGTGGGAGCCTTCCGCTTCTTCCGTCGGCTACGGTACGTGCCTCCGCAGATGGGAAGGCCTTGGAGCTCCTCACTACTCAAGACATTGTTGCCCATGACAGCATCCATGTCCGTCAATGTGCGCCCACTACCCCAGAAGCCTTCACCCGTGTATCCTCTGGACCAGAGCCCCTTCATCTCCTCTGCATACAGATTTCTCGTCTTCCAGAAATCTCTGCCGTGGTTCATGTGCGAGTTATGTGCCAGCTCGTGCATCATGACCATCTGCACCATATTGAAAGGAACCCATGCGCCACTCTTGCTTCGAAGGACCAACTGGATGATCTCACCGTTGTTGAAGTTGCGGCCGATAAATTCAGGATTAGGTTCGTATTCTTCCAGTGTGGTGACGGAGAGGTAGTGGTTTTTCATGATGGGGAGACATTGTGCGGCGATGGCATGGAGAAATGTATCCGCTAGATCGTAGGAGGCTTGATCTGAGGGAGGTCGGGGGAGGGGTTTGATGAAGACGATGCGATCATTGGGATGGGAGGATTTCTGATGGTTGAGACGGAGGGTATTGAGTGGCATACTAGAAGTTGATAAAGCAATGGCAGACTTGGATCCTTGCACAAAAAATCAAATAGAGGGGTGATCTGATTCGGCCGTTGGAAACGTGCCTCGCGTAAAATGGCTGGTCTGTAGCAAACCGAGGTCCAGAGTATCCCTGGAGCAAATCACGGAGTACATGTCATATAAAGGAATTTACTGAAAGCATGCAACAGGCATGCAGGTGAGTCTCATGGAATCTCGAAAGTCATCTTCTTCCACCACTAGTCACGGTATATACCAGACGACACCGTCCTTTCCTTGTACCTACCCAAACTCCATACCCGCTAATATCCCCAAGTATCTCCATGACTTCTCAGGCGGCTGCCCTCTAACATACTATTGACTGTGGCGCGGGACCTCCCTCTAATCCACGCTGTGACGACGTTCGGCGAAGAGAATAAAAACGGAATCCTCTCCGTATAAGCGAAGGATGGCGTACTATCAAGCAAATCGAAACACGAGCTGGCGTAGTAGCACATGGCTTCCCCCAGACCGGCATCCAACAGGACTTCGATCGAAGAAACCCGCAGTACGCAACCTTGCATCTTTGGCACGGAACAGGCGCTGTGACAACATGCACCACTGCCATGGCGGACGGAGCTGCAGTCCTTCTCCGCCGGCACTTCGCAGAAATTGAAGCGCGATATCGACATCGGGCGAGACAGACGGCCCACGGTCTGCCCTTGGAGCCCCTTGGTTCGTCGACGGATTCAAATGGTTTTCTTCCGCGACCGACGCCGACATGACAGTCCTGCTCGCTCGAGTCAGTAAAGGGCTTAGTGCCTTCTACGCCTCTCTTTCCGCCATCGACTAGGCCACTCCTCGTTCATGGCCCAGGCCGCCCCCCACGACCGAAGCTTCAACTTCCTCCGAGACGAATGGCGTCCGTATCCAACGACTCAAGTCGAAACTGGGTATCAAATGCGTTTCCATTGCCGAATTCGAACTCAAAGGTGTGCGCGCCTTCTCATCGGCACCGAAGGTCAAGACGTCAAAGAAATCAGGTCGATCCTAGACATTACGCGATTGCACACCGCATCCGCGGGAGCGGGCTACCTCGCCCGCGGCCTGGCCGTAAGCCGCGCATGAACGCATATCTGCGCCGCGCGAGACGCCCTACGATCCGGCAACGCACGGCACCCCGCGTGGATGGCCGGCATGACCGTCAAGTATCGCTCGCACGTGCTCTTGGTCTTCTTCGGCGTCGCACTGCTTGGTGCAAGCGAGGAAGGGTACGGGTCCGTAACGAAAGGGACACCTTTCTCTCCACTCATCTTACACGACTAGATATCTGTCGACACGTTTCCCCGCCTGCTGACGCCGGTGACGTTGAACAGCGTCACGGGTCTGCAGGCGTGTATGGAATCGCTAGGCGGCGTCGGATACTGCGAGGACAACGAGGACGGCGGGATCATGAACATCGTGCACTTGTTCCGCAATAGTGTCGTCGAGACGATCTGGGAAGGCACCATGAGTGTCGTGGCCGAGGACGTGTAGCGCGTCGAGGAGAATCCGACGAAATCCAAGTCGGACAAGAACAACAATACGCTCGATGTGGTATTGGGATCTTGGGTACGTGGTGTGCCGGACGTCGTTACCGTGAGGGACGTGCTTGCTAGCGAGTGCGAGGTCATGAGGAACCGGTATATAATGCTCAGGGACGTTGTAGAGGGCGTGGATGTGCAGGGCACGCGTAGCCGCGGTAAGGAAAGTGCAGGGGGACATTGAGGTGGTAGTGTGTGCAAGTCTACTCATGTTTGACGCGAGTGCGGATGGAGATGAAGTCGCTGTCGCTGTTTCGAAGAGGTGGGTGAGATTGAATGCTTTGCCTGCCGACAGGATGATGGTTGAAAGTTACATGTAAAAGAGGTGGGAGTGGATAGGAAAATATTCCAGGGATCAGCCAGTGGATCAACGGCGGCAGTACGAGCGAAGATCTGATTGAAAAAGATAATAATAGTCTTGTTGGCCGAAATATGTCATAACATCTCGTGCGCAGAATACCACGCAACCTTCTTCCCTGGGGATCAAGTGAGTACCTCGCATACTCTGCCCACTAATCCAGCCAGCCCTGACACATTTAACATCATAGCACCTGTTACAGGTCCAGGTGCAGTTACCGTGGGGACAACCAAGACTTGATCACCTACCTCCATCCATTCCACTGTGCTGACGAATCTAAACGATATTCTGATTTCCCTTTCTTTCTGTGTGTCATTGTTGTCATTCTTTGAATTTTCGGCTTCATCATCGCTGTCAAACCGAAACACTTCTGCCTCGGGCGAAGAAGAACGTGGCTCATCTTTGGTTTCTTGGTGGTCATCGTCCAATGCTACCGTAGCCACTCTCACAGCCGCACGAACACTGTTGACGTATACAAGAGCATGGCTGCCTAGTACGAGAGGAGGGGAATTTGCACGAGAGAAGCTTGAGGACGTGAAGGCCGCTAAAAAGGCCGAGTATCCGGGGAGACTGTCGTTAACGTCCACCAAAACCATTCCCTTCCGAGCTCTGTTCAGTGATATCTCATTTTGGCCACTGATCGGTTCAACTCCGATCGTTCCTGTCTCGCCCTGTCGCATTCGGACGACGGGAAGACGGAGGGTTCGAAGGGATACGACACGCACCGGTAGAAACACAGCCGTGGGCTGCTGTCTGGCGTTTGTAGCTTTCCAAGTTTCTCCTTGATAGGATCTTGCAAGAATGCTTGTGAGTCTTTCTGGATGAGACCGTTCAGCACAATAAGAACTCGACCTCAGAATTGATTGAGATATGTGACCCGATGGCGGATCCGATTCCACGACAAATGGCCCGAGTTGTAGAATATTGCCGATGGAGAGTGTGCCGTGAGAGACGTGTCCGCAAAGGACGACCCCTTGTTGAACCGCTCGATTCTCGGCCTCTCGTGTATAGACGCGTGATGGGGGAATGCTGAAGACTTCGTCAACGTGGAAAAGAGATGAGTGTGTGGAAGTCGCAGTCATGGAGGATCCCAGGGGTGAGAACGTGGCAACGGGGATGGACCGAAGCAGAGCATGGACTTTGCTCATCCCTGATCCGGTGACTGCACTTGTCATCATGATTGGTACAACTTTATACCCATCGCCAGTGTGCATGGACACCACCAGCCGATCAATCTCACCTTGATCCTTCTCGTTGATGGATTGAAGTTCCGCGAGGGAACCATCGGCCTCCGGAGTCGAGCAGGATCCAGGAGAATTACTAAGCATTACCGGCTGCCTCCCGGCCGCCTTGAGAGTAGAGAGAAGTTTCGCCAACACTTGTCGTAACCCAGTTTTGTTGGCGAGATCCATTTTGGTGATGACCACCATTAATGGTAACCGCAGGCGCAGACATAAATCAAGATGGCATAGTGACAGGTCTGGCGCTTCTGGTGTCCGACTATCGGCCAGTATCTCGACCGTGGGAAGTGTTGCTCCAACTCGACCTACATTCTCTTCATTATCATCCGCTGCGACACAAAGAATCGTCCAAGACGGTCTCCATGATATCAAGCTTCGGAGAGTCGACTTGGCAAAACGAGGAACACCAGGTGAATCTGAAAGCAACACAAGGCGATCTGCCAGATTGTGAATATCTATCCACGATGAGACATTGCCTGAGGCATAGTTGATGACCGGAGACAAAGAAGTTCGATCATTTACATAGCCAATGAGTTCATGTGCGACGGAACTCGTGATGCCAGAAGCAATTTCATGTCGATGCTTTAGCAATGACAACCGGCTTTTCCCCCGGCCATTGTCCAGCGTAGAAGTTGAAAGCGTTCCGAGAAGGGAGGACTTTCCTGAAGTAGTGGTCCCAACCAAGGTGACTCGTAGCTGTTCAGTGGAAGCTTGTTCGGCCAGAGAAAGGACATCTTCCCCACCAGAAGCACCAAGTGACTGATCGAGAGTTTGTTTTGGCAAATCTGCATCCCCGGGTCTTCGTGAGTCCGGATAGACTAAAACTTCAGCAACCCAGAGCGTGTCTCTCTGCGATTCGACTTTGCTCATGCCACCATCACCTTCTCTCCATTCGCACGATCCGACGACGACTTTCCGCAGAACATTAATAGTGCAGCCTAGACTAGCAGCCATGGCTCCAAGATTGGTCAGACTCTCTTGCAATTCATCCTCGACCAGTCCAACTAAGGTGCCATCGTCGGCAACACCAATTTCGTAGAGAGCACCTTGGCTTTCCTCTAGACCTGGAAGGAGTTTGGCGGGACGCTCTGGAACACCTAATCTTGGTGTTGCTTCGGGCAGGACTGGCAAAACCAAATTTGCATTCGACGACGAATGAAAAGGTGAGGACTGCTGCAGTCGCCATAGTAGCTGTGTCGTCAGCTGCTGTAATCTGGCTTGACGTGCCTGCCCAGAAGGTTGAGAGAGGGGGCGGTCTAAAGCCGACTCACTCAAGGAACGAGAAGCCCCGGTGGCGGATGGAGGAATGCTCTGTTGAGGTCCCAAGGTGGGAGTAGTCGGCGAAGTCGAAAGAATCTTTCGCCGGGGACGTAATAGGAGATGAAGTTTGTACTCTGTAGGGCCGTCCTGCCGTTCGGGCTCGAGCTTTGTGAGCTCGTTCGTATGCTGTAGTCTTCCATTGAGAGTGGCATCCGGGAGATGGAGTGGTTGTGGAGTTGAAGTACCCGGTGTAGACCACGGTGAGTGTAATCGCGGTGGCTCATCCTGATATGTAAAGATCGATGCCATGATGATAAACCCAGACAGATCTTCCTAAATCCTACTCTTTTCAAACTCAAATACTCATATAACGCACCGCTGTAACGGTAAATTCCGTAAGGACCAAAGTAAAGAGCGGGTAACCGTGTGGGAATAGTAGAGCAGCTGCGACAAATGAAGGTACATTGTTGCGGTGGACAGCAGGCCTCAATGCTGGTTTCGGCGAAGAAATTTATAATTCCAAAGCTAGGACAACAGTATCAATCATTATAAGTCGAAACGGCGTCGAGGATTGTGGCGGTGGGAGTGGTATGACCAACTTCGACTCTGAAGAGTCACGGACGTTGATGGAGCCATGCGACCGGATCATCTCGACGACAACACGGGCTTGGCGCAGGTACCTTGTCATGAGGTTCTTTCCCGTATAGCCTCAATTGCTGAGGATGCAGCAATTCCTGGATCTAGCAACTATAATACTGCCTGTTTGTGCTCTCCAAATCATCATTTGTCACTTAATCAGAACTACCAATTGAAGACGTGGACAGTTGTGTCCTCCTGGCCCAGCGTGAAAAAGCGGGGCAAATTGCGCAAAATGGGGTTCTTCATGTTTATCATTCATTCAGTTGGGTATCTTGAGTACATGTGGGCTTCGCTCAAATCGAACATGATAAAAAAATTCTGGCCCGCTTCCGACAAGCGAAATGTCATGGTATGGGTCATCATGGGGTTGTGTGTTTACTCGGAGCAGCGTCATCCTCGATCCAGTCTCTTTCTAGTCTACCATAGCATAATCCAGATATGTGATGGTCTTTTGCCTGCAAACAGACTCTGTTTCACTTGCTTTTCTCTTCTCCCTCCGAAACCTTTTCCCATTCACTATCGGTGCTGACATAACCAGAGCTTTCGCCTAGGCTGCGCCGACGCCTAAACGCATCAGTACTCTCCGCCATTTTCGGTTCTAGGCCAGTCGGAGGCGCCTGCTTCGGCTTTTCATGTCTCTGACTTTGAGGTGGTGCAGACGACGTTGTAGTGGCCATTGTAGGTTCATCTTGCGGGACAGGGGGAGGGGCTTCGGTCTCGGTATCACTCGCGTTTTCTGGCTCAGGACTCCTATCCTTCTTTTCTTTTGCTCCTTTTGCTTTCTGGGCCTGTTGTTCTTTTGCGATTTCAGTGGCGAACCAGTTGATGGCGTACCAAAGACCAGCACAGAGGACAGACAACACGAGGAAGTGGAGGGAGTAAGTCGCGATGAGAAGGATCAGGAGAAGAAATTGAAGGGCGGCGAAGGCGGCATTGGTGGCAACCAAGAGAGTCGGAGTGGGACCAGGAGTGAAGATGGAGTTCCAGAGCTCTTCAAGGAATGAAGCCATATTCTCAACGACGTGGTAATCATAAAAGATGGCAGAGAAAACGGAGGGGGGAGAGAGTTGGAGAGCAACGGTTGAAAATGCAACAGAAGATGCCCCGCTTTGGGGGGTTGCTGGTAGGGCTTCAATAGATCCAATGCCTGGCTTCGGTGGGATGCGATTGCTCCAGAAGGACAGTTGTTTGTTTTGAGTGGTTGTTTGAAGAGCAAATTGCAAAACGTGGCAGGAAGTAGATGGAAAAACTGCTCGCACCTCACGTGGGCGCTCACCCAACCCGCGCCGCTTTTATAACGACCTCACCTTCCCGTCGCCTTTGACCCAGCAATTCTTGTCTCCGTTCTCCTCCAGCCAGTGACCCAGGTGCCATAATTTGCTATACTCAACAGGACCATTGATGAAAGTGGATTTTGGTGATCGTAGTCGTCGCGCTGCGGCCGTGGGAACCCCGCCCCCCTCCCTTCACTGAAATTCCTCCTCGAGCGTCTCTTCCCGTAGAGTACAAAATGGCGTCCAATCCGCGTCCTTAACACCTCTGGTTCCGAGATTCCTCTCCCTCCGAATCCGTCTTCTCCAGTCGCCGGCTCTCCTACCAGCATCTGTCAGTCTTCCGCACCCTCGAGCCCTCGAGTCAATTTCCTACCAGTTCCCAGCATTGGGAGGCTAAAACATACTACGGACGAGCTACGGGCTCTAGCTACGGCAAATGGTTACTAGAGAGGAGCACATACTGAAGTTGATGACCCCAGATAGCAACTCAAATCGGTGAGGGAAGATTACAAACACAAAGGGCTCCCATCTCCAGACGAAGACACCGCCCGCGGCCAGTATTTGGAGATGGGATCCCCTGCTCCCGACCTGTTGGCCGTCAGAGACTTCTACATTGCCACGGGCTACCCTCAGCTCGAGAAAGACCGAGGCCGACCGCCGATGCTATCTGCACTGTGTTACCAAAGGAGCCCGAACTCAGTTTCCACAGTAATTGATACTTTGTCACCTATTCGTACATCTTGGACCCGCTATATAAATGAGACGTCACTGATGCCGCGGCCGTCAAAGCACTATTCCAAGAAACCGATGAAGAATGTGGCGGAGTCGGTGTACACGTTTGTAATGTCAGTCGCCCTCCCCAATTCCTAAGAGTGGAGGAATGCGACCCAACAATATGGTGGAGTACCGTTACGACCAGCCTTCGACACGCGTGCACCTAGCTCAGCAGAGACCTTTCAAGATTTCAACATTAAGTACTTCGCATAGGGTCCGGGTTCGGTAAGGACTCGATTCCTCCAGAGATTTCAAAGACAAGGTCAACGGGAAGACTTCTGCCGCCAACAACTTATGTCGAGAATTCGGCGGGTGGTCAAGAAAAGTCCGCAGACTGCCGTCCACCCCCTCGAGCCATTTCCATTCAACACTGTCCAGCCCCCTGCTGGGTTTGTCACGGCACTAGCGGCTGGAAAACTTGACCCTATGTCAGGGCGTTATTTGGATTGCTCGGCGCATATCGCCGAATATATTGCGGATAGGGACAATATCAGACAACTCGATCTGCACAGAGCGCGTTTGCACCAGGACCGAGAGGTTTTCTTGCCTCAATTAGATTCTTGAGCGTGAAGTATGGCATGATTTGGCAGGAGATTCCAAACGGAGGGATCTCATGACAGGAAACGGTTTGGGACTATCAATTCCTGTCTATCCGCAATGCGAATATCAGGAGTCGGCCAGCCGGGCAATAGGCATTGTCATCTCGAGTAACGATCAATGTGAAAAAATTGTTCCGTCCATATCCTAGCCAGGACCTCTATTGCCAAAAGGACTCTGCGTTTTATGGACGTTTCAATAGCTTCTCGGCCCTTTCAATTTGATAATGCATACCACGTGAGCCAGATTTCTTTGTCGAAAGGCTCGTGACATCCACGTTCGGATTCGGACGGCACTATAGCTTGTCAAGGTAGTGGGGTAGACAAGAGGATAGAGACTCGGACAACATTGGAGACACTGCCAATTCAGTAACTCAGCTGCAAACTAAGAAGCGAGACTTACGACCTCGGGCCCAAGACCCTCTGAACATCACATCGGAGGCAACAAGCGGAATAGGGATGCATCAGAGCGCTCAATCCCACTTTGTTGGAGGTCGGTTGGACCTCTTTGCAAGGTAGTACCACGCTAGAAGTAGAGCTGCCAACATTATTGTTAATGCGGGCGACTCTATTTGGTTTGATAAACACCTACCACCGGCATACGCATCACCTGATAAGGGGAAATCATAAGTGACCCCGTCCGAGTCATCACCTTACCCCAAATTTCGCTCGTCGAAGAAGAGATCTAGCAGCTCGCATTGGGCAATTTTCGAATTCATACCCCTAAGACGGTACCTATGTCCATCGTCTGGTAATCGCGGGATCGTGCGGTCAATTCCTTGCTTGCACCTAGAGTGTAATATGCGCAGGTGAGTATGGCTCCGGAGTCTACTATCAAGGGATTGTCCACAGATGATTGCTAATGATTAAGTTTCCGGATGGGCTTTCCAGCTCTCCTCTCACAACGCCAAAGCTGAATCAATGCTGAAAACTGGGCAAGACCCGTGTTTCTGGCGGCAAAGTGTCGAGAAAATGCTCCGAGGAGCAGATATGACATAAGAGAAAGGCAGTGATGTCAAGCCCAAAGGGCCTTACAGTAATGCTGATCTCTCCGCAACGGAGTTACTCGAGCCGTGGAAGTATTTGGAGTATGTGACTCACACCCAGTTGATTGAATTGAAGAGCCATCCATGCTTCTTTACAAGGCAGGAAGAGCAAGTTCCGTATCAAGCATCGAAGATGGGGTGGGAATAAAACATCGGTCTTTCGTGTCACATGATTACTGCCGTCAGGACTAAACACCACACGTTACACCTTGTGTCCTTAATAATCAGCAAGAAGAATGCCGGGTTTTCATCAAGTTGCAGAGACAATGGTACACCTGATAGTGGTTTCACGATGTGACCATTCCCGCCATGTCAGATGTGCCTGCGAACTTGCTAGCCTGGCAGCCTGACGCACGACCTAGCTAGCAATGGGACTGAAGAAGCGGCCTACCTGTGCTGATTTTTGCAAATCGCTGAATGCTTGTTCATGCAGCTCAGATTTACCACTTAAAAAGGTAGCTTGGCACAGCAGGAGTCGTGCCTATATTTCCCACGTAGCAGGGTCGGCGGCATCGTCATCATAGTGATTATGACCGATCGACGTTGGGTACTCGAGAGGTGGGGCGGAACACGATGTCGTACATCAGCTAGTAGCATTTTCGTTGCACAGTGAAGCTGAAATGCCAACTCCCGTTTGATACACTATGAAGTCTAGAGGAAACATGAGGGAATGCCTTGGTTTTCTATCGAATAAGGGAGCAAAGGCTGAATAAGGGTGCAAGTTGCAACAGTGCCAAGCCTGTTGTTGTGAGAACACGCCGAAATCAACTTGTTCACGTGACAATACCAAAGCAACTTGTCACGTGATTGGCCAACACGTTCGCGTTGATAAGTGGTGACGCCAAGACTTGTCAAAGCCCATGAAGGCGTTGGACGCTCCGTACACGCCTCGAACGCTATATAGCCTGACGATCCCCTCTGCTCCATTCGAGTGTGTGCTCTCAACAGAGCAGACTTTGGTACCCATCGCCTCAAGAACTCGAAGAATACCGAATTGTCTCTTGCACTGTAGACGAGTTCGCGGTTCTTCCAGGCTTTCAGCGTCACCCTGGCCGTCGTTTCCTTCCTGTGTCGAAGTGACCACCGATATCCCGTGGTTATTCCCGCTTCGTATCCCCCTCCCGTTTTGGATGCGTCCCCGGCTCTATTGTCCCGTTGAATTTGCGGGGAATTCTCGGGAGGGGGCCATTTTCTGGGCAATCGGCACTGCATACTCCCCCCCAAAAAAGAAAAAACAGTCCGTTGGGATACCGAGGACGCATCCAAAGGAGTGGGGGACATCCCTAAGCTTAGATCACAGTTTGGAAATGAAGCCGTGTTGACCGTGTTGCGAGAGGCGAAGAATAACTGGACACTGATTTCCAAGTCAGATCTTACGATAGACGTCCAAGCAAAGGCCGGCGCCTCCTCTCTTTCATAATCTCCCTAGGAACGTGTTTAAGCATGAGCCCGGCCAAAGCCTGGACAAGCAGGACGTTTCACTGAATCCATTGTGCGCGCTTTCATCAACTGTACGTGGTCGCAGCCCCGGATGCAAGGGGAAGGCGAAGAGTCCTCAATTTTTTTGTTTGAGTAGCGAAGTCTTTGACAAAGGAGATAGTGTATCGTCCTAACCATTTTCTAAAGTTCGTGTACGGGCAGCGTGGTTTTCGATAAGCCGATAACGCCTCGATCGATTATCGGATCCAGTCCATGGACCACCTCGGGGATCGGATCCAGTCCATGGACCACTTCGGGGATCGAATCCAATCCATGGACCACCTCGGGGGTGCGACTAATCAGTCCTTACAGGTCAACGAATGAATTAGTTGACTATCTCGAGGTGCTCTTCTGTAATACCACTCCGTTTCCAGTGCTCTAACACTCTGCTTTCTCGGTATTTTCAACGAGATCGTACGGCGTGCTCCCGAAAAGACTCGCTCTGGTTCACCGCTCGTGGCTGGAATTGACAGGATATCAGTTGCCATATACGATGGCCAGGTATAGCTGCTGTAATTGTTTCGTTGTTGCTGCTCTAACCTGGTTCGAAGTGTATTCAACGTCGATCTCATGTTTTGACTTCAGATGGCCTCGCGTATTTGTAGCACCGCACGGCTCTATCTCGCAGTGTATGCAATAGGTAGTTGAAGGTGAGAGAAGTGATGAATTACTTCAGAATCCATATTGTGTACGATGGAATAAGGGAAGGTGGAGTGCCCTCTACGATTGTTTGGGCAATTTACACTGAACTGTGTTTGCTCCTCCACGAAGATTCTTTCTTGTTCAATTTCCCTCCTTCATGTGAAGAGGTAAAAGCTCGCGCCATAGTCAAACGATTTACGTTTCAACCTTCCACCCTCAGTATATTGATTCACGACTTGGGGCCCTTCCAGTTCGGGAAGGTATCCCATCGTACATTCGTCGAATGCCACTTTCGGCCGAGATGCGTAGAATTCGTCGTACTTCTCCTTGAGCGCATCCTTGAGAGAGTGCACTTGACCGCCTGGATGGAGGAATGACCAGCCCTTGGTGCACTGGTCTGCACCCTTGCAGGACTTCAAGACCATCATAAGAGCGTCTAGGCGGTCAAGAACGGCTTGCAAGGGCCGTCCCGCTAGTTGGTACTCGGACGCAGAAGCGTCCGCAATGATATTCTTGGTTTGATAAGGGTCAAGCTAGAAAGAGACAAAAATCTCATCAGTTCAGAACGTGCCCCCGAGAATTTGATGATCAAAACACGAGTTTCGAGGCCAATAACGTACCTTGAGGTCGTAGAACTCATTTTCATTGGTGCACCAAACCGAGTAGTACAAGCTGTAATCCTCCCCGACGAGTCGAATTCCTTTGTAAGTATTGTTGCCAAGTAACCCCGTTGCCGTGCTGGCGTCAGAACCGTCTTTGAAGCGGAATCCATAAATGCCTTCGGGAATAGCCTTTGAAAAAGCAAAAAAAAGGGGGAAAGATAGAATCAGCAAGAGCTCAATTTCCCTATCCGAGTGGGAGCGTAGAAAAGCAGCTTGTCACCTACCCAGCCCCAATACTCGATGTTAACATGCTCATTGTGCTTGGTTGGACATTTCTTATCATCTTTGAAAGGAATGGGAGTGCCATCCATTTTCCACGGCGTCTTGTCAAAGTTGGCGATGCCCAGGATCGTAGGGGCGAGATCTGTGTGGGTCGTGACGGTGTCGATTACCGCGCCCGCCTGAAGGCCGGGACCTCTTACAAACATTGGGATGTGGATGTCCGTGTCTGCGAGGTATTCGACATTAGTGTCTCTATTCCCCCTAGCCTTTGACCGTGACTGGAAAAGACAGAGGATGATCCATTAAGAACAACAAATGAAATATATGTCACTTACCATACCCACATGATTTCCCCGGATTCATGGCATGTTGACTAACGTGAAAGCCATTGTCCGTTGTGTAGAAGACGTACGTATTGTCCAACTGGCCGGCTTCTCTCAATTGCTGGATCAAGCCACCAACCATTTCATCCACAGCTTGGAGAGACCTGAGTCGCTTTCGCTGGTATTCATCATTGTACGCCAGCTCGGTCTCACCCATGGGCTGTAATTTTCCAGCCCATGAAGGGGCTCCTTCGATACCCTTGTTGAAGGACGGATCATCTCGAGGAATCTTGTAGTCTTTAAACATATGCTCGTGCCGAGGCGCTGACTCCGGGGGTGCAAAATAACTCAGGTTGGATTCGGGATCTATTGACAGGTCTGCATGGGGAGCAATAGGCGCCGATACTATGAAGAATGGGTTGTCATGAGACAGTGCTTCGGCCAAGAAACCGCTCGTCTTCTGCGCGATCAGATCGGTATTATATTGTCCCGTGTAGTTGGCGGCTTCACCGTCGTTCCTGACCATCGCAGGGGCAAAATACTTATAGGTGTAAGGGTCTAACAGAAAATCAGACCCATTGAAGCCACGTGCGTACGGGTCGTCATAGTTGTCGATGTTATGAGCATTGTACAGCTTCCCCGTGTAGTATGTGTTGTAGCCAGCTCGTTGCATCCACACAAATAGGTTTTCGTCATTGTAACCCCGAGCTATAACTTTGGGATAGCCGCCAAATGGTGGATTGACATCTGTCACGTTGGTATTGTGCGCGGCTAAACCTGTCCAAAGTGATGCCCTGGAGGGACAGCAGAGCGCAACCGTGCAAAAGTGGCTGTTATATGTCAGGCCGGGTTTGACAACTTGTTCCTATAAATAGGCCGGTCAGTCTATACAACTAACTTCATTTCACTACTAGAAGGTAGAAGTTACGGACTTGCAGAATAGGCATATAATCTGTTGACTGAAGGTGCTTGTCCTGATCATCGGTAATGATGAAGAGGATGTTGGGTCTCTTGGCCCCTATCAGGCGAGCCAGTAGGAACACCACCCACAGTTGTAGCAGCATGTTGTTTCTCTCTCTCTGTGTGTGTGCGTGTGTGCGTGTGTATGTTTCTTCCTCTCTTTGTCTTTGTTCCTGTCACTCGTGGGATGCAAACACAAATACCAGAATGGATCTCAAATGTTCTTTTCCGAGTGGGACAGACAATGAAACGCAACAATTTCATTGAAGTTCTGTCCTCCCCCTCTCTTCAATCTCTTTATAGTATTTTAGAGCAAGTCCTCGCTCTTGTATCCGAAGTCATGATGTGGGGTCCGAGCATTCGGCCCGAGCATGGTGAAGCGAGCAATGTTCGGCTTCAACAACTGAGTCACCACCAGAAAGGGTCATGGATGAGGGAATACAGAAGGGGGTCCGAATGCTTAGCGAACTGGGGGGAAGTGAACGCTTGGAAGACCATACAGTAGCTGGGAGCTCAAACCCACAAGCCCACAAGCCCACAAATCCGCGAAAGAATTATTTCCCACGCGGAGTGTGGGGTACATTAGCGCAGGGCTAGACGAGACAGGAACATCTGGAAAGTGGGTAAGCTGTTCGGACTCCAATTGGTCTGAACCTCTGTAACTCCTGGTCCCGGATGGATCTCATGAATTGATTGGGTGACAATACGGAAATTGAGGGGATTGGCCGTTCCGGTTGTTCGGCCCAAAACAACCTGTCTCGTCATGTGTGCATTTTCTTATATGGCAAACATCTGAGAAAATGAGGAGAAGGTAGTCTAGGAAGGAGGTCCTAGCCGATGCAGCGTCCAAGCCGATGCAGAGTCCCGGCCGATGTGGAGTCCTCGTCGCTTCAGCAAGCGGAATTTCCAGGTAGTTTTTTCCTTCGCTTGACCCTCTTTCGACTCTCTCGTGTACCCCACACAGCCGAAGCTTGGGCGATAGGGTGCTCAAACTTGCGATGACGTCCTGAGCGCGCTGTTCGAGCCGGGGCCATGTAGGTGCCGCATAACAATCCACTTCCAGTGTCGGTGTGGCCACTGTCCTGGTTCTCTGCACCGTGCTCAGAGCTTTAAGGTGTTCATTATTTTTCAGAGGATTTTGCCATACAGTCCACGCGTGATCTAGTCTCGGGACCACGCATGCTTGGTATACTTGTCTCATTTGCGTGAGCCGGAGGGATCTCCATCTGTATAATGCAATAGCCGTCTTAGTTGCTCTTTGGACCGCCTTGCTGGACATACTCCCATCTTATTTCTTGATCGAAGACCGCTCCCAACGGTTTGGCCTCCAACGATGTCTGAATGATTTGTCCATTCCTGATGATATGGCCCTGGCCAATTTCGCGTTTGTTTCTTGTCAGATGTATGAGCTCGGTCTCATCCTGAACTTTCTTGATGTCTCTTGCTTCGACTGACCGACTCTCCAGCGGAATCAGTCGTCCATGTGGGCTGATGCACCTTCTCTGAAGGCCACGGACTGGTCGATGAGGTCCGGACTGAAGGAAATAAATAGTACGGGAGATAATAGAGATCCTTGGGCCCGCTCTGTGTGATCCAGAAGGGGGAGGGGGGTTCGGTCTCGAAGCCGTCGAACGTGATATTGGCGGATCTCTCTTTCACGAAACTCCGACCCATCTTCTTGCTGGCGTCGGTATACCTCTTTCGTTGAGGCGGTATTTAAAGTCATGCCGTTCACACCATTGAAGGCTCCTTCTAAATCAAAAGCTACGAGCGTGGTTAGATTGATGGCATTGGCCAAAGCGAGCAGTGCCTGCTCCGTCGTTCGCCCAGGACAGCCTCTGAATTGGGTGTCAGGCAGTAGTCCCTACGTTTCTGCGTAGTAAGATAGGCCTTTGACTGTAACCGTTTTGAGTAGTTTCCCTAGTATGTTGAGTAGCGAGATGGGAAGACATACTCCCGGCGACGAGTCGTCGGGGTTTCCAGGTTTCTCAGCACTGTAATCCTGGCGGTTTTCATTGCTTCGGGTAGTATTCGAGGCTGACGGATGCCACAAAGACTCTGATCAACTATGGTTGAGATGTCAGTTCAGACCTTTTGCCAGATCAAGGTCGGAAGGCCGTCCTAGCCCAGGCCGGTATATTTCTTCGCCATTTGGAGCGCCCTGCCGATTTCTGTTTCGGCGATAGGTTCCCAAGGGATCTCTTGCTTCGGGGATTGGTTCGGCCATCTCGGGGAAGAAAGAATCCATCAAGATTCGTGCTTTGTCTTTGTGTCGGGGATTCCGTTTTGCTTGTTTTCAAAAAGGGGAATGCTAGCGTAGTTGTCTCGAGGTCTACAATACCTCGTCGCTTTTCACAAGGCTTTGGAGTCTGACACTGTCGAGAAACTCCTTCCAGCGTGGCGCTTTGACCCGTTCGACCGTTCGCGGCCATTTTCGGCGGACGGTTCGCATCTCATTCTAGAGGCTGACCGTATAGGGGATCCTCTTTCCCTCGGCGTGCACAACTGTCTTGCCATCTTCTGTGGCTTGATTGACTTGTCTTTGCTGGATCTTGAATGCCAGGGTGAATCGTCGTTTCGGGTATGGACACGATCGTGCTGTTGGTGTGTACCAGTCCACTGGTGATACCGTCACCTCAATTCGTCGTTCCAGATCTTGACCCCCGTCACCTCCGGGTGGTTGCAGTGTACCTGTCGGTGGGCTGAAGTCGAGATCCTCTTGTTTACGTAAATGAGGTTGCGTTTCCTAATGACGTCTGCGCCATGCGTTGCCTAATACGCGTGCTACGGGCGGTGAATGACATGTGTGCGGCAGGCTGTGACCAATAGTTCTTGTATGAAAAGCATCTGTGTTTGCGGGTCGTTGATGAGCGCTTCCGTCCCGGCTCTAGATTTCATAATGTGCAATTGAGAGGCCCTGGTGGCGGGTGTCCTACATTCCTTGTCTCCTATTAGACGTGGTCCATTACAGTCGGCACTCCTGGCGTCCGTTCCTCTAAAAAGGGAGGAGGACAATCACGCCGGTCATATTCTCTGCCGAAGTGTCGATCATCCATTCGGCTGCCTCGCTGTGTCAAACCACATGCCCGGAGAGGAGTGCGTGCCCCAACGGTTTGTCTGGTTTCTTGAGCCATGCGACATCCTCGATGTGATAGCCTTTGGTTACGAGGTCGTTCTCTTCCGTAGTTTTGTCAATGACGTCTTTCTCGTTCTCTGGTAGCATGACTCCTTCGATTGGAAGGCGGTGGATCACCGCCCCAAATCGCGGCATGGCCAACTTTGAATCATTTCCTAACTCTTCTAGCCATTCGGTATTTTTCCTGGTAGTCTCGGCCGACCTTTTATCTTGAATCTAATCACATATCCGGTTCGGGTATTTCCTGCCCCCGCCAATTGCACTTCCTTGGTCGCATCCGTGTCCTGAGGTGCCTTTCTAATATGTTCATTGGCGCGTTAGTTGGCGGATACCCTGTGAAAGCATTGTTCGCAGTGTCACCCTCGTCATGCCTTGCCTGCTTGCTGATCCGGAGAGAGGTCGGTTCTCTTTTGGTCAGTGTGGAGCTAGTCGTCGATTGGGCGGTTCTTCCGCCAGCTACTACCGATGTCCACGAGTGCATCGAGAGGAGGCGATGTGGAGTATGATTCGAGTTTGCTCGGAGGGATCGAACCTACTCTTGTAATTCTAGGTTCTGACTTTTCAGAATTCGCTGCTCCGCTTTGATCTCGAGCAACTCGGCTCGAACGGTCTCAATGCTGCTACTTTGGCCCTTGATAATATTGCTGTGTGATGGTGTCTTTCAGGTCCGCGAAGAGTTTGTATGATTTGCTGCGTTGCCACCTTGTTCGGAGCTTTTCGGCACTTCCCCTATGCGCCAGCGGCAAGGTTCCGTAATAGTCCGATATTCCCGTGGTTGTCTGTGCGTCTAAAGCCTCCTCCTCTTGCTGTTCGACAAGTGTCGCACATGTTTCTTGGTTTTGTCCCCTTTCGAGGGAGATTGTTGTTATGCGGTTGATGGTGTGGTAGGCCTGGCCCCTGGTTTTGAGGTTAGCATCGTCCAATCGGGAACTGCCGACGCTAAGGCCCGTGGCCTGCGTCGGACCTATAGATCTTCCTGGTCAGCGTCTCGCCTTGAGGTTCTTCAATACTATCGGAGTACAATTCACAAAGGCCTCTTTTCATTATCGCCGGTTGACTCCCCCGCCCTCAGGTCGAACAGTGATCTAGATCTTCCCATATACAACAGGATACTAAAAATAGGCATCTGCCCATTAAAGGAGACCTCGGTCGTTCAGCTACTGTTACAGCGTCACCGGATGTCCTGTTGTCGGCCCGCGAGGAAGGAAGGGAGGGAAAAGAAGTTCAAAGGAGAAAAATTGGCTGCGCGGGAGTAAATTTTGCACGAACAGACCATAATACGGTTCTCCCTCGGAAGCAGCAACGGCTGACACCCCGCTCGGGGCTTGTCGCTTGGCATCCATGCGATCCTCGGCTGCTCCGCGTCATTCTTTCTTCATACGTCCGCACCAGTGCATCACGTTTGCAGCAACCCTCTTTGTCGACAAGAGCCTTGCAAATTCCTGGAAATTGTTGCACTCAATGGTCTAGCATGGAAGACATCGGTCATCCATTGTGCTATACGAAATATGATAAAAGTCACCGAAGCCAAGCCTCAGTCAACAGAGGACACGATTATATACTTATATCAGCGGCGTCTGCTTGAGCATGTGCTGAACCATTACAGACAATGTCGCCGTAGCGGATCAGCTTAAATCCCACCCTTAAGGCGTCAAAGCGATCAGCATCCATTCTCGCCATCCCATTGAGCGTATATTTGCTGATAAGCCGAGTGACTGCGACCGGATTGGTACAGGATAGAGTATCGGCGGTCTTGGGGGTGTCTTCCCGTTGAAGAGCGCGTCAAGAACCTTCTGATAGTACTCATATGGTAGAACGTACGTTGGAGAACGTTGAGTCATAGTCACACTTGACACACCGGCTGCACACATATCCTCAACCACATCGCGTGCAGTTTTTGTGGTACCTACAGTCGTCCATCGGCAGAGGAGTATGCCGCCGAGTGCTGAATGATCATGAGATTTGGTTTGGCATTCGTCATGTTTGCGAAGACGGTTCTCTGTTACATGACTCTCTTTGCGCCTAAAGTGGTGTGTCACGAGGGATGTAGAGACAATGGCGATGTGTTTAGCATCGAATACCATCTCATTCTCAGAAAGAGAAGAGCTACCGATGTCTCTCAGCTTGTAGAATATGACCACCGATAGGAATGAAGAACCAATATTGCCTCCAATTTGTAGCGAGTCCGGCGCCTTGTTTAATCTCTTCCCGCAAAACCAGCTTTCTTTTCCCGCCCCCGGTGAAAGATTCCATGCTAATCTGAAGCTGACAACTAGTTCTCCATGTTCGCCCAATTTCGCAGAACCAATGCTTCGGGGCAGGTTCTTATATGTGACTGGGTTTGCCATATCCCCACGACATGCGGCTGAGAAGCCACCCCACGCGGTCTACACCAGCCTCGTATTCCTTCCATGTAAGCCCATTTCAAAGCATTCAAGCCACAGATATCTTGTTCCTGGTCCCTGGTGGTCTTGTCTCCTGAAGGATTTTATTCCAATGGGGGTGGGGAAAGCCCATGTGTGGCGCATAGCCCAAATCCGATCAACCTTGTCCTAGGGCTGTTGGGGGCCGATACCATGCAGTGGGCTCTCTCCCCTGCTTGTGGCTCAGCATTCCACACCGTTAAATATCGAGCATTTCGAGGGACATCACTTTGAACAGTGATGTTGGTGGCGTCAGGGGGATTTTATTCCGATCATAAGGCTAACGGACGGCATTGACGAGAAGTGTGGGTTAACCAACCTCGTAAAAAGGATCCTTTTGTGAAAAGGATTACGCACCTGCTCGTCTAGGGGCTTCTAGCTGCAGAGAAAATGGGGCCTCCACGGGACAGGGTCCAATATGCAGGCCGCAAATTCTTCATGCTCCTTGTCTCAGCTATCAACAGAAGGCTTAGTTGCAAGCACTCCTTCGTCTTCTGCCTAGGTAGATTCTTGCATACCTTACATCTGTCATGCATTATCAAACCTCCTCTGACCATCCCCAGTATTTTCTCTGTCGAGCACGGATGACGGAGGGGGTTGGAGGCAGTGGCAAGTCGACGGTAGATGTGTAGCCTCGAAAACCGGTCTTGACTGGAGTCGTTACTATTGCCTGAATGGGCAAAGCTGGTGGCGTCTGTGCTGGCATGGCATTGGCCGTGTCGCATTCTCGAGAGAGTATCGGCTGGGGTTCCGTGCAGACGGCGAGATGATTTAGCGTGAGACGAAATGTTTCCGACTGACGGCTCTGGTATGCCCTCGTAGCTGGAGTTGACCGAACGGAGGAAGTCTGTAACAGGGAGTAGCTGCGAGATAGCCAATCATGTCACGTGGATCGCTGCTATGGTTCTCCCCGATGCGTAGTTTGATGCTATGCAGCGACTCATTTTGCCTGCTCACCTGCGCTACAGCCACTACGGCCGCTGGGCGACTTCGGACTTTGGGGGCGAGATTGATCCAACCCTCTCATCTTTCCCTCCGCTCATCATTTTTCTCTTCTCCCGCTCCACTGTCCACCACTAGGAACCTATCCAAGCTCTTCTCCATAGGGCCAGAATTGTAAGTCACCTCCCAAATTGTCATCATCGTCCAATTTGGTCACTGGTCCAAAGTAAACGCTGGGGGCTTGAAGTTTACTTCGTTCAAGGCCCCTTGCCAACGCCAGCGCAATGTGCAGGCTCACACCATCCTTTCCGGTAACATGAGGCGAACCGGTACAGCTTCAGGACAAGCAACAGTAACGGCACTCCCGCGCTACTAACCAATATATGACTCCTGTATACGACAAAAGTGTCTGCCCACCTGCCTCATTCGGCACTCAACCTTTGGTCCCATTGCTTTGCCTGCTCTCAAGGCTGATAGGTTCCAGGAAAACCAGGCCGTGTCCTGTGTCCATGGTCAGACGGCCTCACAATCTTCTCCACCTCATCCCACCAGCACGCTGTGGTGGCCTCCATCTGCTTATTGCTCACTCGTCCGTCGCTCGCTGTAACCGGGCTCTCCAATCCAGAGGGGTCGGTCCCTTGCCGCCACGCGCCGGCTTTGATATTCGACCGTTACACAACCCACGAGCCGAGAACCATGTCATTTCAACTCTCGCACGGTACGCGACCGCAGCCATTGCCCGATGCAAAAGCGTTGGGTATTCTGGTTGCCGTTTCCACTCTCTGGCCCCACCGGTGTCGAGTTATGTAAGTAAGCAGTGCTGACCGTGGCTGAGGTCGCTCCGCTCTCCACGGGCATTGGGTGGTAGGCTATGCTAGCAACGGCAATGGCACTGGACTTCTTGGTCCTGTGCTCCACGATCTGGTTCTCCCATCATGTTCCTGACACCCAAGTTTTCCATGAGCATTACGGCTACCACTACCAACGACCCATAACTCTCTGATTCTCTTGGACGGAAGCTAGACTTTTGACAGATTGGGTCCCTTTGGAGCCATGAACCGCATCGTCAGACTCGGACCAACCTGATCTCTACCGGTGCTGGACGACATACTCTGCCCTGACAGACTGCTGCCTTCTCGAATGTGTACACACTGCCTGGCCCCTCCTTCTTCCCTCTGTCATCTTTTCAACGTGATCCATATTGTACCGGTTGTTCAAAACGTGGCGTTCCCATTCTCCATCTCTTCCCCCCCGGGCCACCTCTACCCTTTTCCGCCCTTGGATCGCTCAGGCCCCCAAAATAGGATTGAAGCGTTCTTAACCATAGGGACATAGCGTACGAGGGCTGTAGGGCTGCACTAGGGATCACTGTGACTCTCAAAGAGTTTTATCCGTCGAGGACATCCCCGATTTCATGTCATCGGCACCCACCTCTACCTCACCAGTTCCTGCAATCATCTCTTCCTGTCGATGCCTTTACGATACCGTGCCTAAATGTCCTTTGGACATCCATACCGGCCAATCATTGCATCTCGCCATCACGCAAAAGTTGCCTCCATCAGCATCCTTGCTGCCTTTGCCAACATCGGGATAAAGCAGCACTATTTGGAGATATTATTTTATCGGAGCGGGCCCGGGCCTTTTCGAGGGGAACATTTATCGTCCACCTACCGCGTCTTATCAACCCCCCGGAAACTATCCATCAGGATTCAACCACTTAAAAAAAAAACAAAAGGTCCGTAGACCTCTCGAGCTTGCTCCTGCAGGCTCGATCGTACATTCAGTCAATATTGCGAACCCAAGCTCATCTCAATCGACTCCATCCATCTTGTCGGCCTTGCCATCGGCTTCAGAGCGCTCATCCAATCAAGCCCAAAGCACGGCATACAGCGACGGTCGACTGTCGAGCGCAAGTGGTCAAGGTGGCAGTGGTCGAGTAGCCCCATATCCAGTAGGACATGAGCCATCCAGATCGCGGTTGCCAGCAAGTAATATTTTGCGGTCGCAGCAGAAAGAGAGTCAGCGTATAGAACACTTCCCCTATCCAAGTCATCCTTACCCCTGGACGCCGAATCAACGTCACCCACCTCCTGCAGACCTCCCAGCAGCAGGGCTGCCTCCATTTTCACTGCAGCGGTCAGGGTGGGTGTTGCATTCGATTGCTCCGTTGCACATTTTTACTGATATGAGGTGCAGAATGGCGACTCAAGTCCTTCCTACGCCGTCATCGCAATTTCCGCCCACTCAGATGTCTTACGGAAATGAGATGTTGAACACTTACTCAAGTGAGAAAAAGCCGCGGCGCAAGGACGGGACCATGCACTGACGATTGAGTAGGTTTTGACAACGTCGCGGCAGGAAATACCCCCTACAACTCCAATCCTAATCACCAGTCGCTTCTCATGTTGTCGCCGCCAGCAGTCAGTTCCGATATACAATATCGCAGGCAGTCATCGCATTCACCGCAGGCCGGTTTGGGGGCACTCGCAATTCGTGATCGAACACCGATTCGACATCATCGACCCAGTGTGTCGCGAGGTCGCAGTCATAGTCGGAGTGAAATGTTACTCGCGTACGCAGCAGAACAAAATCAGCTCCACCAATCGCAATCGTTGCCATCAATAGCGGCCATGCCCTCACAAAGCGAATCAACCATGCCGCAAGTGTATAACATGCCCGCATACAACATGTCACCACCCATCTCCAGTTTCCCGCAACAAGGCAGCTACTTTGGCACTCCGGTTCCGCCATCTACAGGACACCAGGAAAGCGAGTTTCCCCTTCCTTCGAACGAGACAGAAATACCAGCATTTTATCCGGTAGGCCGGACTTCATCACACGGCTCGGCAATAAGTCTGCCTCCGCCCGACTCGCCCCATAGTCTTTACATCCCTGGACATGCTCAACACAGCCAGCAGCCCTTACCATCGATCGGGATGGCGATGCAACCCTTTCCACCGGCGCAGTTGACGTTGGAATCTTCCCCGGCGGAGGTCGAGATTATACCTTCTCGGCCCAAACCTCAGTGTTGGGATCATGGGTGCAATGGGCGACAATTTTCCACATTCAGCAACCTGCTCCGACATCAGAGAGAAAAGAGCGGGAGTGCAATGAAGGCAGTATGTCCACATTGTGGCACCGAGTTTACGAGGACAACAGCCCGCAACGGCCACATGTCGGGGGGAAAATGTAAGGGGAGAGCGGACGCTGAGGCGTCAAACCGAATGAAGAAGGAATAGTGGTTGGCCTCTGGATAACAAAGATACGACCACTGGCGGACGCGTAAGCGAGGCAAGTGGGTTGGTTAAGACAAGAAGAGTGTCACGCGAGATGAATGGGCAACATTAGTGTGCCGTGTCCCCCGTCGATGGCGATGGTGACCACGGTTTATTATTGTCATCACTGACCCCATAGTGGTCAGGCTCAGAGTCTAGATGCATGAGGCAGACTTCCTTTTCTTTGAATTGGAAGAAAAAGGTCGGATCGGACACCGTTGGGATGAGCATTTACTAATTGGATTAAGTTTGCCTATTTGAATTGGGGTAGCTGCAATGCTACGTCGTATAAACTAAGCTAACCGGGTCCCGATTTGGAGGGTCGGAACATGCCTAGGCCCGCGTTACACAGAGAGAGGATTGGTGATTGGCTGAGTCTTGATCGGTCAAAAGACAGGTCATAGACATGAACGTTTTTCTGTATAGAGCAGATGGAGTTGTAGCCTCTGGGTGATATCGACCAGACTGATAAGGCTTCAGCTGCCGGGGACCAAATATGTACGAGGCAACCCGGCTACTTCGGAATGGGCCGTTTCAGCTGTTTGAGGCTAGGGCCTAAATGCCCCATGTCCACGGGAGCAGATCGTGCCCCTGATCACTGTAACACGTTGTGACTTGCCCGAAGGGAAAATAAGCCTCCCAGCGGCGTTCACTAGCCTGATATTTGAAGGGTCAGGGACTTCCTATGTCATACCGCCTCGTTGCGAGTTCTGTAGATCAGGCTTAGGTTTGTCAGCTGCATCTAGGAACTGCACGATTAACATGTACTAAGAATACATGCTTGGAACATTGGAGAGAGGTACCACGACCAGTGGCAGGTCCCGGCCATGACGATGAGCCTAGAGTATGGGAGCACGAATGACGACGGTGCCTGGAATGTTAGTACCGAATACGGTGATCTGAGGTAGCGACACCGCGCATGAATACCAGGTACCGAGGTGGTTAGGCGAGGCTGACATGGCCTTGGCCTTAGCCCCAGATCGACCAGACAAAGCACTTGCAAGGCATATCACTGGGGCACCCTGGCACCTGCCGGGTACCTGAATACCTGATTTTGCCCTCTCTGCATTGAGCGCTCTCCATTACTGACGAGAAACAGTTCACGCAACCTTCTAAAGTTACAGCCTCACCTTCGGCATCATCATAATCATCATTCGCTCCTAGCCATTATCCACCGGGCATACCATCAACCGCCTCTCTCCATCAGCTCCTGGACAGCTTCCTTCTACGTGCTCTCAACGACAAACTACCGATTCGGTCCACTCTCACACTATTGTCAGTCAGCCACTTATTCCTTGTGACTAATCCAATGTCCACCTCGGCTCGCTTTCGAATCGACTCGTCGTCCTCTGCATTCGTCTTGACTGCCACCATATCGACGTAACGGCCACAATGTATCCTCTTCCTTGCCTTCTATCATGCCGTTGCACGGCGAGACACCCTCCCACCTCTTTTAGAGACGTGGAACCCACTTCCTCCGCAATTAGCCACAACGATGGGCTGATGTGCTCGGCACAAATCACATTGCCGGTCATCGGCTTTCTCCTGTCTACAGGGACATTTTCTGAATTCTGCCAGCCTGCGTGACCACGTGTCTACAACAATCACAACACACTTCAACGTCTAGAACCACCCTGAACCAGATCAATCCCTGGTCAACAAGTTCTGAGATGGCCCAAGTGGCTCACCGTCGACCCTGATCCCTTGAAACTTACGATGTCTTTCAGGATCAGCCTCTAGACCCTTGTCCTGACCAGTCGTCGGGAAACTGAAACTGCGACTGGCAAACTTCTTCCTACCTCCCTCTCCGCTGATATCCGCCTGATCGATTGAACTGGGTCACCATGCTCGCGTGCGCCAGGGCGACAATCCCCCCAGGCCAATCCCGAAGGCTCGGGCAAGAACATACCAAGAAGCATAAGATTCATGCTGCTATACCAGCATTTATTTTGACTTCTGGAGAATTATTTGTTTCATCTGACCCTATCTATTTGTCACTCACTGCAGTCAAGAGAATAGGTGTACGTCCACAATCTGTTGCTGGTTCCTTCGATCAGGGGAATAACAAAGATTTCGAAGGACTGCGCCGTGGCGCTTCAATGTGATGGGGCTGAAGACGCCTTCAATCCCAAGACGAGGATGCGTCATTTTCAACACCAGTTTTCCAGATTACTACGCAGGAAGGTGGGTGTCTTCCTCCCGGCTAACCAACATGTTAGCCACCCGTCTATTTGAGCACGGGCTCCGAATCACGCAGGAGGAATATGTCTCCGCTGGCTGAAATCCCTCGCTACATCTTTGCTCCATTTTTCATTCGCTTCTCATGTCCGTCTTGGTCTCGCCAGTGAGCCCTTCCACATTTTAGCCTCTTCATAAGCGAGTTAAGGTCAAGGCAAATAGGGGTGTTGCTGGAGTGGGTTTCATGACGCGACCGAAGGCCCTTCAAATCGGTTCATTGTTGGTGTACCGGAGTAATTGACATTTAAACTTGATTTATGGGAGGCCGTCTCTATTCAATGAAAATGCAGATATGTAACAGGTTACATTTCAAGCTACAACATGTCCTGGACGCAACCATTCTTTATGTAACTATTGCGACGAGAGCCGGAGATCATCCCTGACAAGCCGGAGCTCGCAGTTTTCAAGAGGACCTTTGGACTAAGTTTTGGAAGCGGAGAGAGATTCGAGAATGCCAAAGAGGCTGTCCAAGGCACCAGACATGAAGCCTCCTTTCTAACTAATGTCAGCTGCAAATTACCAATTCTGGTTGATCTTGAGAGACCGTCAATAGCTGGGGCTAGAATTCATTCAACTCCTTTACACTTGAATGCCTTCATTCGGTGCTTGAGATCGTGGACCTCCTGTGTCGCCCGAGAAAATTCAGCCAGCCCCGAGGAACATGATCATTACTGTCGATCAACGGTAATTTCCTCCTTGATTCTGTCTGACCTTCTGAATTCCTCTAGCTACGGACGTTTCCATTCTGAGGCTGGGTGATCTGCGTGTTTATTCATGAACCCTCCAGAACATTGTACCCGCTATTACAATTGTAGCGGAGCTAGAATTCCAACTTCGTGTGGGAGATTCCTGATTCTTGTGTGACCGTTTTGTCGAGCATTATGATGTCTAATTAGAGTGAAGTATTCTGGGTGAGGCTGACGGCGACACAGGTGGTTGGTCGAATGATCTGTTCAGTTGTAGCTTTGGTGAGCATGTTACCACATTCGATCAACCTCAACACTGTCGTGTAGCATGGAGATGGTACGTGATTCTGAAGGAAAAGTCCAGTGTTGCACAAATCTGACCACCAGTTGATGCAGGTTCTCGATTTCAATCACGGCGTCCAGATCAGTATTCGGTTCTCTTGTCTCCCATCTCCATCGAAAGTCGCTTGCCTGCAAAGATGGATCATCGAAAACCTGAATGTAGACATGTGAGAAGTACATCAGTACCACAGAATCGACATCCCTACTGTCCGCCTTTTGGCAACAAGCAGTGCCTCGCCATCCATCTGATCGTGGCTGAGAGAAGCATCATGCAAGACAATCACAACACGTTTGGAACGGCGGAGGCAACATGACTTTCTCGGATGCTAGAACTCCCAACGCGCATTAGCTCGGTCAACGGTTAAAGCGTCCTCTATTGAGAATCGAATTCTTGAAGTCAATCGCGACATTCGAAACACGATCTCGATTATTTAATTGAGCTGACTCTGCAGAGCCAAAGCCCACAATTCAGAGGTATAAAAGCACAAGAGGACTCAGGACACGGTTCTGGAAGGACGATTGATACAAGGTCGACAAAATATTATAGACACGCCAGTGGACTTGCTCGAGCAAACAGCAAAAGAAGACTTCTGTGCCAATCCTATTCCTTTCCGCTGTGAGCTGGACTTTTATCAAATCTATCCTGCCCCAAGATGCACTGATGACTGGGTGGGCTGCATTCAAAAGGAAACAGCAACAGGTCTTTTCCTCCTCTTCGTATACTATGCATTCTCATCTGCTGTTTCTTGTCATTTACTTTTGCTTTTGTCATGTGCGCCAAAAATTGTCTGGATGAGTATTCTTTGCTCTCTCTTCGTTATGCCACGTATATGTACACGTGCTCCATGGAAGAAAAAAAAAGCCTCAATAAGCAGAGTAGATCGAGAGGCAGAATGGAAATATTTACGTGGCAGGCAATGCCTTCAGGCCTTGACCTGCTCCATCTAGGTACGATCGTCCTCCACCGTCCTCTTACTCCTATCCATGAACCGGTATCGACCCGACCCCGATACGTCTGCAGCAGCGAGAATGCCCAAATGTTCATTCACCCAGAGTAGTCGAATGCTATGATAATAGTGTTAGACATCCATATCACTCATAAGCCCCAAGATATTCTTCAAGGGAAAGTTCTTTGTCTGGAATCTGGATATGCAAAACGACTAAAATACTAGTGTTGAAACAACGTGTCACGGCATAAGAAGGAGAATACGGGAAAGAACGACATACATAAAAACAGGAGTATTGAAAAAGGCAAGAAGATTAGGAGAAGAAGACCAAGAGGGGGGGAGAAGAGACATAGGCATACTTTAGAATAAGAATGTAGGGAAAATGGGAAGATTACGCAGGTATGCCTTGCTTGAACCTAAGTATTCAGAATTTCAACCAACATAAAGGAGAATATAATGGTATTCCGAGTGTCTCTCTGCCTTGTCCGCCTGCCTTATCTTAACCTTTCTCTCTCGTTCCCTGCCTGACCTCTCTGCCTTCGCTGAGCCTGGTAATGGAGCTTGAAAGTGGGTTGTGTAAGAGACTCGGCATAATCTGGGTAGAATGCTCCGTGGAAAGGGGGGAATTGCCAAGTTGCGAGATCAAATTTTCACTATGGGGGAGGCCTCATTGGATGAAATTCTGGAGGACCGCGCTTTCCTCAGCCGTTCAATCGTTCTCCAGTCTCTATCGTTTCTCCTCGTCAGTCCCTTATTTATCCCCTGCTGAAACGTTGATTCCCATGTCTCGTAACCATGCACGTCTTACAACCTTCCATGCCTTGCCTTGAAAATCGAAATCTTGTCATCGTAGAATAGAATCTCCCTGAGCTTCCACGTCGGTTTGGGTGCATTGGAATTACCTCCTTGTTCACTTTCTTCGTCGCTGATTTCATCACCGGTGTCTGAGATGGCATCGAAATCGCTGGAGTCATATACTTGATCGTGACCGGCTAAATCGTCGTGGTGAGAGACGTGTTGCGCGTGATTGTGTATCTGATGTGGAGCATGGGAGTTGTGATTATGAGGAGCTGGATGTGTGGGTGCTCCAGCGGGTCCAACGTCTTGGTCGGTTTCGATATCTTCGCCTGAAGGACCCTGTCCATTTGATGCAAACGGTATCTCAGAGCTTGATCCCTTTCGTGTGTTCGCGTATTCTAAAATCTCGAAACACTGGCTCTGTACACCAAGGTAGCACAATTCCAGTTCAGGCCTGAGAGCAACAATATCAAGAACTTGTAATGCCGCCTCTCGAGAATGGACCGTTCCATTGACATGCTCGGCAATATGTGGAATGTGTAAAGACCGTAAGGATGTGGCGTTTGGTAATCGCCTCAAGAAATAGTGCCAGTCCTTGTAGTCGATCGACATGCTAAGCTCACGGAGTTTCATCTTCCCGCTCGTGATGCAGGTGAGCAATTCACGGCTGAATACCCACCTCCGCCAGTTGGTGTTTGGGCTGTCTGGATCCTCGGTTCTTAATGTGCTATCGATGAGCAATTTGACCAAGCTTAACCGGTGTCGTCGGATTGCACCTCGATAGATCATATCGATTGACACCGGAGACTTGTAGGCAGTGTTTTCCTGCAGAAAAAGCCACTCTAGACTGTCTGGTGCGAGAGTGTCTTTGATGAACGCGATCAATGGAGGAGATACCGTGTCGGTATGCAGTCGTTTCAGTTTCAGCGGGTATTCCGATGAAGGGGGCGGCGCCGAAGATACGGGAGTGCCGGTCTGCGATCGTAGGAGCATGCTCGACATGCCATTTGATGAGACTCTGAAGGACGCGGAAGAAACTCTTCTGCGACTGGTTGGTGTGAATCGTTTTCGAAGTGCTTTCCATAATTGCTCATGGTTTCGACATCCTAGGAGGGTCAAGCTTGTCAATCTTGACCAGTCCATTGCTTTGGACAGAACAGTGATGGACAAGTAAACGCGCTCGATTTCGAGAGTTTCCAATTCCAGTTTTCTCGTCACAGGTTCCTCTTTGTTCGAGTCCTGGAATGGATCCCTGGCACTCTGAGGACTATCGTGTCTTGGGCCTTGAAGATGGTTATACGAAACTGGTCGTTTTGGTGAAGAAACAGGAACCATTTCAGAATCGTCGTCCTGAATGTTGTGCGCGGACAATAAGACACCAAGTTGGTTGATATCCGAGTTGCTGATTGGATCTTCAAGGTCGTTTTCTTTTTCTGGCTCTAGATTCTGTTCCGGTCCAGCCCCTTCTTCTGACGAATCTTTGGGCAAGTCGAGGTCGGAGGATCGTTGATGAGAGAAGGAATTGCAAAATCGATGTACTAAAATTCCCAGAATGCCTCCCGGCCGTGGGGATTGATCACCCAATCCAGGCATAAGAGGAGGGAGAACCGGCGCTCGGTCCTCGGCGGGCCGAGCCCAGATATCAAACTGGGCGTGTGAAGCCATCCCGACTCTCAATTCTTGCAATTTCCCCAGTGACCTTTCAATCAGCACGCTCATTTCTTCCGCATATGGCAACTCATCAATATCGAGTACGCTAAGACTCCTGAGAGGGGGGAGAATGGAAAATGTCGGAAACTCGACTCGAGGATATGGTGGAATTTGAAATAAAGAGCTTGCCGGGCCGGCCAGGATGGAAGGGAGATTTGAAGCCTGCGGGCCTGGACCGACTCCGGGAGGTGGTGGTGAAGCCAAAGGACCTTGATCTTGGTTGTCATGCCATCGTACCCAAACTCGATCCAGGCGACATTCTTGTTCATCATCACGATTCCCAAGGGAAGCCAATGCTAGCCATACATCTCGAAGAACGCCTGTTGGCATGTCCCAAATGAAGGTTTCGAGATTCCGCATTCTACCGACCGCCAGCGCCACTAGAGTCCCGAGCATTTTTCCGCCCTCTTTTGTGATGAGATATTCTTGGACCCAGTCAGGTGGTCCATTTCCCAGACTGAACTTTCGAGTATATTGAGCGAAGTAATTCCCGCGTCGGATTTTACGAGGTTTGTTAGGATCGGGCTGGATGGGTTGGTTATGATGGCCACATCGTTGACATGGGTGCTGGGGCTGTTGTTGTTGGTAGGGTGCCTCGCCAAAGACGTCTTGGGCCATCACTAGAGTTGCCAGGCCATAGGTGAGCGCATCAACTCCCATTCGATTCTCAAATGTCGTGTTGGCATCGGGCCAGACGATATCAAACCTGGAGTAGATGTGGGGTATAACCAGGCTGTGAAGAGCTGAGTGGGTCAAAGCGAGGGATGTCAAATCGTTGGTGTGCGTGAGTTCTTTCAGGATCGCTTGCAAGATATCGACAGGTAAATCGAGAAGACGGAGAGGTTCTTTTTGTGCCGCGATGGCATCCCATTCCGACTTCTTTCCATTCAAATGTTTTGCCAGCAGGGTCTGAGTTTCCTTGCTCTTGGGTTCTCGAGGCTGATCTTGACTTTCTACGCCCAACTCCATTTTGGATGTGGCGTTTGAGGTGGGAGGGTATGACAAGGACGACACGAGGCTCAAGGAGATTTAGAAGGAACTTGCAGCGGAGAAGAAAGGCTCAGAGCATAAGCCCTGAGCCGGTAGAGTCTTTATTAGCAGACCATAGGAAGTGTCGGTGGCAATGACTATGAATGGCTGCAGATTGAGGAGAGAAGCGACGGCAAGCGGTTGAGTCAAGGATGAGGTTGGACAACTGAGCGCAGTCACTCGAAATTTAAGCGCAAGGCATGAAGGTGGGAAGGGAGTTAATTGCGGGCTGCGCTGGGGAGCAGACCGCATCGCGATGCCACAAATGGATGGCTGCGCGGTTACAGCACTCTGGGGGGGAGGGAAGGGGGGAAGGTTGACCGGGAAGCTGAAGGCTAGCGATGAGTGCCCGTACTCCATGGTACCTCATGCAAATGGGATTGGGCGGAGCTGGGAACAGTTGCCAAGAGGACCATTCTACGCGCTCCCACGCCGTCTGAAGAGAGACGTGACTCGTGAGGGCGCAAAAGTTCGGGCTACGGAGTGGCCATTGGAACTGGTCCCTAACCAAACTTGCCAAACCTTGCCTTGTTTGAATGGGACAAACGGCACACCAGTGAGCAAGCAGCGTGCTAACGACTTTTGGTGTTAATCTGCAACTCCCATTCCGCGTGTTTGTACCTGTATGACGCGTGAGTTTATTTGCCGCTTTTCCCCTTCCAACCAGCGGGAAGCATGTCACTTCTCCCTGGCACTTCAGGGTAATCGATTCCCCTGGCTTGCTTCGTTTCTCCGACTGGATCAAACATTTCCGGCCCACGGCAGAGTGCCCAGAGCACTTCGGTACAGCACACATCGGCAGATCACCGTACTTGCCCTAATTAGACGTCAATTCTTTCGTCGCCGAGTCCCATCCCATCTTCACCTTCTCTCTTCACTTCCACCTCCATCCCTTCCCAATTCAATGGACCGTTGCATGGCTTGAGTCATCTTTTCCTTCTTCGTGCTCTCTGGCCTGAGAGCCTCGAGGCCACAGGCAAGCCGCGTTCCCAATTTTGGTCTTCTTCAGTTACCAGCAACAGCGCCTGCGACCATCGAGGCCGAACAACCTCCTTTGCCCCTCACCACACCCGAGCGATCATACCACTTTGCCTTCTTGTGTCATCACCAATCCCTCACACCGCATCGAAAATGGACCATTGTCCAGACGAGGTCCTGCTCAAAATCTGCAGTCGATTGGATTTCAAGAGTGTTGCGAATCTTCGACGAGTTAACAAACACCTGTCCGAGGTCGGAGCCGAGGCATTGGTCAAGAGGGTCCGTTTTCACTGCAGTCAGGAGTCTCTTGAACGTCTCAATGCTCTCGCCCAACACGAGGTTTTCTGCAGATATGTCGACACGATTGTCTTCGAGGGAAATATCCTAGCAAATATTGGCTGCATCCATAGTTATTCGGCTCATTACGACCTCGACCATCACAAGGATGAGAGACCACAACCCCCGGCTTGGGACGCTTCGGCCCGCGAAAAGAGACTCTACGATCGCAACATGGTCAAATTCCACCGAGAGATCACGGCCAAATTCGAACGATACCGTGCTTTCTATGAAACACAGCAGAAGGTCCTCAAATCCACCGCCTACACGAGCCTCCTTGCCCCCAGCATTCCTCGCTTTCCCAAATTGAATAAGATCGTGCTCTCTACCGTGGGCCGCTGCAAACATGTTCTCTCCGAGCGATTCCTGCAGAGGTTTGCTGTCGACTGTGCCATGCCCATTGAGCACGATACCAAGCATACCAAAGAACAGCTCAGGCATCTCCTCTTTCCCCAAGGCCAACCTGTCTCGACCGTTCGCTCCTTGGAGGTCCACGTCATGAGTCCCAAGTTCTTCACAGGATTTGTACCCTGTGATATGATTTGCCAGGCATTCCAAAATCTCAGAAGCATTGACCTCAGTTTCCGCCTGGAGAAGGATGATCGCATCGACCTCGACATCATGACGGCCGATCGCTGCTACGGAGAATTGAGCAAAGGATATCTTCGGGATGCGTTGGCGGCCGCGACGGAATTGCAAGAACTGACCATCAACTTTGATGATTTCGGTTTCTATGGTGCCTGTATAAACATCAAACACGTTCTGGGGGACCACTCGTGGCCAAAGCTCACGATGCTGGATCTGGACTGCATGTCAACTAGTCAGGAGTATCTTCTTGCCATGCTGAGTCGTCAAACATCCCTTGACCGCCTTAGGTTAGGTTTCATCACTCTGGACGAAGGCGGATGGCCACAAGTCACCACGGCAATGAGAAACGATTTGCATCTCTCACAGTTCCTGGCGCACGGACTTCTGGAGGATCCTGACCAGATGTATCCCATGCACTTGATTGACTCGGATGTGTACATGGATGACTTCACACATTTCACTCTGACCGCCGCGCTCGACGTCTACGTAACCGACCAATTCGGCGAAATGGATGATTATCACCCGCTCGAGGATGAAGTTTATGCTGACCCTGACGAACTTCGTGAAGAATTTGGTCCGTTCGCAGATGATGACTTTTCGGATATGGATTGCAGCAGCGACTAAATGCCATCGATGGGTCTTCGACATTTCCTCATTCCGGCCAATGTATCATACGAGCTTACGACTTTTCCTGCGCCACCCTGTACAGTACCCAGACTTGCATTTTATGAGAGACGGACGACAGCAGATACCCCCACAAGCTTGCCATTTCGATCGTTTATTTTTCAAGACCTTCTCGGGTCATGCTAAACGCCTACATTTATCAAGGCATATTCAAAGAATCAGACTTTGCGTTTGTAAGCGGGATGGGGAAAATGGAGTCTGGAGTGTATTGGCGTGTATTCATACCTAGAGCAGAGTTGGACTCTCATGTCTGGAAGTTGAGTCCCAAGGAGGACTGATAGCGTCGTAATCACATCAAATACAATTCCAATTCATTGTCTGCTAAATAGATCAATCAGCGGTGCCAAGCCTTGTTTTTCTGCCTTTGTCCCGGCTAATTATCGGAATCCAGTGCCTCGAAACCCCGAATGATTTCATCACCTTTCGCCGCAAGACATTTTCCTTCCGTCCTTGGTGCCCCTTCGATCCCGTGCCTCCTGTATAACAATTAGGGGAATTGACTGCTCAGTTGCAGCGATGCGCCCCAGTCTCCGCCTCTTCGCGGCGCCGGCCGTTCAGCCTTTCCGACCAGGTCAACGCCCTCCGGCACTAGCTCTCCTCCCACCCATGGCTCTCTACCGTCGTCTTTTGCGCATTCATCGTAAGAAATTAAACCCAGAAGAACGTATATTTGGCGACGCATATCTCAAAGCGGAGTTTCGAAGACACAAAGATATCGAAAATCCTTTACATATTGTTGGGTTCCTGACGGAGTGGCAACAGTATGGACAACAGCTTGAAGGCAATGAATGGAAAGATCAGAGGATCAATACGGGGTTATTAGACAAATTGAGTGATCAACAGATTGGACAGATGTACGAACTTATGCAGGCTATCCAGAAAAGAGGTAGAGAAAGTGTGGACGAGGAAGAGGAGGGTCATGTTCTTCGAACTATTGATGAGACTACTGGAACGGATAAAAAGGAGTCATAAGTGGTGCCATGTAAAAGAGAAGCAGAAGTCTTGTCGGAGTGAAGAAGCCAGATGACATGGCCCTGTCAATTATATCCGAGTTTGGTCAAACAAGGAAGGCCTCACATATAACAAACGACTGTCCGTCACCGAACCTGCGGCGCCTGTCATAGCCAATATGTGACCTCCAACACGACTTAGAAGGTCTCAAGGCGCGAGCCTATCTGATTGTCGAGCATTCTCAACGGACTCGACGAATCGTGCCCGAACGATTGCAGAGAGCATCCCTGGAAAGCGACAGCAAAGATCAAAACCTAATCCTTTCGAATCAGGATCTCGTTCCTGCACGGTCGCCAAAATATATCAAACAGAAGACGACGAATCTTACGCCTTGCAACCACAGCTGGAGAACCATTGTTCAGCTTTGCGGACCAGGAGTCGGATTTACCAAGATATCTATCCATTTCATATACGTAAGCGAGGACAAGGCTCTTGCAACTAGAAGTACTTCCCAGCACCCGCCAACACCTGTCCGAGCTGCGATCTGAAAGGGTAACTACGGTGGCAACAAGAGTCGAAAGATTTTCGAGGAATAGATCTGACTATGGAACGTTGGGGAATGGCTATACAATGGCTGATGGGGATAGGAGATCCGTGCCCGGGGCTGGACATTACTGGAATGAGCATCCCTGTGGATACAATGTCGTTTTTTCATGTGGAGCGACGAGGGCGACAGTGATATGACCGATCGAATTATTAGATCTGGAGTAGCAATGCTTCAGACTGTTCAGTTCGGTCAGGTTTTGGGCAGAGATTCTGGCTTCTGCCAGGGGATTGTTATGCACGTTCGGCTTGCACGAACAGGAGCAATTCATCAATGCCACGCATTCACCGGGCACGCCGCTAGAGTTCTTGTTTTCAGCATTCGCTAGTTAGGCACATATATAACAGAATAATATTACTTACGAAGAATGGATGAGAGCGATAAGAACCCACGAAACTTTCCGAAGTCATAGGACCAAAGGAGGAAACGAGATACGCTGCAGTTGTTTTTGCAATCTATGCAGTCTCTTCCATAGAGTATCGTAAAAGGGCTTCAGAGTATGGCAAGCAGGATATCGAGAGCCTCATTGCTATTATGGGGGAGGTCACAGGCTATGTAGAGTCTTCGTGTTTGGTATTCTTTCGCATTATCGTGGAGCAGTTCTTTGGCTACAGTATTCGGGGTCCTGAGCAGAGCCAGTTATGATCATTAGATTTAGATAGCTCAGGGCAAAGTGTAACCGCCGTCAATGATGAAATCTGCCCCGGTAACGAATGAACTTGCGGTGCTTGCTAGATAGAGATAAATTGCTTTTAATTCTTTAGCATCGCCTAAACTGTGTCAGAAACAGTATGTCAAGGTATTCATTTCATACCTTGCCGACCCATCACAGCCATTCGGTGGCTTCGTTAACGGCTGCTTGATCTGAACTCATGTCTGTGTCGATATAGCCTGGGGAAATCGTATTTACGCGACAGAATTCACGCCACTCGCAAGCCAGACTCTTGCCGAGATGCGTGACTGCTGCTTTCGTTGTGTTGTATGTAATGTGGTCGACCGGCACCGTGACAACCCCTCCACTAATGCTGCTCGTGATGATGAGGTTGCCGTAGCCCTGCTCCTTGAACACAGCACCAACAAATTTTGCGCAGTAGAATACTCTGTGCACATTGACGTTCATCTTGGGCGTGAACTCTTCCAAAGTTTGCTCCAGAATGGGTTTGGGGATGCAGATACCAGCGTTTGCGACGAAAACATCGATTCTGCCAAATTCGGTGCAGATATCAGATATCAGGCTTTTGATCTTTTGGGCATCGGCAACGTCGCATCGACGATTCACAACCTTGACTCCACGCCGCTCGGCTAGTGCCGCGGCCTTCTGATTCATAGCCGGGTTTCCTGAAGAAAATACGTTGACGATATGTGCACCAGCTTCCGCGAGTCCCTCTGCAACCACGTATCCAATCCCCCGGCTGGGCCCCGTGATGACACAGATCTTGCCCTTCATATTGAATTGATCCATGACATTACTTGGAATGTCGGGTACTGGTCGACCAGGTCGAGCGGCCATGCATTCTTCAATGGTCATCGACATGGCGAAAGAGGTTGAGAGTTGAGAGTTGATCTAAGTCAAGACCGATAACAGCGACTTGTTAGAATGGCGTCGTGAATTGGTCTCACTACCAATTTTCGGCGTATACCCGGCCCATGAGTTGTGAGAATAGAGATTTTGGGAGTCAACCAACAGGAACCGATCATATACTCCGTGCCTTTACGTGAGAAAAGCTCCCAAGTCGTGACTAACGCCAGTTAGCTGTGATAGCCTTGTTAAGTCTAGGCATCGAGCGACAGCCTCGGTGTCGAACGAGAGATCCGACTGTTCTTTCCTTGGCCATGGGCACACATCAAAACCCGGGAGCCCCGAGGAAGGATCTTAGGGGGTAGCAGATCGACCGAGGGAGTCTGACAGGCCGCGATACACCCTCGGCAAGGCGGGGATGGGAACATAACATCACACGGAGTCCGCAACACTTGCCAGACCATTATCCCGTCGAGCCATTTGAACCACCAGTTTTGCCCTTGTCGATGGCCTTTTTGCAACGGCGCCTTCACTCATAACTATCCCAACTCTTCGGTCAACATGTTTACTCGTACTTCCTCATCGTGCGCGTTATCCCGACCGGTCCTACCACGGTGATCACCGAGTATCAAACGTTCCGGAACCCTGCCTCGACACAGGATGCCTTTCAACGGGCTGCCGACTTCTTCGAAGGAATAGGGCTGGAGGACGACGATCTGATGAATGGGGTCCAGAGGAATCTCAATTCCGGAGTGTATGTTTACGGCCCGTTGCACACCAAACGCGAGGGAAGCGTGCTTTATTTCCAGAAATTGGTGCAGCAGCAACTGAAAGACCATATGAAATTGGAGGCCCAAGCAGGCCGCGAAATTTGGCCCGCGCAGCGCAATCAACAGCTGCATACTGCTGTTGATGAAGAAGAAAAATTCTGCTCTGCCGTTTGTGAATGTGCAAGGAGGAATGGCTAAGAAGGAACATCGAGGATCTGCAAGCTCGAATTGATTTTCTAAGGACTTACAGAGCCTTGAATTGCGGCTGCTGGGCTGCGAATGTTTCTCAGCTTCGTGATGCCTTTGGGTTGTGTTCGTTGCATGCTCGCAGAGCCCAACATTGAATCACCAGCCGGGTAGGCAGTCCCATGCCTCGCTGTGGCCAGGTGCAATTAGTCATGTGCAACTCGACGTCAAGGATTCAAGCAATGTATTCTAGCTAGCATCGAGTAAGACGCGTGATAAATTAGTTCATTTTCAGGACCCGATTTCGCTGCTCCTACCACGGGATCATACCGTCAACGCCTTGACTAGACAAGATTACGCGCGATCACGCAATCTCCCCTCACGATTGGACCAACATCAACCGAGTGGTCGGAGATGCCCTCCCGTACGACATAATGGCGGGGGATTCCTAGCTTGAAAGAGTTTGTCTAGACAACTGGAAGTATATGCCTTGAAGAAGTTTTGTTCAATCTGCTTTCCGAGGACTCTACGGCTTTCTCTCCTCTACGAAGTCGGCCAGTACATATACAAATCCCGAGTAGATGCGTACTCAAGCGCTCACTGTGAATCGACACGCAGAACTCTCAGATCTGATAGGCACCGTCCACAATGGCACCCACGGCCGTAGTCGACGATGGGTCCGTATCAACTCCCTCCAACCTCCCCTCCAAATCTCAATCCCAATCCAAACAAGCTGCGGTTGATACTTCAATATTCCCCGACGGAATCAAGACCTCAGGCCAACATCCGCCACTCTACGACAAACTGTACCCATACTCTTCCTTCCCTAAATTCATTTCAGGACCAACAGTCTGGTCGGCCGAAGAATACGCCGCGCACCCAGAACGCTGGACGCATGTCTTCTCTGAATCTGAAATCCAGGCCCTCTCCGTCGCGGCCGAGAATTTCCTCGCTCAAGGCACGCCATTGACGGGCATCAACCCATCGAACTTCCCCCTTCCTGCGGACATGACAGCCTCGATCAAAGCGATGCGCAACGAGCTCCTCAATGGCAAAGGTTTCATCCTATACAAAGGCTTCCCGGTAGTAGAGTGGGGCACACATAAATCCGCCGTCGCATACCTAGGCCTCGGCACCTACATAGGCTACCCCGTGAGCCAGAACGGCCGTGGCCATATTCTCGGGCATGTCAAGGACCTTGGCGAAGACAGTACGCAGATCGACAAAGTGCGCATCTATCGGACGAACGCGAGGCAATTCTTCCACGCCGACGACGGCGATGTCGTGGGCCTCCTCTGCATTGCTCGTGCCGAGTATGGCGGCGAATCCGACGTCGCCTGCGTCCATGCCGTCTGGAATATCCTGCAGGCCGAACACCCTGATGTCGCCGACCTCCTGACCCAACCAGTCTGGTATTTCGACCGCAAAGGCGAGGTTTCGAAGGGCGAAGAGCCGTATATTCGCACCAGTGTCTTTTATCTCGAAACACCGGACCCGTCTGACGACAAGGTAGAACAGCGCGTATATTGTAAATGGGACCCGTACTACGTGCGGTCCCTGACGCGGTTTTCAGACAAAGGCATCATCCCCCCACTCTCAAAGGAGCAGTTGCACGCGCTCGAGACCCTTGAATCTGTCTGCCGGGGTGTCAAACTGCATATGATTCTTGAGGTAGGTGATATACAGTTCGTGGCCAACAGCCACATTCTGCATGCCCGTACAGAGTACAGAGATTACCCGCCTGACAGTGGCATGTTGAGACGGCATCTCATGAGGCTTTGGCTCAGTACGCCGGTCAGTGAGGGTGGGTGGAGACTACCGTTCCACGATGCAGATGAGAAGAAGAGGGGTGGGATTCAGGTTGATGATACGCCTCCAGTTGCGAGGTTGGATGCCGATTGATTGAATTGATTTGGGAGGAACGGAGCTAGATGACGTAGGGAGAGGGAGGAAGGTTTTAAGCGAGCTGGTAGTGGATAGTGGTAAATATGATTCGGTCGTGACTGAGCTCACTGATTGTCCGTTTTCGTTGATATTCGATCCTTTACCGCATCTGTATGATCCGGCCGTTAAAAAAAAGAGGACTCCAACACTTGAAGCTGGCTGATACTGGACTCGAGAAGTCGTAATCGGAAGCAGACCCGTTGTTGCGAACTCATCTGGTGCCTCAGGTGGAACTTCAATGAAAGGTCTCGTAAATTTATCGAGGTGATTCCACAGGGTGTCAATCCAAACTCAGGAGGCAATCTTATAGTTGCCACCATGTCCGACGTCCAGAATGCCTTCCTTGATCATGCCCGCCAAAAACTCCTTCAATTCCTCATTACTAAATGGAAACCCTCCAGGGACCACAATTCCCAACATCATCGCGATCCTCGGCAACGGTACCGCCCCCTGATTCGTCAACATACTGATGATGAACTGATGATACGTGGCCATTTTCTGTTTGCGCTCTGCTTCTTCGGCCTCCTTCGTGGCCTGAGCCGCCGCAGCTTCCGCAGCGGCACTGGCGGCCGTGGCGGCGACAGCAGGCCTTGCTGATGCTGAAGAGTCCTCGTTCATAACTGTGTCGCCATTGCCGTCGGGCAATTTCTCCAGCACGCAAAAAGTGTCTTTGCTCGTTTCGATCAGTATCCGCTTCGACATCCAGAATATACAAGCCGACCGCACGAGGGTAGGGGACATGGACAGATCGGAAGCGAGTTCCTTGACGGATTTTTGGATAGGTGGCCCTGCCGTAGCTCCCTCGTCTTGGAAAGCATATATTACAGCAGCCTGCCACGGCAGGACTTCATCGTGGTAAAAGCGATCTTCTAGCTCGAGCTCCACTTCGACTTGGCCCACGGCGTTAAGCCAGGTTAACTTGCGCGATTGTTTGAGGGCCTCGAACCCTCTCTCATAGTTCTGCTGCTGTTCCAGCACAGTTTGCGGTACTTTGAATGACTGCTCGGGCATCGACGGCCAGAAGAGCCGCGACAGGATCTTGGCGCGCAGCTGGACGTCGTCACCGCGGAGGGGTCTGCCTTGGGCGTCTTGCCTGTCTTGGTCTCTGTGGATGACGTTGTCGACTTTTCTCGAGTCAAGCACATCTCGAAGCATGACCTCGCATCCCTGCAGCGTGGAGTCGCCGAAGCGAATCTTCAAATGTTCCAATACGCCAATCTCATGGTTGAAGTCGGGTTTGTTCTTGAGCAAGCGGTCGGCCAGTGAAGACTGGAGCTCTTTGACGAAAACGTCTTTGGTTTCAAATAATGTAATCAGACTGCCGATGACGTCTGTATTTGTGGATTTCACGTAGTCCGGTGCTGCGTCCACGGGGTCTGGGACCCAGTCCATGTTGTCCCACTCGAACTCGCTGTCGTCTGCAGCACCATTCCCTGTGTTGTGTCGGCCTAACTCTGTAGCCAACTCTGTAAGCGTTTCTGGGTCCGGGCCGGATAGTTCCCCATTTTCGCTCACGGTGTCACTGAGGAGTCCGGTCACGATCACCCTGACAGTATCATCTCGCTCTCGTAGGTACCGGCGAATTTTCCTGGTCACTCGATCCAGCAGCACGCCTTTTGGATCGAGAATCCGAAAGGACCGGATAATCGAGATGTACAGCTGAATAATCTCAATGGTTGACGCACCCGGATGCAGGAGACGTGTCTGGAGTACATCTGCAAAGTTGTGAGTCAAGTATCCTCTCGTGGCTGGGTTGGTAGTGAAACGTCTCAAATCCTCTATGGCCGGTGCCGTATTATCCCAGTCCACGATGATCTCAAAGAGCTCGTCGACTCGAAGAGCGCCTAGACGGGCCGTTGCCATGTCTTTCCACTTTTTCAATTCAGTCTCTGGAAATGGTGTGCCTCTAGGGTGGTCATCCAGGGTGCAGACAGCCTTATGAGCGACCCTGGCGAACAAATGTTCCATCCAGAATTCAAGGTGAATATGAAGATGTTCAAGGTAGACCCCAGCATAAGACCAGGTGATGAACTCTGTCATCAAGTCATTGAGAACGGCCGCAAGTAATTTCTTGACTGTTTCAGTCCCGATGACTGAGCGCCATCTAACGAGATCGCTCCAGACGGAGGATTTGGCTTCTTTTGAATTCTGAAATTTATGATCAGCTGGTGTTGGTCGTCGGATTTGGTCGGCTGGCGGACTAGATTCAAAGTGACTATGAAATGGTCCTCCAGCATCTGAGACCCATCGATTTATCCCATAGACGAAGTCTTTGTCTTCGATGCCGAGCAGCAATTTGAGATGTGCGTGCAATGCTGTTCTGATGTCCGGGATAGTCAAGGTGGCGGCGGGAGTGAAGCGTTGACGATGTTGGGGTGGTTTGATGCCGGAGGGTGAGAAGACTGAGGCAAAGACTCCGCCGCCGGGCGAGGAGTCCGAAGCTAGATTCTGCTTTTGGGACATTACAGCGGTGGTATTAAAGTGCTCATCATAGTGAACCTCATTGATGGTTTCCAGTCTTTTGGCTAGTTGGTGGATTGGGCCATCTTGCAGAAAGTGTTGGCCAGGTCGACGCGCTTGGTTCAAAGTTGACAAAGTGATGCTACCGGGTCGTGGATGCCAAGAGATTAGATATGATTCAAGCGCTCTCGGCGTCAGCCTCGCGACGAGGTCAATTGAGGGCCATTGGTTGCTTCTGTCCAAAGCAGCCTTGTACGATCGGTTCTTCTCTTCAAGAATCAATCTGCGTCCGGAAAGCGATTGCCAAAAATTTACTTATTTAATTGTTACCCCCCCCCCCCCCCCCCTTCTGAGACTCGAACCGTGGGCTAACGTCGCAAATTCTCGACGAGGCTCGCCAAGCCGCGCTCTGTCAGCCTCGTCATGTAACATGTAGCCAATCAGATGCCGCCATTTGTGCCATTCTCACTGAGATAGTGACCATGCGGCGGTTCGGTTGGTGGGCCCCTCCTTGGACGTTTGAATTGCCTGAATGCAATATGGGGTATGCCCTCAGTGTCTGCACTCACAAACAATAAAAACGATTCTAGTGTCATAACTACCTATGATGAGAACGATTTCATGCTTATGGTTTGAAGGGAAGAGTATGGTGGAAGATCGTGTGTCCGAACTTTTTGCCTTTTGTACCGATGGTTGATGGATTTCTTGGATTTCTGCCTTTGTATTCATAATGTCATTTCCCATCATTGAACGATCCGAACAGTCCTCGATTCAGCGACTGAAGAGTCCTCTCCTTCCGCCTCAATGTAAACCCGTGGATTTGCTGAACAACCGTTGTCTTTTCTTCTTCATGATTCAGGTCAGTGATCATATCCTGGTTTCTCACGCCCAGCAGTGAGGAATCGACGACCATGCTTGCGGCCAAGTAGTCCCGAATCGAGAGAGCTTTGTTCAACTTAATTAGGAGCCATTGACGTTTCTCGTCAAGATACTTTCTTATCGCAAAGCCAGAAGCTGCCATCACACTCTTCCGCCCAATCTGCAGCATAACCTTGCCGAACACGCCCTCTCCTCTGTCCAATTAACCCTCGTGTGCTTATTTCGCCCCCATGCAAGTGCTCCGCTTCTATGCCATCGTTCGCACAAGACTACCCCGAAGTAAGAACCCATAACTGCTCGCGGCTCACCCCGTTTTGGGACAAGGGCGATAGCAGTCTTGTGTTCTAACGGTGACCAGCAGTGCTGGAGGGTAAAATCAACTTAATCATTGTAGATCGGACCCGACCGTCGGGCAAAGTGTCGTGCCTGGAGCTCAGTCGGAAACGGTTATAGTCAACGTTGAGGGCGTTGAGAAAGCATGATTCATGGAGGGTGGTGATTCTTCCAAGTCCTTCACCTTGACCCTTTACGTTCACTCGCTAAATGAAGGCTTATACCCAACGCCATCAAGAAACTCATGCCGGATGCCGAGAATATATAACATTTAGAGAATATCTCCGCGACCGTTGCCTTTGGTCAGACCTCGTTTGGGCAATCCCTTTTTCTCTTCCCCGTCTCGCGAACTCCTTTACTTTGTCAAGCCGTTTCCGGTGCTCATTCCCCCGTCAATGGTCAGATTGATTCCGGTAATATACGAAGCACCATCTGACAACAGGTACACTAAACCAGCAGTCAGGTCGGTCGTCTGGCCAATTCTTTTCATAGGTGGTGCTTCTTTGAAATAATGGTTGATCTCAGGTCTAATTTTCGCCAGATTCAGGTTCAGATCAGTTTCGATATATCTGCCATAACTATCAGACATTGCTGAAGTGCGATCAGGGCAAACTGTAGAACTGGAGGAAAATTATGTGCCTCTCTTTCCGAGTGGACTCCGTACAAGCAAAGCAATATGGGCAAGAGGCCATTCTTACCCGGGACTTATGCTGTTGACTCTGATTCCGGTGGTGGCCAGCTCGTGAGCAAGCTGCGTACAAAAACGATTTCACAAATCCTTTGCTCCCTCCATACGCTGTGAGCATGTGCCCAGGACACGAATGTGATGCCGAAGACGAAGCGATCATGACGATACTTCCTCTACATCCGGTTTCCTCCTGAGGCTGAGACACGAACTGCCGAGTGGCCAGTTGAGCTGCGAAGAATGTCCCAGTTTGCTGGTTCATGGTCAGACCCGGCGAACATAGCCTATCGGAGGTAGTACTTGCATTGACCGCGGTGACCCTTGCTAGATCTTCCCACTTGACGAAAATGTTAATAGCCGCACTCCATCAATATAACGTAGAGCACGTACGGTATGATCAAGGAATGCCTTGTCGGTGCCGATGCCTGCAGTAGTCACGCTAGAATGTCCAAAAGCCACTAAAAAGATGATCTACCAGTAGCTGCTGCGAAGTCGTAGACGTACCATCCATCAAGCTTTCCTCCCAGCGCATTGATAGCTTCTGCAAAAGCAAGCTCCAGGGAATCCTTTTTAGTGATATCACACCTAACAGCAGATATTTTAGTACAATCCTTGCTCCACTGCCTGAGGAACCCATCTGCAAGACTATCCGTTCGAAGAAGCATTAACCAAATCACTCACACAAAATAGGAACACCTCCCAGGTTGTTGTATCAGGGCTTGGCAGTTCGGGTGAGGCTCAGACAGAATATCAAGAATGCTGACATCTCCACCGGCTTCGACGATTGCCTGACAAAATGCAAGACCGATGCCCCGTCCGCCCCCTGCATTGCGTTGGTATTCAAGAAGCACACAATGAGCAGAGGAAAGGATTGCGCATTCTTCCACGAACCTGTCACAATTACTTTTTTGCCTTGGAGAGTGGCCATTTCGATACACTCCTCGATATGGAGCTGATCGATTGAGATATAACGGGTGCAGACCCCATTTTGCCCTGTGAGATGTGCTCCCCAAAATTATATCTTCCGTAGCGAGTCTGGGGGTTTTTTTTGGGTCGGAAACCAGGTTCCGGCAACCAATCAGGAAACGTTTCTCGGGGGAGGCTACCTCGGGTAGTGATTGGAGGAACGGAATAAGAAAGTAGCGAAATAGTTTTGTGTTTTCCTATCTTCCTTTTGGTCGAGGATGTTCTGTTTCTCCCTCATGGAGCAGCGGAACCATGTTTCTGACGACGCAAGTACGTCTCAGTCACAAAGGCTTCGATACTTTCATAGCAGAAAACACTCAAAGGACAAGTATAGCTTAAGATTTTGCGTTGTCATCAGCGTCTTTCAAGCTCCCCTGTCTCGAGTGTATGGGTGAATCATAGGCATTCGTATCTTTTCGGCTTTCGTTTCAACGGAGTCGGATAGCTCTGCCAGAACAATAGCGAAGCGACAACGGGCCCGAAGTTAAAACATTACAATGGCAGAAATTCTGATGGATGGTTTGTTACAACATATTTCTTCCGCTGACCTCGTGAGGGATTCTGCCTGAGGCTATGCTAAGAACTAGAGTATAAGAATGAAAGAGATGAACGACCATCTAGTCTCGTCAGGGAGTATGAGAGCAACTTTCTTTTTCCTTCATTGTACTGTTGAAACTTCCCACGACGGCCCTAATGGTCATATTTTTGATCTCACTTGTCCTGGTTGCCGATGGTCACACTTTTGATAACCTGATATTCATCCATCCCGTAAAGACTACCCTCGTGGCCGTGGCCGCTCTCTTTCACTCCTCCGAATGGTGCCTCGGCGGCAGAGATCTTGCCAGTATTGCAGCCGACCATTCCCACCTGCAGATCCCTCGCCACACGTAACACACGGTTGACGTTCCGGGAGTAGAAATACCCTGCCAGGCCAAACTCGGTTTCGTTGGCAATCCGCACCACATCAGCTTCAGTGCCGAAGTTGAATATCGGCGCAAGTGGCCCAAAGGTCTCCTCGCGGGCAACTAGCATATCTGTTGTCACACCCGACAGGACAGTGGGCTCAAAGAAGAATCCTGCTCCAGGTCCCGCTCCGCCGCCACATTCCAGGGTTGCCCCCTTGTTGGTAGCATCGCGGACATGTTCTTCCACTTTTTGCACCGCAGACCTATTCACCAGAGGCCCTTGTGTTGTCGATGGATCAGACCCTGGGCCGACCTTCAAGGCTTTGACTCTAGTAACAAGCTTCCTCGTGAATTCCTCGACAACGTTCTTTTGCACGAGGAGTCGGTTTGCGCTGTCATGGACAATTTTTAGTAAATCGGGCTTATCTGATCTGGCGTGGCTGGGAAAAGTTTCACGTACCAAACACAGGTTTGACCTGAACATCTGAATTTGCAAAACATAGCCCCGTCTACAGCGAGGTCCAAATTGGCGTCATCAAATACGATGAACGGGGCGTTCCCTCCAAGTTCAAGGCTCATCTTTTTCAATGTCCCAGAACCAATCCTCGCCAACATCTTGCCTACATTTGTCGAGCCGGTGAAACTGATTTTCCTTACCAAGGGATTCTTCGCAAGTTCCAACGCTGCCTCTCTATCCTTGGTGGGTCAAACTTGAATTACCCTGGGAGGAATCCCTGCCTCCACCGCCAGCTTTGTCAAGGCAAGGCAGGTGAAGGGAGTTTCACTGGGTGGTTTGATGACCACCGCGCAGCCGGCACCTAATGCTGGAGCAATTTTCCGTGTGATCATGGCGGCAGGGAAATTCCATGGCGTGATGATCCCACACACGCCCACAGGTTTTTTGGTCGTGAGGACCGTCGTATTCGGAGTGGAAGATGGTATGGTTACTCCATAGCCACGGGTGGCTTCTTCGGCAAACCATGCGACGAAACTGGCAGCATATAGCACTTCCCCTTCCGCTTCGGCGTATGTTTTGCCATTCTCTAGGCACAGTATCTTTGCCACTGGTGACTCACGTTAATTCCCAGATTCTCTTCCCTGGGCAAGGTCGCGGTTGACTTACACATTGTTTTGTTCTCATGTATAAGATCGTTCCATTTGCGGAGGAATGATCCCCGTACGGCAGCAGTGGTATTGATATAATATTCTTTCTGAGCTTCTGAGGCATCTTCGATCGCAGTCTGAAAGTCCATCAGGCCGCAGTTCGCCACTTGACCGAAAGTGGTAGCACTTGATGGTTCTTGGTGCTCAGATCAGCTTGATGGTGTGCTCAACGTGGCTCCCGGGCCGGAGACCTACCTATAACATCAAACAAACTGTCGGCCTTAACCCATTTCCCTCCAATAAATGCGTCTTGGATGAAAAGATCAGATTCCCTAACCTGACGTCTGGTTCATCAGCCTAAGCATTGCGATAACAAGATGGAAACAATCGTACCAGCTTCATGTCGTTCGTTATTGGCGACGACAAGTCCTGGTATTCACCCATGTTCGTCCAGGTACTTCACAATTTGCTCAACAGTTCGCAAGAGAAGAACTATTGCTTTACGACAATGACCTTGAAGATTTGGGGAATTTGCCAGAGCCTTGCAGGTGAGTTGACTTTTGAGGAGCTTCCGACCAAAATCCGTGCTCGGAATCCATTTTCCGGGGGGGGCAAGACATTAAGGGGCACTGGGTGATAATCCGTGCGCGCCTTTCCCTGCTCTGGGAAGAAATTGTCCCGGTGGACAACATGGTTTACAAACTCTGGTTCAGACTGGTCTTGAGGAGATGAAGAGAATGGGTTGTTCCACTGCTGCCATCTTGGGCCAAAGGCAAAGGCTACTAGACTACTATTACCCGCTGTCCACTGCAAGCCTGTGGGGCCATCCCCAATAAGAGAGTATGGCACAATGGCCGGGGCTGGCGCTGGGGATGCGGGGTTGGAGTCGACAATCATATGCCTCCTTCGGTCCTCCTGTCAGATCATGCCACTGACATTCCGGGGCCCTTTGGTTGCAATTATTGCATTTCCTCAAACCAAGCCAATATACTCTCTGTCGTTGCCGCTGCCGCTGCCTAGCATGGAGCGCCGACATGTAACAACTGCCTGCAATGCGTGTCGAGAAAACAAAACCAAGGTGCCCATCCATGAGAGCTGACCAATGGACTCAGGCTGATTTGAACATAGTGTGACGGCAGAAAACCCTCGTGCGAATATTGTTTGAAACGGAGAAGGACTTGTCAATATTCGACCAAGGATGATAAGCGGAAGTATGTTTTCCTTCTTGCCAATATGTATTCAGGATTCCAGCAGTGGCAGAGGATCGCTGACTGTCAATCACAGAGTCCGGTTGAGAGCAGCGGTACAGATACTTTTTGATCGAGTAGAGGTCCTCACCCGACTCGCCATGCAGCATGATTTACACATCCCGAACCTGAGCCCCGGTGACCAGGAGCTCTTGGAAGACGTTCAGAAGACCTTAGATATATCCCAGAGCGCAAGCATCTCACTCAAGTCGGTGGCTACTCCTGTTAAGCAAATTAATGAGGACCTGACAAAATCTGGTCCAAACCTCGATTGGCACTTAACACCCCCCCAAGAGTCCACCATCCTTCAAACGGTGGAGATGAGCACGAGTAATACTTCGAGAATCCCACTTCAGAACAATGACACGGACTTGATGGAGTTAGTGCCAGGCCAGCCACTCCATGCCGCGTTTCCAGGAGACGATTTTATCTGGGCACAATTTCAGTCCCCTAGTTTCTCGCTCGACCACCCATTCGACTGGCCATGGGAAGTTCAGTATGATTTCTCAGCCCTAACTTCTGACCCTTGTGAGATGCTCTTCACCTCCACGGAAGATTCGCAACTACGCCAAGCGGATCACACGGAGGCTGCGAAGAGTGGAAGGTCCCGTGTCGTCTCAAACGACAACTCAGAGGACGAAGCCGATACCCATTTTGTCATCCAATTAGCCACCCGTCTGGGATCACTGCGTGTTACTTCGGATGGCGCTTTGCGCTACTATGGCTCTCAGTCTAACCATCATCTGCTTGGAAACTCGCGGATGGTAGAAGAGCCTGTTGAAGTTCGAAACATACATCGTGATGGTCAGAGGATGCTCGAGAAGGCTGGTTTGGGAGCGGATGTCCCAAACGGCCTGCAAGAAAACCTGATTGAGCTCTTCTTCAAGTGGCACAACCCATGTCATTTGACAGTCGATCGCAACATGTTCGAGTTCGCCCAGAAAGGGGGAAAACACGGAGAGCGGGAATATGCATACAATTCCCAGGCGCTCGTAAATGCTATGTATGAACCTTGTGAACACGCTAAGAGACAGTGACTGACCGAGGTAGGTGCGCTCTTGGCGCCGCTTTTGAAGCTCGCTACCACCACTCTTTCATAACCTTCCCGAAGCCACTGGCCGAGTTCTTCGCGGACCGAGCAAAGATCCTCCTTGAACTTGAACTAGACTCTCCTTGCATTTCAACCATTCAAACTCTCCTCCTGTTGAGCAGCCACGAAGCTGCCCGGGGTTGCGATGCGAGAATGTGGTTATACAGCGGTGAGTCGGGCACAGAATCTACCGAACGGCAGACTCATCACATTGACATCCCCCAGGCATGGCAATGAGACTATGTTTTGACATTGGCCTACATGTTGATAGTACTCCGTATGTGGAGCGAGGCTTGATGACTCCGATGGAGGCAGAGGCACGCTTGACAACCTTCTGGAGCAGTTTCGTGGTCAATAAGTAAAACTCTCGGGACCCTACCAATTGGGCAATAACATCCTGACCAACAACCAAAAAGCCTTTGGTATTTTGATCTAGGGCGGCCATTCCGCATTGACAGCGAGGAAATATCCGTCGGGCAACCTGCTAGTCTGCTCGATGAGAAAAACAGCTCTTGGAGACCCGATTCCACTCTCTTGCATCATTATGACGAGACAGCCTCCAGTCAAAGATGCCATGACCGACGCTTGCTGATCCTCCACCAATGGGTCGTTCTCTGCGAAGATGTTGTGCCTCTGATCAGAAAACTGTATGTTGTTTCTTCCCTGCGAGTCCCCACTGATGTGTTGTAGATATGGATGTGCTCGAATATCCAAGACGGCCCTGCAGAAACTGTCCTTTGAAACAACAAGTCGACTCTTTCAGTGGCGCAAAAATTCTCCCGAAATAGAAATTGATGAAACTGAAAGAACGATATCAATAGAGATCCTCATGGTGTAGTAAGTTTTAGGGAACACAATAATATGCTCACGCTTGCTTCACCAGAGATTCTGACAACGAGGTTTCTAGCATGGCATATCATCATTTTGTGATATTGCTTCACCGTCCGTGGACCTCCAAAAAATCCCAGCCACCAGAGAAGATTGGGCCTGGATTTAGACACGCCCGAAGTGTCTGCAGCGAATCGGCGATGGAAGTCGCAAAGTTACTTCGACTGTACGAGAAATTCTACGGATTCCGTCGCATGAACGTGTATGCCGTCAATGTCATCTTCTCGGCATCCTTGATTCTCATATTCCACATGATTAATGAGCCGAATTCACATAGCTCTAGCTACGAGGACGATCAGATCACTGTGGATTTGAACACCTGTTTCCGTGCTATGGATGAACTGAGCCAGGGATTCGAGAGCGCCAAGCGTGTGAGACAATCTTTATTTGCTCTACAGAGGCAATGGACCGAATTGCTTCAGGATGTAACTTCTAACTCGAAAAGGAGAGCTGGGTCACCGCCTTGGGCGGTCCCGCCGCTGTCAAAACGATCGGCGATCTGATAAATGGATCATAAGTATCAATCTGGTCCAATGACGACACAAAAGAAGAGTCATACTGTATTTGAGATCATCTGTACTTTGCTTGGACATGATTCAATGTCACATAAAAGTTTGGGTTTTGACAGGAAGCGTGTTCGTTTTCAAAGACAAGAAAAGGAGTTAACAGCAAAATCGAGGTCTGGTTCGTGGCATGCCTCCCATCGAATCCCTTCCACAATGCAAGAGAAGAAAACAAGCGGAACTAACATCATCATGGAAATCGATCTCCCGATGATCTGTCATATCATATGCCTTGCGAAATTGGCAAAGCAAGTTTCAGTGGTAGATGTAACCAGATCCCACGGCGAGTGGTTGAAGAGAAGGATGAGGTCTAAGTCGGACGCCAAACTTAATGATGGGCCCCCAAGCTTACTCTTCAACGGTAACTGAAGTATTTGTCGGGGTAGAAGAGTCGGTTGTGTGATGGTTGACACAAGGAGTCTTTAGATCCTTCGGGTACTTATTCGCTCCATCTTGACCAACATTTTCCTTGGATATAACAGTGGAACTTGAATGATTGATGATCGAGTTTGGTTGTTTTTTTCCCCAAGGCAATTCACCGGCAATTCTATCGTTTGTCTGGAGGGTATTTCTTGAAGTTTTCGAGGATCTACGAGCAAAGATCTCAGCAAGTCACCATGGAAGGAGCCGATGGCAAGGATTTGCCGGGTCATTTTGCAAAGGCATACGTGAGACCTTTTCGTACTGCATCGAGTTCTAGACGGGTCCGAAGAATACTCGAACCGGTCTACTACCGTGGCTCTTCTTACCACTTCCTCAAACGCTTTGATCTTCTCAGGTGCCCTTTCTCTCCCATCGTTCCACCAGCTAGCTACTCATTCGATTCAACTTTATAATAGCGGCTTCGAAGGTATTGACGGACTGAACTTTTCTATTCCACGGCGCGGTTCTGCTCCATTTCTCTCATAATGTCCGCTTCAATTTGTCGTCGACGTTCGAGCTCCTCAACGCTACTCGTGTCTTTGAAGACGCTGTCCATCTGTTCCAGCGTTCTCCCGTTTGTCTCTGGAACGAAGAAATACACCCAAACAAGTGAAAGAGCACAAAATGACGCGAAGAAAATATAAGTTCCAAACCCAATATTCTGAATCATCGGAGGAGTAATCAAGCCCTAGCAAAATCATGTGTGAACCCAGAGTTCGTTGTCGGGTCAATTGAATAGGGCTGGAGATCAACTTACAATGATAAAGTTATTTCCCCAATTCGACATGGTGCTGAAAGCACAGCCTTTTGCTCGCAGCGACGACGGAAAAATCTCCGCTGGCATGGCCCAGGGAATAGGTCCCCAGGAGCACCCGAAGGCCAGCATGAAGACAAAGAGGGATGCAGTGCTTGTCCACGCAGGTCCTTGATGATCGGTCCATTTTCCATTGAATTTGGCCACCAAGACAGCGATTATGAGATGGGAGATGAACATTCCGACACATCCTACAAGGAGCAGCAGACGACGGTCATATTGATCTAGGGCCCAAAGCGACCACACCACGGCAACGACTTGACAGATGTTGAGAACACCGGACATGTCTAGCTGCATTTGGTAGTCCAATCCCATCGTTTCAAATAATGTAGGTGAGTAGTACTAGATCGATTGATTAGCTTCAGTAAGCTGGGAGGACTTGCGGAACACGAACGATGAGGGCATTGATCCCCACAAATTGCTGAAAAAACATCATGACCACACCGACGTGTGTCCTCTTCAGGGCAGGCTTCTTCCAACAGTCGAGATATCCCAAAGTCTCAAGTTTGATCTTGTCCCACTTGCCGGTCGATTGTGCCAGTTGAGGGTGCTTTCTCTCGGCGAAGTTCTCTCTGGTACATGGCATCTGAACGAATTTCATACCATTCTTGTAGAACAAGTTCAGCCGTGACGGGGAGGCGGCGGATTTGGGCCAAGACAGACAAGGACTCGTCAGTCCTTCCTCTGAAAGCCAGCCATCGGGGAGAGTAAGGAAGAAAGAAGACACCCAACACCAGACCCAAGGCTGGGATGACCTGAATCAGGAATGGTAGTCGCCAAGCCCACATACTTGGAACATACCGAGTACCATAAGTAGTGTAGAAAGCAATGACAATCCCAACAACGATGCTCAACTCCTGCAGAACGAGGAGAGCTCAAGCATAGCTGTCATCAGCCCTTTCATGAATCCTGCGCCAGCTGCAGTTGGTGAAACTTCTGGGAACTCTTGGAGGAACTGGGGCATGACCAAGGTGATGGAGACGACGCCTTGACTGTCGTATCACATATTAGTAGATCTCTTCGAAAAACTTCCGCAAGCCACTCACTCGTAGCCAAACAGCAAACCGCCAGTAGTGGCGAAGAGAGAGCAGATGAACACATATTTTGAAGAAAAGAGGCCCGTTAACCCTATGGAAGCTCGGTCAGCTCGCCTTCTTACGGAAAAGGGGGAGATTAACGAGTCACGTACCTGGTTTTGTATAGGTCCGGCGCAACTGCCAGACTGCCGCGTCGGTGTGGGAAATCTCGTGGACCGTTGATTTATGGTGTTCGGGGACTTCAGGAACAGTCTCCTTGTGGACTACACCCTTTTCCTGGCTTGCTTCTTCGGTGTATACTTCAGACATTGTGGTCCTTGAACATCTATTCTGGGCCTTTGTGTGCACAGGTAGAAAAACAGAGACAAGAGCGGTGTGCTGTCACCAGAACAGTCTCAATGAACTAGGGTGCAATTGTGACTTCGTCCGGAGAATCTGGGGAATTGGACATATATTGTATACGCGAGATAGAATCAAGCAGCACTGTGGCCCGAAGGAGATTCATGTTCAACAACCGTCAACTGATTTCGAATTCCAAGTTCCGACTGATCCGCAGGGTTTCGTTGATTCTCACCACATTTTGAAGAGATCGGAATGACTGCAAGACACCCGCATTATTTTCTTGTTTCCAATACATACATGGGTGTCTAGGTAGTATTCGTCACATTCTTGAGGCTTGTCTGCCCACCAATAGCAATAACTCGATAGAGCGCTATGGACGCAGGCACAGACCTGGCATCAATGGTGGAAAGTCCGTAACTGTAAGAATCTCCGACGAGGACAAAGGTGTTCGACTATCGATCAGACCAATGTCTGGAAGAATATCCAACGTCCCTGGCGAGAAAGGGTGAAATCAATAAACGTGATAAGGCCACCAAAGTTGCACAGGCCCGTTGGTCTTCAGAGCCCCGGATAGAGGCGCATCTATCAGAATACCTTACTTCTAGAAGGAACGTCCGTCAAGGCAGAATCAAGACGGCGCCCTTATTCTATCCAACCTCTACTTCGAGTATCAAGTAGAACGCCCTGTGAAAGTCAAGATCCCCTCGAGTTTTGTCAAGTATTCGTCAACAAGAGTTGTGGTGCGAATTCTACCTTGATGTGTAGTAAAAATCCCGCACTCCAAGGCCACACAGGGAATGAAAGCGTATGCAAGAGGAGGGTTGCTCAAGTTCCAGATGCTACACTTGGTTTCCTCAGTCTTCCGTTCGTACCATTCAGAATATTGAGAAACACACGCAAGGGTTCGGGTTTCTCGGGATACTGAACCCGATCAACTGACTCTGCTGTACATTGACCATCCTAGTTCCCCGTTTTGCTACGTTTCCTGGATACGATGGATAATATCCACCGGAAGACAGACTGGAAACAGGATCATTAGGAAGAACCTGTAAACAGATCCAATCATCTTCTTGTTGATGGAGTCGACATTACAGATGCACATGTCCCCTCCCCCTCTGTCAGGGACAGGCTCGCCAGCAGGCTGCAAAGACGTCAAAAGGATACCTATCTATCTATATGGATGCAGGGCCGACATCGACTTCCACGCTTGGAAGTCGGATAGGGGTATCCTGCGTAACGCATGCTATATACATGTTCTTGGCATTGGGTCTTGGCGCCCCATGACACCCTTCCTTCCCGTTCCCCCATTCTGTTGACACCAGAGACGTCAAGCAATCAGTGGGTGTATATCGATCGTTGTTGAGTGCTCTCCCTGTTTGACAACTGGACCTGCCAGATTGCGAGTATATACATACACGTTTAGTTGGCCCCTTTCTCACTCTTATCCTTACCCCTATATCCTGAATAGGAATGGTAAACCCCTTTTTCCAATAGCGGGGCACTAGCAACTGTTCAACAATAGGATACCCTGAAATCGTTGAGCGTCTTCTGAGGCCATTACTTGAAACTACCCATGAACAGTAGAAGGACTTATTCACGCTTCGATCGTCTGATATTCTGCTGTTGACCTGTGGTCAGCGCGGGGTGGTTGTATGCTAGGCTACAGCACCATTGACAGGCAGCGCCGCTGACGGGCACTGCTTAGATAGGTGTATAAATGAGCTCTATCCTGCATTCAATTGGAGAGCCAGAGAGCATTCTTTCAATTCAAGTTGCACAAAAGGTTTGACATCTGCCTACATCCATTATTCCATGACCGTAGCTTTGAAGTGGCCAGCAAGACGGTATGTATCAAGGCGAGATAGACATTTTTCCAACAGAATCTCAGTTTGACCAGGACGTATGAGGAATGCAATTTATTGCTCCTTTCTAATCCAAGCGCCGCCATCCAGCCATCCGTGCATTTTGACCGTTAAGTTCGCCCAGATAAGCTTTAACCTTTCTCAAGATTCCGGCCGTGTCGAGTCCAAACCGCTCATAGTTACTTGGATTGGAGGCCGAGTAACCGTAGCCGTTCATCCCTATACTCGCTGTCACGTAACGAGCCCAAGTGGTTGCCACGTATTCTTCCACACTGATTATGGGATTTCCGTCTAAGGCAAACACCTCATTCCGGTACGTTTGGTCTTGTTGATCGAACAGAGCGAAGCAGGGTGCACTGACTAACTTGATCGGCATTCCTTCATTTCCCAACGCAATGGCTGCCGCAGCTGCATAGTGCAGGTTTGTCCCACAGCTGACGAGGGTGAGTTTTGCGTTGGGAGGGTTTTGGAGGATATACGCTCCCTTGGAGACCATATTTCTGCTCGTATTAGGAACAGGTCCTACAGGATCACGGCCCAAGGATATCATTGACGGCTTCGTGCGTGTGTCCATTGCAATTTCCCATGCACCGATGACTTCCTCGGCGTCACAAGGGCGGATATACAGGATGTTGGGCATCGCTCGATAAAGAGAATCGACCTCGACGGCTTGATGAGTCGGACCGTTTTGCCCTTCGGCGAATGAATCGTGAGTTGCAAAGTGGATCACTTGTAGGTGCGAATGTGCACCCATTCGAACACCTGGTGCAGCCTGTAAAGCATGTAAGTTCCCATCGGCGTACCCTAGGTCACTAGGAAACCTACATAGAGATAGAACATCAGGAAAGTAGCAGTTGTAGGCAAGAAAGTCCCTGGGTTGAAAGCGGCGATTCCATTCGAAATAGAAGCCATGGCATGTTCGCGGATACCATATGGGATATAACGGCCAGCGTAGCCGGTTAGAGGGTGGAATACGTCGTTCTCGCTATAGTAGAACTTGTTGGAATTCACCCGGTCGGCACCTCCACCACACATGGCTGGACAGGCCAGCCAGATCTTCTCTATTAATTTTCCATTGATCTCACGGGTAGCTTGACCTTTGAATTGAGACGGGTCGAGACTCTTGAGAATGGCCTTGTACTCCGTACCGAAATCACCAGTCATGCGTCGGTGAAGCTGATCAGCCTTGTCGGGAAATTTCGCAGCATACTGCCTGAAAAGAGACTGCCAATAGCTTTCGAGTTTCTCTCCATGAGTCTAGCGCTCTCGGAAGTAGGCTAGTGGACCTGGCAGGACCTGATGTGTCGTTCTCGAATCCTGCCCGGCCGTGATCTTTGACCTTTTTACGCTCTCCGCGTCGAAAAAGCCATGATGTGCTTTTGCTGTTCCAGCAATCTGAGTACTTAACCCGATGATTGTCTTGACGTTAACGAAGACAGGTTTTCCCCGTCAAGGCTTTTGCGTACTCCAAGGCTTTGACGATCGCCTGGACGTCGAAATTTCCATCGGCCACCTCCAGCACCTGCCACCCACACGCTCTCATTTTGTCGTTAATACTCTCACTATTGATCCAAGCGAGCGGGCCATCGCAGGTCACGGAATTGTTGTCATAAGTCAGAATCAGGTTATCAAGTTGGAGGTGACCTGCCAGTGATATCGCTTCCAGTGCGACTCCTTCCATTAGGCATCCGTCTCCTGTTGTGCAATAGACTCGTGACTGGATGATTCCTAAGTCTGGTTCATTGAATCGAGCCGCTAAGTTTTTCGACGCAATAGCTAGACCGACTGAATTTGCGACACCTTGTCCTAAGGGACCTGTAGTAACCTCAACACCAGGAATCTCAATCTCCGGATGGCCATGACAGATTGTCGTTGCACCACTTGTCTCTGCACTTCCATATCGTTGGAGCTCACCCATGGTGAAATTCTCGTATCCGGTCAAGTAGTTCAATGAATATAGAAACATAGCGGTATGTCCTGGGTCCCAATCTCAGTGGGATTTGTCAATGACACTTGGAATCGTGGGCCCTCACCGTTTGACAATACAAAACGATCTCTATCAAACCAGTTCGGGTTTGATGGGTTGTAACGCATAATGTACTTGTAGAGCGCCACGCCAATCGCACTCATCCCTATAGCAGAACCACCATGGCCTCCATTCTGGTTTGTAATGTCGAAGAGAAGATTTCGGAGAGCCAAAACCGCGTGGTCATCTTCGTTCAAATTGGCACGCCATCCGTGGTCGTTGACAGTCGGTTTTCCTTCGCCGGTTTCTAACCCGTTTGCCGTCAACTTGTCCCTGTTTTGTGGGACCTTGGAGATTATCGTGGCTTCGTCGAACCTCCCTAGATGCTGGTCCTCTACATGAGACGGCATAGTTCTCGATGGTCTGCGGGACAGTGATTTTGTGGCCGAGGAGAGACCTGCAAGTTGAAAAGTTGTACGTGGGAGAGGCTCTCTCGTGGGATCGAAAACTTGACTCAGCCCAGCGGACAATCCATTTCTAAAGGCCGCAGAAATTTCAGCAAGGTAAAGCTTCCTCTCTTATTGCCGCAGTCTATTCAAATTCGTCATTGAACGGTGTCGTGTCCGTGATATTCGCCGGAATTGAGACAACGGAAATGTCGACACAGCCATCGGGAAAGAGATTCCGATTTGCTTTATCTTCCACATGGTAAGATACTCAGTCACGACATTGATCTAAGATCACTAGATTTTACTACCAGCACAAAATATTCCCATCAAGATCTTTTCCAAGAATCCATCCAAGAACATCCATGATGAACGGACAGGTGACGCAGACCGAGCAAGCTCTGAAAGTCGATACAGACAGTTTTCTTCATCGGACGGTTCGGGATCTATTTTCCCTCGCTGGTCGGACCATTGTGATTACAGGTGGCGCACGGGGCATTGGCCTTGCCTTAGCCTTCGCCGTGGCTGAGGTTGGGGCGAATGTTGCCGTGATTGACTTGTTGTCCGAGCCTCATCAACATTTCTACATGCTTCAGAAGGACTTCAACGTCAAAGTAAAGCTATATCGGTAAGGGGATCGTTTTGATGGTTGAATGATGGAACGAGCTGAAATGAGGGCTGAAGAAGTGACGTGACGAACCATGGAGCACTCAAAAACACTTTCGAGGAGATCTTTCGGGAGTTCGGACGAATTGATGGACTGTAAGTATGGACTAGAATCTGGTCCGAAACCAGGGAGCCTAATGGAGATCTTAGAATCACGGCCGCTGGGATATGCCCCGACGAGCCTTTCGTTCAACGAGACCCCGATTCTGTGGCGAAATGCCTCAACATCAATGTCTTGGGCACGTATTACGCTGCTCAGCTGGCAGCCAAGCAAATGATGCGCCAGCAGCCTCTTGACAACAGCAGTTCCTGTGGATCCATCGTCTTCATCGGCTCAGTGGCAGCATATACATTGAGCAAAGGACAGAACACCAGCGACTACTGTGCCAGTAAAGGAGCCGTTGTCGCTCTTGCAAAGGCCTTGGGAGTGGAGCTGGCACGGAATAGGATCAGAGTCAACAGTATTTCACCAGGGTATGTTAGACCTGCATTTATTTCAACGAATTCTAGGCCACGTTTTCTTGAAGACGATAACGACTAACAGTATCTGTGCAGGTATATGATGACAGATATGACTCTAAACCTCATGGAAACTTACCCTCACCTAGCTCATATCATGGCGACCGAACCTCCCATGAGACGTATGGGGGACCGAACCGATCTCAAAGGGTTGGCGGTATACTTATTATCTGATGCTAGTTCGTATACAACATCGGAGGATATTTTGGTTACTGGTGGTATACATGCTGGGCGTGTGCTTTGAGGTGAGCGTACGATTGCTTGATCTTGAGAGAATTCATAGAGGTGGTGCCAGAATTCAACGGAGACACCATTTTATGGGAAGATCGAATTGAAAATAGAGATCTGGAGTTTGCTCGCTTTGACCAGTATATGAGTAGCTAGCTCTACTATTGGGGGAAATTTGGTTCTTTTCGAAGAGTACGCTGGTATCCTGCCATTGGTTTTGTCCATCATCGTAAGCCCATTGCTTAGCATTGCGTTCCTTTCGGATGCTAAGGAACAAAGTGTTCAAGAGGATTAACTGGGGATCCATCGGATCTCGATAATTTATAGAATGACGAAACCCTTTTCACGTCTTCAGAGTAACCAATTCGTCCTCTGAGATTCCATGCACTTCAGACATCCTTGACATACGCTCTTGCCACTCTCACGGCCGACTCGTGCACTGCAGCCAACGACTCCCGATTGAGATACTGGCCAGCGGCTAGAAGCAACACCATTAATGCGAGCAACCGTGAATTGTCCGCTATATGTCGCTTCACCGCTCTCAATCGCCACAATTTGTCACCACCAACCAAGTTGAATACTTTCCAATCTGGAAAACATGTCCTCCACCAGAAAGAGATCGCCCTGCCAGGCCACGATGCAGCATTCCTACCATGGGCTCCAATGTACCAGTTGGAGCAGTCTCCAGCAAAGACCGTCTTTTGCAGACCCTGATGAATGGCCTGAGTTTCACGATCTTCCGCGGCTTGTTTGACTTCAATGATCTTGGCTCGCCCATCTAGAAGAGGGGTGAAAAGCGTCCGTACTGCATAATTGATCTGGGTCTCGCACGCAAAAAGAGCCGAATTGTTGGCAGGGAAGGTGTTTGGGCCAAACAAGATTGCCAGGTTGGGAAAATTGTGGACATATGTTCCCAAATAAGCCTGTGCTCCTCGAGATTCGTTCCACTGCTGGGCCAGAGATATCCCATGTGCACCGACAATCTCCATAGGGGCTAAAAATTGTGCCACTCGGAATCCGGTAGCGAGGACGATAATGTCGAAATCATCTTCAACCCCCCCAGAACTGATGATTCCGGTGTCGGTGATTTCGCGGATACCCTGATTTAAGAGCTCCACGTTGGGAAGGCAGAGGGAGTCCAGGTAATCAGGGTCAAAGATGCGTCTTTTACACCCAAGAGGGAACGTCGGCACGATCGAGTCCCAGTATCTCTGAGGGGCTCGGGAGCGAATATATCTTCTCGACTCTTCTTCAGCAGCCAGTCGGGCCTTGATTCCTCTGGGTGTAGGGAAATAAGTTGTCGTCTGTTCGTCGGCGTCCAGGAAGATCCGCAGCCGTACCAGTCTTTGCCAAAGGGGGAGCCACCGGAACATGAGTTTTTCCAGTGACGTGAATTGATGATTTGGACGGGGATGGTACCACTGCCCACTGCGAGCATATTGCTTGACGAACGCAGCTGTCTTTGCTACAGTGGGAACGACCTGTGCTGCACTACAGCCGTTCCCAATCACGGCGACTCTCTTTCTCGCATAGTCGACAGTATGATCCCAACGAGCCGTGTGAAACATTGCTCCCTTGAACCTGTCCATTCCCGGGAATCTGACATCTCGCGGATAAGATATGGCACCGACTGCTGAGACGAATACCGAAGCTGTCCTTGAGAACCCAATGCCGGTCTTGAGATCTTTCAAATGTACATCCCATTTGGACTTTTGCGAATTCCATGTGGCCCCGATGCACTCGACCTCGGTGTGGATGTGCTTGCGAAGATCGAATTTGTCAACGGTATCTTCCATATCTGTTGTCTTTTTCAGCCAACTGGGCCTGCTTTCAACGGATCCTTTTGCTTACACTGTAAGATTTCTGGTTGTTCGCAGAGCTCTTTTGACCAATCAGGGTTCAGATTGAAACTGAATGAATAGAGATGCGATGGCAAGTCGCAACCACTGCGAATCGATCAGGCTGAGAGTCAAACCTGTGGGCGATGGTGTCGTACCATCCTGGATATTGATTCGTCCTCCACGTACCTCCTGCTCCGTCGAGTTTTTCATAGATGGTGAAGTCCTCAAACTTCAAGTCATGTTTCAATCGATAGGCCATCGCAATGCCAGCAGGCCCGGCACCGACGACGATGGCGCTGAGGGTTTGATCATATGGAGACATATTGTCTAGATGAATTGAAGATGAAAGAGACCATTAGAAGACTAACTGGATGAAAAGTTGGTGATGCATGACGAGCGAGTTCTTGTGTTTTCATGTCTTCCCGTGGCCCTTTAACAAATAACATAGATCTCCTAATCACGACTGCTTTTCCATCGAGAGATTGGCCCGTGTGGATTGCTTCTATCTTCTAAAAGACCGTTTTCTGTGGACCAGAGTTAGGTTTTGTCGGAATCCAGGTCCCGAAACTGCATGTCGGGTGCAATACTAAATTCTGATATGCTTCCGTTTCTTTTGTTCCCTGTCAAAGTTTTCTCCGACCTGTCGTTAGATTAGGAACCTGGCCGCCGTAGAATATCGGTTTGCACAAGTTGAGAGAACTGCTGGTCCTCGGATACAAGGGGAGAATATGAAACCTTCTCATATCTTCAAAAAGCAATGCGCCACATTCGAAGCACTGCTGGAGCAGCAAAGCCTTCAACTGTTTTGTCATTGAAGTATACCAGGCGCATATGTATGATCTTCGATGACAGTAGAGCCAGAGGGGAGATCGAATTGGCTGATCACAGGGCTGTTTTTAGATATATTTGCTAAGATGAGCAGAGTGCCATCCGTTGTCGGTCAGAACGTTTTGAAAATGGAATTATCAGCAGAGGAAATCATTTATCTGCCAAAATTCGATTTTTTTCCCTACTTCTTATGTTATATGACTCTTGCTCCCTCACTTGCCGGATCTCTTTCAGTTCTGAACTACTACTTTAATCACTAGGTTCCCTTCTTCGTCCTGCGTTCGAGCAGCCAGAGCAAAGGCGTCCGGGACAGACTCTAAGCCTTTGAACTTGTGTGTGATTAGCTTCCTAGCATCTGCTTTCAGGTACTGTTGCTCGATCGATTCCATGATCTTGAGTGCAGTAGGATACGTATCTGCATATCGCCAGATACCTTTGAGATTTACTTCGCAGAATGCAGCCGCAGACACGGGCAAAGTCTGTATTGGAGTCCCCATTCCCACGAGAAGAACATCACCAGATGGACGACAAGCCTGTTGGGGTCTTCGCTTAGCCGAAAATGAGCGTCAACGGCTGGGCCAACTTACGTATATTGAGGTCCTCACCGAAGCCTCGACTCCAGTACATTCAAAAACGGCATCATATCCACTCCCTTCGCTGAGCGCAATCAGATTCGCAGCAGTTTCCTTCGATATGGCAAGATCTTCCTTAAGATCTTTACCCCTCTTAGGGACAATAGTATACTGAGCATCTACAAAACCATTGGTTTGTGCAAACTCTAGGCGACCAGGCGCTATGTCTGCGGCAACTATGCGCCTACATCCCCGATGTCGAGCAACGGCCGCACAAAGAAGACCAACAACCCCGGCTCCAATTATCAAAACTGGGGAGCCACTTCGGATATCGGCCTTTCGAAATGCATGGATCGCCACTGACAGAGGTTCGAGCAACGCACCATCATCAAAGGACATAGAATCGGGGATCCTCGTCACAGCCGTCTTCAGCTTGAGAGCGTCTCTGCAGGTGATTGTCTGTGGCTTACCTGTGACACCAACGAGCGGGATGGTTGACTTTCTCCTGCAATGTTCCTTGAAAATGCGGATAGGACGCTGCGCTGCTCCTAAAACGCAGGTCTGGACATACATTATATCGGCCGTCCTGGCAATGGAAACATTTTTCGCATGGGACGCCAACTTCCAGTGCAACCCGACCGCCGACTTTCAAATGGTCAACTTCGGTGCCCAATGCAACGATAATTCCAGCAGTTTCGTGTCCCTGAGTAAGAGGCTCCCGAATTATGATGTCTCCATTTGCATAATGCGAGAAATAATGAAGGTCAGAACCACATAACGGGGTTGACTTAATCTGTACTTGGACTTCTCCTGGGCCGGGTAGATCAATGGGTCTGTCAATCTACACAAATCGTTACTGTTGCTTTACACTATCGTACCGATCCCCAGGGGCAAAACTCACCAGGCGTAAGTTTTTAGGTCCGAATAACACCTGCGCTCGGCTTGTGCTTGAAGTAGACATCGTTTCAGCGCCTTTGACCTGCTAACCATAAAGAATTCCCATCTTCTCGACAAAATAATTTCCCTGTTATGCTTTGGGTAGAAGGTAACGGTTGTAAGATTTCGCTCTGGCTTTGGTATTGAGTTGACATGCTGCCCTACGGGACAACGATTCCGACATCTAACAAGTAGGGAAGCCGCTCTAATTCGGTTCGGATGTCGACTTGTGCTTATCGTGCTTTGCTTCTCCAGTCATGCAGAGACGGTATTCAGGATCGCATTCCATCTCGAAAGTAACATTAACATTGAGCAATAAAATGAGGATGTTGTTCTCCTAGGAACTGCTGTTGTGTCTTGCGTCTACCATAGAGCCTTAGACATGCGCACCAGACAGGGAGACTCAACAAATTCGGCTCTCTTACCCCTTATCACGAGGCTGTGCAAGGGTCTAGTTCACGTGCTGCAAGTAATCCGATGTTTTCAAATTCAGACTTGACAACGGTTAGTCACAGGCATTCGCCTAGTTTTGGCTATAGGCAAAATTGACGACGAGCTCCGGCTTTCCGTCAGCGGAGATTCGTGGGCCAACATCGCGACGCCAATGGCGGTAGGATGGTTCGGGAACCATCTTCCGACGATATGTGTAATTAGGTGAATGGGCGATCCGCCGGAGGAGATTCCGGGTGGATTTTCCCCAAGCAATTGCAAGTTCGCAATATTGACGGCCATGTTGCTGGCCATGCGCTCTTGCAAGTCAACCAAGCGCTTTATGCTCAGGCGAATGAGCTAGCCGCCAGATTTTCCGACTGCATGAGGAGCCGCAGTGTTAGGTATTTTCCTTTCCTTTCCTTTCCCTTTTTTTTGAAAAAAAAAAAAAAAAAAGAAAACCATATTGTCGTCTAGTCCTCAAATCTACCACTCCCCCAATGTCTTCCAATGCCAGGTTCAAACCCGAGGCTGTGCGGGTTCGGGCTGCGAAGGCTTGCAGACAATGTAATCAACGAAGGGTGAAATGTGATGCAGTCATGTGTGGCATCCCTTGCACGAGTTGTCGGAAATAGGGAATGGAGTCCTCCTGCATCTTGATTCAGTCCAGAAGGGGCACCTATGACAGAAGGAAGGCGAAAGTGCATCAAAAGGAGCAGAACCTTCGAGAACGGCCGAATGAGCCAGACTCTGACGGCTGCAGCACAATGAGCAGGCTACAGAGAGATTTGGCATTATTACCCGAAGACCAGGGCAAACATCGCAGAGAAGTTGCACAAGATCCATTTCATGCTCGAGTCGATTCAGACTTCAGTGAGTCCCTCTTAGCGAGCCTGACGCATCCAACGTTTACGGATAAATTTGCTTCAACGCCTGCTTCTGCGGATGTTCCGATGTTTTCTGCTTCGGATCTGGGCATCCTCTGAGTCAGTGCCGCAGGATTCTGATATTTCATCACACCGTGAAGCGACTTGGACAACCGTGTTCGATCATTTTCTGAGAACACGTCGCCAAGGTCATCAACCCCCGGTTGATAAATGTTCCATCACCTATTTGGGAGAAACATTTCCCCTAAACATGATTACGGGAAATCAAAGTACAGAGAACAAGGAGTTCCTTCATAGAACTGGACCCGCCGTGCAGAAGATTGAATCGAAAATTAGCACACAGAGTCGAGGACACCCTACACACATACAGCCAGAAGAGATCACGTCTCTGAGCTCAAGAGGAATGTTTGAATATCCCTCAGAACGCCTCATGGAAGAGTTTAAACTGGTCTTCTTGGAACTGATTTATCCCCTCTATCCTGTTGTCAATCGAGATAAAATCGTCCAGCAACTAAGAACCAAAACGGTCCCGTGGATTCTTTTACATTCCTTTTGTTTCATTGTGTCTACCTACTGCCCTGTGTCGGTCCTTGTCAAAGCCCAGTTCTCCAGCCGATACGCAGCACGAGTCCACTACTACACCAAAGCTAAAGCCCTCTTCGACTGTGGCTATGAAGTCGACAAAATCACAACCCTGCGAAGTGTTTTCTTCCTCAGCTTCTGGAATAGTTCACCAAGCGATTATTGGAACTTTTCCAGCTGGACCAGTACGGCGGTGAACGTCGCTGAAACCCTGGGCATCCATCGGTCAATAGCCGGCGCTAAGATGAATGCCCAGGACAGAAGTCTTCGTCGTCGTCTTTGGTGGATTCTGGTGATCCGAGACTCTTCGTTCGCAACAGTCCTTGGTCGACCGTTCAGAATTAACACGGACTCTTCGGACGCGAGACCGCTGGCCATGGAGGATTTTCAGCATGAGATTGAGAGTTCAGATTTCGAGAGCGTTTCTCTTGGACATGAGTTTGCCCTCTATCAGATACACTTGTCGAAATTGTGCTTGATTTCGCGACAAATCTTAACCACACGGAATCAGTCCACCGCCCAAACGCTGCAGGGCACGGTGCCGGATTATAACGTGATCTTGAAAGCCTGGCGCAAGAAGCTGCCACCAGAGTTAGACTGGGTCGTCGACCATCCCGGCACGAATATCTTCTCCTGGTCTCTATCCATCGTGTTTGATCACAATGTGATTCTAGCAAATGCAGAGCAATTTTCGTCAGGAATAGGAAAACAACCTTGTTTAAGCAGGCACGGAGCAGGTTGTGTTTGTGATCGGGTCTGTCGTGGAATAGATTCTGCCGCTCGAAGAATCCTCACTCAGGCGTGCAAGATCATGCGAATGTCAGCCCAGTTTTCTGTGCTCCACGAGATATTCCCAGGCCTCTTCGCCGCCGAGGCAGTCTTCTTATCGCAAGCAAAGAGCCACCAACCCGGGAGAACCTTACTTGGCAGCCTATCTCTCACCACTTGCCAGTTGATCTGGAAAAGTGCCGAGGAGGTTTGGAAACCTGCCCGCTGGATTATGGACCTGTTTGATGCTCTGATATCTGACATGCCGCTTGGGGACTTGTGCTGCTTTGAGACTGTCGAAAATACCGACCATTGTCCGGCTTTGACTGATCAGTCTGCGTGTCAAATTCCCAGAAATGTCGAGAATGACTCATGGCAAAATCAGTCGACTCTACCAGAGCCCTCAGCCTTGGAAATTTCCTCCGATGGTGTGCAATTCTCGGAGCCCGAAGATGCCTACTTGTTTCCTTGTTCACCCCAACCGGAGACTATCGATACTACACCTTTCAGTGACATGTGTTTCACCTAACTTCGGCTTTTGTGTGCAGGCAACGGAACAGACCGACTAGGACTCGGCTTTCGACTAATACCGTCGCCTACAATGGGAGACTTACGACTTCGCCTCTGATTATGGTGACTGGTAACGTGACCCATCCGGGGCTTGAAACGAATCATTCAGCCTTCCATATTCGGGCGGTGTATAGACTCGGAGTATGAATTCCTCTGTCACAAACTTCTAGACAAAACCCCCCTCCTGTCCCTTCCTCCCAACCGTGACTATTTTATAGGGAACAGCTAAGAGGGCGACCAAAGAATATACGTCTCTGACGGAATTTGAGTCAGGCTACTGTACTTATCACTCAGGCTCGATTTTGATTCGCTAAATAAGCGATCGATACCGTATCGATTCTTGTTGCCGGGGTATCGATTCTTATCGATTCTTATCGATACTGAATCGATTCTATGGTGCGATCTGCAGAGGAATCCGCCACCTTCCTTACTTGCTTCATCGTTCCATAACCACTTTTATTAAGAAGGGTCTCTATTAAGATAATAAATTAACACCGTAAGGGGAGTACTTGTTGGCAGTCTATATTGGGACTAGCCTAGTCACGTGCACTACAATCTTCGTGACCTTTTTCTAGCTTGCGCCTCGGTCAGAAAGATTCAATCAATCTTCTCTCGGCCCAATAGTACTCTCGTAAGGACGGTAAAAGAGAGTATACACCGTTTTTGCGAGTAGTCGTAAAGAGTCTAAGGAGATTAAATAATCGTGTATATCTCAAGAGCCTCTAGTATACGTCTAAAGTCGTCGAATGATTATATATACGTAAATAAAAAATTATTAAAAAAATAAACAACCCCCCTCCTATAGTCCATCTCTAACGAACTTATAGATGAGGCGTCGCAGCCAGTGACAGCTTCAGCCAGACAAGTTCAACTGCAGAAGAGTTTGAATCAGTGACCCTCCCAACGGTATGAACAAGACGACATCATCAACAATCACTGGCTGGAGCATTACGTTTACCCATCTAGGGCACCTAGAAAGCTAGGCCGGACAACCCTCTTACCTTACCTATGATCGAACACTAGTAAGGCCCCTCAATTCTATCGGTTCGACTGCAAGCCGAGTGTTTTACCACTCGGCCACGTCCTTGATAGGTCAACCACGATTTGGTGTCAATTTTGAAGCAATTTTTGGCATTATAAAATATAAACTTTGTTTTTTTTTTTTTTTTTTT